CTTTTTTTGAATTTTCGCGCCACATTTTAGCGAGCGTAAACAGCGGAGTGTCGTAAACGCCCTCGTTTTATTTCAACGTATTGTTTGATTCCAATCGAATGGCTATTTTTGTACACAGATTCTTTAGAAAATTTCCAATCGAATCAACTTGGTCCCTACCTGCGCAAACTTCTAGTTATCGAGATAGGGACCTTCTAAATTTTTACCCCCCCCCCCGGTGAATTTTGCATTAAATGAAAAAAAAATGAAATTGTGGGATGTCGGAATGCATAATTTTCCAGCGATTTGTCCGCAGATCGATTTTTGCGAAAGAAAATGACAATTTTTGGAAAATTCGAACGAATGGGACTAATTTGAAAAAAAAAAAGAATAATAAGAGCTCTAATTATATATAGTATAGTAATAGAACAAAAAAATGCGGGGGAATCGAGAGCTTCTTTTATCATTTTTTTTTCGTCTCATCGCATGTCATTCTTTTTTTTACTGGCCTGCAGTGAGAGAGCTCGCTTCTCAGTGGAGCGCAATTGCATCATTGTTTTGTTTGACGGAAAACATGCCTTCGATACCTTCATACATTTTCTAAAAACTTCTAAAACTCCTCTTTCTATCCCACGCGGCATATTTTTTCTAAAAAAAAACTGTAAAATATGAAAAATTGCGAAGAAAAAATGTTGAAAAATCCATCAAACAAAACAATGATGCAATTGCGCTCTATTGAGAACCGAGTTCAATTACGGCCCAATATTAAAGAAAGTTCGATTCCAACGTTAGAGCTGGTCGAACTGATTTGGTGACGCCACTCAGACACCAAGCGTACACCATTTTGGTGTCCAAAATGTATTTTCGAAAGAAGCTCGAATCAATGGCTAATTATAAATACACAGAAATCAGAAAATGCTATTAATTTGATTAAATGAAAACAATAAATCAGAAAACACATGGGGACCAATCGGGTTTTAGCCGAATGCTCGTTCCCTGAAATCCATTTTCTACGCGTTATTTTCGACCCGCAACGACACTCCAAGTTTACAGCGAGGCCTTTGTTTAGCGTAATGAGAATTGCGTCTTAATTGTTGTTGGAACACAAGAAGTCCCGAAACAAAATTGATTGGACCAGCTTTCACTGGTTTTGATTTTTTTTTGATGATAAAAGGGGCGGGGCGTGTTGTTGGCATTCGTCGCCCCGCCCCCTCCAAGTATGATCTTATCAGATTCAAACGAATAACTCGATAGAGCTATATGGTAGCCAAAAACAACTTGCACTGAAATATATATCAAGTTTCCTTTTGTTTTCAAGTTTTTAAGAAAACTATAGATTGTCATGAATAGAGGCGCGGGTTCGATCCCGCTACCAGCACTCATATTTTTGCGCATTTTTTTTATAGGTAATTCAGTAATTAAGACACTGTCATATTGCGTTTTTCTATTCTAAATTTGTTCTGACAAATTTTTTGATGAATTGGTTTAGAAAATTTGCATTTTTTTCACCGGCCCGCCGTTTTTAAGTGGATTTTGAGAAAGTCGGGCGGCTCGGCGTCGAATTCGACAAATCTGGTGTCAGCAAAACTCGAAATGCTCCAAGAAATCCAATTGTCCAATATTAATTTTTTTTGGGGGGGGGGGGCAAAAATTTGAATGGTCCCTAGCTGATGTCTGTCCAATAAGCTCGTATTGATGAAAAACAAAACGCGGAATTCGCAATTAATAAATAATTATGGCAAAAATTTTATTTTTATGTGGTTTCTTTTTAATTTTAACCATCCGAACAAAATAATTGAATTTCTCGTTAACTATATATTGTATAGTTAGCTATTTTGTAGTGTGTTTTCCACAACAAAAAAAAAGAATTCGTATAGTCATTCGACTCAATAGATGTTTTTTTTTCTCGCTGATCCCATTTTTTTTTCGACGGAATGACGAATTTCCATTTCTTTCTCATTAAAAGATGGAGAAAATCGGAGAAGACTTTAATCGCATTCGCATATTCCTTTTATGGGTCGGCCACGAAAAAAAAACAAAAAAAATGTCGTCTAGTTTGTTATTTTGAACCGGCGACTTGAACATTTGCCGGCCTCGATGAATGTCCGCAGATGGATTTCATGTTATACAATCGTCGACTTCTCGCTGGTTTTCCTCTCGTCCAAATTATTGAACACGTGTGAAATCTCGAATTTAATCGACGAATTCACATATGCGTCTTTCTCATTTCGAAAAATTGTCCGCAGATGGTTTTTTATGTGTTTGTGACACACATGTGCGCATTCTCTCGCCAATATTTCTCATTCGCTTCTCAGCACCCTACAGTAATCCTTGTGGAGGGCGATTTTCTTAAAGGCGCATCACGCGACTAATAATTGTTTAAAGGCGCATCACGCGACTAAACCAAAAATTGATAATCATTTTTGTTTTTTTTGGCCAAAATCGCGGATAAACCTCGAAAGTGTAAATTCCCATGTCTTTTTTTTTGCCTTTCCATCACGTCATACTATAAATAAGCCCTCAATATTTCCCTCAATAATAGATTCTAATCCGTCGAAAGAATGACACAAAACGAGAACGCGCATAAATTTGAACGCGCATAAATTTCGGCGGGTCCCTCCCACCTCTGAATGGTCCCTTCGAAAAACCAAAGCTGAGTTTGTTCATAAATCATCGCTGCGAGCTTCTGCTGGCCACCAGAGCACACCTCAACGAGAGAGCAGTTTTCGAATGAATTTCAAATTGCGCCAAATTGGCGCCGCCCGATTTTGGTTTTTTTTTTTCAAGCGAAACGTGCTGCCGACAAATTCATTCACTTTGATTTTTATTTTTACTATTATCATATACATTTGGCATACTGTAACAATTGTTCAGCTGTGTCAAAATTTGAATTCCAAAATGAAGTAATTTTGAGACAATTTATGGATTATTTCGAAATTATCCGATGAATCCCAAACCATCTGCGGACAATTTAGATGGTCCCAAACATGGGACCACACACACACGGTGACATCATTTTTTTCTTTTTTTTGCAAAGTCATTTTCTATTGAATTCCACGACAACAAATTTTTTTTTACTTCGTCACAAACTTTTTTTTTGATCCTTGAACATTGTCCGCTGATCGAAATTTATATTGGGCGGGGGACCCTCCATGTTCGTGTGAAATTGCATTGTCAAAGACCGACGACTTCCGGTGGGCGGAGCGCCAAAAATTTCGACATTGCTCAGCAATTTTCGATTTGGCTGCGTATCACACTACCGTAACGCAAAAATTTGTTGAATTTCCGGCACTTGAAATCAAGATTTCAGCAACCCGAAAATTGTCTGCAGATGAAATTTTATATATCAAATTATTCTCTTTCTCAGTCTCTAATTGAAATTTTTAAAATTCGAATTTTTCGCGGATTATTGAGAATCTCTGGAAATCGGCAATTCAAACCCGTATCAATGTCCGCAGATAGAATGTTATATATCAAATATTCGATATTTCAAGCTGTTGGTCATTTGTGAGTCATAAATTCCTCGGATTAATATAAATTAACAATTTGAACCCGTAAAATTGTCGGCAGATGAGATTTTCATAAGAAAAGCAAATTTTTCACACTTTTTTCGCGCTATGCGCCTTTAAAAAGCCAATCGTTTGGCGGTGGGTCTTTTTTTTGCCAACCAACTCGATTTGTTCGTTGTTTTCGTGTTTCAGACATTTTCGATTGGTTTTGCCTCTGTTTCGCTTCGTACTTTACTTCTTGCATTCCATTCATGGCCACATTTGCGAAATTTTATTCGATTCGCCAATTTCGACGAGGCGTCCCACCCAAATTCGCCAATATCCATTTTTGGTTGTATTATTATTATCGATGTTTTTTTTTCGATCAATTTCGTGCGCCTCACCTTCAACTAATATGAGATCATTGCTGCGGACAATCTCGCGGCCCGTGAGATTGTCCGCAGCATCAAAATGTGCCTTCGATCGCACATTTTCGAATTGGGTTTCTTTCAGATTGTGCCCCCACAAAAATTCATCTGAAATTTCAAAATAAAATTTTCGCGCTGAAAAAAAAACGAAATTTGTTTCCCGTCAATTGTCCGCAGCTGATTTTAGAGGCATTCGAGGCGAAAATGATGGCGACACAAGCAAATCCCATCAATGTGCTTCCATCTTCGTCTTCTTTTTTTTCGCTTCCCTTCCTTTTTTGGTATCTCCAAATAGGTTTTGTCACTCAATTTGTTCGACGTTCCAAAATTGTTCAAGTTTTTTTGTGGCGAAACGGGCGGCCTTTATCTCTCTCCATTTTTTTCTCAAACTATTATTTTTTTTCCGTCTCCTCCCATTATTTTTGGGAGCACTTTTGAGGTCGTTTTTCTCTCGAAAAAAAAAAACGTTTTCTTCATTAAAGGCTTTGTCTTTTCAAAAATTTGAATTTCGCGCCTTAAAATTGTCAAATTGCTCATTTTTTTTTCGAATTAATTACAAATTATTCGTATAAGCCCAATAGTAGAATAATTTATTATAGAAATTCCAACGATAAAATGATTGAAACGTGGAATTCATCAAAAATTGAAATTCGCATTTCAAACATTCCACCTGCGGACAATTTTCGTTGTCTAAAAAAATGTCCGCAGATGGATTTTGCCAAAAATGCCAATTTTCGTTGTCTAAAAAAATGTCCGCAGATGGATTTTGCCAAAAATCCCAATTTTCATTGTCTAAAAAAATGTCCGCAGATGGATTTTGCCAAAAATGCCAATTTTCATTGTCTAAAAAAATGTCCGCAGATGGATTTTGCCAAAATGAAACTCCCAAAAATGCCCATTTTTTGTCGGCAGATGGATTTTGCCAAAGCCGACAGCCCAACTCACAATTTTTGTCCTCATTCATAACCAATTGGGTCCTCACTCATTCTCGCGGCGTTTTTTTTTATTTTTTGCCCGAAAAAAAAAGAAAGGCGCCATCAATTCTCGATGGGCACCCGCCATATTTGGGAGTAGATCATCATCATCAAATTTTGGGCAGACAAGAATGGTGGCGGCGCCGATGCTTCAACACATGTACAGTCTCGATGAGTCGCGAATGATCGGTGTAGGTGATGATAATCGCGAATTGCTGCTGCCGACATTGTTCGGGGTTGTTCGATTGCAATCAACAAGAAAAAAAAACCACAAATGCCCACCGATTTTTTTGTTTCTCGAATTTTTTGCTGAAAATCATTTTTTCAGTATCGCCAACAGCGGAAACGACGGGCGGGAATCTCCGGCGGATCGACGAATGTCCAACGCGAGATGCCGTTCGCGTGCGCCGGCGGAAATGGATTCAGTAGTGCAGGTATAGCCCAATTAATTGACGACAAATTGCGTCGCCAAACAAAATTTCAAATTGCGCCAAGCGCCCCCCCCCCCTTTTTTTATGATGAAAACCATCTGCGGACATTTTCGCGCGGCCCGCAACAATGTCGGCAGCACGAACATTCTTTTTTCTTGCAGGAGTGTCGAATGGCCGCGGATTTCCGCCGCTCGGCGGCCGCTCGCCTCAATCGTCGTTCGATTCGAATCAAGATGTCGCCCAGGTAAATTGATATTCGAATATTATTCGAAATTCTCTCCCACGATATCGAATTCGTCCCGTATTTTTTGGCAAACGAGTGAAAACCAACCGAAATTCATTCATTCATCTTTTTTTTCTCTGCCGATCCAAATTTTGATCCGATCCAATTTTTTCAAATATTCAACAACTCGAAAAAAATGGCGCCGAAACGACGACCCGTCGACTACGACGAAGTAATCTCTTCAATTTTTTTTTTGATATCGAAAACGTGCTGCGGACAATTTCAGCGAATCGTAGAACAATTTTGCAGATCTCAATGAATTGGATGAGAATGAATGGATTGGGACCATCGTTGAGGCCATTTCTCAACGGGAATCATACGCCAAAGGTAGGCAATTATTTTGGTCCGACCATCAAATGTCCGCAGATGGATTTTTATAAAGAAACCTGCAAAATTATGATCTCGATTTAATGAATTGGAATATTTGGAAATTTCAATCATTTCTCGGCGCCAAAAAAAAAAATTCGAAGCCACTTTCAACCCGCGCGATTGTCGTCAGATGGAATTTGTCAATTAGCGATCGAAAATTTCAAAATTGCAGAAGACGGCGTTGCAGAATTCGCAGTCAACCACACACATCTCCAGAATCGGCTCGTTGCGACGAATGCACGCCGCCGAGGCGAGCATCGACGGAAAATCGTCGCTGAGTGGCACACAGGTCGATATTGCCTATAATGGTTCGTTTTAAGCCAAAAAAAAAACAGTTGGAGAACCAAAATATTCTTTTTTTTTGTGGATATCCCATTTTTTTGGTCCCTCTATTTATGGGACCATCATATTAAATGGGCTCTACTAGTTCGACCTCTATGGGGGTCCGATTATAATTAAGGGACCAAAATCTTGAGTGATGTTATCTGAGCATCGAACACATTCCAGAATATGTCAATCTCGAGCAGAAGCTTAGCTCAAGCGTACACCAAATAAGGGAAAATGAAAGAAAGGCCTTCAATTAAAAAAAAATAATAAGGTGATTCTATAGCATTGCGCTTGGTTACTGTAACACGAGTTTGAGTGTGTCGTCGGTCTCGTCGCGGCTACGACGATTTTGTTGATCAGGCAAATTTTTGCAGAAAAACAAAATGAAAACGTTCGGTCAGGAGCCGCGCAAAAATGCGCTGCTCGACGCCCTGAAATCCGACACCAATTCCATAATAAGTTGTTGGCCGTCTCGTCGTTGCAAAAAAAAATCCATTTTATCACACAATTTTTGTTTGCCGCGTTTTTTTCTCGACGAAAACATACGCCAAAATCTTAATGCCATCATTTCTTTCAAATTTTTCCATCTGCCGACATTCTTGCGGGTTTCGCCAATGGATATGTCAACCCGGAAAATTGTCCGCAGATATTTTTTTTCTTAAATAATATCAATGCGGCGGCATAGTTTTTCTGCGAAATGAGCGCGCTGACAAATTTCGCCGAAGATGTCCGCAGCTGAACATTTATAAACGACTCGCTCAAAGCGTCCTTCATTCTTTTTTCTTTTCCATCGCTTTATCTTTCGCACTTAATTCCGCGAATGCTTCGAATCCTTCCGCCCAAATATTCCCCTCATGGGATTTCGTGTTTCCTCGATTTTTCCTTCATTTTCGCCAAATATCACCTGATTGGCTGTTTTTTGCCAAAAAAAAATTGGCACTTTTGCAATTAAAAAATTTTAAAAACCATTCTCTTTATCCGCAATTTCAGCTATTTTTATTTAAGGCTACCGTAACAGCGATTACTGTAGTTTCTGTCGCCTGAGAAAATAGTCGAGAAAAGTTTTTTTGCAAATTTTCGTCCCTCCCCATCGATAACATCAACGCGAATTCTGAAAAATGGCAATATTTCATAGAGGTGAAGGGAAAAAAACGGAAGGGACCATTAAATTCCGACACTCGCCTCAAATTTATCACGCACCGCATTAAATTGCGAATTCGCTTCGAGACCTTAACTAGTGGGTTCTTATTTTTCGCTTCAAACAAACCTAATTATTATGATAATGAATAGTTGGCGATTTGCCCGCAAAACTTTTCGACAGCCTTCGAAAAAACAATTTTTTTTTTCTTTTTTTTTCTTTTGCCGGCCCAATTATGTCGAATTGACCGATTATTATGCTGCCAAGCATTCAAATTGTCGGCAGACATCGAAAATCTCCACATTTGGCAATTCCCGTCAATTGTCCGCAGCTGCGTGTCGACTTCAACCGCATTCCTCCCAATAATGCAAAACCGGAGACTCGATGCACTTTCACAATTTTCATCTGCGGACAACTCGCGGGAAAATTGGCGATTTATTATTTTTGGCTTCTCGCTCCCTCGAAAATGCGGTATTTTCAATAATTTAAAGGCGCATTCGATACGTTTATAAATAGTATGAAAAACGATAATATAATGGCAATTATATCTATCTAATATCCATTCGCATTCGTCTCATCATCAAATTCGAGCCGCCATTAAATGAGTCGAGCAAAAAGAGAGAGAGAGAGAGAGAGAAACGTAATAAATTGCCCAATAAGGGAGGGGGGAGAAAAATGGCAATTTTTGAGTGGAAAAAGGAGAAGCTCGAAAAAAAAGAAACCAAAGTTCTTTTTTTTTATTGTGCTCATTTCAATTATTTATGCGGATTAGTCGATGGGGCCGGCGATGGCCGGCTAGTGGCCCGCTAGTGGCCCGGCCTCTCACCGATCATCCCTTTATGAAATGTTGTTTTATAGACATTCTGCGTTTGACACATTTCTCGTTTCCTATCGATTTCAATAAGTGTGCCGGATTACTGTAGCTCTCGTTTTAGATGTGCCACTCCTATCCTTCAAACATACATTATTCTCTCGAACCCGATTATTGTCCGCAGCATGTTGATGTTATCAATAATCGAAACGTCATCGTCAGAGAGCCTCCGCACGCGCGCAAATTGGCGTCATCTCAAAAAACGAAAAAAGAAGAGCCGAAATACTTCCGTCGCTCTTCTTATCATCATGATTATCGGTTTATTCAATCCTCATCTGCATTCTGACTCATAGTTTGATCAAATCAACAACATTTTCCCATAAGAAAAATGTCCTATATATTTTTTTTTCCCATCTATTTTCGTCGAATTTGTGCTCACAGCATGGGAGCTCATAGCGACGCCAATTAGGCGACAAAATCGCGTTAATTTTTGAGAACATTCGATTAACTCGCGTCACACATTAAAGGCGCATACCGAAGGTCTCAAATTTCTCGACGGCGATTTTTCTTCTTAAAGTGCTCAAACCGCGGGTCCTACCGCGAAAATTTGAGCTTTTTATTTTTTGGCTCAACTACTACTACCCTACTAAATAGAAGCGATGTATTACACATATTTCCCATTTTTTTTTCTTCTTCGGCACACCAACATTAATCAAGGGACCATAAAAAACAACCCATATGTATAGGGGGCATTTCTTTCTTTTTTTTTCGATTTGTGTCTCGACACGATTAACTCGCCAATCCGCTAATAAGAATGTGCGATTTCTCACGTTTTTTTAGTCTTTTTTCCTCAATAAGCGTGCAAACACCGTGACGCCGAAATGCACAATTTTTTCTTTTTTTGAATATTCGCTTCCCGTCTAGAAATTTCACGGCGGATTATTTCGAATCCCATTTTTTTATTGAGCAAAAAAAAATCTAGAAATGGAAGAGTTTTCTTTTTTGGAATTTTTTCCAAAAAAAATGTTCGGCGAAATTCCCAAACTGCCATTTTTCAGCAAAAAAAAATTTCAAAAAAAATCTTAAAATTTTGAGTTCAAATTTTCAGATTTTTTTCCTTGAAATATAAATTATCATAGATTCCATAAAATTCTCCGAATTTTTATCAAAATCTCGATTTAAAAAAATTATTCCGTCTGTCTGCGCTCTCTTCGATTCGCCTACTATTTCGCCAATAATTCGATTGTCCAAATCTCGCATTTTTTTTCCAATTTATTTTTTTTTTCATCGCCAATTCGAAATTGAAATTCTTTCGTCGGATTATGACCGATTTTACGGCTTCTTCTTCTTCGTTTTAAAAAAAAAAAAAAAAAGAATTTTCTTGATTAGGCCATGTCCTTGAAATGGTCAAAGATTAACTCGCCAACAAATTTTCTTCGCTGCCATTTTCGTTTTCGAATTTTCCGCTTTCTAATGAAATCATCTGCGGACATTCTCATTTCGTTTTGGCATTCTTGATACAGTAATCGTTGGGGGGGGGTCTCGTCGCGACACTCATATTCGATACTCGATTAATGTCCGCAGCAGAATGACATATTTTAAGAGCATCGATTTTTATTCAAAAATTTTATAAATTTTTGGATTTTTCCTGCATCAAAATATAGTTTTTTGTTTTTTGAAATTTTGCGATCAATTCGTTGAAAATGATTTTTTAAATTTCAGATTTTTTTAAATGAAAAATTCATATTTTTGGGGGGTTTTCTTAGTTGAAAACTTTAATTGCCAAATAAGGGACCATCATGTTTTGCAAGGTCCCTTGACCCCCCGATGCAATTCGGGCTTTGGCACTCAAGTAATGATGGCCGTGGCCGAGTTATGGTGGCCGTGGCCGTGCGCGAAAAGTTCGTTGGTTTCAAAAAAAACGATATCCAACGCCTGCACATCTCAACAATTGCTACAGTATCCTCATTAGTTTCAAGACCTAATATTGAACTTGTGAGCCTTTTTTGAGCGTTTCCATGTTTTTTTCGAAAAAATCTCAATTCGTACACAAATCTCGCTAATCCCCTCTTGTTTTCCATCAAAATCCATTCTTCCACAATACGGATTCCTTCGACTAATCCCTATTTTGTTGCAAAAATCGATATTCGCTTCATTTTTGGTCGCCGCGAGACCGCATTGATGTCCGCAGATTGATAGTCGCTTAGCACCACTCGTCGTGCGCTCATCCGTCCAATCATTCAGCGATTCTGTTCGAATTGACGCCGAGTCGATTCGCGCAGCCCTCGTCGCGCATTCGGACGACGCGCTCAACGACGGCATTGATGGCGACGTCGCCGTCGACGACGGTCTCCGCCGAGCACCTCAACGATCACACGCTGCCCAAATCGATTCTGCGCGCGCCGCGACTCACCGCCGCGCCGAAACAGCTCTCGTTCGATGTGCCGCCGAGTCCGACGCCGACGCCGAAGAGCTCGAGCGTCTCGGCGAGCGGCAGCTATCAAATGTTCGAACGCCCGCGTGTTCGCGGCGGCGCCAATCTGAGCTACGGCGGTTTGAGTCCCGCCAATCATCATCACCATCACCATCATCGGGACCCATCGCGATGGCGCCTCACCGATGTGAAGCAGCGATCGAACTCGGAGTCGATGTTCCGCAATATTGACACCGAGATGCTCGCCAACGGCGACCGACGAATGAGCATGGCCTATCTGCCATCGAGAGAGCAGGCGCTCTTAAGACGAATTTTGGGACCACAAGGCCTTTCATGGATTTCCTATGACAGTAAGAACGCCACAAAAAAAAGCAACCCCAAAAAAATGGAATTCAATATAAAATCTAGACTTCCTTTCGTTGTTCGTTTTTCAATTGATTGCATTTTTGTTACAGGAGAGACCGCTTCTCGAAAATCCGTCTCGATCGCCTACTCGAATGATTTGGAGGCGTGCGGCAATGGGAAAGGCGGCGGCGACGACTCAACAGTTCCTCTAATGGAAGACAAAGACGATAACAGGTTGGGTTTTTGGTATCAGCTTCTCGTTGATCGCCATCATTCCAGCGGGTGTCGTCTAATCAAACGCGAGATTCTCCACGAGCGCCGTCGAATGGTGTGCGACAAGGCGTTGGCGTTTGCGATTCTCGGAATTGGTGGGTCTCATTTTTTTTCGTGATCACCTGTCACAAAGGACGTGAAGAGGAGCCTCGAGACGCATTGGCAAATGGCCAATAATTTTATAAATTTCTTCAAGTCGTTTGACTTCGACAATAATTATCTAATAAAAAAAATCAGATTTAAAAAATTTAAAAAAAAAACGCTCTTATAAGAACACGCTATAAAATGCTCCATTTTTCCGATTTGCATAGAATAAAAATTAGTGATACACCCGATTTCTTATATCACAATCATGCTGCCGACATTTCGCGGCTCTCGCCCCTATCTATGTTTTGTATTACAGTGCTGATGATCATTGAAAACGAGCTGCGTTCGGCGACCACAATTGGCAAATTGGTAACCAAATTCGATAAAACGGCATTGCTCCTTTGAAAAAACAATAATTCGATTTCTGCAGGGCTCCTCGCTAAGTTTTGTGCTCAAAATGTGCATTATGACGACGACCGCCGCACTTTTGGCGTTCGTCGGCTACTTTCACGTCATCGAGATTCAGCTTTTCATGAATGCGAACGCCGCCGACGATTGGGTCGTGGCGCTCACGTTTCGCCGAATTCTACAGGTATTGAGCATTTAAAAATTAATTTGTTTGGCTAGTCGCCAAACAAAAACTTGGACCCTGAGTATTTGTGGACCATCGCATTCATTTTTTTGGCGCGGCAATTCAAATTTGAACTCGTTTTTTTTGCGATTATAATATGATTCTCGCGCCATCGCGGCGGGATATCGCCTCATGCGCCTTTAAGCCATTTTCAGCGTCTACCAGACGAGAATCGCTGTTTCTAATTTTCCAGATCATCATTGAAATCCTTGTGTGCCTTTTATGCCCACTACCCGTTGAATTGGTGAGCCCGTGGCTCAGCGAGCACACCTATGGAAAACCGCTTCACGCGATCAACGTGTTTCTCTCGATAATGATGTTCTTTCGATTATATTGGTTGTGTCGAGTGATGCTTCTTCATTCGAGGTGAGCATGTGAGCGCGAGAATTGAATTGACGACTACTTTCAGGTTGTTCACTGACGCGAGTAGCCGCAGCATCGCTGGATTGAATCGGGTCAATTTTAACGCCCGCTTCATTCTCAAAACTTTAATGACATTATGCCCAGGTTCATTTTTTTTTTAATTTTAATTTTTACACTTTTCAAATTTTTAAATCAATTTTAATTGCAAACGATTTTTCAAAAAAAAAAACGGCGATCAGCATTTTTCGCTGCAAGACCTTCTGGTTCACAGTTATATAAAGAATTTCGAAAAATGAATGAGATCGCACGCGAAACGCAAAGCGCCTTGTGACATCAAATAATTAAGGTTTGTTGAAAAATGACAGGTGTCGTGGGATTCTGCGTTTTGTACGCAATGCTAAAAGACAGTTACCGTAATCCTCGCAGCGATTTACGAGAGCTTTTTTAAATTTTTGATTTAATTATTTTTTTCGCTTAATTTTCTTATTTTCCTTCGAAATGTTGTTATTTAAATTTTGCAGAAACCGAGTTTAATAATGTACAGTGCGCGTCATAATGATACGCCATCCCCCAAATTTTGCAGTTCTGAGAAAACCATATAAATTGGTGACGAGGCAATTTCATTTTCGAATTCAGGGCCATTAAAAACCTATACACGCGTATTTTCATGAGGTTCCGTTGGTCCGTATCCATACAGCCCGAAAAAGTTTGATTTTCAAGCGCGTCATAATGATACGCCACCCCTTATTTTTTGTCTTTTCTTTCGACATTTTTGCATGTCTCTTGCTGATTTTTTTGTATTTTGTACAGTTTTTCAACAATATTGTTATTTTATCCATAGAACGATCGTCCGCTTTAGTTTTGGCTTGAAATCGGGCCGAATTCGGGCCTTCGAACAACTTCGTTTTTTTTTAAGGACTAAAACGAAAGAAAAAAGTCTAAATAACTATAAAACAACAAGTTAGAACGCGAGAACACACCAAATTCAATAGTTAGTAGTCTCTCCATAGTTTTGGATAACTTCACATGTTCGGTTTCGCATTCTGTCGACGAGTTCCTTGAGGTATGCAACTGACCGACTGTTCCATTCTAGTCAAATTGCGGCCTTCAGCTCATAAAAGGTTGGCATTCTGCTTGGTTTGTGAGCGAACGGAACGTTCAAGAAGCCTTCAGACGTTTTCGACGGGATTGAAGTTGGGGAGCTGGCTGATCCATCCAAACGTTTGATTTTCTTTCTTTGAATCCCAATTGAAGATGCGGTCGCTCTTGTGAATGACTGGATTGTCTTAATGGAATTAGTGAAACAAATTTTAAAGAAATTTCGTAGTTACGTATACAGTTAGATTTTCGAAAACGTTCGATACCATCCTTAATCGGCTTGACACTCTGATTGAGTTATACCATAATGTCAATTTGAGCTTTCTCCTGTGAGCTAATGTAAGAGATTTTCCGCGGCCGATGATTATGAGAAGGATAAGTGAAAATAGTTTATAAGTGAAAAATTATCGGTGAGGCTGTCCGCACACAGAATGCCAACCTTTTATGAGCTGAAGGCCGCAATTTGACTAGAATGGAACAGTCGGTCAGTTGCATACCTCAAGGAACTCGTCGACAGAATGCGAAACCGAACATGTGAAGTTATCCAAAACTATGGAGAGACTACTAACTATTGAATTTGGTGTGTTCTCGCGTTCTAACTTGTTGTTTTATAGTTATTTAGACTTTTTTCTTTCGTTTTAGTCCTTAAAAAAACGAAGTTGTTCGAAGGCCCGAATTCGGCCCGATTTCAAGCCAAAACTAAAGCGGACGATCGTTCTATGGATAAAATAACAATATTGTTGAAAAACTGTACAAAATACAAAAAAATCAGCAAGAGACATGCAAAAATGTCGAAAGAAAAGACAAAAAATAAGGGGTGGCGTATCATTATGACGCGCTTGAAAATCAAACTTTTTCGGGCTGTATGGATACGGACCAACGGAACCTCATGAAAATACGCGTGTATAGGTTTTTAATGGCCCTGAATTCGAAAATGAAATTGCCTCGTCACCAATTTATATGGTTTTCTCAAAACTGCAAAATTTGGGGGATGGCGTATCATTATGACGCGCACTGTATTTAGCAGAATAAGCACTTTTAAACGATATTTTTTTGGTAAAAACAGCAGAGATTTAAAAGAAAACATTTTTTGTCGTTAATAAAATTATTTTGTCATGTTTGGCTTTTTGTATGCGTTTCTATTATATTTGCTACGGTTTTAAATAAAAGATTTCGAAAGAAAATAAGAAAACACAACAAAAAATTGAAAGAAAATTTTTAAAAAAATATCTCCGTAAATCGCTGCGAGGATTACGGTAACTGTCTCTTAGCATTGCGTACAAAACGCAGGATCCCACGACACCTGGATACAATTTTTGTCATTTCTCAACAATAGTCGTATTTTTTTGGGTGAACACACTATACGCAATATCTGACGCATATGTGCAGAATCTTTTCTCTCGATATCACACCAGGGCTGCGCGGCAATGAAATTGCCGATTTTTCCAATTGCCGAATGACCGAAAAATGTGTTATTTTCGGCAAATTGCCGAAATTTCCGATTTCCGACCATCCCTGTGTCACACGCTCTCTCAATTTCACCGTGATTTCTACGATACGTTTAATATCCAATTTTTTAGGAACAATGCTCATGATATTCACTGCTTCGTTATGGGTGATTGCCGGCTGGATTCTTCGGCTTTGCGAACGCGAATACGTGGCCGCCGATCAAATCAAAGAAATGGATTATATTAATTCAATTTGGCTCGTTGCCATCACTTTCCTTTCGGTTGGCTACGGCGATATTGTCCCGAAAACGTACTGCGGACGAAGTATGGCCGTCGTGACCGGAATCTTGGTATTTTTTCCGTAGAAAAAAAAGATGAGAAAACACATGATCGTTCAGGGAACCTGCGCTTCATCGATGGTCGTCGCTGTGATCGCGCGCAAGCTCGAATTGACAAGAGCCGAGAAGCACGTGCACAATTTCATGCAGGACACACAGCTCACGAAGCAGCTCAAGCATTCGGCGGCGAATGTTCTTCGCGAGACCTGGTTCATTTACAAATATCGAAAATTGGTGGACAAGTGCGATTTCGGCAAAGTCAGACAGCATCAGCGCAAATTTCTGCTAGCGATCTATGAGTGAGTTTGAAAAAGGGAAACGACTCGTCTGCAAACACCACCACGATAAAATGCACACGGCTTATTGACGGTTTCAAACGACTGATTAGCTTTAATTAGCGTTAAACCATCCATTGCGAAAACGCATTGCCCATGCGGACTACACGGAACCAACAAGAGGAGTGTTCTAATCGTCGTTTTAGAATGTTTTTTAATTGGCCAATTAATTTCATTTGAAATTCTGAATCGAAATCAGAATTATTCCTAGTTGCACTTTTTACAAAAATGCTTCAGATTCGAAATTAATTTTGCAAAATATTTGAGAATCAAATTTTTTTTTCGTAAAATTCTGACACGGCGACTATAAACACTCTCCTTGTGGGTTCGTTTGATGGAAAAAAAAACTTTTCTTTTTTTTTTGTCCTCCATTCGAATGATATTTTGTCGTGCTTCAGATTGCAAAATACTCGCAAATTTTCAGAATGCGACGGGTGAAACGCGATCAACGAAAACTTGCCGAGAATCTCGTGTCGCTTGGAGACGTTGCCAAGGTTCGACGAATCCGTCCGACGCGATTGCCCGATAATGATACGTTTCAGACATCTTCAAATACGTATGAGCTTGTGCACGATGTGCATTCAACACAAGAGGGCCTTTCGCTGCGTATCACGGCGATTGAGCATCAGCTCAGCGACATTTCGCGCGAAATCTCGTCGCTGGCTGATTTGATTCGAGGTAGCCTTGTCGTCGATTCGGTTCGTTTGCTTCTTTTCTTTTATTAGTCGTTTTTTGATTTTCATTAATTTTCTTTTTTTTAACGCAATGCTTGCAGTTTTTTATTCGTGAAATTGTGTTTTATAGACATTTTAGACGTTATGGGGGAAAAATGAAAAAAAAAAACACATTTTGTTCTTTTTCCCCTTTTTTGCCACAACAAAATCGGTCAGTTATTGAAATGCTTATAAATTTCAGGAGGGAAATATCCAACGACGAGCTTCATAGCTGCCGATAATTCGCGTCTTCGCCGGAAAATCGGCGAAATTTTTGTTTGATTTGTTTGATTATTTTCTTTTTTTTAATCATTTTGTACATATTTTGTTGATGACACAAAAAAAAATAAAACGAAAACATAATCCTCAAAAATTCTACTCTTTTCGGTGTTTCATTCAATTTCCCACCAACAAATGTGATCTATTGTCTCCCGACTGGTTTTCTCTGTTCATTTATTAATAATTACATAATCTAATAAATTTGTTTTTTTTTTCGAAATTTTCTACCATTGCTTTTTCTGATCATCAATCGATAATCCACCAGGACCATATTGAACAAGTAACAATAATCCTGAAAATTTTCACCATGTGATTATTTTCATCAAATTCGGCTAAAACTCACCTCCAACAACAGAAAGAACTTGGAAGAAGTCGAATTTGGTGTAGTCTTGTGCCCTACTATCATTGACGGACCACCTAAATTGGATTTTTAAAAATTCCAAAAATTGGTAATAATTAACTACCAATTATTTATGAAGAAATTAAGAATGAACAACCACGTGGCAAGTATCAGAGCAACCAATTTCGTTTTGTAGCCAATTACTAATAAGGACAAGAAGCCGAAAGAGACAATCGCTTCGATTAGCTGAAAAAAATTACTGGGTAGTGGAAATAGATCAAAAATTTTGACGAAATTGCGAAAAAATGGTTAAAAATGAGGGATGGTCTCGAGTCGAAGAGAACTTCCCGTGTACTCCACACGGACAATTTAACGCTTCAACCCAATTCTGAAGTAGAGCGCGTCTGCGGCAAAATCTTGTTGGAATCTACGAGAGCAATTAAAGGCGCACGAAATTGCGTCGTGGTGGTATCCCGCAGCGAAGAGGTGTGACGCGAAAAATCGGAATACCTTTAGGAACGAAGCTTCGATATGAATTAGAGATGTGATCATTCCAATCAAATAAATTCTACCAACAAGAAGAAAAATCGAACGCGGCTCCAATGGATCGTCAAGAGTTGGAACTCGTGCGAACGTCGATTTATTATCAATAAACGATTCTGATAATAAAACGGCAATTCCGCCGGCGATCGAGAATGTTCTGGAATTTTTCAAATAGTTGGTGCCTAGAAAAATTCGAACCTTGCGAGAAATCTAAGATCCGTGTAAATGTAATAGAGAAATACTTGCATGACTAAGACCACCAGCAAATTGGCACTAGCGACCAACACCTTAATATTCATTAAATTTATGGATTAAATTTTTAAGTTTTTTGCATTTTTTCGAATTAATATCATGCAAGGACCAATGATTTGAACAAGACAGAAATAAAATATCAACACAGCGCTTATAATCCATGGAAGTTTCCACGCTTTCTGAAAAAAAAAAACAGCATAATTAAAAAATAAATAGTTGGTTTCAGTTTTTCTACCATTCCAAATTCGATTTGTGCGGAAAATTGGAAAAGCATGCGAAAGCCATCTTCGAAGAATGTGGAGCACAACAAAAGACGCGAAATTAATGGAACGTATGGGCGGATCACTCGGTAATTCTGGAAATATTCGAATTTAAATAATTCCATTTTTAATAAATTTACATCGTCGATTTGAATTTCTAAATATGATATAATTTCGTCGACGTCCATTGAGAAAATCTGAGAACAAAAATTTTTCTTAATGAAAAAACAGCGAACATTCGAAATTTTACTAGAAAAAATGAGAAATGAAAGTTGGGGTTTTTCTGCAATTTGTCGTCAAGTGCGCACGTGTATACATCATATCTTACGACAAATTCACGTTGCTCGACCGAAACAAGCATTTCTCAATATGAAAATCTAATTTTTTTTTATTGGTAAAAATGTTTTTGATGCACAAATGAGTATTTGAATTACTTTTTTGGTTTTCTGTTTTGTGATTAACTCAATTATTGCAATGAAATTTGACATTTTGAAGGATTTATTCGAAAAAAATTGAAAAAAAAAAAATTAAAGTCCAAGTGAACAAAATTGTTTCGTTTCGCTAATAAGCAGAGAGCATCAGATGCGTTGAATGACGGCATGAAGGAAGGAGGTCAATAAATTGCGGCGACCAGTAGATACGCTGATAACGTCGATCCTCGCACCTCGAATAATCCTCGCGGCGAAGGAATGGAGCAACGTAATCAAGACCGCGAGCACGGCCGTTCCAATACAAAAATTGATTTTGGTGTCTACAAAAGATTGCAAAAATTTTCGGGTTTGTAGAGAAAACTAAATACCTCAGAGTATCCGTTGGAACTTCATAGCTGCGACGCGAAAGCGGTGGAAGTGGTGGCTGAACACTTGACGAAAGGCTCAATAAGCTGCGGGCTCTCTTCACCCTGCAATTTTTAGAAATGCATGGGAATTTCTTTCTCAAAAACCTTTGCTTCTTATCTTTCTCAATAAGCCATTCACCTTGTCTTGGACTATAAGCTCGATGTGGCGCCAAATCATAGCCGATTGCCCGATTTCTGAATATTCTTGCGATTTTCACGCATTTTATGATTCATTTTACGATCTGTTTATGCACAAAGACGGCGCAATTGAAGTATACATTGGCCGCTCGCGGAATGTTCCCAAATATGGATAATACATTTCATCGAATTTCGAATGCCTCGCGAAATTCATTGTGCTGTTCGCATCTTCGAATCTAAACAACCAACATTTTCGTCTTTTTTTAAATTCATTTTTTTTATTTTGTTGAAGAATGTGCCAGATGCCAAGAATTTCGCATATGTTTTTCGTTTCCAAAATTGATTTATGTATTTTTTTTTACTTACGCGGTTGAGACCACATCAGCGTAGGTTGATGTTGGTGTGCCGCCGACGAACGATTTGTGTGGACCACTTGTCCATCTACTATCAAACGCGACTTGCTCTTTTACCTTAAAAAAAAGGTTATCCAAAATAATACGAAGTTTGAGCTGAAAATTTTCAAAAAAAAACTTCAATTTTTCATAATATGGCCGTGACCGTATGCGCGGTAAATAAAGTTCAAAATTTCGGCCACCACGATGTGTTTTTTTTTTTTTCAAAAATTTAGGCGAGTGGCTTCATTTTCAAAATTTTTTTGGTTTTGTTTTACATTTTCAAGATTTTTTGTTGAATTCTTGTGTTTTAAATGTTCTATTTGAATATAGGTTCGAAGATTTGTTAGTTTTTGAAAAAAAAATTAAAGCCGTGACGGTTAGGTTAGTTTTTGTTTACTTAAGATGCGTGTCTGTAAACTTTTCTACAATCCAATTCTTTCTGAGAGGTTAGTATTTAAATATTAGGATTTTCAGACTTGGAATTAATTGTAAAAGTTTTTGGAAAATTATTGTGAAGCTGGTTTTACATTTTGCGCATAAATCCATAATTAAGTTATTAAATTTGGAAACCTACTCGATCGAAAACGCTCATTTCCTCGTTATTGACAGCGTGTTGTGTATATGTCGTGAAATCTCAGAAGGATAAATGAGAGCAAGTGAATGTAGCGGGTATGAGCGGCGACCGAAAAGCGTCGTGACGAGAGGCGAAATAGAAAACAGCTGATGTTTTTGGAGGCGGAAAATCCTCAAGATATCAGGCAAACGGTTGAAACAAAAACAAGATGAAGATGGCAGACGAAAAAAAGTACGCCGATTTTGATCTCGTCCAACCACCAATGTGTAATAGTCGAATGAATTAAAAGCACGAGGAATGCGTTTAAAAAAACGACAGATTTTTGAAAATGTTTGCGTGAAAGAGATGGACAGGGGCTCCCATAAGGAATTAATGCTTTTAATATTAAAAGAAAATCAATTTTGCATTATTCTTCTTTCGATTACTTTATTCAGCCGATTTGGCACAAAAGCTAACACTCTATGAAGATTGCGAAAAAAAAAACAGAAAAACCATATTTTGAATTTTTCTCCAAAATCTACACAATCACATAATAATAGAAAATCACAGAAAGATATTTATTTGATTATTTCAATATTTGGAGAGATCATAATAAAATCTTGTTTTTTGACCCGAATGGCGCCAAATATGTTAAGAGGCGCGATATTCAAGGTTAAAAAGAAACGAAGTAATGATGATGGTCTTTCATTTTTCATTGGACTTTTAAGAGGAGTAAGAATGTCCGCTTTTACCTATTCTTTAGAGTCCTTCTCGGGGTAAAAATTTGCGCAACATGGTCCCAAAATAACTTACGATTTGGTTTTTCTTTTAATCAAAAGTATGCAAAGCTACAGTATACATAAAAGGCGCATGCAAAAATTTGTTCATTAAAAAAATTATATTTGCTTAAATTGTTTCAATTTCCGAAAGCTGCTTGCATTCGACAATTGCTAAACTATTTTTTTCTGTGATTCATTGGTGCTGTTTGTTATCAGTTGAGAAGATTCGCCTTATCATTTATTTAAAAAGTATTAAATCACAAAAAAACGTCTGCCAAAAATCGATATAGTTTTGTTTTCAAAAACTTTGTCCTCGATAAATTTTCGTTTTTGTTCAAGGCGATTCAATTCGCGCCCATAATCGCCAATCTCGGAATTTCGTCGTCTTTCGTCGTCATACTCGTTAATAATGTTGGTGACCCGAAAAATGTTCTTCGTTTCCATTTCGACATATACAAAACCAAACAAAAAAAAAACCAAAATAATTTTCCTAATTTGTCTCGTCGTTTTTTTTTGTTTCGTACGCCCTCGAGTCGACGCTTCGCTTACATTTCGCAACTGCGTCCTTTTTTTTCCGAGCCATTTTCATGGCGTTGAACCACATTTTGTGCCATTTTCGGACTTGCGAAATATATGTTTTTTGTTTCGAGATTTTAATCGAACATTGAAAAGAATATTCCTCTCGTCTCATATTTACATTAGGTGGAATCCGAAAAATAAATATGATTGCCCTAGAAAAAAAATTACCGAAAATTGTTTATTTTTTGCTTTCTTCAACAAATGACACATTTTTTTTTAATGAATTTTAGCATTGATATTATGAAAGAGGCTCATCTGCGGACAACATCCCCAATTGAAAAAGAAATGAAAGGTTTCTAAATTTAGAATTTTCGCTTTTCTCTTTTTGTTTTTTTTTTCTTGCCATTTCGATTTTAATGATTCATCACAATTTGTGTGTGTGTTTCGTTTGTCGGTGGGTCGTCATTATCAAACGTCGGTTTGCCGCCTCCGCATTCCGTCCGCAATTTTCGTTGTTGCGCAAATTGACCGTTCGTCTTGTTTCAGTTTCGAATCGAACAAATGGCTACCTTCGCTGCTGTTGATCGCGCTGAGAAGTCTGGAGTTGCCCTCGAGGCCCAGCAGAAGATTCACGGAAAGTACGATCAGGAGCTCGCTTCGGAAATTCTTCGCTGGGTCCAGGTAACCGCTTCAAATATTTTGAGGCTATTTGTCGCAATAATTGCAATTTAGGCGGTCACTGGACAACAAATCGACACCAATGGATCAATTACGAACTTCATTGAGCTTTTCCGTAACGGAACTCTTCTTTGCACGTAAGTATTTCGCATGTTTTTTGGGGGGACCATTTCCGCGAGGGTAAAAGTTGTTTTGTCCATCTGTTCTCGAATGAGCAGGTGTTAATGTCTCGTTTGCACCTAGATTGACCCGTATTAGGATGTTACGCAACAGCTGCGAATAACAATTATTAGAAACTGTCGCATTTTTATGATTACACACAAGTTTAATTTTCTAATAAAGATTCAAGTGTTTCAAATAAAATTGGGTTTTGAATATAATGCCAGATTGGGACCATAGGAAATAAAATTTTTGGCGATACGCAATCCTGTCCTTAAATTTCGGGACATTTGAAGATTTTTCTTAACAATTTTACTTTTTTCTAATGGAGAAATAGAATTATAATCAGAAAATTGTGGATATTTAAATGGAAAAGAGCAATATGTATAAGAATATACATTTTGTCGATTTTCCGCAGTCGCGCGACACCGAAAATACTACTTCAAAACTCCAATTCGTTAATTCTGCGCTTACATTAGCAATATGTATTACATAGAAGTTATTCGAAACTTTCAGACTCGCCAATGCGTTGAAGCCGGGTTCGATCAAGAAGGTGAACACCTCTTCGATGGCTTTCAAACAAATGGAGAATATCTCATTCTTCCTCAAGTTTGCTGAGGAGTTTGTCGCCAAGTCTGAACTTTTCCAGGTAGGAGAATTTTTGCAAAAAATGTCATCTATTTATTATTTCATTTTAGACTGTTGATTTGTACGAAGGCCAAGATCCGAATGCGGTTCTCATTTGCCTTTCGGCGTTGGCGCGCAAGAGCCAGAAGCACTTTGGCGTCGAGGGTCTTGGTCCGAAAGAAGCTGAAGCTGAGAAGCGGCAATGGACTGAAGAGCAGCTCAAGGCTGGTCAGGGTGTGATTGGACTTCAGATGGGAAGCAACAAAGGCGCGAACGCATCGGGAATCAACTTTGGCAACACCCGCCATATGTAATTGAACCTCCCTGTCCTCCCCACCAAGTTTCCTATTATAATATTCGTTTATTTTTTAAAACGTTTTTTTACGGTTTAAAAATCCTTCATTTGTACACATTCCCCCCGAAGAAAACATAAGTTCATAAACAGAATCATAATAATAGTTTTGAAAGACTAGGGAATTGACTAGGGCGAGATTTGACATGCGGGTTTCGCTGATGATGATGATGATGATGCTCATGGTTGTCTATTTGCAACATGATTCGGCGTGTCGATTGAGATAAGCGCGTAATGCGAATCGCCGACCGCACTTGTCACATGCGAAACGTTTGTCTCCTGAAATGAAGGGCCGAGATGTGAGTTGAAGGAACGACGTCGCAGCTCACCGGTATGTGTTAGAATGTGAGCGCGAAGATTGCTCCGATCGGCGAACGTTTTGCCGCAATGAGCACACGCGAACGGCCGAATTCCCGAATGCGAGCGTAGATGGCCTTGAAGAAGCCAGAGGCGAGAGAACCGTTTGCCGCACAAATGGCATTGATGGTTCGCATTGTGCGTCAGAATGTGCATGCTGAAATTATTGGATTTTGGGTCTCGAATGGAAATTGCCAAAGTTTTAAAGACCTCAATTTTCGAATTGTATATTTTAAAAAGTCGAATTTTGACGTAACATTCTATATTTTTTTTTCAAGAAGAAATCACAAGCACTTGACACTTGAATGGTTGGAAGCAATTGCGCTCTATTGTACTGATCTCCCATCAATATTGTTCTCATTCATTTTTTTGTTGTGGCTCAAGTGGCAATTAAAAAGCGAGCTCATGTTATACAATTCGTCGTGTATTTATGTGCTTGAATGGGACAGCGAGGAGAGAGAGAGAGAGAAAGAGAGAGAGAGAGAGCCATTCAGGTACAGGTGCTGTTGCGCAACAAGGGTCGACTTGTTCATGATACACGGCACCTGCCTGGAGGTGGCTCGAGATTGAAAGCGGAACAAAAAAACTGTACCTGAGAGCCGGCATGCTCACGTAGACGCGATCGCAGTGCGGACATTGTTTCGCGTGCGGACTGTCGAGCGGCCGATGCGTCTGCAAGTGCGCTCTGTGAATAATCGCGGATTGACCGCACCGTCGTCGTACCTGTTTGTGACGACTCAGATTGCTCGTCGTCGCGTAGCTCTTGCCGCATTTGTCGCACACGCAGCGTTGTTGGTTCGAATTGTTGCTGCAACTTCGATTATGAATTGAACCTTCGATCGACGAAGTTCGCCGTCTGAACCAATCAAATTGTACATGTTTGTTGGAGAAGATTCGAGTTAATTGCTGTGTACTCCACACGGACAATCTACGCGTAAATCGACACGTGTTGGCGGTGTGACCCAAATCGACAGCAGATCGACTCATTCGCGCGAGCTTTTCATACAAGAAGCCCCCCCCCTTTCCGTTTTTTGAGGAAACCAAAAAAGCTATCAAAAATCTGTCAACGGCAATCGATTAGGCGTATGAAAATACCCACGAAACCCAATTTTTTGTGATCTACCAGTAGCTGGCGCTCTAAACGGCAGTGTGAATCAGGGCTGTGCGGCAATGGAATTGCCGATTGCCGAAATTGCCGAAATTGCCGATTTTTCAAATTGCCGAATTGCCGGATTGCCGAAATTTTGATTTTCGGCAATTTGATATCAAAAAAAAAATCGGCGAAACAAAAATCAATGTCCATTGAATAATTTGCGATACCGTGAAAATTCGGTATTTATATTTCGAATTATCGTTGAAAACATTTAATAGCCGAAATTTTGATTTTCGGCAATTTGCCGAATTGCCGGTTTGCCGAAATTTTGATTTTCGGCAATTTGCCGAATTGTCGAATTGCCGAAATTTCCGATTGCCGCACAGCCCTGGTGTGAATGATAGAATCGCAAAAAACGAGCCGATCTATGGTGAGTTTGATTCGCAGGTTATCAAGGGTACGGTACCCGAATTCCAACAATTTAAATTCGAATTTGAATTGCCGCCACCCAGAAAAAGTGCGATGGTCCACGGATGCTCAGGTTTCTTGGTTTTTTTTTTGCGATTTTAGATTAATTTAAATTCTATGCAAATTGCCAATTTTCTATTGAATCACTATAGCGGAAATTTTGAAATCTCTGATTTTCGCGTCGAGACTCATGCGCCTTTAATTCATTTTGCAGTTTCAAGAATATATTAAAAACCGATGAAAACGCTCATCTCTGTGGATAAAAAATTGTTTTAAAGGCGCACAAAGCGAAAAAATGCGTTGGGTCTCGTGGCGACAAATTCCGGTAGCCACGAGTTGTTTAATTTTTCGAAAACATCCCATTTCATTATATTTTCGTCTCGGTGTTTGCACACAATTCACGTTTGCTACAGTAATTTTTTAAAAACATTTTTTTCCAAATTTTAGCTACAGCCTAATTTGAGATTTTTTAACATCCCGTTTAAAGGAGCATGACCTTTATACATTTTCATCGCTTAATAACCACTACGACTACTGTAGTTTGATTAATTCAATCAAATTTCTCAAACTCACTTGAGGATTACGGTATTCTCGCCTACCGTATTCCGCAAACTATGCTCAATTCGCGCGATTTGGTTCAAATCTACAGTAACCCACCTCTTTTTACTATTTGATCTACCATCGACTCTCTGCAAAGATTGTAGCGTATGAGCCTGCGAACTGTCGGATGACGAAGGCGACGGAAGCTAGAAGAAGAAGAAGCGGTTTTTAGAAATCGTGTTGAGACCTAGATCGAATTGCGCTACCTCTGAACAGTTGTCGTCGGTTTTGAGGAGACTCTCGATACTGAATTCCGTCTTCGGTGTCGACGATGATTCTCGCGGCTCTTTGGGAACCGTCTGAGCCATCGCGCGGAGTTGCAATTGCATCAAACCGAGCAGTCGCGAGGTCAAATCTTGAAATGTTCAATTTTTAAGATTGCGATTTTTGCTGTTCGAATACCAAGATCATTGTTGGGAATGATCGGAATTTGACTGGCGGCGTTTGCTTGAAGCTGCAGCAGAAAATTGTTACTCGGCGGGAAGAAGGCCATTGGTGGGTGCGAAATGGCGGATGCGCGCGGCTGGCAACTGGTCGGGTGACAAGTGGGCGTGGCTCGTGGTGCTCATTGGTGCGAGCATGGGCGGAGCAACCATTTTTGGCTAATCGCTCGAGACAATTCCTCAATATCTTACCCACGAAATTGTCCGCAGATTGAATTTTATAGAATGTTTTAAATTTTTTTAATTTGATTTCTTTGAAATTTTTAAGATAATTTAAAATTGAGAAAAATGATATCAAACTACTCATCTGCGGACATTTTAGAGATTAATATTCGTAGAATATGTCCGCAGATGGAATTTCTAATAAAAAAAGTTTGTATATTCACTTCGATGCCATTCTGATCGTGCTAAATTCTTGATGGGCAGCCTATAATCGCTACATATTACCGTAACACCGGTCGTCTCGAATTTCGAATCGGGTCTCGCAACGATTATCTAATTCTCGGTGTTAAATAGCGACCAATTAAGCGCTTATTCGTCGAGTTGGTTGTTGGCGTCTGAGAAATTGGCTATGATGTAACAGGTCATGAACTGTCACCTGCCCCATCTGCCGCCAACATTTGCTCAACTCATGCGCACGGATTACGGTAGGGGGATTACGGTAGGCGAACACGCGTTCCGGATATTACGCAATTACATGCCAACACTTTTGTTTTTTTTTCTTTGGTGTAGCTGCTGGCATTTGAAGGACGAGAGGAGATGCTGAAGAGGCGCGAAATCGATATCGATGGTCGCAATATGGCGTCAATGTGTTTGCGGACTTTTTTTTCATTGTTCTCCATTTTTCAAGACCATCTAGAATTGTAGGAATTCGTGGCGGTGTCTAGCTCGAAAGAGTCCAGCCAATTTATAATTTTGCACCGGCTCGGAGCTATTCTGAAATTCTCGTGGTCGTGTTTTGCAACACACTCACCCAGATTCCTAATTAGGGGGCCTAATTGGCATTTGTTGTTCGCCGCCGCCGCCACCCACGAAAATCCGTCTTCATATCAATCATCCATTCATTCATTTAGGCGATTATGCAACGAAGGTGTTGCTCAATATGTGTGCGATGGCCGACGGCCGGCATATGGTCGGCCGTCAAAACAGATGATATCTTGCTCAGCTGGGTGTCGCCTTCTAAAGACTTGTCGCCGTGTTATGCAAATTGTGCAATCGCGAGCTTTGATTTGCGCAGAGACCGCCCCGAATGAAAAGCTTTGACAATTTTGATTCGCATTTTTCAATCCTATTTAAATTGTCGGCGATGGCGCGGAAATTCGATTTCGCAAAATCAGTGTGGATCTGCGAAATTGGAAATCGAAAAATGCAGAGTACGCAAAAAACGCGCACAATTTTTTCGTCAAATTGCCAATATATATTTTTTTGTTGATAATTTCGATTTGTCTATTGACACCGACAATAGAAATGGAAAAGAAAATGCGAATATTTTAATTATTTGAATTGTCGATATCCAAAAACTGACAAAGGAAGTCATTTTACCTCCCGTTTTGGAATTTTTTAGTATTTTCAGATGGTCATAATTCGTTTGAAACCGGCTGGAATTTTGTGAGCACACTTAGAAGACCTTCTTTTCTTTACGTGTGCAAAGTTAAAAAAAAATTCCAAAACGGGAGGTAAAATGACGCCCCCTTTAAAGGGGGGGGGGTCAACTTTGCGAAATCAGTGCAAATTTAGGTATATCGAAGAAATAGAGAACTCTACATAGATTTTGGCAAGAAAAACGGCTACCGTAATAATTCGACTACGAGGTCCTGCGGCGAAAAATTCTACTAACTGCTTTTTTTGAAAATAAAAAAAACCGCTATAAAAAAAGAGAATTGGTTGGAAATTATTGAATGTGAGCAATTTTGCATGTTGACGACAAATTTTCGTATATTCTTGAATTTTTCGGTTTCCTAAATAGTTTTCATGATAATTTTATGATTTTTAAACTTAGCCCCACCCCCCTCCTTTAAAATAATTTCTTTTAAACTTTTCTGACAGAAATTTTCGAAAAATTTGGCTGAATATTAAAAATTCATCTCGCGTACTTCTCGTTGCTTCGCTGAAACAAACTTGGCACATGTATAGTCGGCGTCCGGCGAATGCTTTACCGGGATGCGTGGGTCTCGAACGGATTAACTGGTTGCTTCGCATTTTATGGGTCGATTCGATAAATTTTAAATCGAATGACGTTGGAAGTTCCAAGAAATGCCAAATTCATCAAGAAAAAATAAATGGTTCACGTGAAAACAGCAAAATAAGCATTCGCACGTGGCGAGACCTTTTCAAGGCGCATGCGCGTCAATCTACCCGTCGTGGAGTCGTCGACTAAAAAACGGGTACCCTGCGCCGATTTACGGTAAGTTAGCATCGCAGGTTATCCAGAGTACGGTATTATTCAAATTCTCCCACCGTTTAAATTCGAATTCGAATTGCCGCCTCGAAAAAAGTGCGATGGTCCACAATTATTAAAGGCGCTCGTTTTTCGTTGCGGTGGTTATAGAAAAAAACCTTTTATTTTTGCTTCGTCGAGTAATTTGACGTCGATAATTCAACAAAAAAAACGTTTCGTGGAAAATCTTCCATAATGAAAATACATATTCGCGGTGTGAGGACACAATTGGTCCCGCAGCGAAAATATCGGAGTATATACATAATACAATTTGAAATCGTTTAAAAGTGTCCAAAGCGGTGAACATAAATATTGTTGAGAAATGACAAAAATTGTATCCAGGTGTTGTGGGATCCTGCGTTTTGTACGCAATGCTAAGAGCCAGTTACCGTAATCCCCGCAGCGATTTACGGTTTTTGTTTAAATTTTCTTTCAATTTTTTTTGCTGAATTTATTTTCTTATTTTCTTTAGAAATCTTATATTTAAAACCTGTAGAAACCGAGTTTAATTATTTATTTTTCAGAATATGCACTTTTCCATTTGTCCAGTTGAGTTGGGAATTATTTTGAAGATTTTGACGCTCCAAAAATTATTTTGAAAATGAAGAATACAAAAACAAGATAATAGAAACGCATACAAAAAGCCAAACACGAAAAAATAATTTTATTAACGACAAAAAATGTTTTCTTTTAAATCTCTGCTGTTTTTACCAAAAAAATATCGTTTAAAAGTGCTTATTCTGCTAAATAAATTATTAAACTCGGTTTCTGCAAAATTTCAAAGTGAAATACGAAAATTGAGTGAAAAAAATAATTAAATCGAAAATTTAAAAAACTCCGTAAATTGCTGCGAGGATTACGGTAACTGTCTCTTAGCATTGCGTACAAAACGCAGAATCCTACGACACCTGGATACATTTTTCATTTCTCAACAATAGGTTAAAAATAAATTCGATTTTTAAATCAAAAATGATAGAATTTTGGTTTTGCGAAAAGATCAATGTCATTTTTTCGGCATTTTGCCAATTTTCCACGATCGCCAACAATATTCTAGTGTTTTTTCAAAAAAAAGGGCGGTGATTATAATTTTTAAATCTTTTAGGTTCACGTTTATTTTTAAAAAGACGAAAAATAAACGGAGCGCACGCGAACCGCAACGCGTCTGACGACATAGAACAATTACGGTAGTCGCTTTTTTGGAATGAACAGACTATACACAATGCATTACTCTGGTAACAATCGGATCCGAAATTGACTAGTTTTCCAATCGGATCCGACAAATTCCAATTTTACAATGTTATCGGCAAATTTTGTCGAATCCGATTGGTTTTGAATTACCAGAGTACCTTTCTGCAAGATTATATGGCGCGAATGCAATTGTGACATTTGTTAGTTTCAATTTATTTCCTATCACCTTTTGAGAGCTTCATGAAACTCTTGTAGTATACAGCAACACTTTCGAAATCACATGGGCTTGATTTCGTGTGATAGGAGGATCATCTAGCCGTTCGGGGAGTTGTTTGCGATCACGGCTTCGACAAGGAATTTCAAATTTCGATTTAATCTCTGGCATTTCATTATTGTACCACATATTGCATGCGAATCAAATTCACGGAAACTCATTTGCTTTTTTGAAGTTTTAATTTTAAACTGGAAAATGTCCACAGCAGAATTATTTAGAAATAAATAATCCTTTCAGCTGCTATGCAACCGATTATTTCAATAATATGTATTTCAGCCGTCCACTGATTTTTTAATACTTCAGTCATCTACTGATACGGGCATGCGCTTTTTATTATGATTTGGCAAAAAACCTCATTCGCTCTAAATTAGATGGGCGTTAAATCATTGATTTCCCATCTTTTCGGTTTCGGCATCAGAAGGATTGAAGAGATTCCGCGAATATTAATGGATTATTCTTTATCGGAGATCAAACAAAAATGAAAAAAATTACACAAAATTTCGAATAAATAAGTGAATATAGTGAAATATTGTCGGCGTCAAACGACTGAAAGGAGGCGGGGCATTCAAATTCGCGAAATCAGTGTAGATTTAAATTAATCGTTGACTGAATATTAAATGCGCGTACGCTTAAATTCAAGGTACGCAATTTCACGTACTTCTCACTGCCTTGAGACGCATTGGCACATTGCCAATAATTTTTTAAATTTCGTCAAGTCGTTTGATTCCGACAATAAAATATTAAAAAAGCGAAATTACGTCGAAATCGGCGGAGTCGGCGAGGTGCTGCTTGGCTCGTTGAAAATGAAATTGAATCTGCAAATTCAACACTTAAAAAATCAATTCATTTCTGTTTTGAACTGACTGAGAATACTTTGTGTTATTGGCATTTTCTCAAAATTTTTAAATTGACACGAGATAGAAAAGAATTGAATGGAAAAATGCCAATTCAAATTTTTGGACACAACTTTTTTTTATTCTTTCTTACAAATCACATTATATCAGAAAAGATCTTACCTGCTCAAAGTCGTCGGCAGACTGGCTATCAATGGTCCGTACGCTGCAGAATTGTCATAGAGCTCAAAAAGTGGGGCGGCGACGAGTTTGAAGTTTTTCGGAACACAGAACGTTGCTGAAAAATTCACATAAATAATTCTTGCTTGAGTATCTCCTACCATTCACTGGAAGCTGGACCAGCAGAAGCTTCGTGTGCTCTTTTGGTCGAGTTACGTGCGCCGGAATGTAAGGATACTAAAAACAATTTGCATTTTGTTTTATTTAAAATAAATTACCCGCGGAGGATCGAAGTTTGGTCTCCACCAGTTTCCTATTTCGTCTTCGATCGTCCACGTGTTCTCAATGCCATCAGTTCGACCCAAAGTCTCGTTTAAAAGTCGAATCATTCCGTCTTTTTCGTCTTCTCCTTGCTCCAACTCGCCTCCTGGCCTGAAAATAACCATTTCAAACGATTTGTTCAATATTTCGACATACAATTTGAAGAAAGTCGTTCCAATTTGAAGAAGAAGAACGTGTGGAAGAGAGTGCTCGTGCACGATGAGAACAGCTTCAACAGAACGCCGCATTCCCACCTAAAAATTATAATAATTACGAAAAACGAATCTGGCCAGAAACAATCTCCCACCACATCATACTCATCGCGCATTCTTTTGAATCGCTCCGCCACCGATTTGTCCTTTTCGGCTTGCGCATCTTTCGTTCCAAATGTGTAATTTGTCAACGGATATCTGAAATGAAAAATCGCGATTTTTCAAGAGAAAAAAATTTAAAAAATTTTCAAAACATACACATTTATAGTGCGATTGAATGGTGGCTTCTCATCAAGATTATACCGCTGATCGGGCACTGAGCACGGAATAGTGGTTCTTTCAAATTTTGGCCAAGTTTCCGTCATTTCAACAATAAATAGGCACAAAATCAGGGAAAAGTGATTACCGAATTATCAAAGAATTCGAAAAAAAAATTTGGGGGCACAAAAATGTTTGATGGCCGAATTTCGGTGGAGCGCACCTGCAACGCCGGCCATCAAATGAGAATTGTGGGCTCTCCAGCATATTCTACCCATTTCTCATTTCTTATCACTCAATATTTACACCAAAAAGGTTTGTTTTTTAATTGAATCGTTTAACTATACAGTATTGTGTAGAAAAGCGCGCGGCGAGAAAAATCGATGCTTTAAACGACTATTTTTTACGATTTATATTTCCACTTGTTTGTTTGTTTAAGGAATACTGGTTCAGATCGATCACCACTAATAAAATTTGCCAACAGTTTAACAGCCACTGTGAATGAAGGAGAACATAAATGTGAGTTTTGTTTTTCTGAAAATTTGTGTCCAATGTTTTGTTTGGATTTAGGAGCGACGTAAACCCGGTGTCGTGCTTTCACTATGGTCCGGAGCCTGTGCTGGAGCAGTTGCCAAGACCATAATTGCCCCATTGGACCGTACAAAAATCTATTTTCAAGGTGCTTAAAAATCTTAAAAGAAAAAATCGCTTCGAATGGCTATTTTTGCAGTTTCTAGCACACGAGGCTATTCGTTCAAATCAGCCATCAAATTCATTAAGCTGACATTCAAAGAAAATGGATTTTTCGCATTATTCCGCGGAAATTCGGCGACAATGGCTCGTGTCGTCCCCTATGCGTCCATACAATTCACAGCATTCGAGCAATTCAAAACTCTGCTCAGTGTCGATGAGAATGGGTTAGTTTTTTCATGCTCGTTCGCCCAATTATTGCCGTTTAGAACCAGAACGCCGTTGAGAAGGTATTTGGTGGGCTCACTAGCCGCCACCACAGCAACCCTTATCACATATCCGCTGGATACGGCAAAAGCTCGACTATCAGTATCAACGAAATCGCAATATCACTCGTTGCGTGCCGTTTTCGTCAAAATGTACAAAGAAGGCGGAATTCGATTATTATATCGCGGGATAAACCCAACAATTCTTGGTAAATTTCATCTTCTTCCAGAATATTCGAGAAGCTCTCAATTTTCAGGTGTAATTCCCTATGCGGGAACGTCATTCTTCACCTACGAGACCCTAAAAATACTGTATCGCGAGAGGACCCATGAACGGGTTAGTTTTTTTTTTCGACAGATTTCTCTCTTATCATTCAAAAACACTTCTTTTTTTGAAACTTGTTGAACTTTACACCGCCGAGTGTCATTTGGCCGCCGGCGCTGATCGTTTTCTGATGTATCATCTTCTCGTTTTGATGATATAAGAAGAGAAGAAAGCGAATTTCGAATTCGACAAAAATATTATTGTCGTTGTTTTTGTTGCGGAATATTATGGCCACACGATCGAAATGTTAACACAATGTGGGGAATTTCTGAAGAAAATTTTTGATTGAAAAGTAGAAAAATGAGAAATGTTGAAATATTATGGTAGAAAAAGCTTAAATATGGGAAAATAGCATTTTTTTTTCTGGAATATTTAGGTTATTAATTATTTCCTGCTTATTCAATAAAAACAAAGTTTGATTATGATGTTTGAGAAATTTCATCTGCGGACAATTGAAATCATTTCAGGAAACGTCGATGTGGCGAATGCTTTTTGGAATGATTGCCGGCCTCATCGGACAGTCGTCGTCGTACCCGTTGGATATTGTGAGACGGCGAATGCAGACGGGACGGATACCGCATGGATGGGGACCATTGAGGGCGCTGGTTCATATTTATCAGACAGGTTTGTCAAAAAAATTGGAGTTTCCTCAAAAAAATATTTCAAATTAAAAGAATTTTCGCAAAAAAAAAAATGTGGTTTGAATTAAAAATTGAAAAGATTTTGACTGAAAATCCGACTCTCTTCCACTTTCAATGAATTTCATAAGAAAAATTTGAAAATACAGTGCAGTTCTGTGGGATTTTGGCAATTTTCTTCATTTTCAAATTCTACAAGAAACCAATTTTCGCAGAATTTTGCAAGTATTCATAAATTAGGAAAAAAAATACGAATTTTATGAAATTACGACAATTTTTTTTAGATGAAAATTTAGATTTTTTTGTTGTTTAAAAAAATTTACAAAAAAACTTGATTTTTTAAAAAACAAAACTGATTTTGATAATTCTCTTCTGCTGAAAAACCGAAATTTTAAATTCTTTCTTAATTGTAAAAAAAATCCAAGCGATAAATAATTCGATTGGCTGCGCGTGGGCAAAGTTTGGCGAAAACGCGCCCCGTCGGCCAAATTCGTTGAAAAGAAAAAACAAACTCACGCAAAACATGATTCTCGATGCATTTCAGAAGGCCTCAAACGCGGTCTTTATAAAGGCCTGAGTATGAATTGGGTGAAGGGTCCGATCGCCGTCGGTGTCTCGTTTACAACATATGAGCGGGTAAGTATTGAATGGTCCCAAGGCGAAAATGATTATTTGCCTTCTTTTTTTTGTTGCAGATTGTCGAATTTGTGCATTTGATAGAGAAATAGCGCGCATCATCGGGAATGCTGTCTTTCGTTTTTTTTTTTTCATAGAACCCCTAGCTGTATTACCTTGTTGTGTCCAAATTTGTAAATAATTAGAAGCATTTACACACATTCATTGTTCTTTTTGTTGTTGGCTCGTTTCTCGTCACCTGTGCTCAGATAATTAGAAAATCTAGTTGGTTTTTATTTTCATTTTCTTGAATACCCTGCCTTTCCTTATTTGGTGTCTACCCTTTAATGTGCCAATATCAGATTCTTGTTTTCAATTGCTCAAAACTCCTACCCCCCCCTCCCTTCCTCTCTCTGATTTTTGACCTACCAAAAAATTTCTCTTTCATTACTTTATTAATAAATGGGTTGATCAGTTGCGCATTTGTACTTTCCGACGGAAATCATGTGTTTTTGTTTTTTTTTCGATTCGAAGTTGTCGATTTCGCTTTTTGATACTTTCTAGACGTGATTTCGCGAGAAATTCTCATAAAAATTTCAGATCTCTTCAACCTGATGGCTAATAATGGAAGTAAGCGATGAATTGAAGATTGAAAAACCGAAAAATGCCGTAATTTGAAAATTTCGAAAATTTGCTTTATAATTTAACAGCCGAATTTAAGAAAAAAAAATTTTGAATTTTGACGAAAATTGTTTTCTTACTAAAAATTTTAAACGAATTACAGATCTCATCAAAAAAGGCGATGTCATATGGGTCCCGTATCGAAAATGTCCAATGTGGCCCGCATTGGTAGCATTTTTTTCGTGTGTTGAAAAAAAATATGATTTGCTCCTTTTTCAGGTACAAAATGTATATCCGAAAAAAGTGACCTATGTGTTTTTTCCGTTGCCGAAAACGGAAGACTCGAAAATTCCGAAATTTAGTTGTCATCCGAAGGCAATTTTTCTATTGAAGGAAAAAAAATGAAAAATAAAATTTTAGGCGGCCTATGCATTGTGCACAACAGATGTTCCGGCGCCGGATTCGGATTCCGAACTGAAGGAAGCTTTTGCTGCTGCGTGCCAGTTTTTGAGGCAGCGAGGCGCTACTAGAGTAAGAATCTATCAGTTTCGAATAAAAATTGTGTTTTCAATCGAATTCGATTACTAAATAAGAAAAAATTGAAGATTTTTCGAATCAAACAAGCTAATTTTTTTTTAATTTCGTTCGAAACCGTTTATTCCACATTTGGACATTTTCTAGTTGAAAACCGAAGCTTATTTGTGGCAAAAAAACTTGAAAAAATTGTTGAATATTGGATATGATTTGAGCCAAAAATTGGCAAATTTGAAAGAAAACAGACGTTTGGAGCTCTTTCTTTTTTTTTTTTGCAGGGATCCGTTATTCGAGGGAAATATGAAGGCGGCAGCGGATCGCCGACGGCGACGAATGAGAATCAGGTTATTAGTTTTGTTTGAAAACCACTAAAAAAAAGAAATGCCTTGATTTTCAGAACCAATTAATAACGAAAAAACGGAAAAGCTCGCGAGATGAGTTTGTTGGGCTCAAACGCGACGGCGGAGAATGCTCGTCGAGCTCAGCAGATCATAATCGACGAATGTCGAGCTCATCGAAAGAATCGTGGGTGTCGCCGGTAAAAATGGCGGGTAAATCGATATTTCTGTTGAAACGAAAACGTTCGATTTTTCTTTTCAGGCGTCAGCCCTTCAACTTCTAGTCAATCATCGGTTTATCGCGCGAAATCGATTCCAGTTCGAAATGAGAAAATTTCGAAAGATCTCACTAAAATTGTAATCATTTTTTTTAATTTATTTTATTTTAAAGGCTCATAGAAACAAAAAAGAAATTTCAGATCAAAGAATGTGTGGAATCCGAATTTGAAATATTATGGAATGGGCAGCAAGTGAAAGCGTACAAAAAACCGAGATATGATCACATCAATATTAATTTCCGGAATAATGTTTTATTAGTTGGTGAGAGATGAAATGTGTGGGAGGAAATTTATGAAAATTGCAAAATCTGAAAACAAAATTTTAATTTTTTTCTTCAACGAATGAAAATTATAATCGCACTGTGTAGAATTTGGAGAAAAATCATCAAAAACTGGAAATAAGTAGTTTTTTTCTGCAATTTTCGTACGATTTTTTGGTTTTCTTTTTTAGAAATCTTCATCATACCATAAAACCATTTATCTTGTTAGCAATTTTCTAATTCTCAAAATTTTGAAATGCGAAATTCATCAAAAAAAACTTTAATTTGAAAATTTCGTATAATTTCAGACGAAGACCTCGATTATGTGATCAACAAACTTGTTGAGATGGTCCAAAAACGCGATGCGAGCTTCTCATTCATTCACTCACTTCATATTACTTGTACAGTATTGCTTCCTCAAATAATTGTCATATCATATTCGAAGGTTTGCTCGGTCATTGTTCTTTTCATCACAAGACGATCGACAATTTTCAGTATAAATCCATTCCGTATGAGCAGGCGCTTCGAGTTTGTATACGACCCAAAATAAAGCCGAATAGGTGAGGTTTTGAAATTGGGAACACGAAAAAATAAATGAAAAATTGGTCTCAGCACGAATTCGCAACAAAATGGTGGACTTGAGGAATTGTGCCGTATCGCGTGCGAACTCGCTCCCCAATGATCTCGTTGAATGTCTAAATTGAATACTAATACTTGTTTTCCCATTTGATATGGAAAATAGTTTTTTAAAATTATTATTATAATGTATTAATATTGTGAATCGATTTTTAATAATCGTTTAATTATAATCTATATTCATCGGCTTTCTTGTATAAATAGCTAACATACATACAAATATGGAAATAAATTATGCGAGAATGTCTCTGGAAAGGGAATCACAAAATGTCGACCCATTTCGATAAATGCGGATTTCGTCGTCGAGTTGTTGTCGTTTTTTTTTAGGAATGCGTTGTGTGATGATGATGAACGGCTTCTTCGTGCTCTTCGTAGAAGGTGAGCACCAGCGGAAGAATGCAGAAGATGAGAAGCACGCCGAGCACGACGGCCCATACGGAAATTGTTGGCGAACTTGGAGCGCTGGCAGTGACGAAATGAAATGAGCCGGCTGGAGCACCGTCTTCTGGAAGAGCTTCGCGAACTTGTGCTGAAAATTGCAAATTCGATATCGATATTTCGGGTTTTATGAAATAACGCCCAATCTGTGGATGAAAACGTTGGCACCTCAATTTTTTATATTTAATTGTTAACAATTAAACTTGAAACAGTAAATTGAAATTTCCTTTTTTGTCATTAGAAAACCCAAAAAATTACCTATATTAATATCAGTTTTGTGAAAAATATCTTCTACGCTAGTATCTCTCGATTTTGAATCGCCTTGTAGTAATTTTGTCCGATCGTCAATATCTGAAAATTGATAATTGGCGAATTTTTCCAGGGAAAAATTACACGAACCAATTAGAACATTCTCGTCTTCTTCATCTTCATCTTGACTGCTAGTTGATGTTAATCCAAGCGCAACTCGCATCCTGCTCACCGGTATTTTCACTTTTGATAGCGCTAGAAAATCCTGTTCGCTTACCATATTATTAACTCTTTTTATCTCAGCAACCTGTAATTTTACACTAATTTAATTTTAAATTTTTCAATAAAACTTACATTTACTTGGTATTTAATTGCTAATTTATTCAAAGTGTCCCCATGCTTCACTTTCCTTTCAATATATACAATATCCTTATATGTCGGCGTGTCGTTTAGTCCTTCATTCGACGAGGTGCGAGCAGCGCGCGAACGCATTAAAAATTGCTCTGGTGCGCCATCTCCCATTTTCTGAAAGAAAAATTCAAAAATTTTAAGTTTAGAAAAAAAAAGTAAAAAATGAAAAAAAAAATAAATGCTACAGAATTAAAGGCGCATTGAGAAAATGGCAATGGTCACAACGCGATCACGCATTATACTGTAATTAATTTATTTTTACCATTTTTAATTTTCTATATTTTATGGTGGCAAACGTGGAAATCAGCGAATTAAAACCCGTTCGAACACTGCCACTAATGATCGCAATCGTGTCACCTAGCTGGCAAGAATTTCGTTTGATTCTCTGCCGTCTCGCCGGCTTGGCAATTGGCCATGTGTATCGCTCGCCGCCGCCCTTCTCGTGCGCCGTTTGTGCGCTCTACCGGCAATGTTCGGCTAGAAGTCGCGCGTTGAACAAAAACCCTTCATTTTTCGATATTATTACGCGCATTCTAAATCTTTTATCATATTTCAATGAATTGATTAAACGTGCAAATAGGAAAATTTCATTTTATAGGGACAAAATGCTCGCAAAGTGTATGAAGAAGTCGGCGTCGCTTGGACAAGTAATCGCTCAGCGTTATTCATCGTCCGGCGAGGTTTTTTTGCATAAAAATGACATTCTCAATCATTTTTTTGGCGATTTAGGTCCGCCGTGTCACCCTCATTCCTGGAGACGGAATCGGTCCAGAAATCTCGGACTCTGTCCAGAAGATCTTCGAAGCCGCGAACGCGCCAATCGCCTGGGATCCCGTCGATGTGACACCGGTGAAAGGAAGAGACGGAATCTTCCGCATTCCATCGAGATGCATCGAATTGATGCACAAGAACAAGGTCGGACTCAAGGGACCACTCGAGACGCCGATCGGAAAAGGACATCGTTCCCTCAATCTTGCTGTTAGAAAGTCGGTTCAACTATTTCCATTTTACTGTTTCAATCTGATATTTTAAGGGAATTCGACCTATACGCCAATGTTCGTCCATGCCGTTCTCTCGATGGTCACAAGACTCTCTACGATAATGTTGATGTCGTCACTATTCGTGAGAACACCGAAGGAGAATATTCCGGAATTGAGCATGAGGTAATCGATTTCCAAATTAATTATTTTTTTTAATTGATATCAACAACTAAAACTGATAAGATGTGTTTTATCAAAGTGCAAATCTAGATTGTCAACGGTGTCGTTCAATCGATTAAATTGATCACCGAAGAGGCTTCGCGCAACGTCGCCAGCTTCGCATTTGAGTATGCGCGCCAAAACGGACGCAAGTGTGTCACCGCTGTTCACAAGGGTAATTTGTTTCAGAATTTACAATATTATTTGTTTTTTTCAGCCAACATCATGAGAATGTCTGATGGTCTTTTCTTGAGCATTTGCCGCGAGCAAGCTGCTCTCTACCCGGATATCAAATTCAAGGTGAAATAAAAATCAATTTTTTTTCAATTAAATGGCATGCTTATCTAATTTTGGACATTTTTTGTTTACTTTGAAATTAAATGTTACAAATAAAACAAAAAAGTGTTTATATTTCTACTTGAATATCAATTTCTCATCTTCTATTATTTTTAGGAAGCCTACCTCGATACCGTGTGCCTTAACATGGTCCAAGACCCATCGCAGTATGATGTTCTTGTGATGCCCAACTTGTACGGAGACATTCTCTCAGATTTGTGCGCCGGTTTGGTCGGAGGACTCGGAGTGACTCCATCCGGAAACATCGGAAAAACCGCCGCTGTCTTCGAGTAGGCATCTCTAATAATGCACAAAAAAGCCAAGAGCATAATTTGCAGATCTGTGCACGGAACCGCTCCGGATATCGCTGGACAGGACAAGGCCAACCCAACCGCCTTGTTGCTCTCCGCTGTCATGATGCTCCGATACATGAATTTGCCGACTTATGCCGCCAAGATCGAGAAGGCCGTCTTCGATGCGATCGCTGATGGAAGAGCCAAGACCGGAGATCTTGGAGGTTCGTGATTATTCAACGAACAATTGCGATGAATGTTGGTTTTCAGGCACTGGAACATGCTCATCGTTCACCGCCGACGTGTGCGCTAGAATCAAGGATTCCGATTAGATTTCGTTTATTCAGCACCTTCATTCTTCGCTTTTTTTTCTTCTTTCGAAGCTCCCCCTCAAAAAAAACCTTCTCCGTAAGAATATCTAAAGTTTTGTATAGTACCAGAAAATCGCCGTTTTCGATTTTCTTCTGTTTTTTTTTTCATTTTCTTCTTTGCTTTACCACCCATCCCGCTTATTTTCGTCTCATTTTCCAACAAACCCAATCCGTTTCCGCATAACTCATTTTTTCTTCGAATTGTCAGTCGTCCCATTAGCCCTGTCCCTTTTTTCCAGCTACTTTAGAGATTTTTTTAGAATTTTATTCGAGAAATGAACCAGCCAAATAAGTGAAATTAAAGCGTCGCATGAAGTCGAGTCAAAGAGACGAAAAATATGAATAATGTTTGAATAATGCCCATCACCATACAGTATCCGGTGCTGACCGCCTAAATTGGCCATTTTTTTAATATATATTGAAATTTTCTCACATTTCTTGAAGCGGACATGGCGAATGCGAGCAATAATGAAGTTGGTGCTCCAAATACCGACGGAATCAAAATAATTGTCGCTGGAATTTGGCCCTTCTTTTTTTAGGGAATTTTCGAAAATTGCCTTACTTAGAAATGGGAGAAGCATGAAACAGACATATGGATGCTTTCGAAGGGTGACCAACGAGATTATCGAAGCGCCGATGCTAATGACCTGGAAAACAATACAAGAATTTTCAAAGAAACCATGAAATGGAATTGTCCGAAAATCTATTTAAAAAATATCAATATAATGATGTTCTATCAAGGGTTGTCAAAATGCGCAAAATTACACTTATGCCATTTTCAAGCTTAAACTTTTGCATAGGGAAATTTCGAGTTACGCGAAACACTGCATGCGAGTCCTGTTTTCTTTTAAAAATATTAATAAGAAACTTTTCATTACAAACATCTGCGGACATATTCCGGGACTTCCGGTTGCGATTCAAACAATGACTTAACCGAAATCGAAATAAAAGTCAATTCTAGATAAGTTATCAAACTTTCTATGACCGAATTTTCGGTTGGAGAAGCTGCATAAATTTTTTTTTTGAAATAACCAATCTTATTCCCAGATTTTGAAGATATTTGATAATTTCGAATAGCTTTTTTGAATTTTTGCTTTCCTTTATAATCGATGAAAAATACCGTATAAGAAAGTGCCATCCAAAGGAAAATGCTCAGCGAGATTTCCCACCATTCGGTCATCGGTTTGCCAGAAAGAAGAAGGGCTCCGAGCACTGAATATGTGCTGAAACAACGATTATTTTCTTTTTCCGCATTTCGAAATTTCCTATTTATTTTCATTTTTTTTTAACTCGTTTTCTTCGTTGCCCAATTAGACAACCTTCCATTTAAAAATTCACAATTTTTTGGGGGGGTTTTAAATAAAAATGTTAACTTTTGCTTTTTTTTGGACCCGAAATTTCTCAAGGCTCACTACACGAAATAAAAAGTTCATTTTGAGACGCAAGTCATGCTTACCTCGTGCTTGTCACATTGTTAAACTCCGGTTCAAAAATCGATAACACTTTTTCAGGTTGTCCAACATTTTCGGAAGAGGACATCACATGTCTACAAATTGTCGAATTTTTAGAATCACATATTTGAATGCTCCTTCAAAATATCGCAAATGAAAATTCGACACATTCTCCCGCAAAACAATGAAATCCATTTTCAATCAATAATTTATTATATTGAATGTTTGACTAATCAGCGGGGTTCTTTTTGTGTGTTCGACGGGGAATACTATCAAATTGCACGAAATCCATCAATGTTCTTAAATAAAATGACTACGAACAAACGAAAGAAACGAAATAAAATTGGCATAATAAGAATAATAATAATATGAAGACACTAAACGCATACAAAGTGATAATGATGATAATTAACGATAATGGGATTCTGACGATTTAACTATGATATGGAAGAATCGAAACGAATAGAATCAAAAAAGGATTGATAGGAGGAGGGGAGAATCACGAGAGACGGACCATAAAAGTACTGGAAAATGCGCTGGCAATGAATTGACGAGAAGAGGTGTCGAACCAGTTTGAAGGACATCCGACATCAGCAACAGCACTATCTGAAAACGATTTCGTTTTGAGACCCCCATTTTTTTGTAACATTAAATTACTTTAAAATCTGTTTTCCTCTAGAAATAAAAATTATTATTAAATCAAGCGTGAAGCAAAAAATGGGAAAAATTGGCGTCCGGAGCTGTACTCGGGGAGATTTACGGTTATGCGTCTTTCTCTTGGGGGTCTCGTACGGACTAACTGTGTATTTTGCATTTTATGGGTCGGTTCGAAAATTTTTAAATCGAATGACGTTGGAAATTCAAATAATTGGAAAAACTCATTTAAAAAATTAACAATTCACGTAAAAACAGCAAAATTCGCCTTTTTAAGGCGCATGAGCTTAAATCTATCCGCGCACAGCGCTCGCCAGACGCCGACTATAAAAAAATTGTAAAATTTTGCTCCAAATTCAACCTTGCTTCAACGACTCATCATCTAGAATTCAAAAAAAACTTACCAACTGCAATCGTCGACGAGGTGGCTTCAGCAAGCTGCTCGAAGCATGTCCGTCCAACTTGAAGCTTTTTCGGCACATGTCGCAAATTGGACGTCGCGCATCCGAACATCAGAAGGTGCACTTTCGAAGGCTCCAGCATCGTCGGCACATTTTCGATAACAATGAAATGGGCGCCCGATTGCTGACCAATCCATTTCTCGACTTCCTCATTAATCTCGTTTGACAAAATGCAAATAATCTGAAATAAAATAGAAAATCAAAAAAAAAAGATAAATTAAAAACGCATACCGGAGTTTTCGGCAATTCCGCCGCCGAATCAACAACGTTTACATTCTCGAAAACTTCGCCCGGATATTTTCCGTACAAATGGCAGTTGAAGCTGCAAATCAAGCAATAAAAGTGCTCGAAAAAAAAGAAACGAGAAACTCACGCTCGTTTGTCAAGATGAGTGAGAACACGACGAACAAATTTGAGCGAATTGCGAGCTGACGTCAAAACGACGATCGATCCACGCTCATCGCCAAAGCGTTCCTGAATGTCGCTGATCCATGAGAACACACGATCCGCCATCACAGCCTCGAAAACGCTCTCGCCCATGTGCTGAGCGCAAGCCTGAAATTGTCCGCAGATGTATTTTTCTAATCTATGCAGCCTTGATATAACAGATAACCGAAAGTATTACTATTGTCGGCGTCGCGTGATTGCGGAATTTGGCAAAATGCCAAAAAAAAACAATGGCATTTGTAAAATTTAAAGTGTAGATGGCCTATGTATAAGGATAGGTTAAACGTGCTAACCACACATCGAGACCTCATTTTAATTTTTTTGTCAATTTTTCGCAGTCACACGACGTCGACAATATGTCTCTCTAAACTGATCAGAAGCCGATATCAGTTCTTTGGACATTTCATTTAAATAGAGGATTTTCTTTTTCGCGTGACTTGAACAAGTATAACTTTTAAAAAAATGGAATGATACCTCATTTTTAATTAAACGTGCCGAATTTTCGGAAGTTAAAAATTTTAAAGAAAAAAAATTGAGAAACAATTTTAATTGCGTAATTAAAATTGATTTTTACTTAATGAAATTACCATAAACATTGTATGTTTTTCGATAAAAATATACCTTCATAAATTCTTGTTTTTGCGGGTTGCTGATCGCCGGCACCGGTTGTCCGTCATGCGATTTTTCGAAATTTATCGAAGTCAGCGAAATCGACGGTTTTCGACTAAAATTGAAATATCATTATAATCATTAAAAAAAATGAATCCTTACTTGTCATCATCCGTCTGCTCCGATATTCCACTTCCATTTTTCGAGCGAAAGTTCGTCCACGAGATCACGCGCTTCTCATCATCAACAATATTTTCATAATGGGCAAAATTTCGTGAGATTTTCAGTTTTTCCACCTTCTCATAGTACTCGTCGTCCTGGTCCTGTTTAGCGAACAATTTGAGATTCTCGTCAAAATCGAAATCCGTGTTAAGATCAAAGTCAATCGGCTCCTCAAGATTCCCTTTCCGACGTCGTTGACCCTCATAGCAATTGAGCGCATCAAGAAGCGGAATTCCAGATGGACCTGAACTTTTTTTTTAAGTTTCAAAATTGTCCATAGGTCAAAATGAAATTTGCATTTAATTATTTTTTCGTTAAACTTTTCAACACGTTAAAAAAGATTCTTGAAATATATAAATTTTTTCAAATGATTTTCATCGAAAACTTAAAAAAATAGGATTTTTCAGTTGCAAAAAGAAAATTAATACTACCTTTGCGCTTCAAAAACCAAAATTTAGAAACGAAATGAAACAGGCGCATTATTTCTTTTGAAAATATCCATTCCCAATACAAAATTTCAAATTGAGACAGTAACGAATAAAAAAATACCTTGCTTCTTGTTGCATCCCTTGGATTTCTTGGCGAGACCCGAAAGCGTCGTCGGATGCGGCACCTGTTTCTCGAAACTACGATACGTTGGAGTTTCCGCTAGAGCAACCGGTTTTGCGTCAATTCTAAAATGGACATGTTCTAATTTCAAAAAAAAAAAAAAATAATTCATACTCCATCTTCGGCACCTTCTTCTTGCCCAATTTCGCCATCAACGCATCCATTTTCTTTTTCGGGTCTTCAGAAGCCTTCATCGGCGAAACCATCGCCGTCGGCTGTTTCGGCGATTTGAAAGACGGGCCTTGTTTGGGTGGTCCCGGTGGTTTGAGCACTTTCAAATTGTTTATCTCCGATGAATTTATTGTTACACATTTTCCTAGCGGGACGCCTTCTCTGAAAAAACAGAAATAATTTAAGGAAATAATGAAATAAGGAAAATCGAAAACGCCGAAATCCAACTACATACACATTTCAAAAAGAAAATGTACCACCAATATTTTGTTTCGACTTTTTATATTCTCGCAAATAGATTTCTTCATCATCGAAATATATAATTTCTCAACATTTCTCAAGCCGATACTTTTCAGAATCAGGCTAACACTCTTTCTCTGCGCTCTCTCAGGAATAAAACACTTTTTTTTGTGAAAATCGTACTTAAACACATTTGCTAAAGTGATATTTTTGGTGTTGGCATCAACAGCGGTCAATTTGCCCTGATAATAGCAGCCGACGCCGCAATCGACAGCAATCACACTCCCAATATGTCGATCTTCCATTTACCTAAAAATGTGGGCGAATTAAAATAAACTAAAAAAAAACGAAGATATTCCAGAATAAAAACTATTTAAAAAAAAACTAGATAATAATGAGAAATAAAATTAAAATTTTATTGAGATCGCGAAACATTAAAAAAAAACCACCAATTAAAAAATTGTTAGGCGATATAATCCAAAGGTCTGTTGAATCCACCTTTCCGATTCATATATTGTCGATATTTTCTCGGTTTTTTGATATTCACACATCCATCGACATTGTCATCGACTTGCTTGTTCTTCGTTGTGTCGAAACCTCCAAATCCCATCATTTTCATCATCTCCTCTTCGGCGCCAACGAGCGAATCAAGACTGATTTCTTCTGAAAATATAACATGACAGGGAATAATAGAAAACGGGTGCTCTAAAATAATTGGAGATATGTGATATTCTCCTCACAAAAACGCACTAGCTATCTTCAATTTTCTTTCCATTAATACTGATAAATTACCTTGTTTCTTCGCCTTCTTCTCTCGTTTTCGATCCTTGCGGTCTCTATCTCGGCTCCGACTGCGATCTTTCCTATCGCGAGGGCTTCTGCAATTTTTCACATACATTGGTTATCCAACAAGTTTAATAATCTACCTGCTGCGACTTCTACGATCCCTTTCGTCACGATGCCTCCTATCTCGATCTCTACTCACACTGCGCTTCCGCCGATCTCGACTACGACTACGGTCACGCCGCTTCTCAACCGATCTCGATCGTGTTCGTCGTCGTTCCACCGATCGCGATCGACTTCTTCTTCTCCTTTCTATAAAATTAAATAGATAACTCAAGAAGCAATTGGAGAAAAATTCATTAAAAAAAAAAGCTTCTTACCTCGGCTACGACTTCGACTGCGGGCCATCTGAAATAAAAATCATACATTTATCATCTCCAAACCGAAAAAAGGTACAAACAGCAGATCAAACTGCCAAAAAATTCAAGAACAATTCAAAACAAATTTTAACAACAACAACAACAACATTTATCAACAAAAAACAAGAGATATAAAAAACAAAATTAACGACAAAAAATTATTCATTTTTCGCATTCTCCTTTTTTTTATTTTTCATTTTCTTTTTCTTATTCACTTGCTCCTTAACAACAGCAATTTTGTGTCGTTTCGGTGCATGTCTTTGCAATTCCTTCTTTTTATCCCTGAAAACGAGAAAACGTAAATTTTAAAAAAAACAATGAAAATGCGCGAAAACGACGAACGCATTCTTGAGCATTTCGCACCATTTAAACCACTTCTTCAATGGAGCGTGCTTGCTCTACCAAAGTCTATATTCGGATAATTCCAGAAGACTTCTTGTTAAAATAAATGTTTGAAAAAAAAAAACCACTTCAAACCTTGAAACTTTCTTCATTTCCAATAAATACTCTGGAATTTCGAATCCTGATTGTTTGATTACTGTAGCAATACTTTTAATGTACTGAATATCGTTGTCAGTGAAATAAGTTACAGCGTGCCCAATGTTTCCAGCGCGACCGGTTCTACCTGAAATCCATAAAATGGTCCTTCCCTTTAACAGACAATTAGAACGCACCAACTCGATGAATATAACTAACAATCGACGTCGGAAGATCATAGTTGATCACCAATCCGACATCGCTTAAATCAAGACCGCGGCCGAGAAGCTCAGTGCACACGAGAACCCAAGTGTCGCCTTTTCGGAATCTCTCCATCGTCAAATCGCGCTCCTTATCCGATTTCTCGCTGGTGATCGAGTCAACCTTCAGAGTCGAATCGATCGCCGACAACAATTTCACCAGCTGAACAGCCCGATCTTTGCTCTGCACGAATACCAACGCCGGAGGTTTGAATTGGGTCTTGAGTAAAGTTTTGATCGCAATCTTCTTCCCATCTTCCGAGCCGCAATATTTGAGCTCCTGTTTGACACTTGTATTGGACGAGTTTCTACAAAATTCGATGCCGCTAGGCTAAACACCATAAATGCACCAACCGTTCACCAATACACACCATTCCAATATTCTCGATGTTTTCTTTACACCATTTTTCAACTTCATGGGAGAACGTAGCGCTAAAGAACGCTACCCGTGTGCACTGTGCTTCACATGCTTTATAAATGGCGGCGAGCTGAAAAATGTCAGTAAGCCCGAGTACTGAAGTCCCGATTAACTTGATTTCTGAAACATCTCTCTTGTCCTTCAACAACTTCGAATAATCGATCGCTTTCATCAACAACAAGCCATCGCAAATTGTCGAGATTAATTTGCCCAAGATGGAATACAATGCGATTTGGCGTAGAAACCAAAACATCGACTGAAACCCAAATGTTTTTTTTCGATTTGATGGATTATGGAAACCAAACCATTCGAAACCAAATGTTCATCCGAGAAATGACCGCATTTGATCTGATCGCCGGCATATTTGCAAAACTCGGAATACGTCTGCGACGCCAACTCTCTAGTTGGCTCCAGAATAATCGCGAGAAGTTTCGGTGCTCCAGAATATTCGGCGCATTGCTTCAACTTCAATATCTCATCAATAATGGGAATCGCAAAAGCGAGCGTTTTTCCGGAGCCTTTAAATTTTGAAAATCGCGATTTTCAATTAAATATGTCGTTTACCTGTCGGCGCACTTGCTAGAATATTCCTTCTATGCAACATCAATGGAATCGATTGCATCTGAATTGGCGACGGTTTTTTGATATTATTCACATCAAGTTTCTGCGTGATTTTTTCATCAACATTCGCATCAGAAAATCGCAAAATCACATCCGGAATCTCATCGCCCCATGTAAAAATGCGGTTCGCACGTCGAACATCATCCAACTAAACATTTTTATAAGAAATAACTTGTCACAAATTCACTTACCAACTTCTTGAGTTCCTTCTCGTAATTCTCTTCTGTTTCACATTCCGACTCATTATCGCTGTCATGGCGACGTTTGCGATTCTGCGAAAACACATGAACTGCTTCTAAAAAATTCAAATTTCGAAATTTCTGCATTATTAGGCGACGGTGCACAAATACAATGAACAAACTACAGTAATCCAACCTTGCTTTTTCGATTTTTTCTTTCTTTCCGGTTTCACATTCAACACTTTCCCAATCATTTTTTCTCGAATTTCATCAAATTTGCGAATCGCATCCTCCGAAATATTCGACAACTCTCTTCGCTCCTCAACAATCTAGAAAATGCGAATAAAAATTCAATTGAGTTTTGGCAAATTTCGATAAACCTGCTTCGGCTTCGCCTTTTTAACCCCAAATGTTAATTTTTGCAAAATCGATGTCATTCTGAATAAATCGGCAATATTTAAAAGATGGATGCGGAATTGAGAAAAAAATTGAGAAGGGAATAAAACCCAAAAGATCAAGAACAAAACAAAACGAAATTGGAAACAAATTATTCCAATTTATAAAAATAAACAGTAATAAATGATAAAAGTACAAGCAAAACAAAGAAACAGCAAATGATTGAAATAAATTAGTGAGATTTTGGAAATCAACCCGGGGAACCATATTTCAAAAAAAAAATTATATATATATATATAAAATTAACAGTCCTCAAAGGCAAGCGATGTGTGCGTTTTCTCGACGGCAACAATTTTCATCGAGTCCGCAATTTTGCGACAAATCTGCGACGCCATTTCGTCAGCGATTTTCGCCATTTTCGGGCGTGTGCATTCTTCGCGCGACAAAAGCCGAGTGGCCAGTAGACAATCGCCAGCAACAAGATCAAATTGCTGCGACCAACCCTAAGCGAATCAAAAATGATTTGAACGGGAAGAAATGAATTTTCGCAAACAAAATTACCTGCAGCTTCTTGGTATTCTGCACGATGCTCAAATTCACACATTCCAAGCTTTTTGCTAAACCTGCAACAAATATGTATAGAAAATTTCAATCTGCGGACATTTTTTCATCATATCATTCAAAAACTTTTCGCGCATTTTTTATTCGAATTTGAATTACCGCCCGATAAATTATTCAACGGTCCACAATTGTTCGAGGTTCTCGTTTTATTGCGATGAAATAATATATATTCAAATTTTTCTTGGGAACCAACCAGAGCTGCACAAAACTGGAATTTTCAAAAAACGGAAGAGAGAACAATTTTTTACGAAGACAGAATTCTGTGCAGCTCTGGAACCAACCCAATCTTTTAAGATTTACCTTTATAATCCTTCTGCCCATGTACTGTCTTTTTAATCTTGGCGAAGCTTCTATTCATAGTCTGAGCATAACAATCACCCGGTTGAACGCCATCAAACCAAATCTCATTTTCCTGACAATCAATATTGCTTAAAATAATTCCAAAAACGGTGGGTTACATTCAATGACGGGGTGCATGAGAGAAAATTTTCAATAAGCGAGTTGATGGCGTTATCTCGAGCATCAACGCAATATTGCGAAAATCTGAAATTTTTCAGAAATCGCCGTCGATTTTTTTCCTGCAAATCTTACGAATGACGAAGAGCGACATAGCGATCAATGAGGATTTCAATTTTTGTTCCCACTTGCTTCACGTGCCACCGCATATGGCAATTTCCCGCTGCGCTTCTCAGCATCTGTTCGCCGCTCAAATGATGAGGCGTCTAAAAATGCGACGATTTCAGTTTTTTTTTTTCGAAAAAATTCCAATGCAATGTTTTACCGCTGTCAAATACGCTTTCAATTTTCCCAATTTTTCATTGACCAATTCAAAATTGAAAGTAGCGTCTTTTCTGAAAATTAATTTTTTCGAAAACCATTTCCACAATGAAATTCCTACGATTTTTTCGTATTTTCCTCATAATCTGACGCCGTCACCGCTTGTCGCTTTTTAGCCGACGACGCCTTCACGTACGCTCCCGATTTTGTGGTTGCCTTAAAGGTAATCTTATAGTTATTGGTAATTTTGACTTTAAAACCTTATTTGGTCGAATTCCCCGGCCAAGCTCATTGATTTTCTCCATGAGACTCTCGCTATATTCGCATCCGAGTAGGTTAACATTTATAAAAAGTTGTGAAAGACATTGTAATTGAGTTCTGAAACAAATGAAAATAAATAATTACATTTTCATTTTTCAAAAATATTTGTACATGATGATATTATTTAATCGACAGAAAATTAATTTCCAATTCACTTTTCCCCTTATGTACCTATAAAAAATGTAGGTTTTTACAAAAAATGTTAAAAAAAAAAACACTTTTCCAATGCAGGGTTGTAAAAAATGCATAATTAATAAAATTTTTTACATCTTTTTTTTTTGTAAAAACTCACATTTCATCACCCATAAAAGAATGCAACCTACCTCGGATAATCATCATAATGAGCGGCGAGGAATGCTCTTCTCAATTCCCACGATTCATCGCTTTCCCACGGCTTCCTCTCCTTCTCAATCTCTTCCTCTTTCCCCATCCTTGAACGAGCAAACATCAAATAACAATGACATCAAATTGATGAATATCCAAATATGGCGATATGTCGAAAAAACATTGTCCTCACAAATTAAACAACAAAATCATAAAATGTCAATAATTTATTAGAGGATAAATTTAAAGTTTTTCTGGTTTAAAGTTTCAAAGAAGAAAAAACGAGAAATAACAATGGAAACCCGAGAAGAAAAAAAAATGAATGGAGATTTATTGGTGTTTGGTACAATAAAAAGTGAGATATGCTTACGATTCCGAGTCGACCGCGGCGGCGACAATCAGAAACACAAAACTGAATAAAAGGGCGGGCGCGACGAACCAGCGACCGAATAGGTGAGCCAAAAACAAAAAGCAGAACAAGCCGAGTGTGATTGCATTGGCGAACACCTGAAATGTCCGCAGATTGCAATTAATTAAATTATTTTCTCACGCGTTACGATAATTTTCATTGATGTTGTTACATCAAGTAAAAAAGTTGATTGGGTTGAGAATTTTTAGTCAAATTGAGAATTAATCATGCGAATAGCGCCGACACATTCGAAATCATTCGAATCAAGGAACCATGTTAGTTTGACTACTTCGGTACTCGGTTGAATTTTTCAAATATCCTCTAAAACAATGTACGAAAAAGCGAATCCTATACTAGATTATTCTATCTTTTTGATAGTTTCGCCTTTAAAGCATTCATTTCGATTTTAAGTAATTTGAAAAACGGAAATGGCCGAGCGGACGTTGTTCAAACATTAAATTGGTCTCTGTAAAATTACGAATCTTGCATAAAAAATTCCTATATTTGTCGATATTCGATACGGCTTGGCGGAATAACAAAAAAATAGTGGCTAGAACATTGTTGTTAATTTCACAGAATCGCCCACGGAATTCATTGTTATTATTATTATTGATTCAAAACTCAAAAGGTTTTTTTTGCTGTTTTTGTTTTTTCAATGCTGAATTAAATAGAGATCCCCACAAAACAGCCCGTTCCCTCCATCTGTGCAATTTCTAATTATGGCTATTTTCCCACTCATGGTAATTAAAACAGCGATAATCCATAAAAACGATTAAATATTCTCACCCTCAATTTCAACATTGGCGGCGTGCGGCGTCGAACTCTCGTCGCAATCGGCGACGCCGCATTCGGATCTGGATTCGGCACTGGCGGATACATCAATAATCTCGCCAGTTTTCCTGCAAACGTCGGCTCCGTGTACTTCGCGGCGAGTTTCTGCACAATCGGCATACGGTTGGCGTTCTCCGCCGCGTAATTCATCAACAAAACCATTGGTGCGAACTCGAGTTGGCTAATCGTATGCCAGGTGGTCTGGCGGGCGCTTTTTGAGAAATCGAATTTCCTTAAAAGGACCAATAAATGAAATAAAGGAAACAAGAGAAAAAAATAGAAACCTTTCGCCATTAATCACTTGTCGTTTTCCATTCGGCGTCAAAATCATCAAATTCGTTCGTCCATCTATGTAATGATCAGGAAGCGCGGATTTTGGAGTCTCAGTGAGAATTGTCGACATGCAAGTCCTAAAAACATGCCTAACCTTACACAAACGTCAAATCAAATGAAATACTTATTCAATTCGGCATTGCTCTTGTCGTGCTCTTCAATCTCCGCGAGCAATTCGGGCATTAGCCTTGTCGCCAGGTATTTATCGCAATCTGCTAGTAGAGATTCAACTATTCCGATCAGTTGGCTTCCTTTTTCCGTTTTCTCTGTTGAGCTTAAGCCAAAAATCGTATTAATGAAGCTGCTATTTTCCTGAATTATGACAATTATCAAACAATTTTTCATTTTCAACAAAAAAAACCATTTTCTCTTTTCGGATAATCTCATTCTGAATCACAACCACATTTTTTATGTCTTTCAGAAGGGCGACGATATGCGGCTGCACGTTAAGCCCCAAATTGCGTAGCAGAATACAATTCGGCTCTTTCCACGAGAATTCAACAATCGATCGAAGTGTGCCAGTGAGCTCAATAGTCAAATTGAAGCACGAAAATCTGAATATCAAATTTGCGAAATGAATTCAAGAAAATAATCAATTTCACAAACTTTTTAATAATTTTTCCAAGAAGTGTGCGATAAAAATCGAAATTCTTTTTCGCGAACGGAATAAATTTGCTAATCGGCGGAATATCTGACGGATTGGCCATGTTGTAATATCGCCAAGGCCTACAGTACGTCAACCAGCAAGCTGAAACCAGGACATCTTTAAAGGGACATCTAATTGCAATGACAACCTGTTATATCTTTAAAAGACGATGCCGTCGGGCAATGATGAAGGCAGGTTTGGAAAAACGCGTACAACTGATTCATAAAAGGAGGCTGGAGCATCATTGCATTCTGAAAACTCGAAATTTCTCGAAAAAATTTGTTAGAATCTCACTTTTAATGTGTCAATGTACTCATCATTCGTTTCAAATAGACAAAATACATGAAATTGCTTCAATAGGTACCTAAAAATTTAAATTTGATTTAGAAAAAAATACTGGAAATTTGCGAAAAACCTTAGCAAAAGAAGGCGATTCGGCGACGGAAATGAGGCCGTCGAGCACGTTTTCTTAACCAGACTGCAAAAAACGTTAACATATCTCGGCTGTAGGTTCGCATTCGATGAAACGACCATCTCGTCGGGGTTTCCTGAAATTAATCGAATCACCACGATAATTTTCCGCAGATGATTTCAATATAAATGTTTTTTTATTTAAAATCAAATAATTGACTTTTTCATTGTAGAAAACACTTTCTCGAATCTGATTATTTTAAGAGTTATCAGCATGCTCCTTTAAAATCTACATAAATCAGTATTTTAAAATTTTTGCGCACATCTCTCTTCTTTTTCTTCGTACAGAATACAATTGTTCTTAACTCTTACCAATTTCAATGCGATTTACTAGCGGACTCGAGGGTCGGAATAGCTGCAGCGGAGTTTTGATAATATGCTGCGATTTCGAACTGCTCCTCTGCGTCATATTCAACACCGATTCATCGCAGGGCAGCAATTTGGTGACATATGTTGACACAGAATTCATCAGAACCGAATCTTTCGACTCTTCGGGATTCTGCAAAAAAAAAAACTAGCGAATTGTCCGTAGATTAAAAAATCTTATCAACGTAACAATGTGTGATAGGTAATAGCTTTTTCTCAGAAGTACACTGCTCCACAAAAGTTTAGCCTCACCCATATTTTTTCAAAAAATGACATTACCACGAAATTTCAAAAAACGCTTGTATTGTTAAAATATGGCTAAGAAGAGTTCTTTTTAGTATCCCATATTTGATTTGCACTTACTGAGTCATTAAACAAAATTTGTTTTATTTTCCGAAAATTGCGATTTGGCGATCACAAAAATATTTCCTAATTGCGTGCCACTGGAAGAGTCGAGTGTCGATCGATACATAGGGATTGTCAATCAGTTGTTGGTCGAATTTCTTCCAAGCCTTGATAATCGCCAGTTTCAGCTGTTTTAGTATATCGTACGACTTATTTTCTTTGCAAATCTTATTGGCCATGTATTCTCAGAAGTTTTCGATGGTATTCAAGTGTGGGGAGCAAGAAAGCCAGTCGGGAACTGGAATATTCCTCGTTTGTATCCATGCGAAGGCGTGGTGGGCCCGATGAATTGGGGCACCATCCTGCGATACACTATCATTCTGTGACGGTGTGGATGCCAAAAGAAACTCACGGCGGAACAAATATCGAGAGTAAGAGCCGCTCATGTTCTTTGCGACAGAACACAGCTTCACGCGAGTGATCGAACTGATTGATGCCAATACCATGACACCACATTCTTAGAAATTTCTCCGCAAGAATCGAATGGGCCGCTTTCTAAGAGCATGCAAGTAGCTGCGGTTTCCATCAGGACCATCACAATTGAACCTTTTCTCATTTGAGAAGATCACTTGAAATTCAGGTGGCTCAACTTCGAATTTAACCACATCCCATTTTTCTTCAGTTCGTTCTGTTGAACTTATTCACAAACTCCAACCAGTTTACGCAATGTTTTTCGGTCAACATTAGAGTTCTACGCATCTTGCGTCTTTTCTCATACTAGGACTTGCTCAGAACAAGTTGAATCGTCTCTGAAGTCCCATTTCTTATTTGATTTTGGTGCACTTGGTGAAGGTATTCGATGATTTTCGGAGGATCATTCTTCTTTTTCGACTATAAATCACGGCTGGACATCCAGATCGTGTCGTAGTAACATATTTTGATGAATTCTTCAGAAATCTATTGATCATTTTTGGGCAACGCCCCAAATCTTGAGCGATTTGTCGATTCGAAAGACCACGATCACGTTTGGCTATAATTTGGCCTTGCTCAAACGCCGAAAGTGGTTTACATGTTGGCATTACTTGAAAAACACATGATTCTAGGCTAAAAGTTTTTTAAAAATTGCAAATTTAAGAAAAATAAAGCAAAAAAAACCGTGAAAAACCTATGTGAGGCTATACTTTTGTGGATCGAAAAAAAAACGCAATTTTCGAAAAATAAAGCAAATTTTGTTTGATGACTCAGTAATTGTAAATCTAATATGGGATACTACTTTCGGGAAAATATCATTTTTATTTTTTGAAAAAATATGGGTGAGGCTAAACTTTTGTGGAGTAGTTTATTAGTTTATCAGAATTAATAATTTGTGAGGGTACGTATCATGAAATTTTGGAAAATTGTGATCTAACTTTTGCATTTCTAATTTCTTCAAATTTTGTGGGTAAAATTTATAGGAAGATGGACCCATTTTGAAAGTCGTAGGAATTTAAAAAAAAAAATGGAATTTTCGTATTTAAATACTCACAACACACGTCGATTCGCATTGCTCCAAAACACTATTCCAAAGCTCGTCGCACAATCCATCATCATCGACGACAGTCTCGAAAAACGGCGAATATCCATTGACAAGATCGAAAATCGCATTGTACCGCCCATCAGCAAAACTCGCCTGATTCGGCACAATCGAGCACATATCTATTGTTTTATTCTTGAAAATCTTCTGAAAACAAATGTGATTTCCCAACAAAAATGATGGTTTCTCCTAAATTGTCACCAACCTGTATAATATTCCTTGCAACATTCACATTTCGATCCGACGAGGCCACGTACGACGACAGTTCGCGGCAAATCGCGAGCACATCGGTCTCCTCTGGTCGACCTCGCCAATCTTTCTCCATGTTCTACAGTTTTTTTCTTTCTCTGAAAATAAGATTCGAAATCAAAAATCAATTGTCGATGAAATCATTGAAAAAGTATGCAAATCTGATCAAATCGCAACAGAAATTCGCGCAATTCTTGAGAAACACACATATTAAAAATAAATAATTATTTATTGCAAAACAAAACGACTAAATTTCAATTAAAAACAAATGTATAAATTATCGTCGATAAACGACCTTTTCCCGTTTTCTGTCCAATTTTCGCTGCTTTTTGTCGTCGATTTCCGGTGCTTCGGATGGTGCCGTCAGCCATGGTAGAATGATGCCAAAGAACAGTTTATATCCAGCAAAAGCAGGGAACGCGAGCAGGAGGAGAAATGCGTAATTTGTGAATGTCGTCAAAAGCTGAAGTTAAGACATTAAAAATAGTGGCAAACAAAAAACCCCCAATGGTTGTCCGCAGGTATCTCAAACATTTAAAAAATTCGAGTATTTAAAAGTCAAATGTTCGGCTGAACCACAAAATAAAAAAATGTTATCCACAAAACTTAAATAGATTTAGCGTCATACACATTTAAGTTCGGTTGTGAAGATTTTTTGCATAAACTTTGGATGTTTTTTTTCTGATTTTTCAATAATTAAATGTTGAAAAATTTCAAATTACGTTTCGTTTTGTTTTCAGCAATATTAAAAAGCGTAGCTACCTGTGTGATAACCGTGAGAATGATAGTATCCTTGCAATACTCTCCAAAAGCTTCCGGATCATTCAAATCAGCGCCAGCGTCAGTCACATGCCCTTTTTCGTCAAATCGAGCAGCTGAAACATCAAGAATTTGCAAACATTCTGGATGATATTCCATGAATCAAACCTGCCAACTTTCGCATGAATACCACCGACAAAATTTGAATGAAAATCGAGACAGCGAACAAGCTCACAAAACTCGTTTCGAACGAGCCGAAAATGAATTCAACGAGGGCTCGAATAAGCTGAAAAAACGGTCTTCTTTATGAAAAAGAAAAAAAAAACTCACAATCGAAATCAAAACCGCCGTCGAGTAATAGAAAATCGTCTGCTGATTCTCCTCATAGATCACTTTTTGTCCTTTTGTGGCTTGTTTAACCATCTTAAAAAGTTCGGAATTAAAAAATCGAATCATTCGAAAGGTAGGAAAGCTGGAATCAGTATCCGTAAAATCGCAAACAAATCCGAAGAAAAACGCAATTTATCAAATGAAAAGAGAAAAGTTGCAACAAAAGGATCTTCGGCAGCAAACACACACACACATATGTAATTCAACGGCAAAAAAAAAGAAATAAAGAAAAAGAAAGTAACCGGATTTGTGTGCGCGCAAATTCCACCAATTCAGCGTACAAAAAACCGTGGTGACATATAAGGAAAGAAGAGAAAAACAGAGAAAATGAATTATGAAAATGAACGGGAAATCTGCATCTAATTGTTGTGCAAATCGAGTCGGAATGTCTCGTTTCCGATGAAGAAGCTTCCAGCTGGATTCGGGCGAAGAATGAAGACCTGCGAGAACGGATTCACTGGATCCTCGTCAGTCTGAAATCAATCATAATTTCTAGACTAAAGTAACAATAGCAAATATTATATGAGTGAGCGTTTTTATAAATAAATGTCGAAGATTGGTAATTTGAAAAATTTAAATAGACCAAATTCAAATTTATTTCTTGGCGCGAAAATAATACATTTTTACATTGGTCTTTTTTCCGGATCTCGTCAGTTAGGACAATTTTTTGAAATATGTTTTCGATTTTTTTAATTGTTCTTTTTTCTTGCATGAATATGCCATCTCAAAATTTACAGTTACCTTGAGTTGTCCGAGAACCATTACAAGAATTGATCCATCATAAAGTGGCTGAGAATCAACCTTCGTGATGGCACGTTGAATTTGTTTGAATGGAAGAGCCTAAAATCCAAAATTGCAACAAATCGCTCGTTTCAGGCTCTCTCACCGAGATCTTCTGCAGAATCTGTTCCCGCCCTTTGCATTGATGACCCTCAAATGTCATGTAAGAGTTCTCCGGATCATAAAGGTCAGCAAGAGCTGCAAAATAGTTATGAGAGCATAATTTGAAATTGATGAGCAACTCACCCCGTCCTCTAGCGACTCCATCTCCTTGATCGAATTGCATATAATAATGAGAAATGAAGGCCTGAGCGATGTTCTCGTATTCCGGGTTGAAGTTCATGGCTGCAAATATTTAATTTAAAAAAAGAAAAACAGCAAAATACAGATTTTAAAGGCGTAAAAAACAAATATTCTCCACGCAAGAATTGTTCAGAAATAATTTCACAGTCAATTCGGTATTATCAATCCACGAAACAAGTAATCAGATATAAATTCCCATCTGCGGACAATCTCAGACCCCCAACTAACCATATTTTTCTTGTTTTTCTCGTAATAATTAGTGCGTTTCCTGTTATTTTGCGCTTTTCATTTCGTAGAAAACAAATTTCTACATCCTACATTTTTTCGTCATTATATTCTCTCATATATTTTTGTGACGAGTTATTATTAAACACAGATGCGAAAAGATTAAAAAAAAACATCTGCAGAAACTTCGAGAAGCAATCTTAAGGAAAACAAAAAAAGAACATCTGCGGACATTTCAAGAAAAAATGTTGTCAATTTTTCAATTCTATCCTTAAACTACGATTTTTTTTGGCAATCAGTTCCTAATATGCGAAAGAAAAATGTGAAAATGTGCGGCAAAGCATTTTAAATATTTTCTAAAGGAAAACCATCGAAAGGCCTGTTAAGAACGATGAAGAATCAAAAGACTGGAAAGAACACCGACGCCAAATCATTATCAATTTGAAACATTTCGGCCTCTCTGCGTTTAGGTGAAACAAATTTCGCGATGGAGCGCGTTTGCTACTACCAATTCGGAGACGCAGAGACCGACGGTTTTCCATTTACGAGGCATACATTTCAGCGAACCAATCAGACGAGTAGAGCACACCGGGAATGATGGATGCACAACAACAAAAAAGCGCTCTGCGCCCAAACTTTTTTTGTTCGCGCTTCTTTGCCTTCTGCTCCTCTCGTTCTCTAACAAAAGTGTCCCACTAGGCCAAAAAGAAAAAAAAATTCATACGCGACGATGTTTCCTCCGCATATCTCAGCGTTTTTTTTTCGCTCTCGGTGGCCATATGATTCCACGTGAAACCGCCGCTTCTTCTCGCCTCCAATTTCTTTTGCGTTGCTCGATTGGCAAACAAATCTCAAACCGCCGCTGTGCGTGTCGTCTCAATTTTCGATCGAAACATTTTCCCCGATGGTGTCCGAAAGTCGCTTCGCGTATTTGCCGAAAAGTTTTATTCAAATTCCGATCGCGATTATTTTTGATTTGAATATTATTGATGAAGCCATAGTAAATTGAAATTTTGGCGAAGAAGCTCGATCCTATTGACCTCTACCTATTTGTTGCTTGTTTGTCGATCTCAAGTGCTTTAATGCGAAACATCCTATTCCCAACTTTGCACTTGGCTTTCGTATGTTTCTTTGAAACGTTCAACTCCACCACGTCAATGCTCAAATCACGTAATTTCAGGTGTTTAACCGTGAGAAAGTTGTGACAATTCCGATATATTCGCCTAGGCGAATCGGGTACATCAACATAATGCCAAGGTTTGATTTCAATTAATTTAAAACACGATAATTTAAGTCGAACATTGTTGACTACTGGAAATCGGCAAAATTTCAAAAAAAATTTGGAAAAAATTATTAAATTTATAACATATTGCATTCGCAAAGAAAAAACGAGCACCCTGCGCTGATTTACGATGGGTTAGCTTCGCAGGTTATCCAGACTACGGTATCCGAAGTCGCACTGTTTAAATTCGAATTCGAATTTCCGCCTCGAAAAAGGCTTGTATTTTGCGACGAAAATATAAATAAAGTAATCGATTTAAAAGATTTTGAATCGAATTCGAACAGGCTAATTAATTTTTTCGGAAACAGATCAATTTTCACTTAACAAAGATGAAAAAGATGCGATACGAAAAAAAAAGAGAAGCCCTTCCCATTTTTTCCTCACAACTCGGATCAATTCCGTTTAAAAAGTATATTTTCATTCTTTCTATCTCTCTTCCAAAATTATTTCAAAAATTTCCGCTCAAATTCGATCTCCGTTTTCCTTTTCAAGGAAAAAAAAACAACGTGTACCCGGTCTTAGATTCTTATCAAAGTACATATTATATAGTGTACATAATCTTTTCCAATAATGTCGATTAATAATCCCATTAAGACACAATTCCATTTCGACATTCTTTAATCTAAACCGAACAATCTACAAAAACCTCAGAAATCTAGGCGATTCATCATTCTCATCAAAGATTAATAACAAAAATTCTAATTTGAATGCGTCTATCCATCGCGACTACCGAGAAAATTAACGATGACTCCCTACCATCGCAAAAAAAGCTCGTCTAGCTCAATTTTAATACGGAGCACGAATGGCATGTCTGTCTGCATTTCGAACATTGTTGTTATTGTCGACACCCTCTCTGCCGCCAATTATTCATTCCCTCATAAATCTGCACCATGACTACGCGATGGCCGTTCTCTCGACCTTTCACCACACCCCTTTTTTGTTATTATTCGTTTCCACACTCAACGCCACGCCCCCATTATCGGCAGCTCTCTCTCTCTCTCCCTCTCTCAGGCTCACATGTCGGCTTGACTTACACATTTGCCCATAAATGCATCCATAATACGATGCTCATTCTAAATTCGACATCGATAAGCTTCGCAAACTAACGTCATCGTGCTTCTCGGAATTCATGTCATTTTTTGTCGTCTTCTCATTTCCGTTAAACCAATTATGCCTCGATTTTCCCAATTTCCTTTCCTTCCCAATTTGGAGCGTCTATTCAACCGCAACACCGCCCAAGGCGAATAAAAAGGCGTTTTTTTTCTTTCTTTAGACCACCGGCTTAGTCAATAAACAAATCCTCAAGTGGCCGGTGGACGAATTCATCGAAAAAAACCGTTGTAAGACCATTTCCGAACCGAAACCGGTTGCGAAGTGACAATCAACTATTTCCTATCACTTTAGTACGACCATTGTGCGAGTTTCAAACGCAATCTTCCCATTCCAACCATTAGTCATCGCTGAAAATTTCCGAGAATTCGCAAGAAGAAAAATGCGGGCAAAAATTTCGTTCGTTGAATCCAATTCCCATGGGTAAGATGTGCACCAATTAGAATCAATGAATCACTGAAATGCAATTTTTGCTTATCAACAACTCCAAGCAACCAACTCAAAATAATGTTTGCAATTCGCAAAAAGCCTTATAAGCCAGATAAGCAGAGTCACATGGCAGCAAAAAAAAACGGCTGTGCTCGGCCGGCTCGCCCACATATGGCGCAGCTCACACTCATTACTTATTTCGTCGAGCTTCTCGCCCCGCGTGATAAAGGGCCGTGATAACGTGCTATTCATTATTATCAAAACGAAACGAATGATTTCCAGAGGCAAAGAGAAAGATAAACCGAACGAGAACAACGAGCAGGAGATGAGCACGGAGGGTCTGACGGAAGAGGAGCGCATCGTTCTATGCGCTTCAAAAGTTCTCGAAGAGACGATTGTGCACAATGGCGATGTGAGAGCTTCATTTCACACGTCATTTCTGATATCATGATTGCAGAACTCCAGCGAATTTCCGATTCGTTCAGTGAATATGCTGATTCGAGCGTCTCGCAAACATCAAATGCTTGACAAATTCCTCGACATCATCCTGACAGAAAAGGGCAAAAACTTATGTTGTCCGATTGTAAAGTAAATCATCATCGCTGCGGAGATGAATCGAACGTGACAAAATTTGCAGTGACAAATTCCCGGGCACTCTTGGAAGGCCGAATGTGTTCGCATTGAAACTCTTCAAATTCCCATGGATTCGATACGAGACCCAGATTCGCTCGACACCAAATTGTCAATTTCCATACAAAAAGCGGAGGAAAGTGGCGTGCATAAATCCGCATCACTACAAGCCAGCCGATACACCTCATCCGCGTATGTTCAAGGCTCACGCCGACATCAAATATGGTCCGTTTTTCAGCACTTCCGCCAATTGCCATCAACAAAAATCGCGATTTCGGCGCGCCGCCGACAAATCCCTATTTTATGTCAGTTTCGGCATCGCCGGAGGGACCATTAAATCACTTTGTAAAGTTGACATCGTATTCAATTGTTTCATTTTGAATTTCAGCACGAACTAGCGCCAAATGTCACTGTTCAAGGCGACGAACTTCGGGATTTCTACGACAAAATCGCGCTTCGCGACAACATCACGCCACCGAATCCGGCGCTGCCGAGAACACCGCCGTTGGGTTTCGAAGGACTCGACAAATCGCCGCAATTTTGGTTGGAAATTGGCGAAAATTCTCGCCGCCATTTATCGAAAACCTCTTTTCTTTTCAGCATAACTGATATAAATATGAAAGAGATTGGCGCCTATGAGTTTCGCGACACAGAGATGGAAGTCGACGAGATGGAGGTGACGCCGCGCACTCCAACCGAGAAGCTGCCGCAATACACCAACGGGATCGGCGATATCGGTACGTTTCTCTTTTTGTTTCCCACACCCATATCAATAAATTATGAGTGTTTCCAGCACAACCATACGATGAGAACCGCTTCGAGTACGTCGAGCTCCAACAACTTGAAACCTGGGCCACCGTGTGCTATTACGAAGAATCCGAAGCGGTTTCGCAAGTCTACAATGTGTCGACGACAAATTTCCTTATCGATGGTTTCACGGGTTCAAGTAAGGTCACCGATCGCCTATCTCTCGGATATTTCAACAACGTGAAACGAGATAATATGATCAACGACATTCGACGGACAATCGGCAGAGGATATCGAATGTATAATTTGGGAGGCGAGATATTTATTGAATCGCTAGCCGACATTCCGTTATTCATTCAATCGGCTAGCTATAATTTGAAAAAGGGATTCCGCAGCATGACGGTTGCCAAGGTTAGAGTGAGAGGGCGCAAGCGTCGAGAAATATGACGAATTTGCAGCTTCTTCCAAATTCCACCATCAAATTGTTCAACAATCTTCAATTCGCCCAGCAACTCAACGCTGCCGCTGATAAAACATTCCAAGGTGATTAATTACCGTAATCAACTAATTAGAGACCATTGCGGAGAACACACATAAATTATGCATGATGATCGTAAAGTCAGAGGGAAAAACCGCACTTGGCCGACATGAAAATAGATCGAATGAAAATTAATTTCGTCCGTGTTTTTTTCAGACGTGTACGCGCTCACAAGGCTATGCACGGTTCGAATTTCATTTGCCAAAGGATGGGGAGCACATTACAAACGCCCATCGGTATGTTGCATCCCTCCATATTTGGACAACGATTTTTATATTAAAACCGAGCAATGGCCAATCTCAAGAGCGGCATTTATTGGCTTCAGATCCCATTCGAAATGCTCAAGACCCATCGAAATTAATTTCGCGTCCCGAGTTTCCATTTTCTTTTTAATCGGTAGTAGCTGAGAAGAACTATGCAGTTTTCCGGAAATTAAAAAAAGACGGTGTCGATTTACGTGAACATTTCAAAATGTTGACTTTTCACCGAGAATCTCAAGTCATATAAAAAATTTATTCGTTTTTTTATAATTCGGAACACGACATGAAAAAAAAAGATAATTAAAAAAACCACTCACGTAAATTTACAAAACAATTTCTTTTAACCGAAAATTGAAATGCACGCCGCTTTTAATAAAGATGCTAGAATATCGAATTACCCCGAATCCTAATATGACATATTTGCAGATAGTCCGATCTCCCGTCTGGGTTGAGACCCATTTCACATCGCCACTCAAATGGATCGACGACGTGCTTCGATGTATGGGTGCCCCACCACTGATCTGCTCTTCCCGAACTTAAATTCCAAAACAGCGTTACATTTCCGGTTTCTTGTCAGTTAAATGTCCCCCTCTCCCCCCACGTCAATCTCCTCTCAGAATCATATCCCGATTAAAAGCAAATCAGTTTGGTCCCTACCCACAACTGATTGGCTCGTAATAATAATAATAAGAGTAATGTGTAAATATGCTTCACGTAGTCTGAAGTAGATTCGCTAATCCCGTCCAAAAAATCCAAAGATTTAAAACCAGCCTACCAAGTGCAAAAAGACACATACACAAAACAATTGAGGACAATCTTTTGAGTTCCAATAAATACAATGTTGCATTTTTTTCTCGCTTCAAATGTCCGCAGATGAAAAAAAATGACGAAAGGTGACACGATCAAGACGAAAACGAGGCGAGAAGCAAGAAAACGGGGCCCGAGAGTTTTTGAGCGCGCATGAAGCTCCAAAATTGGCGTTTCTCGCGTCGTCTCGCTCTCGACTCTTGCGCTTCTCCCGGCTTCACGTAATGTCTCGCGTATGGCGCGGAATACGAAGATCGATGCCGCCGGCAGGCTTCTACCTCGAATTCGCTATATTTCCGACTTTTTTTTTTGCGCAAGCACTCTATTAATTTCTATGCGGCACCGTGATATTCTTGTTGTTCTCGCCGCCCACCGTGTTTACCATTTCGATATCGATGCCCTTTATTTTGATGGCATTTGACAAATGTTGGGCTTCACTGGCTCGTCTAAAGACGACACGCCTACTTGCCGCAATTATTTGAATTATTAATACGAAAAGTTATTATTGTTGAGAAGAAGAAAAGAATACAAAAAAAACGCACTTTTTCTCATAATCAAAGCCATAATTATTTCATATAAATTTCATTGAATTCGAAAATTTTAAGAAATCTTTAAGTCATTTCTTTTATCATAAATTCGCAAATAAAAAACACACGATTTTGGCGCGGGGTTCTTGCGTCATAAATTCCGTAATCCCCTGCATTTTTGATGAATGTTTGTATGGATTGTATAGCTAAAAAAGTCAATTGACGCCGCCACCTTTCTTTTTCTCCTTTTTTGAGGAAAAGCCGATTTTTTAGTTAGTAAAGAAGCCTTAGTTTTCTCGGAAAATAACGAGTGATTTAAAAACCTTGAAAAAAGAAGAGCATTTAAAGATTGCCTATTCAAAGTGATATTTAAATTATACGTTAGAGCAACTTAAGACAATTTTTCGATTTCTTTAAATGTTTTAATACTTCATTAAGAAATTATAGATGGAACCTGAACTTACATGTTTTGATTCACAATTGTTTAAAGGTGCATTCGCAAGATCCCATGCCTGCAAATCCATCAAACTTCATATTCGTTTTATTTCCATGAATGTCTATCTATTAAAGATTCATCTTATAAATCTTCTAAAGCTCAATCAACAATGTCATAGTCATAGTTGTGTATAATTAAAGGCGCATGCTCGTAAATCTACCCAAATGCTAAAGACGCGTCAACTGTGGTAATTTTTCTTAATTACTGAGAAGATAATGATGTGTTTTAAAACACTACGTCACCTTATTTTCGAGTAGCTAATTAATGTGCAGTTCAAGAATCACCATGTTTCGTCCGTTTACTAAAATATTCTCGCAATGCGCCATTAATTTTATTCGAAAATTTCGATTTAGAATTTGTTTTTTTTTTTGCATAAATTATCGGTCGAAGACGTTTTTTTTTCTATGCGAAACTTCTTCTTGTCGTTGTTTTTTTTTGAGGAAAATTGCGATGGACGGAAATGGGCACCCCGCGTTGCTTCTTTTTTTAATGCGACGCGCTTTTTCCGTCGCCAATATCGTATTATCGTGACGTTTGTCCCAATAAAATTTTGGGAAATGTGAGAACTTTGCAAATTTTTCACAATCCAATTTTTTTCTCTTGCCGGCCCTATGAAAATGATATACGCCTACTCATCTTCATATTATAAAATTGTCGCTCAATTTTCTGAATTTTCTCGTCGCAAACAGAATAATCTTTTAAACACGACATAAAACGATTGTGTAAGGGATCAATGCACTTTGCCATATTTAGAAGCGGAAAATAGGAGTGAAAACCACCTGCATATTCGATTTCTACAACGAAAGTTGTTTATTTCTATGCTATAGATCAATATTAATTTCCATTAATAAAAGAAAACGAAAACAAAGTGAAGACAACTGGAAAGACTAATATAAAAATGGCAAACGGAAAATTCCAAATCGATTGATTGGTTACGGTGTCATTTAAAGGTGCATGTAATAAAAATCTCGAAAAACTCTTACCACGATATTATAATTTTGTGTTTCTCCGGATTTTTATAAGTGCTTTCTTCCTCTCGATTATTTCTCATTTTTCCATATTTTCACTCCATTCATTTATAGGATCGCGCCGAGAAAATAGAAGAGAGAAGAGTGGAATTGTTCTTTTATTCATGTTAATGTGCATTTCCTTGCCGTTTATTCAAATTTCCGCCGCAGAATCTCGCCCGCCGATTAATGTTGCTTTCGTGACGTTTCTCGTCTTGTGAAACACGATGAAAAAAAAATAGAAAGAAAAGAATGATGAAAAACACACGCAGAAACGAGAAGACGGCGCAGTTTTCGTGTGTTGTTAGCCGTTGTTCCATAATTTTTTATGTATTTATTTATTTATATTCGCGCCGTTTGAAGCTTTTCAACGATATAAAATGTGTGACGTGTCGCGACAAACAAAAGTCAAGAAAACCCCCGCATTCAGACCTAATTTCATTTTGATGAGAGACCAAAAAAGGACCAAAAAGAAGAAGATGAAATAGTTTTGACCTTCTGTTTGATCTACGCCTCGTAGTTAAATTGCACTTGGCTAGGCGGGTCCCTTCAAACTCCTTTGGATCGTCTTCTCGTTTTTTCTCAATTTTTGTCTATTGCAAGCGATTTAAAGGCGCAGGTGCGTGTGCCGAAATCGAATTATCAGTGCCCTATTCAATATTTCCTCTAGTATTCATGAGAATTGCATTTCACCAAAGAAAAAAGTTTCAATTATTTCGTCGAAACGACTTTTCAGCTGTCGCGCTCATGCGAAAACTAAATGTGCTAGGGAAAATTAGTACGAAATTTTTTCAATGAGAACTCGAAATTCTTTAAAATTTCTTTTTTTTAAAGAAATGACTCACTGGTATAAGTGCTCTCTTGTGTTATTAGTTATCGTTTGTTGAAAATTATTTTAAATAACAGACAATATTTAGGAATTAACGGATGAATGAAGCCAACCTGCAATATTTTTCTGTGCTTGTTTCCAATAACTTTTGATTGAACGCCAATCCAATAATTTTGAGCATTATTATCTTCTTTCGTAACTCGTTTTTTTTCGCCATTTCCACCACCCAAACAGGGTTGTTGATTTTTTTTTGCAGAAAATGCCGCTGGCGCAATTCGCCGAGCCGTTCGGCATAACACCAGCCGCCATTGAGAATGTCTCGCCGGGAATCGACACCGCCAAAATCGACGTGAGTCTTTCATTGTTCATACGTGTATTTGCGTGCGTGTGCTTCCATTTTTGGAAGTTTGTTTGGTGTAGATGATTTTTCGCGGGACGCCACCCATCTTTTTATTGACACTGCTGCTCCCACAATATCCGAAAAAAGGCGGCAGATCAGAATTTATTTTCGTCGACACAAATGACTTTTGAGTTTTTGCTGAACCACGCGAGATTTCTCGCATTGGCTGCCAATATTGTCAAAAATCAAAAGGTGAGTTTGTTCCGAAAAAGGCAAAAAATTGAGACGGGGGGTCTCGCCATGATTTTCAAAAGTATGTATATTGCAGAATTGCACCATTTTAAATGTGATATCGCAGATTTCCTTATACTTAAAAAAAAGAAAATTGTGGGTTTTATATTGCACATTAAATTATGATATGCTTTCCATTTATTTTCGATGTGATTCTGCAAAATAGCGGTGAGACTCAAGCAGCCCCAATTTTCCACTTTCGAATTTGAAAAACATCTCGATTTAAAAATGCATACGTCTAAGTGTACCGATTTACCTCTTCCATAAAAGTTTAGTAGAAATCCATTTCGATTGTGGGTGGGAACAGGTTATACTATTAATAATAAGATGATCGGAACGGAACCAGTTAGTTTCCTCAAACATTAAAAAAAAGAAGCAAACATTCAAGCGACGCCTCGCCCATTCGGAAACTTGAGAAAGGTGTGATTGAGAGGGGACGACGATGGCATGCCTTACACATAAAATATTCGAGCAGCTCAGCAATAATTTATTGTTTTTTATTGATGGACTTACTTGTGACCTTGTTAGTGGTTTGTTGAATGCAACTCTTTTTTTCTATCTTTCCATTTTTTTTCTTTCTTTGGCGAGTGCTCCATGTTGTGATTTTTTTTTTGCGCCAACTAATGAAAAATTCTGGTGCTGGTGGCGCGATGACGTCATCGTCAAAAGAAATGACGAATTCCGATGGGTAAGAGTACGGTAGCACACCCCGTTCGAATCTAAGAATGTATACAAAAGCAATCAGATGTTGAAGAAGAAAAAGAAGAATAAGATGAAATGCATAAATATTGAGTGTGTTTGTGTATGAATGTGCGGTGCGAAGTGGTTTTTTTTATTAATCGCTCGACGCCGCCTTTCGATGTTGGTGTTCGTCAAAGACTATCATTTCCAGGTGTCGATGCGAAGCGATGCCGATTGCAGTTCGGATTTGTCGACGACGTTTGGCGACAAGGTTCGTTCACATACCCTCTCTCTCTCTCGATCTCACTCTCGCCAATTTTTATTTGTTGTTTTGTGCATTCTGTTGTGATTTTTGAGCCCGATGCGGTTGGTTTTCGTTTTACACTTGGCCAACGCTGCTGTTTTGCTGTTGCTTTGCAAAAAAAAATTGGTTTGACGGTGGTCATGAGATAAAGTTTCTTAAGAAGTTCTTTTTTTTTTCAAAAAAAAAAAGAATGTGTTTTAAAATTTTTTCTGAAACGACCCGTTTTATTATAAATGCTCTCCAAGTTCACAGGTCTCTCTTTTCAAAATTGATTTTTCTTAATCTATGTATATTTATGTGGTTCCTTTGGGCGCAACGGCTGGTGTTTGCTCAGCCGTTTCCCATTTTTGCCCAAACTTTGACATTGTTTGATGGCGTGTTCTCCAGACCGACACCACGACCGAAACGGAAATCGACATTGGTGATGTGCGCAAATGCGGCGAAAAAGCCGATCCGCGCCAGTTCGAGCTGCTCAAGGTGCTCGGGCAGGGATCGTTTGGCAAGGTACGTTCAAACCGTCCTAGTTAATTAGTGAAAATCGGCTTCTGGAAAGAAGAACGCGATTATCAGAATCTGTTCGATTTTAAATTCGGCTTTTTATTCATAAAAATTTGATTTTGAGGGGGGGGGATATTTTTTGAATTTCAAGTCCTTTTTGAAAAACACTTTTTCTCCGAAATTTGTTTAAAAAAAAACTTCGCAAGTTTCAGGAAAACTCAAAAAAAAAGTTAGAAATCAACTCGAATAATTTAACTTTTAAAGTCGCATATTTCTAAGGCTTTTCGTGACGCATTCTGGTAGCGATATTTCTTCAGAAGCATATTTTTGATGAGTGGTATCATCATTCATGTTTAGGTGTTTTTGGTGCGAAAAGTTCGCGGAAGGGATGCCGGGCATGTGTATGCGATGAAGGTGCTGAAAAAGGCGACGCTTAAAGTTCGCGATCGACAGCGGACGAAACTCGAACGCAATATTTTGGCACATATCTCGCATCCATTTATAGTCAAATTACATTATGGTGAGCGATTGTCGATAAACAGGAAATTGATATTGGCAATATTAATTTTGTGTGTGCGTGTGTGTTTTTGCGATCATTCGCCTTTAATGTTGACGGGAAATTGAGATTTTTAGCATTCCAAACTGAAGGCAAATTATACCTAATATTGGATTTTTTACGAGGAGGTGATCTGTTCACTCGATTATCGAAAGAGGTTTTGTTTTCGAATTTTTCTTTTTTTTGGTTAAATTTTTTCCTTTTTAGGTTATGTTTACCGAAGATGATGTTAAATTCTACCTTGCCGAGCTCACTTTGGCTCTTGAGCATTTGCATAGCCTTGGAATCGTTTATAGAGATTTAAAACCGGAAAAGTTTGATTTTTTTTCGATTTCGATACATTTTCTGATATTTTCAGCATTCTTCTTGATGCTGATGGCCATATTAAAGTAACCGATTTCGGATTGAGCAAAGAAGCCATAGACAGTGAAAAGAAGACGTATAGCTTTTGCGGTATCGAATCTTCTTTTTTTTGGGAATGAGTTGTTTGTTCAGGAACTGTCGAATATATGGCGCCGGAAGTGATCAATCGGAAAGGGCATTCGATGGCTGCAGATTTCTGGTCTCTCGGTGTTCTTATGGTGAGAAACTGGTTAGAGTTTCCTATTTTTGGTTTATTTGTTTGCAGTTTGAAATGCTTACCGGGCATTTGCCGTTCCAAGGAAGCGATCGCAATGATACGATGACCCAGATTCTGAAGTAGAATTTTTTGAAATTCAATTTTGTTTGTTTTTAAACCAATGTTCGGCTTATTTTTAGATCGAAACTATCGATGCCGCATTTTTTGACGCATGAAGCTCAATCTCTTCTGCGTGCGCTTTTCAAGAGAAATGCTCAGAATCGTCTTGGAGCAGGACCCGATGGAATTGAGGAGATCAAACGGCATCCATTCTTTGCCAAAATCAATTTTGTCAAATTGCTCAACAAGGAGATTGATCCGCCTTTCAAGCCCGCGTTGGCCACCATCGACAGCACACTTTATTTCGATCCGGAGTTCACGAAACGAACGCCGAAAGACTCGCCGGCGCTTCCGGGCTCGGCGGCGAATCACGAGATATTTCGAGGGTTCTCGTTTGTTTCGGCCGCCGTCACTGAGCAGCAGAAGAAGTGCGAGAAGCCGATTCGATCGGTGCCGACGGCGAAGACGAACGCGTTCACTGACGACTACGAGATTCTGGAGTTGATTGGACGAGGCGCGCATTCGGTGGTGCACAAGTGCGCGATGAAGGCGACGAGAAGAAAGTATGCCGTCAAGGTGAGAAGAATATATTGAATCTAGGCAATTCTTCTGGTTTCAGATTGTTAAGAAGTCTGACTTTGATGCTTCGGAAGAGGTTGATATACTTCTACGTCATTCCCATCATCAGTACATCGTCAAGGTTTTGTTCTTTTTTTCAATTAACAAAATACATTTTTTGCAGCTTTTTGATGTTTATGAAGATGAAGCTGCTATTTATATGGTCGAAGAACTTTGCGAAGGGGGTGAACTTCTTGACAGGTTGGTGTTTAAAAGCGGACATTTCTCAACACTACAAATTTTTAAGATTGGCGAATAAGAAATCGTTGGGAAGTGAGAAAGATGTGGCTGCCGTAATGGGAAATCTGCTGTTTGCCGTCCAGTACTTGCATTCTCAGCAGGTTGCCCATCGCGATTTGACGGCTTCGAATATTCTGTTTGCTTCGAAAGACGGCGATCCGAGTTCGGTTCGAATCGTTGATTTTGGATTCGCGAAACAGTCTCGAGCCGAGAATGGAATGCTCATGACGCCGTGCTACACGGCTCAATTTGTGGCGCCGGAAGTGCTCCGCAAACAGGGATACGATCGATCATGCGACGTGTGGTCTTTGGGTGTTTTGCTTCACACAATGCTCACTGGATGCACGCCGTTCTCGACGGGACCCAACGATACGCCCGATCAGATTTTGCAACGAGTCGGAGACGGCAAGATATCGATGAGCAATTCGGTGTGGAACAATATCTCCGAAAATGCCAAGGTTTTTGCGCGGAATTTGAGAATCAAATCAAATTGTTTTTTTTTTTCAACTAGGATTTGGTACGAAAAATGCTTGATGTTGATCCGAATCGGCGTGTAAATGCGAAACAAGCGCTTCAGCACCCATGGTTGTGGCATAGGGATGTTCTTCCGGATCGGCCGATTCAGGATGAGAAGGATGGGCTTGATATGAAAAACGTAAAAGTTGGTTTTTCGCATGAATGCTTTTGATTATTAGTTTGCCAAGAAAAGTGTAAGTATTTTCAAAGAAAATGCACTTCATTTAATAAATCTATTCAGTTTTTTGCAAAATTATCGAATTTGTCGTTTTTACCCGAAATTAAATAATTTGCAAAAACGACTATTTTGCAGTATTTTCAATAGGGGCTTAAAAATTAAATTCTAAAATTGCCTTTTTACAAAGCTGGAAATTGTTTTAATTCATATTGTGTGTTTCATAGAATTATTCATTAAATGTTATTTTTGGAGAAATGGAGAAAATTTCAAATTTTGCTCACCGTTTACAAAAAATGTAAAATTAAAAAATATTTTAAAGCATTTTTTTATTGCATGATCCTTAAGAAAATTTTATTTACAAAGCGAGATTTTGGCTAGATTTACGTTTTGGAACCGAAAATTTGAATTCCATTTGCATCTATATTTGTGACGTCACATCGTAAATCTAGCCACACCGCAGCGCGTTTGACGGCATTGTTTTTGAAATGAAGAAATGGCATGTCGGAGACACTTTGCTCGATAGAAATTGCACAATTTGTTGCAGGTGGCACTTGAGCAAACGTATCGTGCAATTCAATCGGCGCCGAGTGTCGAATTACGCCCTGTGGGCTCGTCGGCATTGGCGAAACGACGGCTCAAAGAAGTGCTGACGACGAATTATGCATCGAATGTGAAGGTTTGATGAGGTTGATGAAAAGCTTTGTGATATTAAGAAAACCTTGTTGAATTTCAGAAACCTTCGAAACATCTACCCACCGACGCTTCTGCAATTCTGTGAAAATTGAATATGTTTAATAGGCTGAGTAATTTCTAGTTTAAGTCTCTACTAATGCTCATTAGATGATTTTAGACCCTATTTTTTTTTATAAATTTACAGTTACTCACGATTTCCCCCAAAAATTTCTCCAATTTAATTCACTTACTAACCCGTTTTATAAGGACCCAACTCCCTATAATGTATGTATGTAATTTCCTACTAATATTCTGTTATATGAGAAATCCTCCTTTTTTTCTTCTTCTTCTTCACAATGTCCCTTTTGGGTTGTGATTCACAATTTTACGGGCCCTTGCATACATTCTTCTATATTCGCCTGACAAACCATTAACTAACATATTATTATTGATCAAGCATATTACTATTTCGGAACATTAAAAAAACAAATAAAAATGATTTAGAACGAAATTCATTGAAGGATTGGGGTTAATTTAAAAATTCGTAAAATTGGGTGATAATTAATAAAAATGATTGATTTGGTGGAGGCGAACGCGAACCAGATATCGCATTTTGATTCGACACGGATCATAGACAATATATCTGCAAATAAATTCATAAAATTGGCGTGAGATTTGAGAATTCTCATTTTGATATCGATACAAGCTAGATAATGGTGAAAGTCGACGAGCTCAAGGTTGGCGCGTTTTGAGAAAATTTGGCAGAAAAAAATATATAAATTGGCTCGCAGAGCAACAACAGCGTCGAGTCTCGATTAGAAGAATTCACAAAATTACTTGAATCGTCTTGCGGTATATTACAGGTGATTTGATAATATAATTGAAAGGTCTTTTTGCGAAATATTCGCACCATGTTTCGATAATTCTATAATTTAATGGAAAATTGCGCAATCGTTTTGTGTAGTCCACACGGAGAAACAAGTTTCAGTCGACTGCAATTCACTTTTTTCGCAAATTTTTCGCCACTGACCGTAACCAGACATTATTGCCCGATGAGTCGCCATATTATGAGCGGATTGTGACGAGAATCATGGCGTTCCTCAACGAGAACACACTTCTCGATGATTCGCGAATCGACGCCATCTGGATCATCACCAACATGTGTTGCATTAGCAAACAAGTCACCCATCTCATTGTCGACATGGTTCGTCAATCTCATCAATCCGCACGTCTAATGCTCGTTTAGAACTGCATAAGCACCCTCCTCAGATTCCTCAAGTCACCCAATAAAATACTCGTTAATCAGTGCATTTGGGCTCTCGCCAATATCGCCGCCGATTGTCAAGAATGCAAAATGCGGTGTCGATCGGTGAAGTTGTTTCGGGTAGACGCTTCCAGAATTTCGTCGGAATATACAAATTGCAGAAGCTCGCGCAACTCCTCGCAAAACCCAACGAAATGAACACAATCGATCGAAAAAACGCGATCTGGTGTATCAATAATCTGACTTCCGGCGGTAGTGTCGATATTCCGTTCGCAGTGGCTCGGTCGCTGATCATTGCATTACATAAGAATCTGCTAGGGCCTGATGGTGAGCCGATGTATACCGCGGCAAGAGTGTTGTGGTCAATGGCGAGCATCGTCGATGATATGAATGATCTTCGGAAGATTGGCATCGTTCTACGACAGCCCGCGCTTCTCGAGACTGCTATGCTCATTTTTCTAGTAGGATGAGCATCCCCCCGCCGCTGATCGTTGAGATCCCAATTTCAGAGCAATAAGTACACGTCGCTTCACACCGCTGCTCTTCGACTCATCGGCAACATCGCGGTTGGCGATGATTCGCACACCGACAAACTCATCAACTCACCGACATTCCGATATGTCATCGATGTCGCCATGCGTTCCGAAGAGTACAAGGGCGAGATCGCGTGGATCTGCTCGAATCTCGCCGCCGGCCAACCAAGACATATCGACTACTGTGAGGCGACGGCCTTTATTAGGCGGGGACCAATTCTCGTTTAGTATTGCAGGACGAGCAATTCTATAATTGGGTGCTTGCCGGAGCTCATTCCAACGATCGACGCCTCAAGAAGGAGTGCCTCTGGATTGTGGCGAATATGCTAGTCAGCGCGGATGAGAAGCAAATCGAAACGCTTGTCAACGAGGTTTCAGAATGAGCGCCGGATAGATTCGGGGCATTCTTTTTAGGGCATCGTCAATATGATTCCGCTATTATTGAAATCCGAAGACGTACGACTCAATGAGAAGGCGCTCACCTCAGCAATCCGAATTCTTCAGGAGTTTCCATGGCAAGTAAGAATTACATTTCTGTGAGATATTTATTCTTATGAAATTTGACAAAAAAATGTTTGCTCATATACTTAAAACAAATAGTTTACAAAAATTTTCTTCAAAAAACTTATACTATACCGTCATGTTGTAGTGCAAATTATACGGAATTCTCGACATTCCGAATAATATCAACAAGGACCTACTAACCGACGAATCGCCGGAAATGGTAAAAAAAAGAAGAAGCTAATATTTGGAGGTGCTGAGTTTACTGGATACTTTCAGTTCGTCGCCCATCAACGACGTCTGGTGCAGCTCATGGAGAGCATGAAGACACCAAAGCGAAGCGGATTTCTGGCGAATTGCCGAATGATCAGTTATTCACTCACCGACATGCGTTGCGAACCAATGATTTCATAACCCCCCGTTTGGATTAACTACTACTACTACTACTACTACTACAAAATAAATCTGAACTCACTCGTTGTACAAAAGGCTCGAACCGAAGAATCCCTTCTTGACGATGGAATTGGCTGCCGGATATTTATAGCCATCCTCATGGGTGTTCCATCGATCCGGTTCGGGGAATTCGATTCCCAAGCCAAGCACCGAGTCGAAGTTTTCCCTCTTCAAATAGTCTTTGGTGATGGTTTGTGCGCGTGTGAGCTCGAGCTGATTGCCGAGAGACACCTCGCATAATAGGATGTAGGCTTCTTCGTCCTCATGTGCCTGAAAATGAGTGGGTCGATAGAAGAAGAATTCCGAATAACGGCTCACACGACAATAGAAGACGCTTTTCGAGAACATGTCGGCAAAATAAATGCCTTTTCCGAACATGTAGCCAGACTGCAAAAAAATTTTTAATTTCAAATTTCAGTGCAATTAAAAAAATGTTTTCTCATTTGTCGTAAAAAATTAATTATATGATTTTTTAAAAACAAAAAATATTTGAAATACTGCAATTTTAGCGGTATTTTGATTATTTTGATAGATTTTGGGTTTTCACGACAAGACCTTATTAAAGGCGCATCGCTTCGCTTACATGAGGAGCCTCTTTCGGTGCAACCCTCAAACCCTGCGTCAAAATTCCCGCATAATTCATTTTGCCGGATCCGTGCCATAATAGTTTGTGATTGTCGCTTCTTTTGAACTTGCTGACGTCTTTGCGAATCTCGATAACCTACAAAATTCTCTCGGATCGAATGTAGGCTTTTTTTCCCGCAAAAATAACTCACATCAAGCAATTGACATTTGATGCCATGGGTGCTTCCAATTGTATTGAATAAATATTCGTGAACCATTTTATAGTTTTTATCTGTTTCATCGAGCGGAATCAGCTCGCAATTCAATTTCTCATAATTCACATCGACCGGATCGCGTTTCGTCAACTTCACGTCCTCGTTTCCGGCGCGCACTTGATCATAGGCGAATTGAATATCAAGAAGAGCATCGAGCATTTTCGACTTATCCTTTAAATTTAAGATTGTAAGCAATATAAGAGAAGGGGGGGGGACATACGCGAATTTTCTGAACAGTATCAATCGGCTCGGGCATTTTCATTCCAAAATTATGCGGAATAATTGTGTAGAATTTATTGGTGGAATCCATCAACTTAATTTTATCTTGAACAGGCTCAGTGATCAAATCTAAATAGCTATCATTTCACAGAAGGTTCGATTCAAGGGACCTTGAAGCTGTGTTAGAACTTCATAGGCAGTCATTATCTGCTTTTGCGACAATTTACCCAACGGCAGCTTGTTTATATCCATCTAAAAATCTTCTATTAAAGGGCAACAAGCTGAACAAAAATAAAGACCTCAAAACTTTTCATAGCCTCTTTCATATTATCAACATTGAAAATTGAAATGATGATATCTTTGACCGAATTCGGAAGCTTCGTTTGCGATCCGGGAATAATCGAGCAATCCATGGAATTCTCCTAAAATTCCAATTGCTTTTCATATATTTAATTGCTCAATTACGAATTCTGAGTAATCGGTTTCAATGTAGCTGAAAAATCCGGGATGTTTGCGGAAATACTTGCGATACTCCCATTGATTGTTAGTTTTTTCTTTAAAAATTCTGAAAATATTCGATATTTTTCGACAAATAAAATAGTCGATTCGACAAAACTTTTTGAATTCCTCGACTCCGGATTCAGAATCGTAGAATGATGGATACTTGCAGTTGCCAACGTCGGTTCCAACGCGTCCCCACGACAAGAATAGATAAAATACGCTGAAATTTGTTTCAACTACAGTGAACACCTCGTTTTTTATTTACCTGGCCTTGTCTTCCTTTAATAATTGCATTTTATAGTACGAATTTTTGTTACATGATAGATCAGTGAATGTCAGAGTCGCTGAATACAAGTCTAAATGTTAATTGCATAATTAGTAAAGTGTTTATAGTCTCGGCAACACAACTCACTTCCATTATCATCGCGGTACACATGGCATATTTCAGCGTACGGAAAATCGCCGTCAATGACGGTCCCGCGTTTTACAATCTGCCGACATTTGTAGCCTCTCATGTCTTAAAAATTTCTGATTTTTTTCTACATTCAAAAAGGCATTTTTTGGCAATTCTGAAACATGTTGAAATTTGAAAATTAACGGCTCAATCTAGCATTTTATAGTTTTTTTTTTCATTGTAATTCAACTGAAAATAAAACAAATCACGCAACATATCATTTACAAGTTAATTTGAGCCCGAAACAAATCAAACTTGTTTCAGAATATTCAAATTTATAAAAGTACACAAACTTTTTTATAAAATTTTCCTTAAAATTGTCAATATTCAAATAAAACATTGCAATTTAGTATCACCAAATTCAAAATTCGTTCAACATTTCCACTTACTGCTGACTCTTAGAACTTCTCCATCGTTGCTGAATACCTCATCAGCAGCCATCACATTTGCAACCTTATTTGCCTTTTGTTTCTCTAAATGTCTGAATCCGCATTTTTTTAATATTCACTAGGTATTTTGTATAATTATCCTACCCAACTACTGGCTCTTCTTCGGAGTATATTCGATCTACCATTGCCTTAAAAATCGGCGGGGTTTTTTTAAGAATTAAAATCTGATGCATTTTCTTACATTGAATGGAAGTCGCGTAGAGGCAAAACTGTGTGCAAAATCTGGTGGGAATTCGAACGGAGTTCTTACTGGATTCTTGCTGGTGTTCATGCATTTCGCATATTCTGTCACATATCCGGTGCACACATACGTCTTATTCGACGAGCTGTAGAAAAGAATTCCGTTGGTGCATTCTGGGCATCCCATTGGTTTTCCGTATAAGGCGATGTCGGCGAGTCGGTCGAGGACATTCTCTCGCGACGAGGGAATGTCTTGCTCGTTGAATTTCAAGATTGACGCGAGATCTGTCTCGTCAAGAGTTTGGAAGAAATCGCGAAGCTCCCAGAACATTAAAGATTGCTTCTGAAATTTGAACAAACGGCGTCGACGGAGATACATTTTAAAGCATATTACTTTAAGCTTTTCTTTTTTTCGATTCTCACGCAACTCTTCTATTCGTATCCGCCGCCGTTTGGTGCCCTCGTCTTCGTCGTCACCTGCTGCCAAAGCGGAGATTGGACGTTTCAGGCTCGCCGATGTAGATGGAAGTGAATCGCTATAAATATTGCGTTTAAAACAATCTACAAAATTCAGTGCAATTTGGAAATTCATTTTAATCTTCTCATCAAAGCTTGTAGCAATCGCTCACTCAAGGGTAATAATGGGGATGCCGTCGTTGTTCGGAGTCTTCTCACGATCGCATCTTGATACAATTTCATTATTCTTCTTCTAAACTATTCAAATTTTGTCATCAGATCTTTAGACACACCTCTTCAAGATGTTTTTCAAAGCAATCGAGAAGTGATTTTTTCGCTTCGGGAGTGAAATCATCCCAATTGCTAATCTCGGATATATTCTTCGAACAGATTTCGTATTTTTTGAAAATACATTCCGAATGATATCGATGATTCTTGTAAAAACACTAAAACGAGCGTAATTCAATGTATTTTTGGTTTTCTTTTTTACTTTTATTTCGCCGATGTGAAAGAAATGTTGGCATTCGGCGCACTTTCCGCGAGCTGTTTTCGCGATTTCGAGCTTCAAATTAATAAAAACTAATTGATTTTTGTAGTCATGCGTCTTTAATTCGCTAGTGCTTTTTTTGAAATTCTCGATATGTCTTCGCAGCAATTCCTGATCCTCCCATTTAAGGAATTCGACGCCTTTCACCGAACTCTCGTTGATTTCGTGGACTCCGGGTATCAATTTAGCCCAGAAACATGGAAAATGAAATCAGAACTCGCAGGAGCCGTCGTAACGTCGACTTGGTGCGCGGCATGCCATACGCAAAGATCCCTGAAATCGTTTTTAATTTACGTTTCGCATTTTATATTTTTTATACCTCTTGAAATGAAGACTCGCAGGTTACACAGAATGCTTCGTCTGATCTGGAATAGCTAACGGAATATGGAAGATCGCACCGCCTCTCAATAGTTTCAGAGTTCATTTAATCTGAAATATTTGAAAGTAAATGCGAATTTTGAAGTAATATTTAATATGACACAAAACGGCTGAAAATTAAACAAAAATCAGATCTACATTTTTGATCATACTAGTGATTTTCTTTGGAATTTAGAATTTGCTAATTTTAAATTTTTCAATCCTATAGAAAAACTGGTTATTAAATAATGTCAATATTTTCCAATATTTTCGAAAAAATTTTAATATTCGGTTGATGGCCGTCTCGTCCATGAAATAATGGCCTAGGATTTTTTCACGGCCGCGCTGAATAATTTAATGAATTCCGTCGAAATTATCGAATTTTCAAATGGTCAAAGCAATATTTGTGTTTTCACAAACACACACGGATTTTCGAATAGCGGAATTCGAAGCGGTTTGCGAAATTTTCACAATAAATGTCGATTTGAGTCCGTTAAATGCGGAGGTTTTGGTCTTTATCAATAAAACTTAAAAATTTCAATTTTTAGAATCATATTTGTGTTCTTGAATTTTCCACAATTGACGATGTTCATAAAATATTGTCAAGATGCGTTCTAGTTAAGTTTGCTGTTGAGTATTTCGCAGAAGGTCAGAGTTATGAGCAGTTATATCAAGAAATTGAGGATAAAAAATTGCTGAAGGTAAGAAATGTGACATAATTGATTCAGATAATCGCTTTTAGAATTTCGACAACGTCGATGACTCATTTGCAATAAGAGTATTCGCAATTGGAAGAAAGAAAAGGCTTGATTTAGTCGAAAAAGTAAAGGTGACACCAAATTTTGGCATTCCAGCAATTCATTGCCGGAAATTTGCAGACATTTCTGGACAACGTGACGTTCACACAATCTCCAGTGAATTTGCGTACACCGAAAAATGAATTCTATTTAGTTGAAGAGTACGAAAAACCAATCGACAATGATCCAAGTCAAGTGTATTTCGGGAAATTTGTAAAAAAAATACAATTCTACAGAAAAATTACATGAAAATGAGAAACTTCAGATAGGAGACGGCCAATATCTTCTCAAGACCCGCTATAATCTCAAAGATCGTTGCTACATCGGAAATACCACCATGGATCCAGAGTTGGCGTTTCTACAAGCAAATATCTCACGGGTTTCACCTGGCGAAATTGTCTTGGACCCTTTTGTGGGAACTGGCGGACTAATACTGTCCGCAGCTGAATTTGGAGGCCTTGTCGTTGGAATGGAAATCAACTATCAAACCGCAAACGCAATCGGTAAAAACAACACACAAATAGGGCTCTTTTTGCGAAAATTGTCGTTTGATTCGTAAGCCTTCGAAAAAAATACTTCGAAAATGGTCTCAAAGTAATCAAATTTTTGGAAATTGAAAACCAATGCAGTTTTCTCGAATATTGGGCGAATTTTATTTTTTGACGTATTGGCGCCACATCCGAAATTCGGCTTGATGCCAGAAAACTATGGGTGAGATAAATTTCAAAATTAATAAGAATAGGTTCAGCAAAGACCTCTTTCTTTTCGCATTGAGCCCATTTGGCGCCGAAAATGCTATTTTTGATCATTTTTATCTGGAAAAATTGGATTTCTAGGGAAATCGTCTAGAAAAGGAGTTGGAACTCGCGGCGATGATGAGAGCATTCAAGCAAATTTTGAGCAGCAAGGAACACAGGTAATTTGAGAAAAAAGGGAAGAAAACCCTAAATTCACTTGTTAGGACCGCCTCCTTTCGATTATAATTGGAGACTCGAGCAAACATGAAATTTGGAGTCGGAATTCTCGATTTGACGTGATTGTTGCTGATCGTAAGACATAATTTTTTTATTTCGAAATTTCCAAGCAAAATTCAATTCAGCTCCTTATGGGGTGCGAGAAAAAGGGAGAAAAGTCGGGAAGAATTTGAAATCCCATCGAGAAAATGCACAGGTGCCTCATGATTGGTAACCAAGCCACGGTTTTCGATTTTTCTTTCAAATCTACCTTCTTTTTAGTGTTCGCTTCCCCCAAAAACAGGAATATGATTTGGAGAAGGTTTATTGCGATTTGCTGAATCTCGCAGCGAAAATTTGCGCAATTGGTGGACGTGTCTCGTTTTGGTATCCGGTTATACTTGAAATGTATGTCTCTAAAATTTTATTTTTCAAAATTCCCAATTTTTCAAAGCTATTCTGATGAGAATCTTCCCAAGCATCCTGCAATGAAATTAATTGCAAATTGTGAGCAAACTTTGACTAGGAATACTAGCCGTCGACTGCTCACTTATAAGAAATTGAGAAATCCCGAGGAATACGAAATTGCTGAAATTTTGAAAACTGGAGTCAGCAAGTATCGAAGCACATTATTCAAATCCAAAAATTAATTTTTATTGTAATGGTTTTGTTGTTTTTCTTGTTAATTTTGTTGTTTATTCACATAAAAATTAAAAACTCTGACGTTATTATTTAAATAATTTTACTTGCAGAAATTATTATGAAGACAATCGAAAAAAAAATTTATTTAAAAATAAGTTTAAAATGAAAAAATTATTTCGCACATAATTTCAATTGTTTCTCAATAATTTCTAGTTTTATACAAACATAGATATTTTTATTTTTAGCTCTAAATTCGCTGTAATATCCTTATCCGCGACGAAAATCGCGAAAAACAGGCTTTTGTGTCGAAGAGCCCAAGGACGCATAGCTGATGACGATCGCCAGGTCTCGCAGCGCGCATTCAATTTGCAGTTCGCTGGGTTACGGTAACCCTCTCCACCGGCATGCGATTGATGCGGAGAAAACGCTAGCGACGTTCTCACTACTGTTATCTTCATGTCATGGTGAAAACCTATATTAAGGCTCGTCAATCTGCCAACTTTTATTGCTTTTTTAATCGCTTCCTCGAGCCTTTTTCTTTAAGTTACGCTCATTTTCATATTTGCTTTTTTTCAGTAATGAAGCTTTCTACGGTTCTTTTCTTGGCTGTATTTGGATTCTGCGCTGTTTTTGGTAAGTATTCAAATAAAAAAATAACAATGTATTAGGTTTCGTTTAGCTGCTGATGTTGTCGATGGAGAAGTCTCTGACGACGGACAGAAGGTTGTCGAAGAAGATGATTTGACAGTCGGCCCATCACCAGACGTTTCTGTTGCTTTCCATTTTGTTCAACCGGCTGATGCCAACACCCTTAATGGTATTTTAAGAAAATTTGATTTTTTAAAAGAATTTTCGGCATTTTAGAAGTTTATGGCGGAAAGCCAGTCAAGTTCTTGATCGGATTCCACAACAAGGGAGAGAAGGACTACGTCGTTAAGTTCTCTGAAACTTCATTCAGATTCCCAATGGACTTCAACTACTATCTCCAGAACGTAAGTAACAAAATGATTCTTATATTTCTGAAATATCACTTTTTAGTTTACCCGTGGAGAGTACAACCGCCGTGTCCCACCAAAACAATCCACCACTCTTGACTACGGATTCTATGCCCACGAATCTTTCTCTGGAAGAAACCTTGGACTCGTCGTCAACCTTCACTACGAGGATGCTGATGGCAAGTACTACATCAACAACGTTTACAATCAGACTGTTGCCATCCTCGAGGACGACTCCGGATTCAACGGAGAGACTGGATTTATGTTCTTGATCTTCGTCGGACTCGGAATCGGAGCTCTTTACCTCTGCAACCAATTCCTCTCCAAGGTAATCACTAAAAATTCGTCATTGTTTTATATAATCATTCTTTCTAGCTTTCACGAAAATCCGGAATTCAAAAGAGAACCGTTGTCGAGCAGGGAACTACCAACGGCGAGGTTGATTATGAATGGATTCCAAACCATGTAATCAAGACCTCTGAGAAGAAATCGCCAGTTGGATCACCAAAAAGCCGCAAGGCCAAGAAAACCGACTAATTATTAGTATTACTATTGATAGTGCTAAAATCAGAATAGTGCCTGCCCTCATTTTGTGCACGTTTTGCAAAGCTGCATTTTGTAGAAATTGTCTGAAATGAATGCAGGAATGCATATCCAACGGTTACACCACTTTCAGTAATGTAATTTATGCCTTAACTTATTTTTGGCTTCAATAAGAGAGTCCTACCTTAATTTATGTATATTTTCTTTAGTTTTGCGGAGCAGCCCGCATTTAAACGCCCAAAATTCAATTTCTCGTTAATTCTTGTTGTATTTTCAGTGCGGGACGGGTATAGGCTTGGTTCGCTGACCACTTACTGTACTCCGAAATATGTTTTTTTTTCTTTTTGTTACTCGTTCAAAATTATATGTGATTTTTGCCCTTTGCTCTTATGTCTTATTCCAGAATAAAACTAATTTTATTTTTGATATGCTCGAACAAGATTAAACATGATAAAAAGAGAAATATAATGGGAGACAAAGAGACGGTGAGAAATTGGCGTCAATTATTGCGCAAAGTACGCAATACGACATTGCGGTCGATGCGCCACATTCAACGACGTCGTTTGGATTTTCCACGATTTTTTGAATATTTTTAATAAGATTTGGGTTTTTTACAATGTTTTTGTGTTTTGTTTTACCCTAATAGCTTAAGCTAAAATATAAATTAATTTATTTACTAACTGTTCTAACAAACTTCTCAAATTTGCGTGATTTCGTAATAATTTCGAAAATTTACGATATAATTTCAGAAATCGCACAATGGCTTCAAAAACCCAACAAGAAAGGCAAAAGGAAGATGAAGAGGCAACAGAAAAATTTTGAAATGTTAAAAGAATTCATTATTTCTAGGTTTGCTCCGACGCAAGTGATTTTTGCAAAGCATTTTTTGATGTGGTAGACCGCAAACGTGAAAAAATCGGATTTTTGTATGCGAACATCGCGTCTTCGAATCTTGTATATAATGGAAACCCAATTGAAGGATATGATAATATTTGCAAGTAGGATTTTTTTCAAAGAAATTCTTGAAAAAACAGACTAATCTTGCCAGATTTTTCGCGGCCATGCCTTCCACACAACACAATGTTCAATGTATTGATGCTCAGCGAGTTGCAAATGGTAATTTTTTTTATTATCAACCCTAAAATGAAAAAATTGAAGTGTCACCGGAATTAAATGGTGGAATATTGTTGAATGTGACCGGCACAGTTGTCGTCGGCGATGGCGATCTCCGCATATTCACACAATCGATCATGTTGTGCGTGGAAGACGGGAAATACAAAGTAAATTCTCCTATTCACATTTGTGTGCTAATTATTCCATTTTTAGGTGTTCAGCCATCGTTATCGATTTGTTAATTAATTTTTGTATTTATTGTTGTCAATTTGTTAATTAATTCATGAAATATTCAATGATTAAACGTCATTTTTTTATTTTAATGCTAATTTGCATTCTAATATCTTTTCAATACGAGAATTGGGAACCATTATCCTTTTAGGATGGAAATTGAGCACATGAGGACTGTGGAGCTGCTAGCAGCAAAAGCAGCCAACTGGGGGCTGCCGAACGATGAAGAAATTGATGGTAATTCGATAGTAGACCTAAAAATATAAGTTTCTGATATTCAGATATCGAAGGACCTTCGGATGATAGATGTACGAGTCAATTGCTCGCAGAAACTCTGGACAGTGTCCGAAAAAGAGAGAAGGAGCTCATTGAGCAACAATATCATCCAGATGTGAGATTATCGATTTTCAAAAATGTTTTTCTTTCTATTTTTGAACTTTTTTCTACATATTTGAGTAGGCTAGAACTGGATTTTCAATATTTGTCAAAATCCGAAACAGAGCTCCGAGAATATTCACTTTTTTTGCGAAAAAATAGGCTCAATTGTTAATTTTTGTTTGTTTTTGAGCCCCCAAATGCTTAAATTTTTTAATTTTCAACTGAGAATAGAAACAGAATTTTTACGACTAATATGGTCATTGTATGATTAAAAAAGAGTATTAACGAAAAATGCGACAAATAACCACTTTTTTCTTGAATTTTATTTTCTTTTCAATAATTAATTTTAAATAACGTTTTCAAGTTTTTTTTTAATATTCACTCAAAAAAATTTCAGGTGAATGCGATTCGATCAAATGCGAAAACTCTTCACGAATTGCAAGGGCGCATCGAAACTGTGAAAAATGTAATTTAAATTGCAATTTATTTGAAATCGGGCCAAATTTTAGACAATGAAAGAGCTTCAAGAGGCGTATCAATCAGTCTCGAGTCGGACGTCGTCACTTCACGACGCTTGCGATCGAGCGCTTGCCCAGCAGAACGCGCTTTCGACGGGATCTGACATGATCAAAACGAATTTGTATTATTTCAAAAAAGCCGACGCCATTATGAAGAAGCTCTCGGTCGCGAAGCTTATGGTCACTGGCCAATCATTCGCCGCGATTTTGGCATCGATCGATGAATGTTTGTCGTTTCTTCGATCTCATCCCGAGTACAAAGAATCGGCGACATATGTCGCCAAGTTTGAGCAATGCTTGAGCAGGTTTGCTTCATCATTGCGAATGTTGAACGAATAATGTTTGAAGAGCTCTAACTTGGGTTCGAATTGGAGTTTTGGCCGATTTGGAGAGCTGCTTCAATGATGTGAAAGATAGGCAAGCGCAATTGAATGTAAGCTTATTTCAATTGCAAATTATTCCAATTTTTCAGCTAAAAATTAATTGAGAACATTGTATTGAAAATTTTGGGCTATAAAATCTTTTAGAAAATGTTGAAATCTTAAAATCAAGCGTATTTCAACCAGAAATATTCAACAATTTTCGAGTTCAGATCGATTATGAGAAAATCGGCCGAAGCGGCGCCGACGAGGACACGTTCGCTCTACTCTATGGTGTGTTTGCGTCGAAAGCATCGTCGATCAAGTGAGTAAAGAGTGGCTGTACCGCGTCTTTTGCTTGATACGCGAAAGGTCGCCGACTCGACCCCCCGCGTCAACGGACAGATTGAGTTGACTCGAGCCGCGTCGGATCGCTGTCAAATTACTGTCCGGAAATTGTAGAGAGTCGCGGCAAAATGCGGGCGAGACCTTCGAGGACTCGTGTGTGCTGTTCGATTCCCACATTTTCAAATTCTCAACTTTTTTTCAAGCCCAATTAATTCAATTTTTTAGGGGAGCAATTTCGGTTGTCGAGCAGCGATTCTGGAATGTTCCCGAATTTGAGGAAATGCTCGCCGAATGCCAATTTGCGTATTTCGCCAAAAGAAATTTGCTGTTGGCGCCGATTTTGGAATCGACTTTGGCGAATTTATCCGCGTAAGACAAAGACAATTTCCATTATTGAACTCTGAAAAATGCGCGGCATTTGTTTTAAAGGATCAACGCGAATTCGACGTGTCGATTGACACGCGATGCTTGCACATTTATGCTGAGAACATGTGATGATGAATATCGTCTGTATCGTCAATTCTTTGTCACCAAGAATATCGGAATCGGAAGAACTGACGGTGGACATGATGGAAGAATGAGTCCGGCGGCATCGACGATCGCATCGGTGTTCAAATTCGATCAGCAGCCGACAAATGTGCATCCGTTCGAGACGTTCACTGAGCAAATTTGCCGATTACTGTATGATATGCTGAGACCGAGAATTGTGCACAATCCGCATTTGGAAACGCTCGCCGAATTGTGCAATATGATTAAGGTATTTTATTTTTTAATTTGAAAAGAAAAATGTCGAACAATCGTGAATATCTAGGTGGAAATGATTGAGAATCGATGCTCTCTTCAAATGGTTGCCACCATACTTGGCGATGATGCCGAATCATCCAGTGCGTTGAATCCGAGGGCTGGATTCGTTTCGGTGATGGGAGAACTCGTCGGCGATATTGCTGAGCGAATTGTCCATCGCGCCGGCCTCTATGCTCTCAATGATATCGGCTCGTATCGTCCGGCTCCCGGCGACATCGCCTATCCGGATATGCTCAAAATGATGAGAAAAATCGAGCAGGAGCAGCTTGAGAAGTCGGCGGAGGAGAAGCCGCAAGTCGCCACCGCCATTGATCAACATTGCCTTTGGTATCCGACGGTCCGGCGGACGGTCTTGTGTCTTTCGAAGATATTCCCATGTTTGGATGTGGGAGTATTCCATTCGTTGGCTCGCGAAATGCTCGCGTGCTGTATTGAATCGCTCGAGGTTGCGGCGAACGCGATTCAGACGACGCCGCCGGCGAAAGGAGGTACCATTTTGGGGGGAAGGGGGAGAAATTATGAATGCGAATTGACGAGATCGCTATAGATTTTTCAAGGCGCATAGTAGGGAAGCGATAAAATATCCCGCAGCGAATATGTATTTTGAAAATATTTTTCGACCTATTCATGCAATCAAAGATTGTAAAGAATCACACATTTTTCTAATACATCGATTCAAAAAAATGGAATGGGTACTGTAATTAAATTAGGAAGAAATCTGCGAGACCCATGAGAAAATTGTTGCGTCTTTTGTTTTTGTAGTTATGATATTATTTGTGACTATCATTTTTGATTATTCTGCTAAATCAAAAACGCAAAATGGCAAGAATCTTGAGAAATACGATGCCTATTATTTAAAAAAAAAATTCTTAAGAAATATTACACAAATTTCATTAAAAAAAAACTAGAAAATTTGAAACAACCGAATAAAGAATACCGTAAGCTCGAAAAAAGACGCGCGGCAACAAATTGTCTCTGATCTCGCAGATTTCTTCATAAAATTGGAAAAATTTGTAATTTTTTACAGTTTTTGTTGCATGAACTATTTTTTCTGCAAAAAAATGTACCGAAACTGATTGTTCAAAAACTCTACGTCTTTTTTTTTTTAATTAAAAACAATTGTTTAAGGCTGGAGCAAAACTCTTGATTCGAATTTGTTTGTTGTCAAACATTTGCTGATTCTCCGCGAGCAAACTGCCCCATATCGCCATAATGTTCTTCGAGCTGACGCGTTGCCGACGAAGGATTTCTCTCTGGACTTCTCGAAATTCGCTCACGTTCTGTTCGACTCGAAAACCAAATGGTTCGAGTTGAGCTCGCACAACACACTACTCGAATTGATTACGACGGTAATTTTCAATTGCCAAATTACGGGAAAATATCATGACAATGTGTTGCAAGGTGCCGATTGAAGTTCGCGAGGAGGATGGCGATTCTCGAAGGGTTCTCGATCAGAAGTTGAGGTCGGCTTCACTTCAATTGGCGCACGAAGCTTCGCAGATAATGATTGGCAAATTGGCGCAATGGGTGGATATGGCGGAAGATGAGGCATGGTTTTTGGAATTGAACGAAAATGTGAATTTCTGAAATTGAAGATGCTCAAAGAAGGATTCAAACTGGAGAGTTATCCGCAACTTTCGGCCAATCATCTCAAAGATTTGTCATCGGAAGCTTATAAGAATGTTGGATCAAAATTTGTAGAGGTATGCGTAATCATCTGGAAATTATATTGCCAATATAAGCAAAACAGTATTTTTTGGATGTTCGTGATCAAAAATTGATTCGAAAAACAATAGTTTTCAGATTCGCGAGGCTTATTCGCTCTATATTGGCGTCGCCGAGACTGAAGCGATTCTTCTTTCGCCGGTTCGAAAACGTGTGATCGACGTGTTCACGCGAGCCAATGCGTTCGCCACCAAGTGCTATGATGAGGAGCAAAGAGCTGTCGCTGCTCTTCCGAATGTCCAACAGCTAATCCTGCTCCTTAATAAGTGACTCGAATGATTTTTCAAATAGTTTTATCGGGTTAATTTTTTTGTTGGTTTTCCGGGGGTACTTTTGTGATGATAAATATTATAATCAATGAGCTAGACGAAGAGATGCGGAGCATTGTAGGCGATGATCGCGGTACACGCGCACAGGAAGCATGAGAAGGTGATGAAGCACACTCGATCGACGACCCGACTCGCGAACATCCAATCCGATTGGAGAGCATGCATCACTTCCTTCAATTATCAGAACTAACAAAATTTGACACGAGACGATTTGAGACCTCTTTTCGAACTCGAGCCGAAATAACCCGTAATTCATTGAGAATATGGTGAAATTGATGATTCGACACCAATTTTGGCGAAGTGTTATTGGTGTAGCCATTCTCGATGGGTCTCTGAATTGAAATCGTGCGAAAAATGATCAATACCACACACACACACACACAAATAATAAACGTACCGTAATCTTTGTACAAGTGTATTTATTGATCGATGAGCCACCATTGGGCATTCCGATGATTTGAGTTGACGCCTTTTTCGGCGACGGCGACTTCTTCGAGTTGCTCGTCAAATCCAAATGAACCGATTTGTCGTGCGAGTGGTGTCTCGCCAGAAGATGTCGTTCGACGTCGATCAGATATTGTTTCGATTTTTTCGCGTCACTTCCCAATATCGAGTGTTGAAGCGACATTTCCAGCACGTCGGGTCGATCCATTCCGAGAAGCGTCGGAAGCCAATCGAGCAGAATTCGCTTCATCTGAATCAGGCCGGTTTTGATTTGTTCACGGCAAAATATGCTCCACCAACCGTATCATTCATCGGCTTATACTGATCGGGCGATCGATTGTGGAAATTCAACGCGATTACTGTGGCGACGACCGAGGCTCCCACTTGGAACATGATGCACGAAAAATAGATCTCTAGAAATTCTATTGAGCTCACTACCGTAATCTCTACAGTAAGACGTACGGATTAATGGGAGAGCGTCGCTTGTTTGCGGCATCGCTTCGGCGACCATTATCATGAAGACGCAAAGCGACATGAAGATCGTGACACCTAATATACACATAAATAATGGAGTACGGTAGAAAATCGAACAAAATTGATCAACCTAGATTGAGCTTTTCGCCGCAATTCGCTGGAAGTGTGAAGCTGAGCAACGCGAGCCACGAAATGAGCATACAGGGAAGAAGAAGATTGAAACCGTAGTAAAGGGTCCTGCGACGAATCACAATTGTGAAAGTGACGTCATAATAGGGCTCCGGGCAGCATTCATAGAAGAATATCGAGCGTTTCGATTCCATATCTTCGAAATTCTCCGTTTTTTTTCTCTCTCTCTCACTCTCAAAATAAAATCGCTCACCGAGCAACTCCCATTCGCCATTCGGTTTGTACGTCGCTGGCGAGATCGTCGTGTTGACGAGATCGGTGAAATAGCCCGAGTACGTCCACGAGCCGAATTTCATTGTGCAGTGTTGGGTGTCGAATGGGAAGAAGGCGATGTCGATCGAGCAGCTTGAGCGAATAATGGCCGGCGGAATCCACGTCACATTTCCGTTACTAGACGATATTCGCAATTGGCGTGATTTTTCATTTTCGACTTACTAAAGAACTACTGCATTCACCGGCCACGTACTGTCAAACTGTTGATCTACACTATTATACAATAGAACATCAGGTTTCCAGATGTTATTGATTGGTAGTCGGACTTCTCGAATATTTCCATATTCCGATGGATCCCAAGTCAGGTAATGATCAATCCAAGACATTCTCAGCCAAACATTCGAATTCATTATTTGGTGTTTCTCATCCTAAATGCCGAACTTTTCTCATGCGGCTATAAAATTCTGGGAATTCTGCGACATCAGAAATTCTCACACACACACACACACCGTTTATTCATAAATCTAGGCAGGGCCGCGCGAACGCAGCCCCTCACGCAAAAATTTAGTTGTTGGCGAATCTCAACTCGAGACTGCCACACGGGTCAGCCCATCCGAAAGTGCAATGGTCAGGCCTCGCCATGGGGACGCCGCCTTGTTGATCACGGCGTACCCCCAACCAGGTAAGTTTATGAGTCGACATATGCTCGCACTACATGTGCGCGCGTGTCCCGACACATCGCGGGTTTCGCCACCCTCCATGTTTTGCACGTACAATGTCGAGCAGCTGCTGATAATCCATTCCGAGATGCACCAAGACCGACTCGCTCTCGTTTCGAACGGGTCTCGCCAATTTGTTGTAGTTTTCGGCGAGTTTCGCGTACAATTTACGCTCATGATCACCGGTCCAAACCACTGAAACGAAAACAAAAAATGCGAAAAATATGTCTTACAAATTATGGGATGGTTTTTTTTTGTTCTCATCTAAAAATCCAATTTTCAAACCTCGTTTCGGACTACAACTATTGGCGAAAACTACGAGCAGTAGACACACTAGCATAAATCCGAATTGGCGAATCTGGAGTGAGGAAAAATCGTGGAAATATGCGCACGATTTCTGGAGTCTCGAAGCGCGAGCTTGAGCAAATTGAAACGAAGATGAATCGCCCAAAAAAAAAACTTGAGCAAAAATGAAATGACAAAGACACCTTATTTTCCAATAAATTTCGCGTTGTGACCAAAAAAAAATCAGACAAAATGCAATATGTAGATAATAAGAGTGTTCCCTCGACTCGCCGGCCGCACATAGATTACAAATGATAGGGAAGATGATGGTCCCTAGGGATTTTGGGCGCAGCGAGACGCCAAAGTGGTCCGAAACATTCGGGAAACAAGGAAGAAAGCTTGTCAACACCTTCAGCAAAATATTAATATTCAATGTCGTGACGAATATTGGCGGGTAATTGATTCATTATTTGGATCGCCTATTTGGGTCTCGTATGGAACAACTCGCAAAAGCTTGATTTTAAGTATTTTGGTAATTTTTAAGTGTCTAATTACCGAGTAAGGGACCAATTAATTGGCAGCCCGTTTTTTTTCTCGATTTCGTTCGTTTACGACTATAAAGTAATCGGATGGTGTTCATCGTCGCAGGAATTCTATTTTAATTCTGCCAATGTTCCTTTAATCGGTTTACTGTAGCTTATTAATACGTTGGTTTAAAGGGGCACACATTAACAATTTATCAAGGTTTTAAAGCGAAGTTGCTTTCAAAAACTTAACAGAGGTCTCGCCACGACTGATATCGGTGGAATAAATTGAAATAAATTTTGTTAATTCAGCCATTTTTTAAATACTGTTGCTTTTCAGAAATATTCACTAAAAATGTTGGAAAATGAATGAAAAACATTTACTTTTGATCTATGTTCAATTTTTTGCCTCAATTTATTTATTCCAGTGAACAGTCTAATTCAAAAATTAGTGGATTTAGTGCAAAACGTGCTGCGGACAATATATGAGAAAATTGTGGCGGGTTCAAAAATTCGAAAAATAATACACAATTATATAGTTTTTGTCGAAAATGGCAGAATTGGTCAATTTTTCGACTCTCAACGAAAGAGAAAAAAAATTAACAAGGTGGGCGGAGTCTAGACGTAACTCGAACCCCATTTTTTTTGCTACAAGTGAGAGCAATGAGAATTGACGCGAAAATGTGGGACGGCGGAAGTCGAAAGTCGAAAATTGATGGAGGAAAAACGACACAATTAATATTTCTGATAGGTTGAGAGGGTCCCGAAACGCGGAAAAAAACGACTCGGAAAGAATCACGCGCAACGCCCGAATGATTAATGTGAGAGATTTGAGGTGGGCATTGTTGACAGAAGACGAGTACGAGTGTCGTCAATTATTCAGAAACGCAAAAGCTCAAAAGTTGGTCACCTTTTTGAATTGTGCACAATATCCAGAGGGTCTCGACGCGAACCATTGCTGCAGTTTGCTCACATCATCGAAAATCCTGAAAACTGAAACTAGAAATGCACATAGACACAAAATTTCGAGGATTCGAGACGAGAAAAAAATAGTTGAAGAATTAGGAAGTTTTTTGTTCTTCGAGAAGAATAAAATGATGAATGATTATTTGTTTTTCTCATTATTTTTTGTTATTATTCACATGAATGTGCTTGAACCAAAAAAAATCGTTTTGAAGCGTCTGCAATGCTGAAACTTAAAAAAAGGAATGAAAATTGAAAAAAAATTTTTTTTGAAATTCAAAAATTGAATATATCACAGTGTTGCAATTGCGTCATGGTGTTTGCACACATTGCGCTACAGTAACCCATTTTTAAAAATAAATTCTTCTTATAAAATTGAGACGCATGCTTTCAAGTTTTGTTTGTCGAGAAAAAAACTTTTCAGGCGGCATCTTCGACACCTATTCAACACACCCCTTTCGATAAAAGGAAATACGAGCAACTTTGAACTTTTGTGAGCATGTAACTCGATACGGATCATGTGAGCCTTGAAACACTAGGTTAACGACAACTAAAGGAAATCCGTTCGGATCAAAAGGGTAAAATGAGTAGGCCGTGGCACAATTTGAGAATCCGTTTATTAGCCTTGGAGGTCCTTTATTCAATTATTAATTGATGAGAACGAGCACAAAGCGGTTCACACGATCAATGAGCAACGCCATCTTGAGAATCGCCAACAATCTCTGGTGTCTACAGTAATCAGGCGGATGAACGAAGGTCTTCGAACGAAAAAAAGGATAACCCGAAATGATGATTGATTGAAATTTCTTAAAAAAAAAAGTACGAAGAACATTCCTTTTGGTGTTATTTCTCGAAAAAAAAACACGAGTTTCCGCATCAGAGATTTTCAACAAAAAAAAAACCAAAGAATGATTGGAAAGGGATCTTTAAAATGAAAAAGCTTCGGATTACGGTAGTTTATTCTCGAGATGCCGAGGAGAAAATATAGGAAAAATCTAGGCGAATATTGGACAAAAAAATAATATTCACAGTCAATTTGTGGAAAAACAAAGAGAAGAATATTGTCGACGTGAGACCATATTCCAAAAAAATGCGCGTGCGCCTTTAATTTTTCGATTCAAATCTCCTCAAATTAATAAAAATTTGAATTCATGTTGTTTTTTTTTTTCAAAAAAAAGGGTCTCGCAGCGATCAAAGACAAGCATTCTCCTCAAAAAAAAAGATTTTTTCTGAAAATTGCCAACGACGACGTTGGATTTTCGCGGATTTTCTAACAAAATTTGCTCAAGTAGCCAACGGGACACTTATCGATGCAAAAAGCAAACAACGTGCTCGGCTGGACCAATTAAACAACTCCAAATACGACTCGATAATCGGTGGACGTTCGCTTCGAACATCTTGCCGGGCGTTTAGTCGGTCGAAGCACGTCCGCCGACGCGAGAATCTCGGGACATCGCACTCCAAAGATTTATGAAGGCGATTGCAAGTTTCGGGTGCTTCCTTCTTTTCCCGCGTTTTTCGATGCTCTCGTGAGTGCTCGTGTGTATATATATCTCTTCGAAATGTGCCAAACATCCTCATCGGTCGTCGGAATTGCTCTAGAGTTTCAATTTTCACACGAAATTAATCAAATATGGTTCTGTGAAGAACCGAATAATCGCCGAGCAAAAAAAATGATGGAAAAAAGAGGAACAAAATAATAATAATGCGGAGATCATCATCTGATGATGATGATGATGAATTCGTGTCCCTGAAGGCCATCACGTACGAGGCAGAATGAAGACATTTTTGGCTCTTTTTTTCTCCCAGGTTTTTGGCCGCGGCCGGCAATTGAAAAAAAAAACAAAACTAGGCCATGAATTCATTTTCAAAATGATTGCCTGTTAATTATTACAATTGCAAAACAATTGTGGACCATCGCACTTTTTTGAGGCGGTAATTCAAATTTGAACTTGGCGCCAACCTGCGAATCAAACTCGCCTTAAAATCTACACAGGATTCTCGTTTTTTTGCGGGTGTAATAATTGTTAAAAGTTGTCTTAATTGTCTTTATTTATTATTAAAGGAGCATCGGTATATTTTTTATCGCATTTTTTTATGTTTGCTGGACACGATTCCCCGGAATTCACGAGCGGCCTAGAAAAATTGGCCGACGATTTCAAAAAGCAAAAAAAATGCAAGGGCGACACACAAATAATGAGAAAAACTGCAAGTGTCGCACACTACAACAAACTAATTTCAAAAATTATGCTTGCTAGTCGCGATTTTTTTTATTTCCACAAAGTTGGGACTTTTATTTTAATATTTGGTTTTTGAAATTCTAAACACGCCAAATATATACGTATTCATTTAGTTTTACGTAATTAAATTAATTAATCTATCAAGTGTGGCCGTGGCCGAATCTAGTTTTTGAGGACAATTTTTCTAGGCCACGCGTGATTTGCAGCGAGTGATGTGAAAAAAAAACTAAATAAGAGCAAACTTTTTACTATATGGATTTTAAAACGATTCTTACACGCGCACGCAAAATTGCACACATTTGATACTTAAAAGCAAATTTTTTTTTTAAATTTTTTTTTCAAAAAATGATTTATTGAATTGCATTTTTTAAAAATAGTTTTTCGTTGAAAACTAGAAATCTATTAAAATATTTTGCAATTTTGAAGATTGGCGCGAAATTTAAAAAAAAAAAACAAAAAATTAACTGATCTCGCTGTCTTCAAGCGTCTTCGACCCCCTAACACTCACCGAATCTTATTTTCTTTTAAATTCGCACTCGCCGAACAATTCAGAAATTCATAATGAAAACGTGATGGATTGCATACAATATATTCGGGTTGTCGAGACGCGAAATCATAAAACCCAATAATTAGGGGGGTCCATAAAAATTCGGCGGACCATCTCGTGCAATTTCCACGTTTGTTGGAAATCAAAAAATCGTAAAATATGCCAATAAGGCCAAGAAAAAAAGAACATAAATCGTAATTGACAGCGATTTGAAGAATGAGTCCGATCTCCGGCGGCGCCCGCGCCGAGCGTCGTCATCAAGCGGAAAAAAAAAGGAAAATAATAAATGAGAAGGACGGAATTTCGGCGATTTGGATGGATTTGATGAGGAAATGCGTCGATCAGCATTTATTTTGCTGATTGCCGGAAATATTTATCCAATAAATGTTTCTAGTTATTTCTATAACAAAAAAAGAACAGGCTCAAACTCAAAAAATGTGAGCGACATTTGAATTGCCGTCAAAATCGCGATGCCTGCCGACTTGTGATGTTTTTTCTTTTGGATTTCCTCGCAAATAAATTTCATCTTTGATATGGATTTATTATTAGCATTTGAGATTTCAAAAAATCAGAAATAATATAAATAAATGGTAGAGCGCGAAAATATGTGCAAACACCGTGACGCAATCATAACAGAAAAAAAGGCCATCTCATTTGAATTTTTTTCAGTCGGTTCGGACCATCGCTCGTTTCATTTCGAACACATGAAATTGCAAATACGAAAACTCTTTAGAGATTAAAAAATTTAAAAAAAACTAATTTAAAAGTAATTTTTTAAATTAAAAATTTTCATTGATTCAGAGAAAGATTTTTATAACCTTTTAAACATTATTTTTTCAAAATAATTCTATTCAAAAAGTAAAAGAAAAATAAAAACACGATTTTCCGGAAAACTCGCAACTTCTGAGAAAACTATTCATGTAATTAATAAATTGCATGTCCGCAGTGTTCATGCGACGTGATTGCACAATTAAAAACCTTGCATTTTAATGTACGACAAAATATTTTTTAAAAAACATAAAAATTTCTTTTTTTGAAATACCCAAAAAAGAAACGAATTAAATCGTCAGAATTTCGCGGTCAAGTCGATTCTGAAAACAATTTCATTAAAATTGATGAAATTTTGCCAACGACACCCCCACCCTCAACCCATCCATCATTCGAACAAGAGAATGATCTGGATGGATGGATTCTCTTGAAAAATTGAAGACTACAGACGAATATGTACATAGTTCGTTTTTTCGATGCGAATAAAATTGAAATTGGAGGAAATAAATCAGGATGAGCACAAATTGATTCTGCCAGCGAATAAATCTCGAATTCGAATCAATTTCGACGTATTCCTTTTTGAAGAAATTCGAATTACGACAAATTAAAGATTCTTTTGATCCAGAAAACATTTGAAACAATTAAGCTAAAATTGAAGTATTCGTAAATTTGAAAAAATAGTCAAAAAATTGAAAAAAAAATCGCTAGCAAGGAAGCAGTCGATGTGTTATTCTGGAACAAAGGGCATCATTATATCTCATATGATTCTCGACGCTCATTTTTCATTGAAGACGTCATCATTCTCTTATTCCCGCTTTCATTTCCATATGTCTTTTTTAGCAACTGGTGTTGGGATTTGGTCCCTTACACTTGGCACAACCCAAGTGGCCGTGGCCGAATCGCAAATGGCCGTGGCTGTGTACTCCACCCGGAAGAGTAAATAATCGATTGTTTGCCCCGCCCATCCAATTTTTTAAATTTTACCGTTTTTTATTCCAGTAAATCATTTTTATTTTATAATTATAGTTTGATTCGCAGGTTATTCAGACTACGGTAGCCGCATTCCCACTGTTTAAATTCCAAAAAATTTCAAGTGCGATGGTCCATAATTGCTCAAGTAGCTCGTTTTTATGCGATTTTAATAATTATGAAGTTTTAAATAGAAGACTATTTGGTTTAAAGCCTTCAATCACTCCAGATGACATCATGATTTCTTTGGTTCGAGACCCCTATATGTATTTCGGAATTTTCTGAACGGTTACAAAAAAAATTTACAAAATTGCATGCTTTTCATATTCGATTTCTTTTTCCATTCCATTTTTTATAAAATCGCACCTTCGGAAAATTCCGATTTTATTTCGGATGGGTCTTGCCGCGCTCGGTGTGCGCCTTTAAACCAGTGCGAAGATGTTGGCATTTCGCCAATTTTCTGGAGTCGTCGAAAATATGAAAAATGAAATTTTTGGGGGGAAAAAAACGTGATCGCAATTAAGAAAATGACAAAACACTCATTTTTCAAAATATCGACGATGTCGCAAAGTCCAGCATCAAAGAAGAATAAGAGGAAAGAATTTGCGGAACGCGATCGCGCGAATCTCGACGTTCGCATATTGGGAATTTCAGCGAAGGCGAGCCAGCGGGTCGACTACTCAAAATTGCTTGAAATTTCAGTTGGTATTAGCTTTGCTGGTTGGCATCACAGGATTGTCGGAAGTGTTCTACCTAGTGTTGCTGGGAACAAAGTAATTCAATTGAGAATTTGTTTTTTTTTTTTGAAAGTGAAAAGAGACAAAGAAAAAATCATAAATTTCGCAGAACGTTCACAATGTTCAGTCTCGAATTCACGCAACAAGCCATCTACAGTGTAAGCGTGTGAGCCTAGCTGAAACACACCTCATTTCGAGCCATTTTCAGATTATCATTATGATTGTCGCGATTATTTTAATTTTTGTCAAATCCAAAACTTTATTCACAATAGTTTCAGTGATCACAGTAGGGGTTTTCTATCGAAATTTGAAAATGCCAATGGAAAGAAGGAAAAAATGGATTCGCTTCGAGACCCATCGTATAAATTGATAGAATGCGTCTTAAACTACTTTTTTTCTTTGCGTTAAGAATTTTTTTTGCTTAATTTATTTTTTGACGAAATGATTGTTTTTGAAGAAGCTGTAGTTTAAGACGCATGCCGTGTAATTATGCGATGGGTCTCGAAGCGAATCTCAACGCAAACACGCTTTTTCCTATTTTTTCCTTTTCTGCATTGCCCTTTAAGAAATTTTTAAAAAAAAATAAGCAAGAATTTTTTTGTAGTTTATAAATTCACTAATGTTTCTAATTTATTTCGTTTACCTCATGATTTTCTGCACCGTCGGAACCGGCAACGACGAGGTCGATTTCGGCGTCGAGACCGCCGCGTTTCTTTTCGTTTGGGTTCCGATCATCGCGATTTTCTACGCAATTTTCACGTTCGTCCTTTCTCGACTTGGATGGTCCGTTGAGACGAAGCCGACTTTTCCAATTTTGTTTTTTTTTAAAGGCTCGGACACTATTCGCGAGTCGCTGCAACGAATTCGACGGACGGCGCAAAATCGACGCATTCGACACTCTCGACATTATTCGCATCGGAAATCGGATCACGTGCCGGCTCGTCGAGAGGATCGAAATCAAAAGCTTCCAACGATTTCTGATTGGATTGTTAGCCAATTGTCTTGTTTTTTCTCTCAATGAATATTCTCTATCTTCTTCTTCTTCTTCTTCTTTTAATTGCGTGAAATCGCGTTTCTTCAGCCATTTTCAAAAATGTCTGATGTCGAAGGAAGAAAAGAGAAGCGATTATCAGCTGGTCGAGATGAAGCGAATCTCGACGAACGAATCTTCGGAGTTTCCATCGTTGTATGTTGATTTTAGAAATGCGAATGAATCGAATCAAATTCTTTTCAGCTTGTCTTCATAATGTTGTTAGGTGTCAATGCAGTGACTGCGATGATTTATATGGTATTATTGGGAATCAGGTGGGCAAATGTCAAATTCGCGAATTTCGGACCCACTTTGAAATGTTTAGAGTATTGCGCAATCATAAACTTTGCCGATTTAGAAGCTGACGGGGGGCATGTGATTCCTACTCGTATCCCACACCCCCGCGATCGCTATCTTCACGTAAAACCATAGAATACCATATTAGAATATGATAAAATAAAAAAAGAACCATAGAATACCATATTAAGGCGAGAAAAAATGTTGGTCCTCCGATCTTTTGTGCCATTGATGATCGGAGTCTATAGGGTCCTGTGCTGTGTGTGTGAAAAAGCTGTGGGCGCGAGATTTTTTCGAAATTCCCAGTTTTTAATTAAAAAAAAATTTATTTTTTGTGGCAAAATAAAGGACCCGATGCCTTGTTCTCCATTCTCACCCCCCCCCCTCTCCTCGGACCTCTTCCAGGCCATACTTGGAAATTTCCTTGTCGTCGACCCGCAACGACATTCCAAATTTAAAGCGAGGCGTTTGTTTAGCGTAATAAGAATTTCGAATTAAATACATCATTTTGAGCAGAATTAATTGTTGTTGGAACACAAATTGCTCAGAAGTTCCCCAAACAAAGAGGCGATTCGGTTTGCTGAAATTCTCAGCATAAGCCGCTCCGCCCCGACCGCGTTTGAACTGCCGCCACCGCTAATAATTATAATCAGGCGATTGCAGCGCATCCCGGAAAATGTCTGCAGAATCAAATTTCCTTTTTTCGATTTAAAAAATGCGAAGCCCATTTTGAGAATCATGTTTTTCCTTCTACGCATTCCCCAATACTCTGGTAGATGATCCCAAGTCGTATACGAAGAAATCCCAATCGTATACGATCCTTCATACAACTTGCAATAGCGTCTATTCTGTGATTCCATTCATTAGAATCGTATACGATACTATACAATTCGCATATGAAGAAATTCTGCATTTTTATACGACTAGGAATCATTTACCTGAGATTGCGGCCGCTACGGGGGGTTCCGAAAAATTCCGAATTGAAAAAATGATTTTTAAAGAAACAATTCATTTTTTGCAGGGCATTCCTCGTGTGCAACTTCGATTTTGTCGTTCAGACCGTATTTGGCGTAAGCTTCTTCTCGTCTATTCAAAAACAAAATTTAAAAAAAAACGAAATTTCAGATTGTTTTGATAATCGTTCTCTCAATTCTGTATTCAGCAAGATCGAAAACCTTATACACAATTGCCGCAATTTTCACGGTAGTTCAATTAATTGGCATAATTGATCAAAATTGAGTTCAGAGTTGCAACGCTCTGCTCTTTTTTGTTTATCTAGTCCACTTAATCATTCTGTTAACCGTCGGAATCGAAGATAACGAATTGACCATCGATTCGGAAACCATTATTTTCCTTTTTATTTGGGAAACCTACGTCGTCATCACCTATTCATTTTTCACATTCGTCCTTTGTAAACTTGGATGGTTTGTTCTAAAAAAAAACCGAAATTCATCTGAATATTCTAAAATTCAAGGTTCGGCCGACGCGTTCCAATCCAGGCTGAGTCGCCGAAGCAACCGGGGGCCACTCCAAAACAATCGATAACCGGCTCGCAAAGTAGAGCACACTCACCAGGATCGCGTTCACACGAATAATTGCAATTAATTAATTAATATTGAATTTACTCTTGTTCTCCATCGAACAATTATGCCATAAATCTAAAACGTGATAATAATTTATCCACTATGTATATGTATATACAAATAAATAAAAGAATGTCGAATCTTACAATGAAAATGCAGAGTTAGTCAATAAGGAAGGCCTAATTAAATAACAAAATGTCTTGTCTCAGAAAGAAAAAAAAATAAAGGGGGGGGGGTCGATAAATTTTTAAAATCCGAAATCAATTATCTCGGTACTATCATCGACTGGACAAGTGATTGGAGAGGTCCATTGGTCAGCATACGGATCGCACGATGCCGGCAACGCATAATTGTGCTGAAATGCTTAATATGTTCATTCGGTTTCAAAAAAAAAAACTCGAATTTTTGCTTGAATACACTGAAAATTGCTATGAATCTATGAGAAAACCATTCACATATTCCCAGCCTTCAAAAAGTTAAATATGTTTATAGTCGGCGTCCGGTGATTTCTATGCGGGTAGATTTACGCGTCTTTCTATTGGTCTCGCCTGGACTAACGTGGTATTTTGCATTTTATGGGTGGGTTCGATAATTTTTAAGACTTTTTCCAAGCGCTTTTAAGACCTTTTCCAATTCTACCCGCGCACAGTAGTCACCAAACGCCGACTATATAAATTTATCAAAAGAGAAATCCGAAAACCGAAAAAAAAGTTTACTTCTTTCAAAACATCATACTCCTTCGGAATATCGTCATATTCGTACACATTATTGAAAATCGTTGTTACCGGCGACGTCCATCGTCTAGAATCAAACAATTTGAATTGTTTTTCAATGTTTTCCCACTCATCAAAACTCGGCAACAGTAGTTTTTTGATGGCACAGAACGTTTGACATCCTTTGCGAATGCATCTGACAAATAGAAGGCGTGAGAATCAGAAGAATCGATATCTACCTATAAGATGGATACTGTTTGCGTTCGCCCTTATATCGCACCGCTCTCAAGCAAATCCGCATATCGGAAGCACAACGATGGCACGGAATCAATTTGGGCACCTTCTTGATCACACCATCAACATTAATGCTCACCAGGTTTTCCTCTAAATCATTCTAATAGATCTTTTTTTTAGCGATTCATGATCTACCTTCAACAGATTGTGATTCAATTTCATCATCTTCTTCACTTGTGCTTGGCGTCGAGAATTCGAATTTCGGTGCCTAACAAGGCAATTTTTCAAGCGAAAGTCGTTTTTATGAGCTCTTACAAATAAAGACACCAGTCGACTCGCAATCTCCGGTTGATATTTCGATAATTTCTCCGTATATGGATTCGTGTCGTCAGCGATTTCTAGAATTTTCGCTGTAAAATATAGTAGACAATTATTTGCATCATTTATTGTTGGCGTTGCTGCGGAAAATTGGTTAAACGCCAAAACGTTGAAGAAGAGGCTCTTGGATGCGCAGTCTGCGCCTTTAACTTATTTTTGTTTAGCTCATAAATTTCCACATTTATGTTAGTTTAGCGTCAAGACCTTTTTTTTTAGAATGATGCCAATTATCTCGCGATGCCAACAAGAAAAGTCTTACGAATATTTGAGATTGTCTCTTTTTGTACTCCCTTGACGACGGTCGGCTGTTTAACAATTTTCACCGGGAAACGATATTCTCCATCAGCTGTCAGACGTCTATCGGACACGTTCGTCTTCTCAACGACCGATTTAACGGCGCGTTCATCTGAATGAAATTTTTCAAAGCAATTTTGAAAAAAAATTACCTTTTTTTGCTGGTAGGTGAAGCATTTTCTTTACCACACCTAAAAAATTACAATTAAAATTTAAAATTCTTTAAAATCAAAATAATAAAGAAATGTGTAAAACGTTCTGCTATTTGTATTGGACAAGAAATTATTCAATACTAAAATCTTTTAAAAACTAACTATACCAAAACCTAGCTTTTTTATCAACGTGATTTTCTAAAAAATGATTTTTTATTTTTCATCATGGAAGGAATCGTTATCGATGTTCCAAATCGACAAGAAGCAAAAGGTGATATCTCAAATTTAGACACAAAAATTTGCTGTACAACAGCCAAGGTATTCAAAATATATTACAAATTCGGTTTATTAAATTTTTAGACGGGTTTACTTGTTGTAATATGTTATTTTTCGGTGAGCTTCATAGTCCAATTAGCAATCTTAATAATCACGTTAGTTTCTGTTTACAAAAATCATACAATTTCTATAATAAATATAATTGGAAAACGTTTCGAAAAAAATGAGAGAAAATTGAAAAAATGATCAAAAGTACGATAGAGCGTATTTGCAACCGAAGCGTTTCAGAAATATCAGGGGCGAACAGATTTACACATCATGTGTCACCGACGTTAGTTTCGAAAAAATTCCGAAATGCTCAAAATTCAATTTTCAGGCGCTCACAGTTCTTATTCTCTTAGGTCTCTATGGAATTCAATCAAAAACATTATTCACGATATTCTCCGTTTGCACAGTAAAAAAAACAAATGGCACATTTTCCAAATTTTCACTCAATTTATTTTTTTCCAGTTTTGCTGCTTATTATACTCTTCGCTCTTTTTTTTAACGACGTTTTTCCTTCTCGTCCAAATCGATAATCCGAAAGAGCTGAAACCCGAAGCAAGTACCGAAATGCCGATGGAAGTTTCATATAAACTCGACGTTCCGAAATACATTATTTTGATTGGATTCGTTGTCGTCGCAATTAAAACAAGTTTTCTCGCATTTTTCACATTTATTCTCTGCAAAATTGGATGGTAATTCAAAAAGAAAAAATCGGAACGACTCTGGTAACTCAAAACCAATCGTATTCGACAAAATTCGGCTCTAGAATTAACCTTATCCGATTGGTAATTCTACGGATAAGATTGGTTATTTGTCGAATCCGATTCGAATTGAAATATTAAAACAAAACGGATTCGAATAATTACCAATCGGATTCGAAGAAAATCTAATCGGATACGACAAATTTACTATCTTATCCGTAGAATTTCCAATCGGATAAGTTTAATTCTAGAGCCGAATTTTGTCGAATACGATTGGTTTTGAGTTACCAGAGATATGGAAGCATTATGCTTCCGTTCCACAGATTTCCCACAATGCTTCCATTATGCTTGCGTCGCGCTTAATCAGTGACACCACTGAACCACAACTGCTTGCTGAAACAGGATAAAAGCGCGAGATAAGACATCACGTTATTTCATTTCGAGTTTCCGCACATTTGTGTGCAAAATTCACGTGGGGAGGGGCTAAAACTTTGATGGTCTATATCTCGATAACTAGAAGTTTGCGCAGGTAGAGACCTAGTTCATTCGATTGGAAATTTTCTAAAGAATCTGTATGCAAAAAATAAAAAAATTTTAAGACGGACAGCAAAATGACCTCCCTTGTGAGCCAAATACATGTGGGTATGTGGATGTGCTTGATCAGAGCGAGGAAGAGAAAAGAAGGTCACACGTTGAGAAAGAGAAATTGCCAGGGCAAAGACGGCACACCGAAAGAAAATGTTGAAAAGGGTAGGTTGATTTGACAGTATAAAAAACTGGAATCCAATAAGAAAGCAATAATAAAAATTTATACAAGTAAAAATCCATCTTCGGACAATTGAATATCGGGAATAAAATATTGAAAAGATGGATAGCGATTAGCAGCATTCGCAAAAACAATGTAAAATGTTTATCTCATATTATCGCCTCTGAAATTCCGAAATTGCCAATTTTTCCAAAATGTCTTACTTTACTAGGCGAAAATTGTCGTTAGGCGGTTGATAAGATCTTTGAGTGCGTAGAAGAACTCCACGAGGGCCACGGTACATCTTTCCAGTGACAATTAACTAAAACAAAAAAATACAAATAAAAAGTTCTTCGATAAAAAATACTAGTCCGGTTATGTTATACGTTTGGCCATCCATCACGCAATTAAAAAACCGAAAATTGGGACCTTTTGTATAATTTTCGGATCGGATCAGCAAAATATTTGCCTAAAAATTCAAGTTAATTGGAAAAATCGGCCATATTTTACTTCAAATTCGTAGATACCGACATCAAGAAGTTTTCTGAGATCTTTGGATTCCATAAAAACTTCCCCAAACTTCTCACTGTGAGCGTAAAACATATTATTCGCATTTTTCATTATTTTCAAATTCGTTTTGAACTGAATTCTTTTTTTTATTGAAATAGCATTTACACGATCGTTTTACCACAACACTATTGAATTGAATATCATAATATGCCGATCCATAATATTCCGAATGTTGCTTCAAATCTTCGGGGACAGCTCGAACGTTATAAGCTTCAAATCTAAAACAAATCTTTAGTGAAATCTTGACCAAAAATCATACTCAACTCCTGGAATCGCTTCTTTCGATCTTCGAACGTTATACAATACCAAATCGCCAGTTCCAAGCTGAAAAAGAAGTTTAAAAAAAGGGTGAAATAGAATAAAATAAAATTCGATTCGGAAATCGAACAAAAGAAATATTTTGACATTTACGGTTATTCCGGAAGGGATCAAATAAATATTATCAATTTTGAATTCTTACGAATATCTCGTCGATTCTCGCGTGAAGATACGTGTGCTCATGGTCGAAAATTTCAAATAACTGCTCATCGTTGTGAATTCGCGTCGCATAGATTATCCCATGATATTCTTTGTCTTCAGTCACAGCACATAATTCTTTCTGCAAAGAATCAACGATATTGTGGTTAATTTTTCCACAAATTTTCAATTTCGCCGCAAAATTGGATTTGAGTGTCAATAGTTTTAAGAATCAGTTCTTTCAATTCGAATTTTGGCAGACAACATTTTTCTCAACACTGAAAATAACAAAAACAAATCAAAACCTGTTTAAATGTGTTTTCTTCCGGTTTTTTATAAAATTCATCGCGATGGTCATTCGCAGATGTAGGATTTGAATAATTATCTTCTACAGCTTGATTCACATTAGTTGGAGTCATCGATGAATTAGCCAACTTCCGTCTAGTTCGAATATCAGCTTCCAATTCGAGAATCCGCATTTCGAGAATCTTCTGAAATAAAATTCACCGTTAAAACTTATTTTTAAAACATGCCCTGTGGTTCTTCAATTGTTTAATTTCAGCCTTCATCGCGAAATTTTTATCGTCTCTGGACTTCAGTTCGAGCGACAAACGATCAATCTCATTTTCAAGTTGGCTCTCTTTTTTCCTCTGTTGTTCAATTAAATTTTTCCTGTAAAAAATTAATTTTATATTTCCAAATAGAAAATTTAAACATTTTGTCAACATTTTCATCTTTGGGTTCATCTAGATCATATTTGCGAAATGGTGAGTGCATACGCTCATTTCTCTTTAAATTCTCATCCTGGTGACATTTAATATTCCTAAAAAAATTTAATTTAAGGTTAATAATTGAAAACATGCGTACTTTTCATTTTCAATATTATCAATTCTCTGGCAAATATTCGAAATTGTCTTTTTAAGTCGATGCTCATTCGATTTCAAAGCACGGATTTGCGATTTCATTTCATTTTCGACATTTCGCTGCGATTTCAATTCGTGTCGCAAAGTTTCAACGGTTTTCGACAAACTGGAATAAACTAATTTCAAAATTTAAAAGCAGATTTTAAAAAACCGTTGAATTTTTTTGCGAAGTGCCAAATTTGATGTAGAAGTTTCTGAGCTTGATAGAACATCATAGTAAAGAGAAGCAGATGTGGTAGACTGAAAAATATTAATTGACTATTTAAAGCCAAATCTAATTACCATGCTAATAAATTTTTTGACTTATGTTTATTTCATGTCATAATACTGTCATCAAATTCTGAAATAAAAATTAGTATTTACAATATTGAAAAAAAAAAACAAGGTGTTTAAATGATTTTTAAAACGAACAATGAATTCGACTTTGAATTTCGCGGCTTCGGCCACTTACGAAATACGGGACATTTAAAGGCGCATACACCAATTCTGCCTCTTCGCTTCAAAAACCACTTAACTTTTTATAGCCTAATTTATTCATTTTTCCTGATTTTTTCTTCAAATAAAATTAATAGTTTTTTTGTTTCAAATATTCAATATGTTGCTTCCTCTTGTGATTCCCATGGATATTTCCAGTAACTTATATTTTAAATAAATAATTGATTTCATTTCAAAGCGAAACCAAAAAACATGTAACCGGCAGTGTAATAAAGAACAATAAACTCTAACAAAAGAAAATTAAACAGAAAATGAGAGGAATGAAGATAATAAAGGGAATGCTAGTCTCTAAAAAAATAATAAAAGAAACAAGGCAAAGAGAAAAAATACAATTATTGAATCGGCGGGATCGTCGGCGTTTCAATGCTGGCAGCAATCAAGCGAGCATCTCCAACATCAACGACAAGCTGCAATCAATGAAACTTTAAAAGAATTTGAAAAAAGGATCAAACCCTCTCATTTGGTTCCACAGATTTATCCAACCAAGCGAATGCAATTGGCTTCTGCACTCTGACATTATAAGCTCCGGAGGTGATTTGTCCAACTCTCTAAAAACTCGCAACCAATCGACATTTCCAAATAATGAATACTCACCTTCTCCTCTCCATCTCGTCGAATAACCTCATTTCCGATCGGAATATGCTTGACATCAACACTTTGCCCATTCTCAACATCAAATGTGATCAATGCCAATCTTCTCCTGCAATTTTTGTTTAGAATCAATCCATCAAGCTTGCCAGCCGAAAAATTACTTGAATTCCTTCTTGCTGAGCTCCAAAGCCGACGATCTTCCAATAAATTCCTTCTTGTTAAAATCAACAAGAGATCCGAGACCGCATTCAAACGGATTCGTATCAAGAGTAAGCTCTCTTGCCCAAATCTTGTATCCATGCTCAAGTCTCATCATGTTCAACGCAGCCTGTCCAAAGTTGACAATTCCGTGCTCCTTTCCAGCAGTCATCATAGCCTAAAACGAATTTGAATCATTCCGTCAAATTCATTTCAAATAGAACTTGCTGATTCATGTTCATTTAGCATACAACAAACGTCGAGCGGTTTTAGAAAAATTTGCAAAATTCTAAAAAGTTTAGAAAAGGGTCGTGGCGCAAAAATCCTATTTTTATACTTAGGCACCGTAAATCTACACTTTTCGACAGCTGCCATAATTAAGCCGTTTTTCCGCAATCTCGCGACGATCATAATAGTATAGTTTTTGACGAAAAAAACTCACATTATACAACTTATGGGTCTCGGCACGATTGTGGAACAACTCGTAAGAAAGCTGTCCAGTGGACGTCGACGATCGCGCGCAAACCACACCAACTGGTCCCAAACGGATCATTCTCGTCGATTTCTGCGGGAATCCCTCGTCAGAGACATCAGATTTGGTAAGAGCCGACAACACTTCTCGACTCTTCGGACCAACGAGAGCCAACGAAGCGAGATACTCCGAAACCAACGAAACTTGCACATCAAGCTGTTGCTCGGCGGCAGCGCGGCGAAGCCTTCAAAAAAAGGGCAACCTTTTCAAAAATTTTCAATGGGTTTCACAACGAACCAATACAAATCACGAGATTCGCGTTCCGGCTCAGTGAGCAAAATAAACGCCGATCGATGTCTGTCATGATGGAAGACCATCAATGGGGCCAATATATTTCCACGACGAGTGAGCATCACTCCCGACGAGATTTTGCCAAGAGGCGGAATCTGAATCAAGGAATTCTGGAGCAACGAGTGCGATTCCGAACCTTGCTCGCCAATGCGTAATCCATCAACTTCTCCGCATCCTTTCCTTTCACCTCGATCTTTCCTTTCCACGACAAATCAATGAGTCCACACTTATTGGTAACCATCTCATATTCTCGAATGAGCGTCGGCAAGTATCCCTCATCCTCTTGTCCGGGAATCGGGAAAGAATTCGCCACCTCCCATCCATTTCTGAACAAAAAGTTGGCGCCGTCGCGTTTCAATCGTCCATAAATTCCACTAATTCTATCGGTCGGACGACCGGCAAGACGATCAGTATACGACCAATTATAATATGTCGAATATGTCTCACGACTGCGATCAGTGAATAATCTAAAAAAAAAATGCAAAAAAAAAACAAATGTTGAAATCTCAGTATAAATATTCTCACTTGCGATCTCCCCATCGATCATATCTGCTCGCATCAGTATCGAACAGTTCCGCAGGTGGCTCGCCATCAACTATCCAATCCGCCAAATACTTTCCAATTCCTCCTCCGCTGCTGACACCATCAAGGAATCCCGTCGACATCCAGTAGTTCTTGTCATAAGGGCCAACCTAAATTTAAAAAGCAACTATTATTGTGACCAATTTTGGATTGCTAGTTTAGTAATGTCAGAGTCTTCAGTTGACGCCGACAATAATTTTCGAATTGCAATTTTTGACTCAGAGTGAAACAAGCTTCGTATGTTCTTCTAATATGTACCAAAAACATGCCAAAAGAATAAAATTAATGTTTGGTTATCGGCAACGAGATCGCATCTGCGGATAGGCTCTATTTCAAAAAAAAACCTACCAATGGGTATCCATCAGGAGTCATACTGAAAACCGCAGCTCTCGCGTCAACCTTGGCTCCTTGAAGATCCGGAATAAGCTCGCAAGCCCGTTTGAAAGAGTCTTCAACTCTTGAGAAATCCTGCTTAACTGTCTGCGAACCTCCTGTAAAAATCACAATTTCGTCAAAACATTTACGGAGTTGATTAGTAATCAACCTGTCGGTACTCCGTTTTTATACCAATCCTCACGAATCACCGTCTTCTCGCTATTTTCAAATGCGCCAAAAAGGTACTCATCGCCACTTTTTCTTACATAGAATGCACTGTCATGATCAATGATAGAAGGCGTCTCACTAGGAGAAGATCCTGGCTGAAAATCTCGAATAAATGCTGAAATTTTCCAGGAAAAAAATAAATAAATTCGTACAGTGATAACAGCATATTGATGCTCAACAACAACAACAGGCAATTTGTAGCCGGAAAGTCTCGCAATATCATTCGCCCAAATTCCACCAGCATTCACCAAATTGCGAGTGTACACAGTGGTCCCATCTTCGAGAAGAATCGTCCAATGTCCCTTTTCCTAGAAATCATTTTTTCTAATGGAATTTTTCGTTTCAAACCTTATCATAAAAAATATGTTTCGGAATAGCACCATCTATAACTTGAGCTCCTCCAGCTTTTGCGCCGGCAACAAAAGCTTGAGTAAGACCTCGTGCCGAAATTGAGCCATCATTTGTGGTGTGAAGAGCTCCAAGAATCTAAAAAAAAACGAGAACTGAGAAAATATTGAAAAATAATTTCGAAATTTCGGCGATACCTTCGAATGATCAAGTGCTGGCGAAAGTTCTCTGACTTGATCCGGCGTCAGAAGTGTCGTCTTGCACACGTCGCCCTCCTTATAATAATCTCTCGAAACATATTTTCGAAATTCGGCAAGTCGGGCCTCATTTGTGGCCAATCGAAGGGTTCCCGTTTGTTTGAAATCAATTTTCTGGAAATTTTTTCTTTTAGTTTTTTGTTGTTCCCAAAATTTCGCCTACTACTCCAGTTTCCTGCTCCAATTTCGAGTACAAATCGACGGAATGTGCGAGAATCGGCTTATAACGATGAGCCGGATGACTAGCCGCGACGAGACCCGGCGAATGGAATGATGTGCCACTAGGAGAGGCGACGCCTGAAAATTAAAAAATTTTTTTTTTTTAATATAAATTAACAAAGAAAATCACAATTTTTCTATTGTTACTTAAAAATAAAAAGTTTTTACCACTGGCGCGTTCCAACAACAATATATCCTTGATATTCCGTTTGACCAAATGATAAGCAACTGAGCTTCCGGCGACTCCCGAGCCGAGAACACACGCGAACACGTGTTTCGTCGACGAGTTCCGAATCAGATTCAGATTCTCATTGCGAATTCGCACAACTGATTGAGATACGCGTAGCATCTCTGCAATAATTTTCACATTTGTAATGAATTTTCAAAAAATGAAATCACGAAAATTGAACGTGGAATATTTAACGCATGAAAACAAAACCATGATATAAACAAGGAAGTTTTAATAGAAAAAAACTGGTTTAAAGGGAGAAATTAGAAAAAATTTGAAACACGGGAATTCAAATTCTCTAGAAATAAATGTGTTCTCACAAGAGGATCACAGTTTCTCAATGTCTCAAGTGATCCCTCGTTCGCAATTTTGTTGACAACGATCAGCTGAACTCTCTCGAAAAATACCGCCGAGAATTTGCTGCTCCGAAATATAGATCACATGTAATTAATTTACCAATTCACACGAAACGCAGCAGCGGACCACGAGCATCGGCTATTTTCTCTCATTACGCTTCTCAATTTCTTTTACATATAAAATCGAGAAAAAAATCAACCTTCTTTTGAAGAAAAGACAAAAAAATTAGTAATGCAAATTAGCAAGTTTTGGGTGTTTTATGCACATTAGTACAACATTTCAAGGCTTCTAAAGAAATTTTGACGCGAAAAATAAAGATTCGAAAATCCGCCCCTGAAAATCGAAAATTTGAAATACGTGTAAGTGTGGAAAATTATTTTTGGGCGCAATGATAAGACACACGATTTTGTGCACAACAAGTAGATAGATAGCAAGCAATAATGCACAATTTTTAAAACAAAAACGAGAAAAAGAAAAGGAAACAAAAATGATTTTGTGCACTTTGGAGGCGAAAAAACACAAAAACAAATAAACAACATCGGTTAGCCGCAGGTGCTGCTGCTTCGTCTGCTGTTGGTGGTGTTCGTAAACAAGGTGCTCAGGAGAAGCACAAAACTTGAAAAAAAAACACACACACACACATATATATTTCGAACAGCGGTGAATCGATTAAGATTCGCATAAATCAACGAAATCGGCTGAGGTCGAAAGTTTGACGAAAAAAAAATATTTGCAATGAAAAGGGGCGACACGAACGGCGAATCTCTCTCGTCGCCTGCGTCTTTCATTCGATTCCAAAATCGGATGGACGGTCCATTCAGCGACACGATAACGACTGCAATTTTCAAATATGATAAACTACTACTACTATTGGAGGTCAAACAATCAAAAATGTGAGATTTCCAAAAAAATGAAATTAGAAAAAACGAGCTTTTTTCAGAATGGCAACATTTCACTTTGATTATTTAAATTTAAGACTCAAATAAAGAGGAAAAATAAACAAAAAAAAAATTAACTTAATCATAAAGTGCATAATTTCTAATAATTTTCGTATTACGTGCCATTCCCATTGAATTCTCATTTTCTATTTTTTGTCAATATTTCAGTTTCGCGTTGAAGCTACAAAAACCGATCGTCCCTTCGTCTCCCTCATAAAAAGGTGGCAAGGGTTCCAAAAAAAGAACTCTAGAAAACAAAATAGAAAGAAAAGAAGCGATATTATTTGCCAGGCTCGTAAGTTTTTTCGATTTATTAAAAAACGGGTCTCACAAAGAAAATTCAAATTTTTTCCCCAAATTAATATTTCAATTATTTTAAAGTAAACTTTTCCTAAATAAATAGGTTTAAAACTTTAAAATTGAGTAAATTGGGCACAACAACCGCAAATCATGCAAAAACCAAAAAATGTGAGATAAAATGAAAAATGTGTGAAAATCTTTATACCTTGTGAATTCCATGGAACAGTACTTCAATAGTTTAAAAAATATGAATAAATAATAATAAAAATCGATCAAAAACGAATTAATTAATCTAAACACCGAGGTTGGCTTGAAGTTGAAGAAGTTTCGAGGTGATATGCGTCGGAAATTTGTAAGGAACCGTCGCCGCGTACAAAACAATCGCTTTTACCTGAAAAAGGCAAATTGTCGACCAATTTTAAGAATTTATTTCATTTTCGTAGAAATTTTATTGTCGGCGTCAAACGACTGAAGGGAGGCGGGGCCTTCAAATTCACGAAATCAGTGTAGATTTAAATTAATCGTTGACTGAATATTAAATGCGCGTACGCTATAATGCAATGAACGTAGTATCGCGTACTTCTCGCTGCCTCGAGATGCCTTGGCACATGGCCAATAATTTTTTTTTAAATTTCGTCAAGTCGTTTGACTCTGACATTACTAAACTAGCAATCCAAAATTAGTCACAATAATAGTTGCTTTTTAAATTTATGTTGGCCCTCGAGATGCCTTGACACATAGCCAATCATTTTTTTTATTTCGTCAAGTACTTTGACAGCGACGATGCTCGAAAATTAAAACAACAGAAATGCGATGAACTGTATATTCCGCGAAAATGTTTAGATAAATTCCAGCTCGTTTTTTTTGCAATGGCTGACATCTGACAACTTAAGAGGCAATGAGCCTTTAAACCTGTTCTCAACTTCTATTTTCGGAAAGAACCGTTCTTGCGAGATTATAGCGCTTCTCAGCGATTCGAAAAGAACGTCGGGCTAAACCGTGGACGACTTTTCTTTTGACCGAGTTCAATGTTTCCCCTGTTCATCCCGATCGAATTGCTTATATTATTGAAATACAGTAGTTAAAGGTGCACGCAACGCTGTATCAAGAAACCGATAACACATATAACCGCGGAATTCAAATTTTCATTTCTGTCAAATAATCATCAATAACCCAATTTCCATTTCTTTCCAACAAATTCCCCCAAAATTTAAAATTATCACACAATGCATTTCTTAATCTCCACAAAGTTTTTGATCTACAACCAAGGATTATTCATTCGTAGTTTCTTATCGCGAGAGGCGTGGCGCCCGGTAAAAGACAATTGCCCCCCCCCCCTAAAAAAAAGAGGGCGTGTTTCGCCACTCTGCCGCCATAATTCGTACCATAAAAGGCATTATTATTTTCCCATCTTTTCTTTTTCTCAAAACTGTCTCCTGCTTCTTTTCCCGAATTTATTGCAAACTAATGATCGTCATGGTCCGTTCTTAGTCTGTCCTTTCATTCATCAAAAACTGATAATCAAACTCCGGCCCATCTATCAATCGTATTCCATTATCATTCCATAATTTTTTCATGTTGGAGCATCAGAGTGCAATCTCAGTTCGTCTCGCTCATTCAAAACGTTTCATTCATTTGTCTCGATTGGCGATCAAAAATTGTCGCACAAAATTTCATCATCTGATCGGTATCTTTCTTCGCCAACAAAAAACGTTCAGTTTTGTTTCAAAAAAAGTAGTGGTGAAGCAGAAAAAAAACCCCAAAAAAGAAGGGCACCAAAAACTTTATCACTTCAAATTATCATCTACAATCTCATCGCCAAACAAAATTCGTACAGCAAAACCAAAAACTCGCCAACTGCTCATTAAGCATTTTCATCGCCAATTTTCGTGAAGAAACCCGTCACGCTTATCAACTCGCACACCGCTATCTCACAATTTGGTGCATGAACGTTTTCTGGCCAACACACGTAGCGATTTAAGAGATTAATCAAGTACTTTCAACTTTCAACGTTTATCAATCAGTCACCTTCATTATTTCTTAACGTGAACTTCGCAATGTGTCGTTTTTTGAAAAGAATGGAAAGAATGGAAAAAAAAATCGCCGGAGAAATCCGCACCGTATAAAAATAATATTTGCGCGTATTATTTGTTGTTCCACACCCTCAATGCGAGCGCGCAATTCGGACAATGTGTTTGAAACTTGCAGACCGGCCACAAATGACGCCGCAGGTGTCGCCAATTCGTCAATTCTGCGCTCGCAAGACGTTTCGAATCAATGCCGCTTATCTGCTCACCACCTTGGTGAGTCGCCGCCCCCGCTCACCAATCGTCCACCAATCTGTTTGCAGGGTGACCGAATGTGGATGTTCGCCATCGGAATTTTCATGCACAAATTAGGCGGAATGACATGGGTGGCTGTTCAACAGTTCTTCGACGCCTTCGTCAAACTCTCGATTCTTCCGATCATCGGATCATTTATGGATAAGTCCGACAGAAATCTAGGTACGACGAGAGGGGCAAAGAAGACATGACGTACGAAATTTCAGTAATGCAAAGATCGCTAATGATGAATAACCTCGCCGTCGCTGGTTCAGCTGCCTCATTTTGTGTATGCTTCTACATGATGTACGGCTCAGGGAATGACATGGGCTCTTCTATGGTAATCTTCAAATCCATTGATCATAACTAAACTTATTCGTTTAGATCGTCTTCATCATCGCCATTCTCCTTGCATCATTCTCTCGATTGGCTAGCGAAGCTCAAAGAATCTGCTTCACCAAGGATTGGATAGTGGTGATCACCAGCTCATATCCAGAAGAAGGGGTCACTCTTTCCCGTTAGCTATTCATTTTACAATTTTCTTATTAAAAATGTCGTTCGTAGAGCAAAACTCGTTCATGTCTGTCATCGATCAATCGGCGTCAGTGGTGCTTCCATTCCTAACTGGCCTTCTTTTCGATATATTCGGATGGTAATAATGGGTAAAGTATAAATCCAGCCAAACGAGTTACAGGACCATATCATGCATCACCATCATCATCTACAATTTGTGTTCATGGTACATTGAGAGTTGCGTTCTCTATAGCGTTTACAAGGCAACACCAGCACTCCAAACGCGCCACATCAAAGGTTCGATCTTTTCCAACTTCCATTATCTCCTATCACTCACATATTCAAGAAGACACCGAGGAAGACAAACAAGCAAAAGCTGAAGCCGAATCACATTCATGGACAAACTCATTCCGTCTCTATTTCAAACAAACCAGCTGGATGGCTGGTTTCGGATTGGCACTTCTTTATATGACCGTACTAGGATTCGACAACGTATTGATAATTTCAAAATATATGTTGTAATTGTCAATGCGTATATTTTCAGCTCGCCGGCTCTTATGGTCAAAAGCACGGAATGTCGCTGAGCACCCTCGGATTGTTAAGAACCTGCGGCTCGTTGTTCGGAGTGTTCGGCGCAATCTCTTATGGACGAATAGTGCCCGTCGTCGGACTTCTCTGGACAACTTTCATCGGATTAACGGTACTTGACACTTTTTTTTTTCAAACGTTCCGAATAATAATGCGCACATTCCAGTGGCAAAACATCTTCATTGCTATGAGCGGAGCTTCCACATTAATGCCTGGAAGTCCAATGAACGTCTCGGGATTCGTCGACAACTTCGATACATCGGTAAAAAGCAAAATTAATTCAATAATTCGAATTTCTCATGTTTAGCAATGGATCGGCGGTGTCATTGATCAAGTGCAGAATCCCGAGAACATCGACCAAGAAGAAACGCCATTCATGCAGCTCCCTCTATCGATCAAGATCTTCTTCTTCGGCATCATGTTCGCCCGCTACGGACTGTGGGTTGCCGATCCAGCGATCACCCAAATCCAGCAAGAGACAATCCCCGAATCTCAACGGTACTCGGTGTTTGCGATGCAGACCGCCTTCTGCGAGGCATTCTCCCTCTTGAAGGACACAATTGTAAGATAATTATCGTCAATCAAAAATGGCAAAAAACGTACAATTTCCTAGGTAATTATGTTCCCCAATACGGAATTGTTCGGCGGTCTCGCAATCATCTCATGCATCTTTGTCTTCAGTGGCTACATGCTCAATAATCTCTACTTTATCAAGGTAATTATATCCTAATTAACGGCGCTAATTAGTATATTATAGTGTGGTTGCTCTCGGCTCAAAACCGCGCATCTCAACGACGTCGAGCTCCAAGCAATTCAACAACCGGAGCGACATTCGCTTCTCAACGGAAAGTCGGAGGAAAAGCCCGAATAATAACGCATTCCTTCTAATCACATATCCTATATTATTTTTCACTTGTCATTCATTTGTTAATACAGGTATCAAAAATTCCCCCCCCCCCGTTTAAATATATATAGTTATTTTGAATTCAATTCACATTTTCAAAATGCGCATAGTTATGATTTTCTGGAATAAAACCATTGATTTACCTGCTTCACATAGCGATTCGACGATGAAAATATCGAGACGTTTCTGCGTTCGGTGATCGACGTCGATTGTCGAATGCAGAAGTCGACCAAGCATTGCATCAAATGAAGGCAGGTGTCGGGAAGAACCTCGCGCACTTTTTGCGGGACCATGTGAAACTCGTTGACGATCACCGTCACTTGATCGGCTTCTGTTGGGATCAGTCTCAGCGCTTTGCTCGCACTAAAAATTCGAAATATTACGAAAAAGCATGCAAAAATTGAAAAAAAAAACATGTAAGCCTGCTCGGCATCCTCGTTATGACAATGCTCGAAGAGACGACAAAGATCGACAAGAAGGCTGAGAGTCGCATACTCGGACTGTTTGCATCCTTTTTGAACTGAAATTGTTCGAAAATTGAGGGTCATTATGCGAGATGATATAAATTGCCTTGTCTAAACTGCTCAGAAACTTGCACCAACTCTCGAATGCGCTCCATGTTGTCAGTTCTGAACAAGAATTAACAGATGATTAACGGATTGAATTCAAACCTTAATGTCTCGCTAATTTGCGATGATAACAAGCTGGCAGCCTGTGTCGGCATTCCAGCGAGCAAGTACAACCCAACAGCATGCTCCCATTGTCCAGAGAGCTCCGTATCGCTCGCAACTCGACCAATTACCTCCGAAGGGTCATCAAGATATCTGAAATAAACGAGAACAATAATTGGGCGCGTGATGAGTAATAAGCATTTCAAAACTTCATCTTATTATTAATTGGTAAACATTTTTTCTTTCAATTAGAAATGTCGAATGATTGTCACAGCAGGCATGATAAATTTGCTAATGTCTAGCTTGATTAATTCGATTTCTCTCAATTTTCTTGTCGAGACCATTTTTATTGCAACAATTGCCTCGTTCGCTGTAAAGTGCAGCACAAACAAAAATGTATGAAAAATGTTTTAAAGCATATTTTCCTCAAAACCGCCATCTTTATAGCAACACGTCGATATGGACGAAGAAGAAAAGGAGGAAAATCGACCGAAAGCCGGATTCGATGAAGATATCTCCGAGGTGCAAAACGTGTTCGAGCCGGAACATATTTCGGCAATCCCAAATCGACCAGTGCTTCGTTCACGACCACCACAGTGCGCTCTTCATTATTGTGCCCCATTCTCAGGTTCTCTAACTACTCCTCTACTACACGTCAGACTAAAATTCAGACTCTAGTCTAACGACATGGTCCGAGGAAGAAGGGACCATCGAATTCGATGATACACAGTCCTACTCAAAAGCAACATCGATCGTCGAACAATGCACTTGTGCAAAAACGAAACGGGTTCATTTCGCATTGTCGAGCACAACATCAATGTCTTTTCGTAAATAATTTCAGTTTTGGGATTTTTCGCCAAAAAATAAATAAATCCGTTTAGTTTTTCCCTTCGACTTACTCATCGATCAATCCAGGTTCCCGTCTTCCCGCGGCATTCAATTTTCCAAGAATTGCGTCAGTTTCATTCGTCAAGTACACTGCCCTGCTAACCGCCATCTCGAACACATCAGATCCCGTCGGAGTGGTTACCCCCTAGAGTAAACATCAATTATGACTCAAGGATTCGACGAAAAACAACCTTCAAAAGGAACCAATAATCTAATGATCTCGGAACATCGATAAGCTCAAAACTCTTGGTGTAAGCAACAATTAATCGGGCAAGATTCAAATAGCATTTCGTCGGTTCCGATGAGTCAACAACTACTGAAAATTCGATTTTTACGGTTCAAGGGACCATCGTATCCATACACATGTCATCGGTGGACTTTTCCGTCATTCGAAGGTATCCTAAACGATGGGCAAGAATGGCAACGTGAACACTGTCGACACGTTGGCCACATTCGTGAAGCAACTAAATTAAGTAAATGTGAAGTTAAAATAAAAAAAACCAACATAAATCGCTCTCTCAAATTGTCCAGAGAGCCAAAGAGCCGTGAAATAATATTGAAAGTCGGATGGACCATTTGCCATAAAGTACTGCTCTCCTAAACAATAACTATTATGCATGTGTCATTATTACTGTGTCAATACCGTAATCGATAGAAACCGCCTTTTGAACTTCCTTGAACAGAAGAGGCGTTAGTTGTGGATCGACTCGAAGCGGATGCAATTTGAACCAGATCCAATTCTCCAAAGTGTCCGAAAGTGTCGCATTATCTAATCCGCCGAGAAGCGCCGCGTACAAAGCACGCTTGTACTTGTCTTTCATGTGGCCAGCATTGTGCCTCCATTCAACTTTAAGCTTCTTCTTCAAATCGGCGTCAAGTCTGCAAAAATTATCAAAAATGAAGGAAATTTTGTTAAAAATGTAATCCTTACTTTTGATATTTGGCAATATGATTGAGAGATGCGACAAGTGTGGCGCATTGTGGGAAAGACTTCAACCGATTCAGAGCTTCTGCGGCTGCCGGGGCATCTCCGGCTCGAACACAGTGATAAGTCACCTGCCAGGTGGGCAATCCGTCAATACTATCATCTTCGGCGTGGAACGGATCCTCGGTGCCGACTTTCAGATAGGCGTTGACGAGCCCTCTCGTTCCCGGGACTCCTCCGCGTTCGGCAATCTCCAAATTTCTCTCGACGACATTCTGCATATGATCAGCGAACGTCTTCTGCAAATAATTGCAGCCGTCTTCGAGCAACGTCGCCGTCGTCGTGATATCATCGCGATCAGTAATCGTCTAGAAAAAATCCAAAATTTTGAGAAAATTCCCATGATTCTGCGACAAACTTTTCTCGTGAGAAGTGAAAGAACGTCGCTCCAAACATCGCCGAGAGATCCATCGGTTCCGCTTTCATTCACCGCCTCTTTCATCAATTCAACAATGTTCTTCTTAAAAATTCGAGAGATTAATGAAAAAAATTCTGTAAAGAAATTTGCACCTTTCCATTACTATTCAGGAATTTGTGCAATTTGTCGCCAAAAATGAGCTCTCTTCTATCAGAGATATTCGGATTCACGAATGTTCCATTACTAGCCACCATCGAATCCCGATTAAATGGTTGCGCTGGAGTTATTGGAACAGCAGCAGGTCTGGAGAGAAGCATATGGTTGAAGAATGCGCGATCAGCCTCCATCTTCACTCGAGCCACGTCCTCCTCAAGCTAAAAATTGAATAAAACACTACTTTATTTAAATTTTAGATTTCACCTCATCTTGGTCAATATCATCAGTGACCATTGGAGGCTGCACGATGGTTGTACCATCGTCTTGAAGAATTTCCTCTTGTCTAGCCGGCTTCGGCTCTCGTGATGGCAGTTCAATTCCTCGTTCTCCAAACACCAAGTGCGACTTCAAAATTTATATTGATTTGTGAAATAAAAAATTATTAAACCTTGACTGATTCGCCACCTCTAGACCATAAATTCTCGCTGGAACTCAAAATTCCGTACAATTCCTTTTCGACGCCCGCACGAACCGTGAAGTTTTGCACTACCTTAATCGAATTTTTTTATTAATTTAAAATTAATCAAATTTTAAACCGGTTGATCTGTATGATCCGATGTTGAAGCGGTGCCGAGAAGCCGATTTGTACTGGTTGTTGTATTAGGAAGTGTATGACTGTCGACTCGGCCGAGAATCTCATCGAAATTCAGCATCTCTGGAAAATAATGAGGATGAAGAAGTCCAATTATGATAAAAAAAAATAATTTATTCGTTCCTACGAGAGGTAATATTTGGCGACGTTTGGGCACGTTCATGATAAGCATGACTTTATTGCATATAATCCTAATTTTCCGCATTCGTGATTCATTGAACCGGTTGCTGATACTTTTTTGCAAATGAAATTCCACTGTTTCAAAACAAATTTCAATTTTTTAAACTAAAAATGTAATGAAAATTAGTTTTAAAGCTAAACACAAAATTTTGACGAGCGAGAAAATTGAAAATTCGAAATTTGAATTGTGCGCGTCAAATGTGGTGTTTGCGGACATTGCCGTTGCAAAACTTGAAAACCGTATCCTGGAAAATCAGAAATTGGCTAAAAGCGGAATATCTGGACAAAAGTCGAGATTTGAGTGAGATCTGAGTGAGATTTTATGGGGAAATTTGAGATTAAAAACAACGAAATAAAACAAAAACTTCTATCCGATTTGGGTTTATTTGGAAATAATCTGGTCGAGTTTTAAAATTCGTCTCCATCCAGTAAAATTCAATCTCATTCAAAAACAATTATTTATCCCCTCGATTTTCTCTGTCGCATTCACTCTTATCCAAAACCGCTCTCGCCTCATAATATGCAAATGCGTTTCCACTACTCGATGTGGGGAGGCCGGCTGCGTCGACCGCCATCCACCCTCCGCCATCCAAAACGCTCCGCCCATTTTTTAAGTACATTGTCTTCTTGTTTGGAGCTTTCGAGGATGTGCTCCACGCCCATTGTGTTGGCCGTTTTGAAAATGAATACGATGCGGTTTTCCGCCAAAAGGGGTCCCTCCCATCTTGTTTCAAAATCGCGGCGTCCCATTGTTGCCGAGAATTATGAATTGGAAAGTGGCCAATTATGTGCTGCTGTCGACGAGCTCTCTTTGTACACGAAACTTCCCTTTCATTTTTTTACACTCAAATTGTTCATTGTTCTTGCAAAACCGGACATTCTTTCATTTTACATTTTGAAAAAAATGGTATTTTCATCGATTTCCTAGCCATTTCAACCTCCAACTCGAAATTGTTTTCTTTCTTCTTCAGGAATGTCAGCCACCTATCCGAAGTGGACGTAATCACTTGAAGAATGCAGCTTGTTAGTCTCCTCTTCATGGCGTCCTTCTCGATTTTCCACTCGAGCGCATTTCAACCAGTCTGCAAGAGTTTTTGGTTTTCGAATCGCCCATCGCAGGCAGGTGATCGTTGGCAATTACCCCCCGGCGAACGCCGAATTGTTTTCAGGACTGCTCGTCGATGGGCCTTCAGGAGGCGCCACCGCTTCTCGCCAACGTCTTGTCGCTGACGCTCACCAACAACTCGATTGTGCGAATCGCCGAGCTTCCGGCCGACTACCGCCGATTGCAATCCATTCGACTCGACCAGTGCGAGCTCGAGAAAATTGAGTATGAGGTGCCTGCGACCAAGCAAAACACGAAATTCAATTTATCTTCTGATTTTTCTTAGGCACTGGCGCAGTTCGACCAGCTCCGTGAGCTCGACCTTTCACGCAACAAATTAACAAAATTAATTTTGCCTCGCAATTTGGCCACGTTGCGCATTCTCAATCTCTCGTTCAACTCGTTCACGTAGGCACTTTTTTTGTTGAAGGCGACCAAGTCACACATGAATAATTTTCAATGACGGCGAAAAAAAAGATGGGGATGAAACAAAAAATGGAAGACTTATGAAACGGAGTTCCCACGAAAAAAAATGTTGGGACTTGGAAATCCCCTCCTCTCGGTGCATGTCTGCGTCCGAGTGTCTACACCAATTGCGCATACAGTACTCGGTTGATAAATAATTTCAGATATGTTCCGGATATGTCGCATCTGGAAAACCTGCGGCTCGTCGATCTTTCTCACAATCAATTAATATCGGTGCGGCCGCGAATGCTGCCGTTTAACCTCGAGGTGATTCGACTGTCGGCGAATCGCTTCACACATCTCACACCATGGCCATTTCTCAACAAACTGCAGGTTTGCGAGTGCATCAAACGGAAAAGATCGAATTTCGGACAAAACCAAAAACGTATAGATTTCTGAGAGAAGCGGCAAGTTGACGGAAGTTGGAAATGAGAGACCACCAAACATTTTTTTCTTCTTTATCGAAGGCTAATATTGACTTACCCGGGTCCCAAAACATTTTCAGCAAAATTGATAATATATATATATAGGCGATTTCTTTAGAAGAATCACTCGTTGCGAGACCCAATTTATTATTCGTCTTATGAGCCTTTAATTCATTCTTCATAGATAACCGAAAAATGAATTTTGCGCGGTTTTTTTTTCGAAATAATTTTTTCGCCGAATATACGTTTTAAAGGCACACGAGCCTCGCAATTAAATATTTTCTGTTTAAATTTGAAACCGATTTAATCAACCGTCATGTTTATGCGATTTTCGAGGCACTTGACCGCCAAAATGAATATCTTGACTCTCATTTGGCCGGCCGCGAAAAGTGTTCAAACTGTGACACATATTGAAAACGGCTCGAAATTGATCCCAACTAATAGCCAGATGTTGTGCGGCAACGAAAGCGCATGCGAACGCGATAAGTGAGCAAATAAATGTGGGCCGAAGAAAGATGGATGGAATCGCGAGAATTACATCATCTGTCAGCTGGCATTGTTACCAGTCATATTGCAGGAGCTCGATGTCTCGTTCAACGATCTCCAGTGCGATTGTTCACTTTGGCAATTCGTCAATTGGGCCGAGCAGCTCTCATTATTCGACAGGTAGAATATTCAAAAAAAACCAAGCGGCTAATTATTTTTCATTTTAAATTTTTATCGAAATTTCGAATTTGTTTTTGGATACGCTAATTAAGGGCACATTTTGAAACTCGCCGGCCGCTATTTTTTCAGAAACCAACTATGTATAGTGAGTTTTCAAAAAACAGCGCCTTCCAGGCAAGACCCAATTCAAAATATTTTTCGAATACGGTAATTCTTAAACACAAGATTTCACCATGTTTGAATGAAATCGCATTGATTTTGCAAACTGATAAAATTGTCCGCAGCAAACATTTCTCAAATTCATTTCAGCGCCCTTCTTCCATGTCGCACACCAAGCGAGCTTCGCAAAAGCCCGATTGATGGCAAGGTTAGTTGATTTTCGGAAGTGCGCCAATTAGTCGACCCCTCCCGTCCGCCCCTTGAATGATTCGGGACCCCCCGCAGTTAATTATACCCCAGGGAGACGCGCGAAATGAGCCATTCATCTCAAATATATGTATTTTCGAGATTCGCCTGATGAATGATGGCGATAAGAGTGAATTTTCGCAACTTGAGGCGTTTTTAGGCGAAATTGAGTTAAAACGAAAAAAAAACTTTTTTTGTTTAATTGAATTTTCGGAGATTTCGCAGCGACATTTACCGAGTTTCAGACCGTGTGCGGCCCGTCCGTCATTAGTTCGACACCAGAATCCACCATCGTCTCATTGGGCGACAATCACCAAATGTGTTGTACCGCTCTCGCCACCCCTGCGCCATTCCTCTATTGGCAATTCAACGACAAAAATATTTCCAAGGTATTCGAATTGAAATGAGCCCAACAAATCAATTCATAGGGCCTCTCACAAAAGCATTTGACCGACGCCGGTCGCGTCGAATTCTGCCTCGAACTCCGCCGAATCACACTAAAAGACGTCGGCCGCTACAAATGTGTCGCCTCGTTGGCGGGTCTCAACGCGACGCGCCAGTTCACTGTCGAACGCGACAAAATCCCAATTATGTTGAATTCGGCCGAGGGAATTATGATCTACTGCCAATTCACGATTTGCACATTCATCGGAGTCTGTTGTATCGTCTCGTGTTGTGTTCTCCGAACCAGTGGGAAAAGGACGAAGACGAGACCAAAAAGGGAGTATTCGACATCGAAAGTGAGTTGAAATAAAGAAATTCTCCAAAAAAATTAGGATGCGTTTTTTTTGAGGTTTTGGAATTGCCACGTGGTTCCACGTGCGAATATTGCGATGTGCTCGAACCGCAAAAAGACTACGACAATTGGGGAGACGCCGAGACAACCGCTGTTCGCCAATATCTGCAATGGCGGCAGTTGCATCTGGATCGAACCAGTCTGCATGGCCAACTGAAGCCTGAATCACTGTGCAGGCTTTCGCGAGAGTGCAACAATTTGGAGGAATGTGAAGAGCGCGCGCCGCTGGCACACTTCGACGACACTTCTTCGTATATCGAACGATCAATATTATGATAAACTAAATTTATTTACATGGCAAGAGACAAGAGACTAGCATTAGTAGGGTAAAGCGCATCTACAGACATTCAATAAAAAGTTACAGACAAATCAACTTAGGCGGCAATTTTTGCCATACTTCTAGCGACATCCGCTTCCTTCTTCTCCTTATTCTTATTTCGAGTTTCAAATTCATGTCTAAATGTTACGATTCTCAATTAAAAATTTTCGTTAAACTACCGATGTTTTATGATTCTCTCAATTATCAAATCCGTAGTCATGTCGCTTCCTGAATCCACTTCGTGGTAAATTCCTCGCTGCTTCGCAATTGCAAACGGATCCAACTGATCTGGCGATTTCCTGCCATTGCATTGATCGCGGAAGCCATTCACAACAAACTGCAAATCTGGTCATTCTCTTTCACATTAATTGATTCAGGCGGCTCAGACGTCCAAGGAAGTTTATGCCTTCATTGGTGAATCAGACGAAATTGCGTATGGGATAAAGTCTCAATCATCGCCCGCCTTGCGCCTGGCAAATAGCAATACCAGAGGCTTGCCGTCGACGGCAGCACGCAGCGAGGTGGTGTATGCGCGCGCCGGACACTTCGCGGGTTTCGCTCCTCTCTATTCTTATCATACGCGTCTCTTAAAGTCACACACTATTTCGCACCTGAACATTAAATTGGTCCAAAATATCAGCGGAGACTTCATAGGGAGCTCCAATGACGACCTCGTTGACCGGCTTGTATGCCAAAACGGATAAAACGCGCTCATGAAGCGTCATTATCGGATGATTGCTCCCCTTGTACTTGTTGACGGTCTGGAAAATAAAATCGTAAATTAAAAAAAAAAGAAAATTGTTCGAACCTGATCCGTGAGAATTCCGACAATTAGGTAATCTCCAAACTCTTTGGCCTTTTCCAGAAAAGACAAATGCCCAATATGGAAAAGATCGAAAGATCCGGCCACATAAACCACGCGATCTGTGGGTTTCGGTGCGCGGCCTTGAGCAAACTCCAAAATTGTTGTCGTTGTTGGAACGAATCTCGAGACTCGCGTCCACGGAGAAACGGCAACATTGTCCTGGAATGAGTTTGTTTGAAATTTGTTGGAAACACACCAAAAGAGAGTCCGACTCACAGTGCTAAGAGATCTCGCGCGTTCACGATGCTCCTCCATATTCTCATCATCCAGCGTGTGATGGTTTTTAGTGAGCAAGAGCATTCGTCCAACAAGGTCCTACACCGATTCGAATCAGTTTGAATACGAAATAAAGACCATCTTACCGTCGTCGACACTCCACAGGTTCTCTGGCATTCTCTATACCGATTCTCTCGCTTCACCTCTTCATACGTATCTTTTCCATCGGCAGTTAATGTGATATCATCTGAATTTCACGTAAAACACCAAAAAGTAAACGGAACAATTCACCTCCATGAACACAAAAATCGCAGTCGTATTTGTTAAGTGTCTCAACAGTTGTCACATATGGCGCATTTCTCACAACCTGAAATATAAATAAATCTCAAGAGCAAACAAATTTGGTAATTGATATTAGATTTCACTGCTTCAAATTTTCCATATATTCTCTAAACTGTTCTCTCATTATATTCAAAAAACTTCATCTAGAATGACTTATTCAAATACTTTTATTTTCTTTAAGAGATCATCAAAAAATGACAAAATTTGGTAGAAAAAATTTGCTCGCTTCTATTCGCGGTTTATAATAAAGATAAACCTCATCGACCCATTTTATTCCAGCAACCATTCGATATCGCTCTTCTTCATTGAAAACTGGGGGACCCTTATGAAGGCGAATCTGAAAAACGAATATATTTTCCTTTGATGGGATTTTTGCAAACCCAAGATTCAATTTTCAGAAAGTATTGATTTTGGACACAATTCCTTATTTGGTTTAAAGTTAACTATTGAAAACAAAATAAATTTTGATATTTTTCTCCAATTTGAGACTGAAAACTAAATGAGAGTCAAATGTTCAGCGTTTTCGTTTACAATAACCACACGGGCATCATCTTTTCCGAAATTTTTGAAAATCTTCTTATTGTCGGTGTCAAACGACTAAAAGGAGGTGGAGCTTGACTGACTATTAAATGAAAATGAAAAATAATGCCACAATAAAAAAAAAAAATTCAAGAAAGTTTCATTTTTAGTTTCTAAAGTACATCAATTTCAGCGAAAATTGTCAACCGCTACAAATCAGAAAGATTGAAGGTATGAGTCTAATTTTCAATTTTTTTAAACTTATCATCACAAAAACACTAGCGCTTTTCATAATTGTGGACCATCGCACTTTTTCGAGGCGGTAATTCAAATTCGAATTCAAACAGAGGGTAATCCGGATACCGTACTCGATAACCTGCGAATCAAGCTCATCGTACATCGCCGCAGAATGCTCGTTTTTTTTTTGCGAATGTGGTACTCTGGTAATTTTATGGGAATGCACTTTTTCTATGGTCTCGCACGGACAAACTTGTTTATGGGCCGCCTCGAGTATTTGAATGGCATTAGATTCAAGGAATTCAACACTTATCAAGAAACAATAAGCATTGCACGTGCAAATAAAAAATAAGCGTTCAAATGTGACGAGACTATTTCGAAAGGCGCACGCGTAAATCTACCCCCCCCCCTTCGTACTGCAGTCGTCGGAGTTTTTCAAAAGAAAACAAAAACAAAAAGTGAAGCAACCATGCAATCAGCGTATCCCAGAAAATGTCCAATGATGTTTAAAATGAATTTTGTCTTCTTGCAATTGCAAACAAAAAACGAGTCGACCCTGTTGTCGATTTACAGTGAGTTTAAATCGAAGGCTATCCGCAGTTTGGCTCCGATTGTTTAAATCACAAATTATTTGAATTATCGCCTCGAAAAAAAAAACACGGCAACGGTCCACATTTTCCCGAGATGCTTATTTTTTTCGTAATGGTATACCATTATAATAATACACAATATTCATCGAGTTTACTCTCATCGTTCTATGCTCCCTTATCAAAATGATCTCGGAAGAATTCAAACTATGAACCTCTTCGTCGCTGTGAACCCCAACAATCAAATATTTCCCAAATTGTTTCGATTGTCGCAATTGATTCGCATGCCCGAAATGGACCATATCATAACTGTAAAAAACAGTCAAAGTCAAACATTTTGCGGAAAATGGGAATAATGTTACCATCCATCCGTCCAAACTCGATTTCCTTTCGGTTTTCCATCAGGCGCCAATTCTCCATTCATCCTTGAGGTTCTAAAATCGAAAATTTGAAGCAAAATGATCAACAAATGATCGAAAATGGTCATACGATACAAAAATACAATGGTGTGAGGCTATATAGTCAACCAATGCATTGACAAAAGGCGGTCTCTTATCGTCGATGGTCAGTTTGATAGGCAACCGGACGACATATAAGGGCATTCCGGAACACACGCCATTATTAAATCGTGACGCAAAATTATCGACGTTGTTTTTTTTTTTTTCAAAAATGGCAACATTCGTTTTGTTTTCAATTTCTCTAACAATTATTGCAAAAAAAAACTCCGGTAAAACGCTTTCGAATTTCGATTTCAAACATTCCCGGGACACGCAAAAAATCAATACTTTCGAAAAAGAGACCTACAATTGTTAGTTGATTGCTCCTTGGACTCAGGCAAATCAAATAAAATATTTTGAGAATCAAATATTCAGTGATAAACTCTAAAATATTTTGAGAAATTCTAAAGTCTATTGATACTTTCTAAAACTTATTGAGAATCAATAAATTTTAAAAATTTGGAATTTGTAAATTAAATCTTTTGAGAAAGTTAAATCTTTTGAGAAAGTGTAAAGTATCTCAATATATTGTGAGACTTTAAAATTTGAATAGGGCCCTTATGACTTCCACTGACGCAATTTGCGGCGTCTCTTTTTAAGATCTCCCAAATTCCAATAAATAATTTATGTTTTTGATGTTCCTTCCGTTTTTTTTTAGCTTTTTGTAATAGTTTCTTCACTTCAGTGATGGACGTATTCATGAAATGCAAGTTTTTATAATATATGTTTAACACTACCATAAATCTGCATTGTTTTACATGCTGAATTTGAAACAGTTGTGTCTAAACATGTCATTGCATGAACAGGTTCATGAATTTTAAAAATACGCACAATTATTACAATTAATTACAATTATACTTCAGTTTCTAATGATTTCGATATTTTAGAAGATCGGGAAAAGTGTGGAACAAACATTCCAGAAACATTGGCCGATAGATTTAAGGAACGAGGTAAATACAGCAAATTCAATGAGCAGGTGCCCATGTGGATCACGGCCATGGATATTTTCCACCTTTTTCACGAGGGAACACGTATAATAAAAGGTACTTCAATTATGTCTCTCCTTTTTCAGCATTTAAAAATTGAAGATTGTCTTTTAGAAGTCTTCGTTAAAAACGAAATAAATATTTTTCGATGCGAAGCTATTGATGTGAAAGCGAGACTGCCATCTTCGGTAAAGTCGCTATCAGGAAAATTCAATGACATTAATAGATCCGAAAAAGCTAGTGTAAGTTAATTTACCACTTGCAATTATCATCCTTTGAAGATTTTTGAAGTGAAAATTGTTTCTAACGCCATGATCGGAACCATCCCTCCGTTAGGTTCAGCTGTTGTGTTGCTTATACATGCCTGCTACCGATGGATGGTGTCACCGACTCGCTTAGTTACAAATACAACATTACCAAACAAAGTAATATGGGATCGTTAGCTATGTACATAATAGAAAATTTTTATTTCAGATCGCAGGTATTTGCAAATTATTAGAAATTCTAATTTGAGATGGGGCGCCTCAATTGTTTTCTGGTTCAAAAGTGCACGTAAGTCGTTTTTTTTACTAATGATTACTGTATTTATTGTTTCAGCAACTTATATACCATTTGTACAGTAATGTCAGGCGGTGTGGTCAGCTGTCGGCAATAAGCACGCAAGCGCATGAGCACATTTATCACGTTATCAAGAGAAACATGTGCTCGGAACAGACAAACGGGATTGGATATAGTATTTTGAGAAAGTTAGACTCATTCAGTTATTTTTTAAAACTGACAATTTTCAGCTATAAACTATATCACGAGATTTCATTGAAAATGCGTTTCAACGCGAATCCGGATTTAATTAAGAAGTCATTTTATCGCAAAGAACTCATGAAATTAATCGAAAAACGACAAATTCAATCATCAAAATTTGTAAGTTCAACATTTTCTTTCAATATATGCAACGAATTCCTTATAGCAACGTTGTGCGTCATTCGCAGAAAAAGGAGAAAATGCGAAAAGAATAAATTGATTCATTTATTTTTTTTTCTGATTTTTATTATTAATATATTCATTTCGCATTAATATTGTAATAAATGAAATGTTCATACATATTCAATTATTATGGATGTTATTACATTCTATTTGTGTGAAAATTGCTCGATAACGTATGATATTACATAATATTGGACAGAGTTTATTGAGAACAATCTAAAATTTATTGATATATTCTAAAGTTTATTGAGACAAATCTAAAACTTATTGATAAACTTTAAAGTTTATTGAGACAAATCTAAAACTTATTGATAAACTTTAAAGTCTCACAATATTCATTGAAACTTATTGATAAATTCTAAATTCTAATGAGATTTCATAAAGTTTATTGAGACAAATCTAAAATATTATAGAGACACGTTAGCCTCTCAACGAACCTCATAAGATTTTAGAATTGTCTCAAAATATTTTTTTTTCATTTGCCTGAGGATCTGCTCTGTCTACTCAGGCAAATCAAATAAAATATTTTGAGAATCAAATATTCAATGATAAACTCTAAAATATTTTGAGAAATTCTAAAGTTTATTGATACTTTCTAAAACTTATTGAGAATAGATAAGTTTAAAAATATTTTTTTTAATCTTATAAGATTTTCTAAAATTTATTGAGCAAATTCTAAATTATCTCGATAAATTCTAAAATCTTATGAGATTTCCTAAAGTTTATTGAGACAAATTTAAAATATTATAGAGACACGTTAGTTTCTCAATGAATCTCAAAATATTTTATTCGATTTACCTGAGTACCTTTAAAAACATTCTTATCAACATGGTTAGACCCGGTTAGATACTCAAAACACAGATTGCAACTGTCGCAACCCACCACCAAATAAGTAAAATGCCCAAAATATCATCAAATACTTGAAATATTTCAATAATATCACACATGGTAACTTTATATGAGTGATGCAACAAAACAAAAGAAAGAGGAAACAGAAATAGAAAGAGTGAAGAACTTCCCAAAGAAAAAAAAAACAGTCAAATAAATAATTGAAATCAACTCACCATTCCGATGATGTTACCACCGTAAAACCCACCAATCGACTAAAGAATTGGAAAAAAAAGAAAAGCAAAGGAAACAAGTTGGACGCTTTTTGGGTGGGAGGAAAAACAAAACAACAACAAGATATTTATATTATTCATCGTCGTCGTCGCTCTCTTCCTCATCTTTTCCCTTGGCCTTTTTTCTTGCGTCTCGGCTCGCTTCCTCAGCATCCATTTGCTGATCAAGTCCTTTCGGAGCAACGAGTCCATCCTTAAATTTTTTGACAATATTGATTCAAACTTGAAAATTTTACATCATCTTCCTCCTCCTCCTCGTCCTCATCCGAATCGGACTCACTCTCCTCATCTTCATCTTCATCATCTCCCTTCTTCTTCTTTTCATCATCGAGAATGGTAACAATTTGAGCCTAAAATTAATTGGAAATTGAAATTATTTTTAGCTAATTGTTTACTTCTTTCTTAATGCTGAATTTTCCCTTTTTGCTCTCAATCGCCTCTTTAACCACATCAAGAGCATGATTCACCGCAGCAAGACCACCTTCCCGATCCAATGTTTGAGTGGTAACTACAAAGTGTGGAGCGGCAATCAAATTGATCTAGAATCGATATCACACGCTTATTTATTAAATTCATTTCGGTTTACCTTAATTGGGAAAACTTCAGTTGAGCATTCTTTTCCAGCAATCAACGCATTCTTAACAGCATCTATTCCTTCATAAGCAAAGCAAGAGACTTCGATGTCAGCACGGATCTTAACGGCTTGTGGTGTCAATCGCTTGCGAATGTCTTCAAGAAGTTTCTCCCTGATTTCAGGACTGATGTCACACTCATCAAGAACAGTCGGATCACTGAAGAAACGAGCTGGTTCGTTTTTTTGCGGAGAAATTGAAATAATTACATGATAGCCTTCTTGAACGCATCATAAGATGCCGCTTTCCTCTTTTCCTTGCGATCAAAATGCCAAGCCGTTCGCTGGTACAAATCTTCAAGCTGCTCATCTGTGTTATATCCCAGTTGTTCAGCAACATGTCGAAGAATGCTAAGCGAATACAAATTTATTACTGTGCCCAATATATCGAATATTAAAACCTGTTGACCATTTTGGCATTTGCATATCGTTCTTCACACTGTCTTAAATCTTTTTGGTAAACCCTTCTTTTTGAGAGATCAATGTAACCTGGAAATGATTTCAATTTTACATTGAAAAATCGATTTTTGCGAAATGTACCCTTCTCCTTGTCTACTCGAATAACTACGACGCATTCGCTTCGCCCGACACGAATCAGCTTGTTGACAGATCTGATACGACGACGCGACAATTCCGAGAGAAGAATCATACCCTCTGCAAAATTCTCTTAATAATCCATTTATTTCGTAATTTACCTTTATCGTTGTATTCAGAAAGTCGAACATAAGCTCCCATGTCGGCGATTCTTGTCACATTCGCTACGACAGTCTCTTCGACGTCCGGGAACCGATTCTCGTAGAAGCGGCATTTCATCAACGACATCTAAAAATCAGAATTAAAAACTCGATACGAGTATGATATTTAAAAGTACTAAGCAATGGTAATTGACACCGCTGAATGAAACAAAACACATGGAATATTTAAATAAAAATTCTTAATTTATGAAAACAACGAACAAAAGAAAAACAATCCTACTCCTACTCAAACTGAAAATTTCTATTCTATAAAAGGAAAACAAGAAAACCAAAACAATATGAAACAGTGGGATCTTTTTTTTCTTGTTGTTTTGTCGAAAAGCTTAATTCGCGAAAAAATTTTAGCTAAAATATTGAGATTTTCAATGAATGGATGCACAATTTCATCGTTACATGGACGGGTTTAGAACAATTTTAAGACTCGTAATTTATTGAATGTTGAGCAATGTTTGCTGGTTTCCAGGTAGGTAGACGACGTTCTTGTTCTTCGCCATTCGCTCGGCAATCTCTTCAGCGGCCTCGATTTTTCTCAATTCGATAAGTCCATCTCCAACACTGGCGAAGGCCTTGGCGAGAAGCTTAGCGGCTTGAGCATCTCCTTCAGCGGTTGTGACCGCAGCAATCTTCATCTGTTCCGCTTTCTCGACCAAGTATCTGGCCTTCTCCGCCTCTTGTTGAGCAACCTGCTTCAATTCGACGGCTTCGGTGAATTCACGTCCAAAGTTCAAGTGAGTCTAGAAATTTTTAAATTAAAATAGAACTAGTTTTCTAATTTTACAATTGAAATGTCATCTAAAAGAAGACCGAATTGAGCAGCGCGCTGGGCGAGAGCAACAGATACCCGTTGCGAAACAACTTCACGCTGTGTGATCATCTCATGAGCATCAAATTGAGCCTGAATTTATTTTTTTATATTTAAAGCGATGTTATACTATTCCCTACCACAACAGCCTTCAAAACTTCATTGGTGATAGATGGAAGAACTCTTTCAGCATAATCCATACCAATGTTCAAATAAATGTTTGGAAGCTTTGCTGGATCTGGTCTGTGAAGGATACGGAGGGTGATATTCACATTTTGCAAATCTAAAATTGTTTAATAGATTTACTACATTTTTGAACGATCATTTTTTACCTTTGCTTCCGGTGATTGTGGTGACAGCTCTTGGGGTTGACCGAATATCGAAGATAATCGGCTTCTGCACCCAAGGGATCAGAAAATGTGTTCCTTCTCCCATGACGACATCTTTGACTCCAGAGAAACGATCGAAGATGACTGCTCGTTGTCCACCATCAACTGAATATAAAAATTGCTTCTATATTTACGATAATTATGAACCATTGTAAAGGGCGGTCTGTGCAATTCCTCCGGCAATGGAGAGTCCGACACCAATAGTACCCAAGCGGCCCAAAAGTTTCTGAGCAGCAGCAGCCATTACTTAACTGAAATACAAAATCATACACATTTTAAAGTTTTTTTCTTCCAATAATAAACGAGACTAATATTTTTTCAATTGTTTACCTCCAAATTTGCTTTTCAATCAACTTTAATGCACTATGTGTGTGCACTATTAAAAATTGACAAAATTTAGAGGAATTCGTCCATAACTAATCAATTTAAACAATGATGCAAATGTAAATCGAAAATTGCGAAATAACGGAAAATTATTTTGTGGCCCACCAACTGATATTTTATAAAACAACATTTTTAAAACAATAGTTTACATTTTTATCGATCACGTTCAAAAAGAACTTCAGAAAATGAAGAAAATCTGAGCTAAAATGGACAAAAAACAAAAATTGAAAAATGCGGTTAAAGGGAGGAGGGTGCATCGTCCGTGGGTCTCGCAACGCGCGCAGCACTTACCGTAGGACGAGTTTAGGGAGACATCGGTTGCATTTTATTTTCTTTCTTTCGTAGGATTTTTCATCTTTTTCGTTCATTATTCCTCAATTTTTTTGTTTTTCTGGCCTATAATTTTTAATAAGCTATCGATTATTCCAATTGCACTATTATTATTTTATCTGGTAGGGTGAGAAGTCGTGTTTTTAAGTAAATACAAATAGGATAAGCTCTCTAATTTTGTCGTCACATATTCATGATCTGTTTCATCATTACTTTTTTGTTTTTTAGGGTATGGCACACGCTAAGAGAAAGACCAGAAAGCTTCGCGGTCACGTGTCTCATGGACACGGACGTATCGGAAAGCATAGAAAGCATCCCGGAGGTCGCGGAAACGCTGGAGGTCAGCATCACCACCGCATTAACCGAGATAAATACCATCCCGGATACTTCGGAAAGGTTTGTGGTGTTGAAATCTTTCAAATTTAGTTATTTTCTCCTATCTTGGCGCTTCCACTGGTGAATGTGGCCGTGTATGTAATAGGAGAAAAAGTAGTGCCAATAGGCTTTCGGGTCTCCTTCGGTGTTCCTCTAGATTTCGATGAATGTCATCCTCTGGGCTCGAGACAATAATAAGTTATATTTTAGATGAAAAGTTATAAAAATTTAGTCTTTTGTATCCAAAGGCATTTAAACTTTCCAGGTTGGAATGAGGGTCTTCCATCTCAACAAGAACGCCCACTACTGCCCAACCGTCAACGTTGAGCGTCTTTGGAGTCTTGTTCCAGAAGATATGCGCGAGAAAGTGAATGACAAGAAAGCGCCAGTCGTTGACTGCGTGAAGCTTGGATACTTCAAGGTAATTTTGTTATAAATTGTAAGGGGATGATTAAGATTCTCTTATCTTGGCGCTTCCACTGGTGAATGTGGCCGTGTATGTAATAGGAGAAAAAGTAGTGCCAATAGGCTTTCGGGTCTCCTTCGGTGTTCCTCTAGATATCGATGAATATCATCCTCTGGGCTCGAGACAATATCAAATAATTTATCGGTTTTTTCAGGTCCTTGGAAAGGGACTCCTTCCAAAACAACCGCTCATCGTTAAGGCCAGATATTTTTCGCACGAAGCTGAGAACAAAATTAAGGCCGCTGGTGGAGCTTGCGTGTTGGTGGCATAAGCCATGTTGTTGCGTTGTAATAAAACAATGATTAAAGCTTTATTTTTCGTTTTTATTGTTCCATTGGTTTTCATCCTTTCTTACCTATTTTTGACCGGAAGGTCATATTATTGCTTAATTAATTATTTCAGCGTTCATCAAACGTTTGTTCTCTGTTGAGCTAAGGCTAATTGCGACTTACGATTGAAGAATGGCTTCGAATCAAGAACTGGCTTGCGTCTACGCCGCTTTGATCCTTCAGGATGACGAAATCGCTATCACTGGTGAGAAGATCGGACTTCTCCTTAAGGCCGCCAACGTCGAGTTCGAGCCCTACTGGCCAGGACTTTTCGCCAAGGCTTTGGAGGGTGTTGATGTGAAGGTATTTTTGAAACCCATAATTTGAAATATTAATGTGTTTCCTTCCAGAATCTCATCACTTCGGTCTCCTCTGGTGCCGGATCTGGCCCAGCTCCAGCTGCTGCTGCTGCCCCAGCTGCCGAAGCTGCTGCTCCAGCCGCTGAGTCCAAGAAGAAGGAGGAGCCAAAGGAGGAATCCGACGACGACATGGGCTTCGGTCTTTTCGACTAAATACCTTGTTATTTGTTGGCAATAAATTGTTGTTTATTCAAATACTAAAATACAATCAAAATAAGAATTTTTATAATGGGGCAACGCGGCTGTTGAGCGCACTTTGAATCCGTTGAATCCTAGAGGTATGACGACCTAGAAATAATGATTAGGGTGATGAATTGTCTTTAATGCTAACCCGGTGATTTAGGAGGAAGAAAATAAAGTTCCTGTGAATGGTGTCGTTTCGTCTCTGAAACGATTTCATCTGTGTTCTTCTGTTCGCCAGAGTTTGAATCAGGCGAGACAGGTTTTGTGCTTGTCTGGGATACTCTGTGCAGGCTGTAATTTGTAATTTTCGAATTCAATGTTATTTTACTTGACAGGTTTAGGTGGCGGAGTATCATCAGGCGAAACCTGAACAATGTCTGATGGAATAGTGGAGCTCGCCAACGAAATTGCAGGACTCGAAGTGTTTAATTCCTTTTCATCTTCTTCATTTTCAGCCGGTCGTGGTTGTTCGGTAACAACAGTTGATCGTCGGCTGAGTCAAATGAAGTCATTCTAAGGATCAGAGCAAGAGAAAACATACCCTTCCAATCCAGCAATATCCGCTTTTCTGAGCTCATGCTCCTCTTGCATGAGCATGATCCTCCGATTCTCCTTATCAGCTTGTTGTCGAATTTGAAGTGCAAGTTCAGCGCTTCGAACGCCTTCAGTTAAATAAACATAATGTTCGGCAATCTAAAAAAAAGAATTGAAGAATAAATTGATTTCTGGAAGAATTTTTGGGCTCAACCAATGACATAAATGCACAAAATTGATCCTGCAAAGCGCTTCGATCTTTTTTTGCCCGTTGAAACACGCTCATATTCGAGGTTTTGATATTATCAAGCTGCAATCGATAAAAGGATTAAACAAATATGAGAGGGGAATGCTTTTTTCCAGGATAAGCCGACTGAAAATAGCTCACGTATCCATTATATCGATTCAAATGTGTGATCATCACCATTTGCTGTTGAACACTTGAAGTTGTCTGAATATTTGCCTGAAATCGCAAAATGGGAACTTGAATCGAATATGGGTGAAAAGCGTACCGCGTTCGAAATATCAACATCGTCAATTTCCAAATTATTCTTGTTATTAATAATGAGCAAAATCGGTTTTTTTGAGCATTGCGGATGATTGGTGACCCGTTGAAATGCCTTTAACAAAATTGCGAAAATACGACACTAAAAAAAACGGAATAATATTCACACCTCAATGGATTCTTGGTATGTCTCTTCGTTGGAATAGTCGATGACATAAATAATGCCGTAGACCTGAAAAGAATGTTGCGAAATTGTTTCGAAACACGCATGAGGAAAACTTCGCCGAAATAATTGCTCCAAATGTCGCGAATACCCTTATCACCGCCAACGTCGTAAATTCGAAGGCGAAATCGTTCATCGTAGTCCATTTCGAAAACGGAAAACCCGTTAGTCGTCAGAACATTTCTCGGATCTTCTGGAAAAATTCGCGAGATTTCAGCATAGCGCCTTGATAATCCAACTCACCGCCTTTGAGCATTTTCAAAATTGTCGATTTTCCGGCGCCGTCGATTCCGAAACATCCCAAAGTGACGGTCCTAAAATAATTGGCATCAAGAGATTTGAATTGAGACGAACGTCACCTTTGCACGATTTTCTCATTGCGACAACAGCATCGGCAGCAGAAAATCGTCTCGAGCCATGATGTCGGCATGATCGGCCGTTTCACATTGGCACTTCGCAACCACCCTAATTCGGAAACGAGTGCTCGCTGCTGGCAGCCTCCGCCATCGCTTTCGTTGCCATGGAAATAACGAGTGCGAAGTGGCAGAGACGCAGACTTTCGAAAATTCGAGCACAACTCGCTAGGTGCCCCAAAAGGAATTTGGTTTGGCTAATTATTCAATGGTGACCGGAGAGAATTGATTGCCAAGGTAACGTTGATTAGCCTACCAACTGCAATTCGGAGCCGCTTTCGATATTTGAACAATTGAATTTAGTGGAAAATTTTGATTTTGGATGAAAAATCAAAATTTTAGTCAACAATACTCTATGACCTCTTTGTTCGAATGTAATGGTCCATAAATTATCATATAACCAAAATTAAACAACAAAATTCGTTTTTAAAATGAAATCTTCGAAACCTATTTCACACTTTTTTTTACTAATGCCAATCAAGATAAATTTCTCGAACCGTCTCGTTTAATCGTGTTATGTCGTGCTGACGATGATTCGTGATATTTTGTGTTTATCAACACATGGTTTCTTCATCTTTTGAACGCAGTGTAATTTTGCAGGAAATAAATTGCGAAAAGATGGAATGGAAATGAAGACATAAAATTGCTGAGGAGGTAATACTCATAAAGTGGCGAATTGGATTGGATTATATGGAATCAAAAAGAAAAAAAGTAAAAAGAGACCAATTCGGACAACATTTTGACCGGTTAGGCCGGCGATCTTTGTAATTCTATTGATCTATATATCAAAGTCGAATGATCAAACTAGCAATGAGATCAGAATATAAAAGTGGAGGAAGATCTTTGAAGATTCACACACCAACCCATGAAGTACTTGATTGTTGTGTTTGCATTCCTCGCATTCGCTTCCTGCCAGATCTTCCACCACGTGCCGGATTATCTCACCAATCACATCACCAATCCGCACCATGTTCATTATCGCGGACCACACGGAGTCACCTATCATGATCCGACGACCGGCGTCAAGAACAACCATGGATTCTTCGTCATGTGTCGAGGATGGACTTGCACATGACAGAACTTGCACAGAGGAATCAGTTCCGTGTTTCGACATAATTGTGTATATTTTGCCCTTTGACGATCTCGATCATAAAATCTTCGCATTCTTTCATCTAGAAATTGACAGTTTCTGTAATTTGCAACATTCACACAGAAAGAGGCGTGGTTCGATGAACCGTTTGAAACCACGAAAATTAGCATCGAATATCCACAGATTCGAGAAATTCGTAGTCTCGAATGAAGATCAGAAAGAATCATCGAAAAAAAACCTAAATATTAAAAAATAACAGTTACGTGAATATTGAATTCAGACGTCTCATACATTTTTCAATGCTTCACCATATTTTTTCTCATTTTCACGTCGTTGGCTCCATTATTTTGGTTGTGTTATTTCAGCAAGAAAAACTGGAAGAAATTAATCAGGTGTAAGTTTTCTATCAACAAATATTACAAAAAAAAACAGTTCAAATGCTGAATATTGAAAAATCACTAAGAAATGGTGCGACCGAAACGGCAGTTAATAAAGATTTCGGTGAAACGCGGGTGAATCGCCGATGAAACGATGATCGTGTGATTTCGAGAGACGGAAATCATTTGTTTTCACCGTCGTTTCACCGAATCTCGCGTCTGTCCGCCGTTTCTTTGGCACGATTTGCCGAATCATTCTTGAAAGGTTCCGCATTATGTCGTCAGATGTTTGCAGACGATTCTACAGTAGTCAAAATTGCCACGTTTTGCCTTGTCATTTCCAATCAATTTTTTTTGAATTTCATTACAAATTTTCAATTTTCCTTAAACATTCTTGATCAGACAACTTGATTTTTTTCAGTCGAAACGGAGAAGCAATTGTTCTGTCTGCCGGAAATGGTCTTTCTTTTTGAGCGCGTAAGTTTTTCTTCTTGTTTTATTAATTTTCACCAACTTTGGTGCTTTTTTAAATTGAATTTCTCAAATATTTTAAACGTTGCACTTTCTCATGTCTCTGCAACGATTGTCTCGGGCCACTGTGCGCATGTCTCGAGAACATTCGTTGAGTCGGATTTGAGAGAGCCCGCAAGGGTGCCGCGCTTCTCGTGCCACGAGACGCGGACCAACGCCCTGATTCGGTGACCCGAAGGGTCCGACCCAGGAGGGAAATGCCTGGGGAAGTCTAGGCGCTCACGGTGGAGTGGCGCTGGGATGTTTTTGTTGCAGAGACTGCCGAATTGGCACCAATATAAAAATCATGTTTCTTTTCTGGAAGAGCAACATAAAATTTTTTAAAATTAAAATATCTGTTAAAATTTAAAAAAAATTCTCAATGAAATCTTTAATTTTTATGGGAACTGCTACCAAGGACAGGAGTGAAAAGAAGAATTATCGACAACGACTGTGAAATGGTTAGGTTTTTATTTTACTAATTTTGATACGTATTCCATTTCAGCCCTGAGGAAATTAAAACTCGATGATATGAAGGAAACTATGAAGGACTAAACAGGTACTCTAAAAAGGACCATTCAAATTCATTAAAAATATTAATGTTTCAGGTCGGAATTCATTCATTTCACCCGAAAATCCTTCTATGTTCTTCACTCTTCTGATTTTCGTGCAATCAACTTCTCTTCGACGTGTAATTTTTAACTACTGTGGGTTTTTTATCACTTTCCACGAAGACATTGAATATTGCAAAAATAAGATAGAAGGTAGTACATTCAAAAACGCCCGGTACATTTTCGTTCGGACACACCACGCTCAGCCAAAATTTTTGAATATAAAACTGTTTCTGAAAAAAAAACGGCTATAGTCGTCTCCTCAAACTAGCTTTAAAAAGCCGATTTCGGGCTTTGTGTGTCAATTTCGCCGTTTTTTTTTTTTTTAGAAACATCCTACGATTTAGTGAGCTGTTAACCGGTATCTGTGGGAACGTTTCAAATATTGAAAAATTGGAGCGCAGTTAAAAATGTTTCGGCTAATTGCTAATTGTGCATGCGTTTGCAATCTGTTTGAATACATTTTTTTAGTTTCAGATGATTCGCCGATTCGCAGATAATTTTACCGCTCTTAATTAACCCTGTTATAATTATTGATGATTGCGAATATCCCCATAAGAAGCGGGATTCGCAATCCTGTTTTTTTACCATTTCGTTTTGTCATGTTCGAAAGATTGTTTTCAAATTTTAAAAACTGGCTGCGTGCCAAGGCGGTGACCATAGCGCGTTTTCTCCATGAGTAGAGTAAAATGTTCTTATTGATATCGTCGAAGCCGAGCAAATGCGGATACTGTAAAGCATACTTGCAAATCTCCGGGTCGACCCGGGTCAGTAATAAAATTCGCGACCGGCCCCCGCCCCGCCGACCCGCAACGACACTCCAAGTTTACAGTGAGGTTCTTATTTAGCGAAAAAAAATTCGAATTACATTATTTGAGTAGAATTAATTATTCTCGCAAAAAAAATTGTTCAGAAGTCCCGAAACAATTGATTGAACCAGCCTTCACTGTTTTTGTTTCGTTTTCGATTTTTTTAAAATAAACTTCTTAAAAAAATCTATTAGCGGGTCGGTAGAATTTTCACTCTGACCCGCCCCGCCCCGTTGCAAGTATGCTGTAAAGTTCGTGTCGAATAACGCGCGGGGATATTTACGTCGGTTGATTAGTGTGGCATTTTCCGTGTGAAGCAAACATTCGCAAAATTCACCCCTAGAATTTAGTCATTCTTCGCCTTCGCGCTACTTCGACAATATTTTATCCCAAATATATATTGATAAACGCCACCTTAGTGAAGCTAAATTCCCTAGTGATTGAAGGACCCCACTTTCAGCATAAGTGGAGGCCATTCCTCCACTGTATTTTCAGGATTTTTCAGGTAAACTGTAAATGTTCAGAAGATAATTTATTTTGCTTAATAATAGGTTAGGAATCGTATCAGTGTTGCGCGGAATCATTCTTACGTGACTTATTCTTACGCCATTTTCAGGCTTACACAAATTTCGACTTGCGCGCAACACTGATTTGCAACTATTCAAATGTATCCGTAAATGATATGACACTAAATGAGGAACTGGTTGAAGGCTTTCGTTTTGTACATTTTCGGCTATTCGAAAAATGTTCTTCGAGATTATAATACCTGAAATAAGCATTTAGAATTACAGAAGGGGCGTATAAATGCAAGTACCTGTATTTATGCAGATCGTCAGTTTCTTCGAAATCCTCTTCAAAATCCCATGAATCTTGAGTGATTTCTTGAAGAAAAAGCTTATTGCGAACGAAAAAACTAATCACTTTTTTCAATTCAAGCCGTTTTTGATATCTACCTAAAATAGGAACATAATTTCGTGAACTGATGACGAAAACCTTACATTTCTCCGATCGTGGCGATCGGAATTCGTGATTATATAATATTTTATAATTATTTGGAGCAACAATTCGATTATAGACAATCAAAAGTTGGCCTTCTTTTTCATTTTGAGAGCGTTTTCCCTTTTTTGGAGTCGATTCTTCACGATTTTCTTTCAAAAAATGTGAGAATGATTGGCCGATTCCAGCTGTCGAACGAATTGAAAATGAATTTTCATGTTTACAGTAAAGTCTTTTAACCGGAATATTGACGAAGCTAACTCCTTGAAAATACTCTGAAACGTATTTCCTAAACTCAATTGTGATTTTTTAGAAACTTACTCAAAAAATAAAAAGAAAGGGCAATTCGTTCGGCTACGATCACTTGATTTCCTTGATTGATTTGCTCAAGATTTTCCAAAAAATCATAATTAATCTGGAATTAATTAAAGAAATAATTAATTGAAACAAGCGAATGTACATTTTCGAATAATTCCCATCGCTTCGATTTGTTCGACGAGTATTTCAGAGATACTTTCATGTCGTCGTTTAGAAATCGATCTTCCATTTCGTCATGATATTCCTAAAAAATAATAATAAAAAAAGCCCAAAACGTTAGCTTTATCTTTTTTTTTAAAAAGCAAAAATGAATCTGAAAACGAACCTCGGACCAATGAAGTCGTCCATTGAATTCGTGGTAGGTCTTATAAAGAATATCAAAAGTTTTGAAAAAGGAAAGACAAAAATCAACAAGACGAGAACGAATGTGGTCTTTTTCGATGGGCGGCCGAATATGTTTGAAGCTGAAAATCAACAACAAAATATATAGATTTTAGGATAAAAATCGACTTACTCGTAATAGATTTGTTCGTCGATGCCCGAATTTTCCATGGAAATGACCGATTTCAAAATGAACATTTTTGCTTATATCTCGCCGAAGAAAACGAATGGCGAAATATTTCGCAATGATTTGATTTATTTGTTTATGACGAAAATATGAAACTGATAATATGGGCAACTATTTTAGTATGAGAAATCAATGGAGAGTAATATTCCAGGTTTAACAGAAGAATAAATTAAAAGTATCAAAAATCGAGCGCCTTGAAAAATTGTGGACCATCGTACTTTTCGATGCGGTATTTCAAATTTGTATAGTAAAGGGGTTAAGCTGCCGTCCTAGCGAACAGTGGTAGGGCGGCACTTCCCATTACTTCTCTCACTTTCATATGCGTTAGGAATTAACAACGCTTGAAGGAAAACTTGTTAATTTCTTCAATGAAGTTAGGAAATTACAATTAATAAAGCGGTGGATCATAATGGTGAGAGTTGATAAAAACGGAGCCGACACACGCGACTCATAAAAGAAGGAAAGGGCCAAGATTGATGGATATGGGGGTTTGTATGTGGTGCTGTTACAATCAAAGCATTTAATAAAGGATTGATAAGGATTACATCAGCTCCCGGCGGAGCTGATGTATTTTGAGTGATTTATTGTGATAGAACCTGATAGGATTTTCCTTTACAGTATTTAAAGAGTGGGAATTCAGGTACCGAACTGCAAATAACCATATAAAATGTTCATAATTGAATTTGGAATTCAGATACAAACACTCGTTATTACCACAATACTTATTTGGTGTCGCATTGATTAATGGCATCCGATGGTAAAGGTTCAAGATTTATTTTTTATTTTTTGGAAATTCAGTTCGAAATTTTTATGGCAGCAAGTTTAACGCTCTTTTTTTTTTCATTTTTTAGTATTGTCAACTTCGCGTGATTGTGGAAAAATAAAAAAACCAGTAGAAGAGGTCTTGGCACAACATTACCCTTTTTTCCGTTATTTTTCAATTATTGTTGAGAAATGACAAATGTATCCAGGTGTCATGGGATCATGCGTTTTGTACGTAATGCGATGAGCCAGTTACCTTAATCCTCGCTAGATTTACGGGCGACGTCTTAAAATTTCCTATTTTTTTTTAAACAAAATAAGTAATTAATTCGAGTTCTACAGAGTTTAAATAAATAATTTCGAAAAAAAAATACGAAAATTGAGTGAAAAAATAATTAAATCGAAAATTTAAAAAAGGCTCTCGTAAATCGCTGCGAGGATTACGGTAACGCATTGCGTACAAAACGCAGGATCCTACGACACCTGGATACAATTTTTCATTTCTCAACAATATGAAAAATTGGCAAAACTAAACGTGTGGATTTACGGGCGAAACATAAAAATTGAAGAATTGCATATACCGCGTGTCTCCCAATTTTTTTTTGGAATTTTGCCAATTTTCCAAAGTCGCACGACGTCTACAACATGATAGTTATCAAAATGTGTTCAATTGCATATTTTTGAGATCATCCTTAAGAAAAAAAATTCTTGAAAGTGGAATAGCCAATATTTGGTTACTGTAAAAAAAATAAAGGGACATACTAGTAAATTTCCACAATTTATTTTAAATACAAACCGATAATTAGTAATGTTATTGATATTTGCCAAACCTGAAACAAATTCAAACTAGTGCCAATATTTTGAGCAAATTGATGTCTACCATCCGACGCTGCACAAAATGTACGTGAGACAGACGGAGAAGGCCGCCAAAATGGCGGTAATCGCGGTTTGAATGACCGCCGCCGACGCGCTTTTCGCAACCAAATCGATTTTGTATTCCTTCCGAACGTCTTCCGACAAAATCACGCCGATCAGAAGAAGTCCGCAAATGCTTAGATGGTAGAGCATGGCGACGCACTGAAAAAGAGGGAAAACAAATGTTATATTGATTGTTGAATGGGTCCTACCGCGCAAATTGAAACACAACTGAAAACGGTTTTGGATTGAAGACAAATAAGGAATAAAACAAAAAAGCCGCTGAAAATCTGAAATTTTGTTGTTGGAAGGAAATAGGCGATTTTTTAAACCTCAACAATTGCTGTGCTGAGCCAATGCGCCAATACGTTGTCGGATGCGATTTCCTGATATCTGAAAATTTGGGGAGACATTGATAAACGAGATTCAGACGGACATGAAGCATAAGACTAGGTAACAAGTTCCGGAGATCAAATTGAGAGCGGCGATTGATTTCAGAAAACACTGAAAATTTCCAAAATTGACATCGATCCTCTGGTAAAATGTTTTCCTACTCCAGCGGTTCCGCAGCATACTGGCACGTCAAGATTGGCAGTGTCACCTGTCGCATCCAATCGCTTCGAATCGTCGAGAATCCTAATTCGAGTCTCATCCATTTTAGTGGAGTAGGTTTTTAATAAAAATCACGAATTTTCCAAATTTTTAGAAGTGTCACGCAAAATTCGATTTTTACTTTCTTTTTTTTTGGGAAAAACATGCCCAATATCTGCACGACGGTTTTGACCAAATCCGTAGATTGAAAAGGCTACGGCGAAATGATGACGTCCAGTAAAGAGCAGGATTGCGCCGAAATACTTTTATAAAGAATTTTTTCTATATATATATATGTATATATATATTATTTTTAAGCCAGCCAGTGGAAACGGAATTTTTTCCTAACGGGAAACAATTTATCTCTGAACATTTAAAGATTGACGTATTATAGAAAACTATGTATATTTTAAGTAGAGTAATCAACAGGGGATTTCTGTTTCCCATCGGAAAAAATTTCCAACTTACTTTTTCTTTTTTTTCGGAAACGGAATTTCGTGCAACAATGTTAATTTATCCGCGTGTGTGTGTAGTTTAGATAAAAAAAAACATTGTGTATACGGTAGTTAGTAGGAAAGTTTTCCGCAAACACCGAGGGGAGTTTTTTCAATTTTTTTCAGTTTTGGGCCAATAATTGAAATTTCGATTATCAACAGTTTCATTAAAAAAAATTACGATTTCTTTTTATGTGTAAATTTTGTTTTAAGAACTTGATATTAATTTCAATTACATATTGTTAGTGTAGTATGATGGTGAACGTGCCAAAATTATTGGAGGGTCCTCGGCTCAATGCTAAATGTGTTGATCTTAAGGAACGATGAAAATTTAAAAAAAATTGAAAAAATCCAATGCTTTAAAACTAAAAAATCAATGATTATGTTTCTTTTTTAAATATGAAGACATTTTACTGCATAAAAAAATATAAATTTTATTATAAATTGATTAAACATTTGCAGATGGTGAAAACGTCAGAATTACCGGTGCTAGACGACATGACTAAACGTTTAGATAAACCGTCGGACGGATTATCACCGGAAAGACAAGGTAATGCTTATTTTGATGAGTTTTTATAAATGTTGTGGTTCAGGAATTATTTACGGAATGCGCACTAATGGTAAAGAACAAATTTTTGAAATTTTTGATAGAAAATTCAAGTATCTGCATGCGACAATAGATGAATTATTTGTGAGTTTAAGTAGAAATATTTATACAATTAATTGATTTGCAGATCGGTTCGGGTGATTGGGTCAAATATGATGTCAGGAAATCGAAAGAAGGATTCCCAGGAATCGCGTTTATTATTATTTTTGAATATCCGTTAAAGTAATCATATAATATTTAGATATGAGGCTTTCAATGTGAGAGAAGTTGAGGAGAAATCATCGAATCCAGCAACCGATGATTTTAAGCATGTTGACCCTACGAAATATTTTAAAGGAGGTTCTCAAAAATCGAATTTTGTTCATTATAATAGAATGAATTCCTATTTAGACGACAAACGTGTTGACACTTTCTCCTACAATATAAATGGAAATACTATTGTGGTAAAAGTTTTTTTTTATCATCCAAAATTATTTCAATTTCAGTTCAAAACTCGCTTGACGATTCAGGATGGTGTTAAAGGCCTTGGTGCCTACAATTCATACTACGGGCTGATTCATATTGAACCAAATGAAATCCACCGACTTTTGAATCATGAAATTCATATTTTTGACGTAAAATTTTCAAAATCCCATTTTTTAATCCAAAAAGAAAATTAAGGCCGCTATCGAACTAATTCGTCCAGAGAAATACAAAGGAGGTCCTCATTTCCGCTTGCAGCATTATGTCAAAAACGGCCAATATTATAGTTTGAGCGGATTTGTTTGAAACGCAATTAAATCATTTTTCTGCAAAATTTTTAATAAATTTCAGTTGTCGATTCTCGGAAAAGTTTGCCGTGGTCCTCGCGGGGTTGTTCGTGATCGGAAACGTCCGGAAGACATTATATTGGTTCAGTCGCCTGCACAGCCAGTTCTTCCAATTCGCGATGAGAATTTCGGTGAAGCTCAAAGAGATCCGGCTCGTTCCCCATTTTACGATATCAATTCAAATTGTCCCCCAATTTTTGGCCGAAATCTCCCAACACCACTTGAACAAAGAAGGTAATTTCAAAAATTCGTGTCGTAATTTTTAAATGAATATTTCAGACACAACTGTTGAAATAATAAGAAAATGTACAAATTATAATAATCTTTAATTCAATGAGTGTTTTTCATTCGTTTTTGAAAAAAATTAATTAAATAAATGATGTTCGATTATTCATTTTGTTGAATTTCCGCCAGTTGCGATAGAGCGCGGTTGTCGCCTTTCTCAATTATTTTGCTTGCATTTTTGTGATTTCGAATTTATTTATTTTCCACATTTCAAAGGCAGAATGGCGGACGTTTGGGTTTCCACGGGAAAACGATATTGCGAAATTTGCAAGGTAATTTATTTTTTTAATAGAACATTTTAAAATTATTTTTTTCTCTAAAGTATTTTAAATGAGAATTTTACAGGTTTGGTTCGGCAACAACAAAGCCTCACAGGATCATCATGATCGTGGCGAGCGGCACAAGGCGATGTTGGCGAACAAAATCCGCGAAACAATGCAGAAAGGGAAGAAGCAGGAGCTCGCGAACGCGAAACTCAATGCAACGCTCGCCAAAATGACGGCGGCGGCGACATCAACGATGGCAAAACGCGGAGAAGGCATCATTCAGGGACCACAATTGCCTTGTACGAATCAGACTGGAATATTGGTTTCAAACAAAATTATCTTTTTTTTTTAGCAATGGGCCTTCAAATGAACATTTTTGATCCGAACAAGTTCAAGGACGTTGGCTCAATGGCCAAGGAAATGTCAGCGAGGAGGGATGGAATTAGAAAGGTCCGAAGTTTTTAAATAATGGTCCGGTACTAATATTTTGATTTTAGGGAATATCTGGTGCAGCTCCTCCCCCGGCAGCAAATCATCCAATGAAAATAACCAAGGATGATGTTGTATCGGCTTATCGAGATTGTAAGAGGCGTTTATTTGAATTGGCTGATTTTTAATGAAAAATTTCAGTGACAAATCCGCAAGCCGCCGGTGCTCAAGGACCTGCTCTTCCAGAAGCGTACGCTGTCAAATATTTGCCGGAAACACAGACGAAATGCGCAGAGATTTGTTGGGTTCGCGCCAAATCTGAAGAGGGAACGTATTATTGGAATCTGTTCGATAATTCGACAAGATGGGACCAACCGTCCCATTTCTACACCGAAGAGCAGTATGAGGAGAAAGTGCGAGAGTTCGAGGAGAACCGAAAACGCAATTATTATGGGCTCGATGAGGTGAAGGCGGTGAAGATGGGAAAACAGGATGTCGAGGCGTATATCAAGTCGCAAATCGCGCAAAGCGGATTGGCGAATCTTGTCGAGACGAATCGGAAGGAATTGAACATCGTCGATCGGTCGGAGAAAGGAAGGAAAGCGGAGAAGCGGAGGCGTTGGGAGGAGCGGCAGAAGGAGCAGCAGCGATTGGCCGAGGAGGAGCAACAAACTAGGATGGCCGCCGAAGAGGCCACAGTTAACCTGGATTATGATGGAATTCCATTGCCTGAAGAGGAGCCGACGTCATCGTCTCAACCTCAACCTGAGATCATCATGCCGCCGCCACCTCCAGCTCCGGTTTATGAGGTCAAGCAGGCGAAGGAGCCCGAAAAGAAGGATGAGCCGAAGTTCTTACCGCCAGCGATTGGAGGTTGGATTCGAATCAAACCTGAAGAGAAACCGTAGAGATTATCAGAAAATTCGCGAATGATTTCTTGATTTTTTTCCAGAGATATCCCTTATGAATCACCGTTGACGAAGAGGTTCCGAGAAGAAGAAGAACAAGAGAAAATTGCTGCAGAGATTCGAGAAAAAGAAGAGCCGAAGATTGAATTTGAAGAAAAAACCGCAGCAGTAATGACGAAAAAAGTGCGATTTTTTTCAAATTACCAGCGTTTTAACAAAACCCCTTACAGATCAAAGGTCCCATCGAATTCAAAAAGAAGACAGGTCCAAAAAATATCAGAAAGCGAGGCGAAGCCGATTGATTGCGTTTTGTATATTTCATTCTTTTGTTTATTATATCCTTGATGAGTAAACTTTTTCCATATTTTTTCTTGAGAGTTCTTCTAAATTAAAAAAAAAATGTTTCGCTTGACACTTCGCGCGGATGTTTTCGTTTCGACGAGCACATTAAAAAAAAAACATTTTATTCGCGATAACTCCCGTTACAAAAATTTGTACAACATTTATAAATAATTGAGTCGGAAGCCATGAATCATGTCCGAAAGGAGTGCCATCTTCGCGTTCATGCTCACTTCGATCTGGCTGAGTATGTGCTTGGACGCCGCTTCATCCGACAAATCTAGGCGAAGGCGTTGCTCGAGCTGAAAAAGAGAGGAAGAATATCGATTCAACAATTGCGAAATTGAAACCTTGAAGACCGCCTTGTCGGGCTCCGCAGCAATATCGGGAATTCCGGCGTCAAGCATCAACGAGAATAAATTGAGAAGCACATTGGAATGCCGCCTGAGGATTCGATAGGCCGAATCGCAGTAGGTGCAAAACTCGGTGAACTGTTTGCTCTTGACACCGCCCATCGCATTCACCATCTCATTGGTGAGCTTCATCGGCGGCGGCATCGGTTTCGGATCGCGTCCAAGAATGAATCCAAAGTCGACGTGGAACAATTTTCCGTTCTCGCAAAGCAGAAGATTGTCGAGATGTCGATCGCCGATTCCGAGAACATAGCTGATGATCGAGTATCCAGCCAATGATCGCGCGTAGTTATCGATGACATTCGCCTCGATTCCGAACGGACCATGCGTGTCGGGTCGCAGATTTTTCATCGCCTCGATGATGCTCTCGTGTTGGTTGGCGATCACGCGGAGCGGCCGCGCTTTCACGAATTGCACGAATCCTTCGTCGACACCAGTTGCGAGAACCTGTTCAAAAACAACTTATTTCAATTCGTTTAACTTTTCTTTGATACAAATGAACAAAATTCATTTAATTCCGAAATTACTTTATTATTTTTTTTTACGAATTTTTGAATTTATTCACTGAATTAAAAAAAATATTTTTTTCCAGAAAAATTTTTTTTGACAAAAAATGTTGTGGCAATTTTCATTTGTTAACTTTTTCGTTAGCATACCGAATATGGCGTCAATTTCAAATCGAGCTGATCCTTCTTAAATAGTGTATCCATGAGCCGAATCATTTGAATCACAAGTTGATCTTGTCTAAAAATAAATTAAATTATTTTTTTTTCATTCTAAAATTTCAAAACTCAAACCTCAAATCATCACCTTGCTTGAAAATGCACGTATATTCTTCTGAATAATTCTGAAAAATCAATCGAAATTTAAAACAGTCCAAATTTTCAGAATTCAACATACATTATCTTTTCTGTCCGAATGACCCGATGGGACCACTTTAAACGACAACTTCACCGGAGTGAGCTGCGAATTGAACATTTGTGCAGTGTCTGGTATCACACCGGCAAGTCTAAAAAAAAGATTAATCTCGAAATGACAATTTCAGACCATTTTTTTTAAAGAGAAAGCGAAATTTTTTCGATTAATCCTAATACCTTATATTAGGGTCCAACGGCAAAGCGACACCCTTCAAATCAATCATATGCTTGGCTTTTGACAAAAGTGTTCGTAGCGCTTGTTCCCTATGCTCTAAGCGTCCACCTCTCGATTTCGCCTCAGCCGTGAGCACCTTCAAATCCTCGACGAAAAGCTGAAAATTTCCAGTGAAAAAAGTATCGTCAAACGAAAATGGTCGAACCGTTTGCGCCTTTAAAGAATCGGCAATTTGTCTGGTCTCGGGCCGCTTCACAAGCGCCTCAAACAGTCGCTCCATTATCGAATTGTACATTCGCGAAACCGCCTCGTCCGTATTTTTCGTCGATTCAATTTCAACTTTCAAATACCAATAAAGAAAATTCGAGATTTTCGCTGACGTCGTGGCATAGCTAATTAAATAAATAGTTGAATTTTGAAATTCGACAAGATTTGCAAATTACTCAATTAGAAACGTGGCAAGATCGCCATGGGATCGTGGAGATCCAACGATTAAGATATCCTTGGTTCCACCAACATCCGATGTTGAAACAACCACATCGGAATCCTGCGCGCCAACAAAGGATGCATCATAGGGAACTGATGGCTCATACTTCAGAGCTTGGACGAGCTGCGGTAGGTACAAGAGCACCTGATCAGGACTCGCGCTCTTCACAAGTCGATCGACAGCATAAGCGCGAACCGCCGGATGGGTGAAGGCGGGAGAAAGGAGCTCTAGGGCGTCTTCCGCGGAAATCACAGCCCAATCACTGGAAGGATCAAAGAATTGCCAAAATATCGCTTTTGAAAAAAGCATGACTTACTGGATGAGAGCTAGTGCGGATTGTTCTTCTTGTGGTTGATCCCAGTTGACAGATCTGAAATGTTGAATCTTGACAATTTTCAACACGAAATCCTCAACCTTAGGTATTTGTTGAGAGCTCTCGGATCTTCGCTGAGGTAATAACGGAATTTCCAAACAAAATCTCGCTGTTCACGCGTGAGCAATTGTGATGAAGGAAGCTGGAAAAAATAAAAACTCAATTTTAAAATTGATAAACACGAAAATCGAATGACGCGTGACGATTGCCAACATTTTGACGTTCTCGTTGTTCAATAATTTCTCCAATTTTACTATTCAGAAGATAACAAAGCAGTAAAAAAATCAAACTGCAAATGTTTGAGCAAACGGCGAAGACTATCGCTGGAGCGACTTCAGTGTAAGGATCGCCGCGTCCGAAACGACATCACACGCGATTGATTGCAGAGATCTCGATGAGGACACAAGAATGGCGGCCGGTGTTGCCATGTTCGAAGCGTTCAACAAAAAAACCAAAGACACGAAGAAGGGCGAGAAGAAGAAGGACAAGAAGAAGACGAATCTGAACACCGAGGGCAGTATGCGGGTGAGTGATTGAGCGTCTACCTCATTTGTAACAGAATAAACTAGTCGACTCGTAAGAAAAAAGACAAAACAGTGCGGAAGGAGCAAGAGCAGGCGACGACGACAATGGCGGCCGCGCCGCAATCGAATCCCGCCGTTCAGAAATGGGTCGAGCGGGCCCTCACGATGGGAGTACAGGCGCTTCGGGACGAATATCGCGCTCTCGCCAAATACACAATGGAGGGAATGACGCAGGAGGCGTTCAACGCGAATCAACCCCTCAATCGCAATCGCTATCAAGACGTTCCGTGTCAGGACGCGAAGCGAGTCGTCCTCAAAGCGCCGCCATCAGCTACCGACTACGTCCACGCCAATTATGTGGGAACTCCGATGTCGGATAAGCGGTTCATCTGCACACAGGTAGATCTTGATCAATTTTTGAATTCAATTTAAAATAATAAATACTATTTATTTTTCGAACTTTTCTTGAATTTATTTTGCCACAAATAATGGAGTAAATTTTATAAATTTTTTTCAAACCAACTTCTTTTCAATTAAAAAAATAGTAAAAAACATCAAAAGATTTTCATTTTATTCGGTCAAAATTCGCGATTTGTTTTTTTCCATATAAGACCCATTCAACGTTTTTTTTAATGCTTAGGGACCATTGGATAATACTTGCGACGAATTTTGGTGGCTCGTTTGGCAGGAGAAAGCCGAGCAGATTATCATGCTTTGCAACGTGATCGAAACGGTACGAAATTATCTGGAGACTACAAAGCTGTGTGATTTTAGGGAAAATATAAATGCGCTCAATATTGGCCGCTAGAAGTGAATGAGAAGCGAGCAGTCGGCGGCGGTCAGATGATCGTCGAGAAGGTCGATTGCAAGCCGATGGAACGCGAGCCGACGATTATGGTGACCAATCTCAAAGTGACCTATAACAATGAAACGCGCAATGTTCGCCATTTGCAATGGCTCGATTGGCCCGATCGCGGAGTTCCGCCGTGTCGTCTAACGAGTATGGTAAGACGACGAACTCGAAGACATCACTGAGCCAAACTGGTCTAGGAGCTTCTTTCGGCCGTTCGCGGCTCCAAACAACCAATTGTTGTGCATTGCTCGGCGGGAATCGGACGTACCGGAACCATCGTGGCGATCGAGTACATTTTGGAGAAAATCAGCGCCGGTTTGGATTGCATGGCGATGGGTGAGCTCATGAAGGAGCTGCGAAATCAGCGAGCCTACTCGATTCAGAACGACTTGGTAATTCAAAACAATTCTGAGCAAAATCACTTCGATCATTCAGCAATATCTCTACATTCATCGAGTGATGCTCTGCTATTTTTTGGAGAAATACAAGGACAAATACGCGTCGCTTCTCACCGAGGAAAACACACAAAAATATAAGAAGTAGAATTTTAAATGTTCCTTTTTTTCTTTAAAAAATTCAATTTTAGATTCGTTGAGGAGTATAACCAAGCTGTTGGTCAATGATAGTCATCTATGATTTTTGCTCTTTCAAAATACAAAATGATTACCTTGATGATCGCTTCAAGTCGATCCTTTGCCTGTTTGTTCGGTTTGAGCTGCCTATCGCTGGCGGCGTCGCGATTACGGCGAGTCATCGCGCTATGCTTCACCTCAGCCAACGATTCAAATCCGAGCTCAGGATCCGCCGTGGAGACCCGTGTGTACGGGATGGCGACACCGCCAAGTGAGGCACTGATTCGCAACTGAAAAATTCTCAAAATTAAGTCCGCCATTGGTGAAATTCAAAGGCAAGATTTCATCTATACTCAACCTTTTGCGAAAAACCAAAGAAATCCTCCATTCGTGCCAAGAACTGTTTGAATGATTAAAAAAAATTAATTTTTTGAATTCTCACTACAGTAACGTAATGTGCAATTTTGCGTCGAGGTGGTGCACGGACTCACATTTTTGGTTTCATCCTCGTAGTAGACCACCTCGTATTGAGTGATCCCAAACCGTACGGCCGCCATTTCGAGAACAACGAACAGATTCCGATCGACCGTCGAATACTTGTGAAGCGCTCGGATCGTCTCGATTTGCTTCGAAATGACCGCATTGAGCCAGGGCACGTCTTCGACGAGCCCGCGCGATTGTCGTTTGACCTGTTTGAATAGCACATCGACATTGTCGTTCGTGTCCGAATATTTCCACGTTTCGGGCACCCGTTCAAATGGATTCCCAACCGTCGTCAGATTCATTTGGACATCAATCGTGCCCGCTTTCATAATTCCCCGTTTGCTGAACAATGACAGTTGTGATTGAGCAACCAATTTTCTGAATTAATTGAGTCTCAATCATTTTGATATCATCTCGATTACCTGGGGAACGTTGAGTTCGAGCATGATGTTTCCATGCCCTCAAAATCAACTTCCCAAACCGTGATATGTAAAAATGCGTCGCGACTCAGCTCACTATAGCGAATCGGCAGTGTGAGCCATTCATTCCATGAATGAATGAGTTTGTGACGAGCGAGTTGGCCGGAATTCGGCGGCGATCGGAATGAGGTAGATACTGGATAGCCGACCGGACGTTGATTGCAATAAACCTCAAACAAATTCTTATTAGAATTTAAAAAAATTAACAATTTGTAATAGAAACCATTAATTTTAAGCTAATTCGTACAAGCTTTGGTCTTTTCTTTTTTTCCGCGAATTTTTTGTCCATTTGAATTCATCGAATAAACTATACCGTAATTTCGGCGAACAACTGCGACAATCGTCGAGTGGGATTCAACGCATCGCGAAAAATCCCTTCAAACTCGATGACTTTGATCTGCACATTCGTCTGAAGATCGGAACTATATACAAAGCAGAACGCATCCGTTGGATTCGCTCGCATTAACGTCGTCTGAAAAAAAGGCGGGAATGATGGAAATATGGAAAAGAAAAAACATGAGAGATAGGATAGAGAAACTAATAGGCGATGGTGATCCTTGATGATCAAAAAAATGAGCACAGAAAATTCAATGTTTATATGGTACAAAGAATAAATACATTAAAACAAATATTAAAGTGGAAAAATAAAAAAAAAAAGAAACGCAGAGATCAATTAGTATTTTCTTCGTTTTGCCGGTTTCGAGTCTCTGCTAGACACTGAAGCCTGAAAATCAAAAAAAAATGTGATGATGGAAAATTTGAAAAAAAAAATAGAAATTTGGCTATGATTTTTCTAAAAACTTATTGTGATATGCAGATTGTATACATAAATTTGTAAAAACAAGTTTTGCTCTGTATAGTACCAAAATTGTGAGTGAATTTATTTTCGGGAAAATTCAAATCCGTTTTCACTAGACCTACATTATCATCATCCTTCTCCGACTGCTCATCTTTCGTATAAATGTCCTTATTTGTAAATCCATTGGTACTTGTCGACTGTGTTGGTCCCTGAGCCTGAGCAGCTAAATTCCTCGCATACGGCGATGTCGTCGAGCTTCGAGAAAACAGCCGATCTTCATCTCTTGAAAAAAAGAAAACCTCATCATTTCTTCTTTTATTCTCAAATTTACCTAAATTTTTTGCCACCCTTCTTCTCCGGTCGATTCGATTTCGACGGCGGCACGGCGTTCGCGAATGCGTTCCATCCTTTGACGACATTACCGTAATCTGCAGTGTCTTCCAAATAGGAGCCTTCAAAATTGTAAATCTGCGTCTCCAAGATTTCAAGGGTATCCTAAAATTGGTAACAAAAAACATTGTCAGTTTTCAAGGAAGAACCCCATACCACATATTCCTTCTTCTTCTTTATCCAGTCTGCGAGCTCCTGTTTCAAAGCCTGCTGATCTTTCGCCATTTTGACTAGAAAACAATGATACACTGGAAAGTTAATTGCAAAAAATGAAATTCTAGGATAATTATTGGTAGAACTACCGAGGAACCAAAAACAAATTCACTGCGATGAAATTCTTTTATAAAATCGACAATTCAATATTCACTTAAATTTCGTGGCAATCATCATCTGAATCTTATCAATCTTTTCCGCCCATGCGACAAGTGCCTCATGCGACAATTCTTTTTGAGCGTTCGTCTGCGTCGAAGCCATAAGAGACGCCGAATCAGCAGTATTCACTGTCGAAGCCACCGTCGCCGTTGAAGTCGATGGTCCCTTCGCGTCCGACGTCGATGGTCCGGCGTTTGCCGATGTCGCCATTCCAGGTATTAGACCGCTCGATCGCACCACATTCTTCTTATCTCGAGACATTTCCAGCATTCCGGTCTCTTCATTGATCTTCGCATCGAGACCTAAATATCAGCAAATTGCATTCGGGTTATTGGCGCGTGACTGCGGAAAATTGGCTAAAAGCCAATGAATAACAAAGACCTCATTGACATACGGTGTGCTCCTTTAAATTATCCGTAAATCTACACTTTTAGTTTTGCGTTAAGATCTCTTTTTTGGTATTGAGCCAATAAAAAGGATTATCAATATTTGCAAATGTAAAAATTTACACAAATAATTATTTTTTTTTAATTTCAAAAAAAAAAACGAGAACCAAGCGTAGATTTACGGTGAACTTGATTTGCAATTTTTCCAGAGTACGGTATAACTCCCACTGTTTAAATTCTAATATGAATTACCGCCTCGAAAAGGAGCGATGATCCGCAATTTGTCAAAAGTACCCATTTTTTTGCAATAACAATATTTGACAATATTCAATTTTTTTCGTATGATCAAATCTTCAAATATTTTGTTCTGATGCAAAAATTCACATACCGTCATCAAGAATGGTCTCAACAAGAAGCTTCACCACCTCCTCCTGCGACACTTTAAGCTGTTTGCCGAGCCACGAGAGCCGAACACTCGTATACGGGCGAATGAGTCGATGAAGAACTTGCGTCCTAATATTGTTCATCAACTCCTCAGTGTGCTCTCGAATAAAAGGATCCGCCATTATGCTATCGCTAGAAAAATTTGTTTAAATTCAAACCAGTTTGATGAAAAAAAAAATCAATATTACTGATGTTGCGCGAGTATTTTCTCAAAAGCCGCAATATTATTATCCTGGTAAGCTTGAACCATTTTCGTCATCGCCACAATTTCGGGCTCATTCTGAAAAATGAAAGAAACAACGAAAATGTTGAAAGGACAACTTGGAGGACAACCTTGAATGGCTTCGCTTCCTGACTATCAAACGGATTGATATCCGATTTGATGAGCATGTTCGCAAGCACGAGATACTTCAAACACGTCGTTCTTCTAGGCGATCCCGATTCATCATAATTCTGAAGAAGATGATGAAATTCGGAAAAAAAACTCTCTAAATGTTCACCTTGAAAGCTTCAAAAAAGTCCGTGTGAGCATCGGCGAATCGTCCTTCTCTCAAATGCATCTTTCCGCCGCATTCTGAAATAATTTATAATGTTTTTTTTTTCGAAAATCACATTTTATGAATAGGTAATTACGGTAATATGCAGATTCGGGAGAAAAAAAATTTTAATAAAAAATCAATCTGTTAGTTCGTTTAACAAAATATTCAATTGTCGTAATTCAATCTTCATAATTATAATATCTATGTCATTTTTTTTCTAGGTATTCACAAAAAATTCAAAAAAATTAATGATTTCTTGTAAAAATGCAATAATTCCATTAAATTTATATCAAAAATTAGCCCAGATTTGCGTCGGAAAAAAAGTCAAACATTTTCAATAAAAACGTGACGACCGACTCGATTCGCGTGTTATCAGTTCCGAATCGGACTGCGCAACGGCTCGCAGTTTGGAATTTCATCTTTGTCGGTTATTGTGTACGATGATTCACCAACACGACGATGACATGGACGATCATCGTGCTGAGGCATCCGGCGGCGATTCCGAAGTTAAGAGCGACATGAAGAGCGACGGCAAGAAGGGCAAGAAGAAGAAGACCGCACATTTCAAGTAAACACAAACCCTGGGCAATTTCCCTTCAAGACCCAATTCCAGAAAACGCGGACATCCGGCATTCAAGGTTCTGTGCATGGTATTCTCCCTTCTAGCTTTCATTTCTATTATTCTCGTTATTGTCTCGAGTGAGTCCCCTTCTAACGAATGGAGGTCATTAATTACCCAATTTACAGCAATTATGATGATGGTGAGCACCGATCCTGAGGCCTAAGACTGCTCCCACCCCTCCTCCACTATAAATTTTATGCGCCTCGTTTTTTTTTTGAAGTAAATATTCATTAACGGAAAACCGTTACCTCGAATCACGCCAAGAATCAACGGATGCGGAATCGCCGACTTCGTCTGAATCGCCTGTTTGGCGAGCTCGTACACCGATTTCAGCGCTTTGTTGTTCTTTTGCTCGGTGTACATTTGAATCTCGAGCGCGTATATCTCGAGTAACTGCGTGCCTTTGCGTTGATCCTCCTCGCCGGTCTCGTCTTTGCACGACCTCTTCAGCTGCTTCACAATCTTCTCCAGTCGGCCGAAATCGCGCAAATCGAAGAACAACTTGCCGAGTTTCGTGTTCGTCTTGAACCACAGTCGCTCGTTTTTTGCGTCCTTCAATGCTTCGAGCGTCGTCTCATAGAAGTGCTGAAGGAGATCCATCTGTTTCGACGTCGAGATGTAATCAAGAATCGCGTTGATCGACTTCTCCGAATAGTTTTTCGTTACCGCCGATTTGATATAAGTGAGCAGAAGGCGATAGTACTCGAGCATCTTCTCAAGGTTATTCTGAAATTTGGGAACGTCAACAAGTCTCGTCAAATTCGAACTCGACCTGTCCGAACGTGATCTTTATCATCTGCTTGAGCGCTTTGAATCCCCATTCGCCCTTCTCTTCTTCAAGTTTCAGAACCATTTCGAACGCTTGAATCGCTTCATCCAATTTGCCATCGGCACGAAGACCCTTCGCCGTGTAATACTGATTCTCCATGTCGACATCGGGCTCCGAGCCGCTGTCATCCTCATACTCCTAAAACTCAACAGATGCAGATGTGGTGGGACAAGAAACTGGATGTTTGCTCAAATTTCGGAGCAATATATTTGAAATTGAACTTCAGTAAAGATTATTTGCGTTTATCAATTTATTTCCATCGTAGAATCGAGCACCCTCGGTCTTTACGTATCATCGAATGGTGTTGCGGCACGATCATTTCAAATTTGAATTTAAACAGTGGGAATTTGTACTACGGATGCTGCTAACCAAATTCGCCGTAAATCTACACAGGATGCTCTTTGAATGTTATTTATTTTTCAAATTCAACCAAAAATTGTGAAAGTAGATTTTTCGGGTATAAGATAACTTCGATAATGAATACGACAATTAAAACACCATATTTTTTTGGTTAAAAAAAAATATATATATATGAATGAGAATCAACTCACGAATCCATAGTCCTCATCATCATCCATCCCATCGTCGCTCATTTTTGCTATCTTCTTCAAAATATTCATATAAAAGAAAGAAAAGGCGAACAAAATGTAAAAATGGAGTAATTCGACTCCTCAAATATTAACTCAAAAGAAAATAAACATCAATAATTTATTCACAAAAATCTATTATACCCATAAAAGATGAAAAAGAAAGATGAACACAATCAAAAAATACCCATATGAAAGCGATATACTATTATAATGATTTTAAACTGTCTCGGCGACCAAATTATCCAGAATCAAATCGACATCGGTTCCACGGCATCGTTTACAGATTCGATCGATAATCGGCTTGTTGTCGCGGAGTAATATGCGCGCCTAAATGTGCGAACAAAATACACCATATTCGATTATAAATTACGCGTCGGACCAGCGCAGGAAAAAAATGGGCGGGATCGGCCGACTATGTTAATTGACATGTTATAGTTTCAATCTATTTCAGGTTGTTTTCAAAATTTAGAAAAATGATATTAATGTTTTTTTTTATATTTTTAAATTAGATATTGGCTATTTCAAAAAAATCTAGTTGGGTCGGCCACAATAAAGAAAAAAATCGATTGAGTACGGTAGCCCAATTTCAGTTTGAAAATTGTGTTGCGAGAATTCAAAATTGAAAAACGCAGAAATTAAACCAATTTAGATCAAATTTTGCAGTTTCGATTTATGGTAAAAATGAATCAGTTTTTTCTTTTATTTACACTGTAATTTTGCATAACATTGTATATTACTCATTCAATGTGAAAATTTTTGAAAATTGTCGAAAAACAAAACCGAAAATGAGAATTTTTACTACTAATTTTTACTACTACTACTACTCTCATATAATTGGGTGATTGGTAGTACGCAAATTAAAAAAAGAAACTCTAAAAACTCTAGAAATCCTATGGATTCCGAAAAAAAACTTGTTTTTCGAGATTTTTTTCCCAAAAACCTCTGCATAGGGCCATTATTGAAATATTGACGACGAAAAAAAAAAAAAAACAACTCACATCCGTCGTATTTCGATTCAAATACGCCGCGCACGCCTTGATCAAGAGTTCCGAGAACGCGATCTGATCCCGAATGTGAAGCAGTCCCTCCTCAATGTGTTTCTCGTAAAACTCGAAACAATTCGTCAATGCGGTGTCAACCGAAGAGAACTCGTCGTCGCGCAGGTACGAGCACAATGTGACCACTGCCGACAGCACGAGTTCGACCTTGCGAACACGATTCTCTTCCTTCAAATCGCTTCGATTCATCGCGCAAATATTCGAAACAAAGTTGGCGAGAATCGGGAATTTCCTAAAATATTTCTGAGATTTCGAAAATTAAAGGCTCCGTTTTTCTGGTCCGATAAATTCAGTGGTCCCAACCCCCCCCCCTATATCAATGCATAAATCGAAAGAAAAAACATTTCAATTAACAAAAAAAACACCCACGTTTTCACTATATTCGGATGTTCTCTGAGCATTGCATTGAATTGTACAATCGCTGTGATCGTCTCATCATTCTTGGTCGCCGCCGCCGCCGTTTCTCCGTTATCCGTCGACTCATCCTTCGCCCACTTCCCTTTTTTCGTCGGCGGACCCCGTCGATTATCGCCATATCGTTTGCTTCCGATCATCGCATTTTGAATATCATTTTCTTTCGATGACGACGCCGTCGCAATTCGATCATCCTCGCAAATGTCCTCAATCTGAAAACGAATAATTCAAGCGAATTCAAGTGAATTCTCACCATCTGATTCTCCACAGGTGCTTCAATAATTCTATCAACAATCTGCTCGCACTTCCGAATGCAATTCTCGCGCGTTTCGACGTTTGACAGAATTCTCATCGACCACGCAATTCCGCGCTCATACGTTAAATCTAGATTGAGCAAAATATCTTGAATCGGACAAATTTGAGACAATCTCACATGGGAATCGATCCAGCAGCAAATCGATGATCCTCTGCGCCGCGCATCGAATCTCCTTCGAATCATTCGCGCATCTCGTGGCAAGCAGCTGCTCTCCAAGACAAAGACTCGCATGGACACCACCCTCTCGCTCCTTCAAATTGTTTTGGGAAATGAGGAAAAACAATGAAATAATAAGAGTGTTACCATATTCTCGAATAAGCTGACAATGTTGAGATCAAATTCTTCACTCTGACTCGCAATGTTGGCAAAGTATTGAGCAATCGACGTAAACGCCGCCGTGTTCAGAACAAACTCAATCTTTTCATTTTTCCGCTTAAGTGTGAACAATTCGCGATACGACGCGATCGGGAATGTTCTACAATAGGATTCGATGATCCGGAAGATCAAAAGAGCGTTCAGACTGGAAACTCAAACATTTTTTTTTCGGAATATAATGAGGGAAAATTTACCTCGACTGATAGTGATTCAGAAGCGAAACACAAATATTCCGCTTCAGATGGATCGTCCAGTTGCTCGACACACATTTATGGGCAACAAGCTCGTCCGAGCCATCGGACCCCTCCGAATTTACATCCCACAAGGTTTGCAACTGAAAATAATTGAATTTTTCAATATGTTATGCTCAAAAAAACTAACAAAAATCGCAACATCTTCCGATTTCGGCTCCTCATTCTTCTCGTGCATCACATTTGACATGAAATCCGTCAAAAGCCTGCAAAAACATGCAAGTTCAATTTGTTCAAAAGACCAAAACCCCTACAATCTACGCTCATTGACATCTTTGACCTTCCGAATGGAATTCGCGAGTTGCCCAATATTCGAAATCATCGGCTTCGCCGCACTCGCCGCCTTCTTCTGCGACATGATCCCAACGGCAGCGTGCTTCTCGAGAACCGCTTTCACACTCGCCGGTGGATTGACACTTTTCAGTACACGGATGGCAAGCGTCTCGAGGCGATTTTGAAGATCCGAACACTAAACGAAAAACAAAAAATCATAATAATAATAACCATTGTCCAAATCAACATCGGACATACCCTTTGAGACGCCGCATCCACCACCACCATCAGCATCTGGAAAAGATTTTCGTTGGCGAGAAAGAACTTCAGATTCGCTTCGATATGCTTCAGACAGGTCGTCGCAATTCCAGAATTCGACACCACCGATTGGATGAATCCGGGCGGTAGTTTCGACGCCGGCGGTGGTCGATTCTTCTGTGCGATTCCCGCGCAATTCGTTTTCAGCCACGACGCAATCTCCTGCTCGGTGAGCTTCGGCGGCGCCGCCGTCAACAACAACGACTTCTCATCGGCACGAATGAACGGCGCCGGTTGATCGTCGATCGGAAACTCTTCAACAACCATCGGCTCCTCTTCCTTCACTATATTCGAATTTTTCAGTCGGTCCAAACAGTTTTTCACATTTTCAAGAAGCTTCGTTCCCGCTTTGACGCCTTTCAGCTTATATCCAGTTAGCAAAATGTACATATTGGATAAAGTGGCAAGGTCGAAACCGTCAACATTCATCTGGAAAAAAATGGGGCAAAACTCTAGTGATGTCGTGTGACGAAAAAACTCACATTATCAGCTCTCTGCAGGACAGCTTCCGCTGTGTTTATCGTCATTCTCGACACCAGAACGAAATCCGACGCATCTTTCTCAGTAAGACCTTCAAGTGCAGCCTGAAAACCATAAATAAATAACTTTTTTTTTTGAAAAATTCATAATGCCCACATCAACAACCGGTTTTTGTGTCGACGTTAACATTGTCTTTCGCATCGTCATATTTAGAATCGGCTCTGTGGCTCCAGTCTGCTCATCAACCCGCTTCGGAATCGATCCAGGCGTGAGCCACACCTCCATCAGACTTCTGACATACTGATCATCAGCCCCTTCTTGTTCCGGATAAGTCGCTAGAATATGAATAACCGCTTCCGGAACATCCTTTTCCACTGATATCTAGAAAAAAAGATACTAGCTGATATAATTCCAAGTCTGCAAGTCAAACCCGCTGACTGGCAATTTCCAACGTAGTCCGATTTGATTGAGACTGGCCGTTCTGACGAATATCAGGAACCGCATCGATGTATTTGACGAAGAACTCACAAATTTCATTGCGAAGCGCATATCGATTCGAAAACGCGACTCCGCAAATCACTCGAGCAACCTAAAACTCCGCAATTCGAAAATTCGAAACAAGTCGCCTGCTCACCTCGTGCATCGATTCCGGCTCAAGATGATCCTGCAAGAAGGTGAGATACGTGCGAGCAAGTTGCGGTCCATTCTCGAGATCGACCGCCAACGCGAGCATCTTCATGAAGTGCGTGCGATTCCCGGCAAACTTCGGCGTCTTCGACAACTGCTCAACATCGAATCCAACGCGGCCGTCGTTTATCGGGAATATTCGTGATAAGATTGTGACGGCAGCAGCTCGAGTGGCATACGACTGCGAGCTCAACGAATTCATTATGGTGTTCACCACGGGGTCAGCGTCTGATCCCGATGTTGACTGCTTCCCAAGGATATTCGTTAAGTAGCCGAACAACTGAAAAACCACAAATTGGATGAAAGTATATTATGCGTTATTTGTTCAAAAATCTTGCGTAAAAATACAAATATCGGTTTTTTTATTTCGTGACAAAAGGGATCACATCTTAAAATTGACGACTTGGTATCATCAGCGCAGAAAATCGAAAAAAGTATTTTCCAGCTTATTTCAAGCCAAAATTTGATCAAAAACAAACGAAATGCTTTTTTTTAAAGACTTTTACAATTAAAAATGAAACTAACAAATTCGAGATTCGTATTCTTCTGGGCCTCCTCTTCATCTTTACCATTCGTCAAATAATATTCAATAGTCAAATAGACACATTCGTCCTCAACAAGTGAGATTCCCATCGGATTCACCGCGATCATCTCCTTGATCGCATAAATCACTTTATTGACTCCGTATTGTTCAGAATAAATGCTCAAAAGATGCGGTTTCCTACAAAGAGCAAGTCGGGATAAAGGATTGCAGATTCTCGCAAAATTCGCCAATTCTCCAAATATTGATGGTTCACGAAGCAAGCTGAAATCGTAAATTTCGATATGCAATTCGAAAATTTAAGCCTACAATGGATCATAGACAACACTGGGTCCCGGCATTTGAAAAACTCCCTGATTCGTCAATCTTTCGAAATATCCGTTAATTATCTAAATTTTTCGAAAATTATTTTTGCAAAAGAAAAAGAAAAACCTCATTCTCCGCATTATTGTACTCTTTGACTTCTTGATAAATATCGGTCTGCGATTTTCCATCAAAAGGCATCGGAAATTGAAAAGTGCTGAAGAAATTATGTGAAAAAAAAAAACGATTAGAAAAATAATAAAGGGGATACTTTAGCAAAACATTCTGAACCATGTATCGAATCATTGGAAACTTCTCATAAATCTGCTCAAACTCTTCCGGCACTTCTCCTCCACTAATCCATTGCATAATCAAATAAAATCCCATATTGAAGTAGGTTTTGTTGGCAATTACCGGCTCTTTCGAATCTCTACAACTGTACAGGTTTCAGAAAAAAAAACAATTGTCGGCAAATGGAATTTCTTACAATCCGCGCAATTTCTTATTGATTATTGAGTGCTCCATGATTCTCATACACAATTTCATCGGATCGCTGAATCGAATCAAAGGCTCCTCTGCAAATGTAATAGGAAATAATTCGGATTTTCTGAAATGCGTACTCGAATATTTGAGCCAATTCTTCGATGCTCTTTCAGTCAATTTTGTAATCACATCCATCGAGGCCGGCAGTGATAAAGGGCAATCAATATCCCCAATGATTAGCAAGATCATTTCCTCAGTGATTCCACATTCGCCGAAAATTCTGCAACAATTCTTGAATTCGCCTTCCGATGAGACGGCTGAGGCGTCGATGTTGGTGTACAACTCGCGGAGTCTCTACAACACCAAAAAATTGACATCTAATTATGGGCTTTGAGATACCCCAAGAAACAGGAGGACATAATAGGCGTGTTCGTGTGCCGACGATTCAATGAAAATCACTTTGCCTTGCGAGAGCCATTTGAGCACAATTACGCAGTACTCTCTGAATTCTTTCTGGAATCGCTCACGAACCTGACGAGCTTCTGGCGAGATTGTGGACTGCAATTCGCAAGAAAATTGAGGTAAAAACAAACAACAACAAGTCTTCATTTTTTGAAATTTAGGTTTTTTTGACTAATTTCTTTCTTATAAGTATATGAATAATTAATGTTTTAAAATCACGTTTCAAACAAAATTTTGACCAAAAAAAAACATAGTATTTGTTAGGCCAATGTTGGTTGCAAAAAACAAACAAAAATAAGATAAGGTAGCCAAGTTTAAAATCAAAATCAATTTTAAGGATTTAAATTGACTCACAAAAATCATTCTTACCTCGGTTGTATTAAACTTTTTGGCGAAGGCGTTCTCATTGGCGCTGAGAACCGCCACCAATGACGCCAATGTGGCATGGGCGACGGTCTCGCACGCCAACATCGGCAAATGCTCGAATATTCCTTTGAGCGATTCCCGCGAGATCACATCCAAAAATTGTTTTGCGAAAATCGAAAACCGAAAGAAGCCGCCTCTGAGGTGCATATAACCGCGTGTCTGAAATCAACAAATTGTGCACCTCAATTGCTTTATTGTAATTAAAATAAAATGATCTATTATTATGCAGATAAAAAGAGGTGGTGGCTAGGAAAAATAAATGTTATTTTTTCTCTTTTCACGTAAATCGGAAACGGAATTCCGTCCATCCAAATGTAATTAATTCAGTGTGAATGTGAACTGCAACATTTTGGAGGAAATAATTCTTTTTTAATCGAAATAATCGATTAGGCAACTTTTGCCAAAATCATTAATCTAATCAACTTCGACACATTCCATTGGGCCTTGACAAGGCTTGTTAGCAATCTTTAATTACTTACAAGCTCTTTAATAAGCGATCGAATCTTGGCTGCTGTGTTTTCTTTGTCTTTAATCAATTCCTCGGCGCAATACTTGGCAATTGCAGCCGTCGCTTCATCTGGTTGTGCAACCAGAATACTATACAACACATTGAGATTCGACGAGTTCCTCAAAATTCAATTAATTTTATAACTATTACATTTACAATTAAAATTGGGGACCAACTTGTTTTGAACGGGTCCGAATTCCGTGGCCAGTAGCAATTCTACAAAAATTGTCGTGTTTTCCGGCTTCTCATAGGCACATTTAAGGGCAACCGATAAGGGATTGGCGATCTGAAATTAAAAACCCATTGCGTGAAAATTATTTCAGAAAAAAAAATGGAAAACATACAACTCTAGCTTTCATATTTTTATTAGTTAACTTCAGAAGCGATTCGATGACGTCTCGATCCTTGGCTCCGTCCAAATTCTTGCAAAGAACAAGCAGAATCTCGCAAACCTCGCGATTATACTTCTGCGAGTTGATCCACACCTCGATTCGCGAGGCGACGAATGATCTCACGTAATCCGAACCGCATAGGATCGACAAAGCCCGAAAAAGGGGCTTCGGCAAGAATTCGGTACGCAGATTCTCGAACCATGTCTTAAAGTATTCAACGTAGACGAGAAGCTGATCAGTGGCTGAGTTGTCCGAGGGCTTCTGAAATTTTGAGAATTATCAAAATTCTGATTTTTTAAAAATATTGCACCAAATTTTCAATTATTTTTCTAACAATGAATTATTTTTCGACAGAAATGAAACATATTTGACATTTTCAATACAAAAACAAGATTTTTAAATAAATTAAATTATGCTTGAAATTTTTCCCTCCAAAAAATCATACCAAATCCGGAAAATATTCAGGAGGTGTGAGGCCTTCTTGGACATTCAACGAGCATGATGCATAGAGCTCATTGGATGGAGCAACTGTGCCAAACGGCTTGAGGATGAGCTCGACGAGCTCTTGCGAATACGGTTTGTCGATCCAGCAGCAGCGATTCGCCGTTCCCAATCCCGAATTGGTGCCAATCGCGTCATGAAGGAAAGCAATAATATAACATTTGTCAAGAATTTGCTGCTGTTTCGCGAGACTCGTCGTAATCGCAACGAATAATTTGAGAATATTCTCGGGGAAATGCCTCGAATTGCATAAAATGTACAGAAAACCGCGATGAACATGATTTTGCTGCAATCAAAATTTTATCAAGTTTAAGAAGAAAAAAAAAAGAGGATGGCTCACTTTAAAACGGTTCGCATACTTTTTTACAAGATCTGCGACTACTCCGATTAATCGATATTCGATTTTAAATTTTTCCGGATGAATGTGAAGGAAATATTTTAAAACACACACTATCATGCGTTCCATCTGAAAATAATTCATTTATTCAAAAATTAATGAGAAAAAAATTCTTAATTACCTTATTAAACTTCTCTTGTTCAATAGAATCATTAACACTTTTCATAAAAGTTTCAATATTTAAATTAAAAGTTTCCCCAAATTCCTTCCATTTTTCCTCGAGAGCGGGTCGGATTGCATTTTGAGAAGCGGATGGAGAAGATCCTTCAATGAGAATGAATGTTTGAAGGAATTTTTTAAATTACCGGAATATACTGGCGATTTTCCCTTGCTTGAGATGTCCGAAAAATCGAGTTTGCTCTTGATTGAGCCAACTCCTGTTGTTGACGGACCACTAACACCTAAGCCACCCCTCATTCCCTTAAATAATTTGGTTAAAAACGGTATTCCAACAATTTCGCAATACTCTTTTTTTAATATCCATTGGCCGCATGATTCCTTCAACTAATTTCGGTTTTTTCCGATCCATTTCTCCCGATCCAAATCTGAAATTATTTCTATTGATTTTCGAAATATAATAATAATAGTTAATCTAATTCGAGCCATTTTACTTATCATTTTCGGCAATACAGGAAAAAACGTTGAAAATATTCTTTCAACAAAAATTTATATTAATTTGCAATAGAATATATACAGATTAAAAAAAGATTTTTATAAAATTGAAACCATTAAAGAAAAAATGAGTGAAAATACAATGAAACAACGGAGAAGAATAAAACTCATAACGACACTTCAAGAAATAATTTTTTACATCTGTAATTATTAAACTTTAAATTAAAATTATTAGAAATAAAAATTAGAACGCAATGGTCGAACGATTAAAAAAGGAAAACTTTATTTGGTGATGAGAAAACCACGAGACGAGCTAAAACGAAAAATTCAAAAAAAGGATGACTAATTACGTTAAATCGGGGGCAACGCACTCAGTGGAACAACGTACCCATAAATGAAGAATTCACTTGTATCAAACAATTCGAAGTTATATTAAAATATTATAAATTAAATAAAATAGAAGACAAATGACAAATGTAATTTATTGTTTATAAAATTTATACTTGAGAGGTTTTTATTGAAAAAACCAAAAATAAATCTCTTGGTTACTGTAGAATCAATAATGTGCAAAAATCTGCGACGACATTCTGCAGACAGAAATGAGACGAAACATGTTTACAATTGCTTTCGAAAGCAAGCGATCGATCGCAATTTCCTTAAATTTCTTTTTTTTTTAATTTTTATTTCTCAAATTTAGCAAAAGAAGATCATAGGGTTATTGTCGTGTCGATGGAGCACCCTTTTCTTCTTCAGTAGTAGACCTGTGAGCACGTTTAGTATTTTTAAGTGGTTCAACTCACTTATTTGTGCTAGCACCATCGATCGAGTCTTTATTCGTCGTATCGGTGTGCTCATCATTATCATCATTGATGCTTGATTCCTAAAAACGAACCAATATTGCCACGTCATGAATTCCCGACAAACTGTTACCCAGAGGGAAACCACCCGTTCAACTCCGGGAAGTTTATTAACAGAGAACTTGTTCGGTTTGGGAAGTGTGCTTTTCCTCAATATCTTCCATACTTTCGCGACAATCTCCCGAATTGTTGGCCGCTCATTCGCATTCATATTCCACATTTTAGCCACCAATTCTTTGACCTCCGGCGGCGTTTTCGCCGGCATCGCCGGCATTGAAGCTTTTCTGATGAACGTGGCAATCTTTTTCGGCGGCCAATCCGGCCACGGCTTCTCGCCGTCGTTGTAAATCTCGTAGAGCAAAACTCCGAATGACCAGACATCAGAGGCTTTGGAGAATTTGCGCGGTTTCTTCAACGATTCTGGTGCCATCCATCTCAACGGAATTTGGGGAGACGATTCGTCGATTGTCTCCTCCTCTTTATTACCATCTAATAGTTTCGATAGTCCAAAATCGGATATTTTTATGAATCCTTGTGCCGATATCAGACAATTCCGGGCGGCAAGGTCGCGATGAACACAATTCCGACTGTGAAGGTAGCGCATTCCGCGAGCAGCCTAAAGAAACCTTCGGCTTATTCGTGAAGTTACAAACACTATAACGAGACCCAACTATAATCCTTTAAGTTCAAGATGATTGTTTCTTTTCAATTCTCAAAAATCGAATTAAAAACTTTCACACAAAAACCTCTAATTCCACTTTTCAAAATTAAAAACGAACTTTGTAAATTGTCTCTGTGTGTCTCGCGATTCAAAAAAGGATTAATTCGTTTTAAGAAATGAAATGGCACCTCATTAACATATACAAGCCGCTCGGCGATCTCGATATTCTCCTTTTGCTCAAGAAGATGCTTATCCAAACTTCCTCCCGGACAGTATTCCATAACAATAAGAACCGGCGGATGATCGCAGGCGACGCCGTAGAGTTGTATGATATAATTGTGCACAAAATGGCTCATCGCTTTCGCCTCTCCGAGCATCATCTCGCGAGCTTCTCGCAGCTCTTCCGGCGTCTTTCCATCCTCGATTTGAGCGTGGCAAACCTTGACAGCGACATCGATCACCTGATCATCGCCCTTGTCATATTTTCCTTTGAAAACGTCGCAAAAGTTGCCGGAACCCAAGTGGTCCTTCGTCCTGTCAAATGTGACTTTGTCGTGCTTAATGAGCCAATCGGGCCGGTAAACTGGCTTTTTGAGAATAAGCGAGTTCGATAATTTGTGGTTCTAAGAAGCAGATTCCAATCGAATTTTCTGAATACAACAAACAATACCTTGTAATATTCGATTAATTGCGGAATAGTGTTAAATCGTTGAATTTTCTTGCCAGATTTTGTCAATCCCAATTGCCATTTTCCTTCAACACATCTGAAAATGAAGATTCGGAATATCAGTTTATTGGGATCGAAGCCAACGCCAGAGTCAAATGCATAAGGCCTTTGGATTCACTTCGAACGGATAATATAATTTCGACATTGTTTGTTCGGCCATCGGAGGCTCGCACCAAAAAATCGCCGTCGTGCACCAATAAATGCCTAAAATTGCCCGCCATATAGTCTTTTTTGTTCGTCGATGGTCCTTACTCGATGTCCCGTCGCGGTCTCATCCCATGATACCATTTCTGCTCTTCCACACTTCCATCAATCTTCTTATCTGTCCCCATTTTCGATTTATCCTATATTTTTTTTTCATGAGACGTGTTATATTTTTTTGAAAACGTTCTCTTACTGCAGACATGGCCAATGTCGATAAAGCAACAAAATGCTTGCGTTATATTAAACGAAATTGTTGCGAAAATAAATAATGTGATGTGTCATTGTCTTGACGTAGATCTCCGAATCTCACGTTCATTTTTTTTCGAGAAGTGATTTGATTGATTGGTTCGGATTGATTTCACACAAGAAAAGTGTTTTTGTTGTCAGCCTTTAATGGAATTTCTAATTTCTGCTATTTTTGTATTGTCGGCGACCGCGGAAAATTTTCTAAATGCCGAAAAAAGCAATTGCAGTGGCCTTGGCGTAAAACTAAATTGTAGATTTACAGTCTGTGGATAATATTATGTTAAAGGCGCATCTCCCTCTTTATTATTATTTTTTTTTATTGACAGCATATATTGTCCCACAAGTTTCTCAGCAATGAAGGTTCCTAAAAACTGCCGCTGTTCATCCCCAAACTTTTTTCCTATCGATACGACACTCCATTTACACATCGCCCTCAATTTAGTGTTTCGAGGTAACACGTCGGCGAGTTATGCTTTAAATTATTCCCTTTGTCCCAAAAAAAAAATCCATGGGCAAAAATGTTCGTTCCGATCGAATCGCTGACTCACTCAGACAACAACTAATTTTCGGAAACATTTTCAATTTTTGACCTACTCTTATTTTAAATCTCGTTTTATTCAAATCGATTGTTATTCCTCATCCAATCGATCAATTTTTTCAGAAAATGACCACTCACTGCTCGGAACCAGCCGTATCGGATACACTTACTAACTGCGGAATTTGTTATACGGTACGAATCTTGTTTTAGTAACCCAATTCTTCGAATCTGATTTCAGCCATATGATGAGGCGAGCCATGTTGCCAAAATCCTGCATTGCGGCCACACATTCTGCGAGAATTGTGTGAAAAACATGTACAAATACAGTAATCTTCGCAATGTTGAATGCCCGGCGTGTCGTAGACGAACCGATTGCAAGATCGAGAATATCGCCGTCAATTTTCAGCTGATGGGTGAGAAATTTGCTAGTTTTCATATTGTCGGCGTCAAACGACTTGATGGGGGCCGTGGCCTTCAGTATATCGTAACCAGTGTAGATTTACGAGCGGGTAGATTTACGCGCTGACCAAATATTAAATGGTTTTTTTCTCGATTTTTTAATATTAAAAAAATGTTATGCGCGTTTTAATCCTGATTCCCATTGTAAGATAAACCGTAAAAATAAAAGAAATTGGCTAATAAAAAAAGAGACACAGAAAAATTCTCAAAAAATAACGCGCCCAAAAACACGCTGCGCAAAACACGCTGCAAAGTGTATGCCACATACACTTCTCTTCGCCTCGAGACATCTGGCAATTAGCCAATATTTTTTAAAATTTCGTCAAGTCGTTTGACGCCGACAATATCTCTCGAAAAAACTCATTGGCGTCTGCTCTGACGACGCTGATCGTCCGTCAATTTTTTTCCTATAGAAACCCTCTTTCGCGCGGTGTCTTTTTCAATTTCAGGGTTTTTTTGCAGATGTTTTGAGGAAAATAGGAGCACTTGAGAAGAATTCGGAACAAGTTCAAGATTCGCTGGTGCCGATGGAAACAGAGAAAGAGGAAGATGACTATGAGAAGATTTTCGACGGTTCGTTTGAAAAAACATCAATTTTTCCATTTCCAATTTTGCAGAATGCTTCCGTGAATGTATTGTGCGAGTTAAAGAATGCCTGACGACCAAGTTTGAGACTTACCGAGAGGAATGCGAAGAATATAATTCATGTATGGTGTTTTTCGTGAAAATTTTGCAGGGAAATAATTTTTAGCGGATTTTATCGTGTTTGTCGAGCAATTGACCAATGACATCGAATCGGCTATTGAGGATTTTGATGTAACTCTTTCAGTAAGATATTTGTGTTGGGGATTGTCCGGCGAATCTTGCGAATTTTCCAATTTTCTGTGGTTTTCTTTTTGAGTATTGCGCGTTTTCTCTGATGAGTTACAGAATTATGATACAAACGCTCGAATTTGAGCACCGCGGTGTAATTTAGATTTCTTGGGGCCAACCTGTTTTAGTGTTGTGCAGATAAATTAATCCCTCTGTGTACCAATCGGTGTGAGAATTACATAAGTCCAATTCTCTCTGCCAATAGTATGTTTATGAGAAAATATTGTCAATCGTAATCAATAGCCACGAGACATAGTTTTATATTTATACATATTTTTGAATTTATGAGTAAAAATGAGCGAAAATAGAAGCTAGATTGGTTTGTTTTGAATCAGTAAAAAAAATATAATGAATAATGAATGAAATAGTCCACTCATAATTTGTTTAATTTCAGTTAGATGACGATTACACACAGGTAATGTCGGCTTCTCGTGAATACGAAAACTCGCATTTGGAAAGCATAAACGAAACACCTGAATTATTGTATGTCGATTTTTCCAATTGTGGTCGATCATTTCGAAATTTAGTGAAACCAGCTACGGAAGCACCGAAAGCGAGTCGAGATCGTTTGATTGAACCTCAATAATGCCCCCGAAAGAATCCCTTGTAAATAATTGGTTTTTGTTGAATAAAATGAGAATCGAAATTTTAATAGCCTCATCATTATTTTCACTTTTTGTCCTTTTTCTCGTCCTTCTTCTCGTCCTTCTTGTCATCCTTCTTGTCATCCTTCTTGTCGTCCTTCTTTTCATCTTTCTTGTCATCCTTCTTCTCCTCATCCTTCTTTCCGTCGTTGTTGAATATCTCCTTGTCGACCTCATTGAGCGTCTCGTATTGCGGATCTTTCGCGTCGGCTTTGCCGACCTTCTCAGGCGGCTTGAACTCCTTCTTTTTCGGCTCGTCCTTCTTATCCTCGCCTCCGCCATCCTTGAACACTTCCTCGCCAAGTCCAACAAGAGTCTGAAGTTGAACTGCAATAGCAGAAGGGACCACCGCAATCGTATACCTCATACTGTGGATCTTTCGCGTCAGCCTTTTCAACCTTCTCCGGAGCCTTGAATTTCTTCTTCGGGTTCTTATCAGCCCCAAACACGCCCTCATTATCGAGACCGGCAAGTGTTTGATAGTTGGGATCCTTCTTTCCGGCGACCGCAGCTTCATCCTCAGGCTTCTTGAAGTTGTCCTTTCCTTTTCCGTCGACATCCTTCTTCTCCTTATCCTTGTCCTTGTCGCCTTCTTTATCCTTGTCGGTCTTCTTCTCACTCTTCTTCGATTTCTTACTGCCACCCTCTTTTTTCTAAATAATTTCTCAATGTCCGAAACAGAAGACCCCCGAGGAGACGTACCTCTTCTTTCTTCTCTTCCTTATCCTTCGAATCGTCCTTCTTAGGTTCAGAAGCTTTGCGACTCGACGTCTTCTCGACTCGATCGCCGCCACTCTGCGGTTCGGTCTTCTTTTTGCCGCCACAATTCACCGACAATATTGTGAAACAGAAAACTGCTAAAGCTGACCATAGAAATAGAACTAGGCTCTTCCCTTCGATCTATTCAAGATGATTGCAATTGAATTGAATTTGGATTCGTTTGGTTACCGGCGCAAAAGATATTGACTCCGTCATGGTTCAGCGTCCAAAATGATTTGTTTCGCACAAAATGTTGGGCGAAAGTGACTCGATACCACGGAAAATAAGGAAAAAATAGCGAGTGAATGACATATCTGAAACGTGCCATCAATTCTCTCGTTCACGCCGTTATTCCAAGCCCACTTTTGTCGAATTTGTTTTTCGCATTTTGAATTGAACATTTTTGGGTCTCGCTTCGAAAATACTTTAAACTTATTCTCGTGGACGGATGAATTTAAGAAGGCAAGTCCCACAATTTTTTTAATAAAATAAAATTCATAAAAAATGCTATTTGACACGATTATAATGATTATTGAATTAAACAAAATCCGAACAAGGCGGAAATTCAAATGATAAACAGTGCAAGAATTGAGGATCCGGACCTCGACCGCGTGGTCCGTTTTCCCTGCTCAATTCCTTATTCATGGTTTGGGTTAAAACCAACAATAAATAACTAAAATTTCATAAACGAATAAGAGAATCGAACATCATAATATTGTGTGGGTGTAGAGTGTTTCCCGGCTTCCTACCACCTCGTTCGCATCGTGAGCATCGCTTAAATAAGAGTGAGCTGGTGGCATTGATAAGGGTCTTGGATTAGTGCTTCCGGTCGGAGACTTGATTGACCTGACTCACTTACGAAACCAATCATCTCCAAATTTGTTTTTCTGCGACATCACCAAATGTTTTGTAAGAAGTGTTCCCTTTTTTTTAATAAAAAAAAAACGGTCGCTTCCAATATCGGCAAGAATTCAGTATTGCCAATTGATTACCATTTCGTCATACAGTACTCGCATAATGTTGACTGACTATGAAGCAATACCTTGCCTCTTATTCTTTTTTGTCATTCTTAATGTACATATTATCTTCAAACAGAGACAATCATTTTAAAAAGAAAACAAAATATTTATTTTTGTTGAAATCGAAATTCCGAATATATCGGAAAATTCGTTCAAGAATAGGAGGCATTCGATTTATTCTATATGAAAATTTATAAATAAGAATTAATTATGGTTTCGATCAATTGAGCGCCGAGCCTACAGGTCCGCATGTCCCAAGGAACTATGCGATATAAGACATCCCATTATTTCATTTCGTGCAAAATTCACGTGATGAGGGGCTAAAACCTTGAAGGTCCATATCAGAGCTGCACGGAATTCCGTCTTCCGACTTCCGTTTCCGTGTTCCGCTTGAAATGTCTCTCAATACCTAACACGTGTAGCGAATCTAATAAGGTTTTTAGCAAATCCGGAGAAATTTTTTCGACAAAAAGAAGGTCGAATGAGCTCTTGGAAAATCTTACAATCTGCACTGTTAATTTCAAAATATTCGAGTTAGATTCGAGAACTTTGAGTTCCGTTTTTAGAAAATTCAAGTTCTGTGCAAGCACTGGTCCATATCTCGATAACTAGAAATTTGAAAAGGTAGGGACCTAGTTGAGAGCAGGCAGGGACCTAGTTCATTCGATTGGAAATTTTCTAAAAAAAATCTCTATGCAAAAAAGTTAAAGAATTTTAAGACGGACAGCAAAAAGATCTCCCTTGTCAGCATATTCAAGCCAATTGTTAAAAAACTAGTATTCCGTTTCCTTTTCCTTCCGTCTGCCTAAAAAAATTTTTTTTTCGATTTTCGTTTTTCAGCGGGGCTTTTCAAGAGCGGTTTTCCTTCGACAAGCAAGCCTAATAAATACTCGCCAAATTTGCTTTTTTTTTAATTTTCAAATAATTGTACGAGTTGGGAGATCCGAACAACCTGTGACGCTAATTTGGTTAATTTCGATTAAACTCTCCAAGTGGTGACGCATTCAATGGCTCGATTCCCACAATGAAAACAATAACGAAACATCAAGAAATTCGAAAGCGATGATCTCGGCTCGGCCGGATTATCCGAATATGTTTATTCCGTGCGATGAAAGAGAGCGCGAGAACGGAGAAGCGCGAAACGAGACGAGCTCGGTGTTGCTCACCAGCTCCTTGAATAGAATTCGAAAAAAATATTGTCGACGAATTCAACACACATCTTCTGATTTCAGTTAGTAGTATGTATCAAATACTGTTATTTCTCGCTAGTATTCATATTATCCCATTCACTCATTCGAAACCATATTCCGTTGATTTTATTGTTGCACATTTAAACAAGTAAGAATTCAATGATTGCTCCAAATTAAAAATAAATAATTGCTTTGCAGATATGCGAATGAATCGATCAATCCTTGCGATGATTTCTATGCGCATGTTTGTCCGCCAGAAGGGATCAATTTTATGAGAAACTTGTATGAAGAGCTGACGGATGATGATGAGCAAACTCAGCTTGATTTCATGAGCTCCAATGATTTGGTAATTTTCTTCCACAAGTTTTCGCTCAGAAATTGGTCTCGCGGCGATTTGCGTGGAAACTATTCGTAGATTTACGGCAAATCTAGTGGATCTTTTAGAACACACACAATCAAACTTCATAGGTTTTTTTTTCGAACAATTCTTTGAATTATAGGAATTTCGTCTGAAATTGGAAGGAAATCAAAAATTTACACAAAACGAGCTCTTGAAATTGTATGAAATTTCGATTAATTTTTATATGTTTTTTTCCATTTAGATGTGAGAAACAAAAAGAGGAGCTCATCGCGTCGGCTTTCATTTATTTCAAGCATGTGCAAAGGAAGAATTATAAGAGAGTCAAATGGGCGGAATTGACATGTCCGCAGGTTGCCAGAATTCTCAAAAATGCCGCTCAGGCAAATGAAAAAAAATATTTTGAGACAATTCTAAAATCTTATGAGGTTCGTTGAGAGGCTAACGTGTCTCTATAATATTTTAGATTTGTCTCAATAAACTTTAGGAAATCTCATAAGATTTTAGAATTTATCAATAAGTTTCAATGAATATTGTGAGACTTTAAAGTTTATCAATAAGTTTTAGATTTGTCTCAATAAACTTTAAAGTTTATCAATAAGTTTTAGATTTGTCTCAATAAACTTTAAAGTTTATCAATAAGTTTTAGATTTGTCTCAATAAACTTTAGAATATATCAATAAATTTTAGATTGTTCTCAATAAACTCTGTCCAATATTATGTAATATCATACGTTATCGAGCAATTTTCACACAAATAGAATGTAATAACATCCATAATAATTGAATATGTATGAACATTTCATTTATTACAATATTAATGCGAAATGAATATATTAATAATAAAAATCAGAAAAAAAAATAAATGAATCAATTTATCCTTTTCGCATTTTCTCCTTTTTCTGCGAATGACGCACAACGTTGCTATAAGGAATTCGTTGCATATATTGAAAGAAAATGTTGAACTTACAAATTTTGATGATTGAATTTGTCGTTTTTCGATTAATTTCATGAGTTCTTTGCGATAAAATGACTTCTTAATTAAATCCGGATTCGCGTTGAAACGCATTTTCAATGAAGTCACAATCTCGTGATATAGTTTATAACTGAAAATTGCCAGTTTTAAAAAATAACTGAATGAGTCTAACTTTCTCAAAATACTATATCCAATCCCGTTTGTCTGTTCCGAGCACATGTTTCTCTTGATAACGTGATAAATGTGCTCATGCGCTTGCGTGCTTATTGCCGACAGCTGACCACACCGCCTGACATTACTGTACAAATGGTATATAAGTTGCTGAAACAATAAATACAGTAATCATTAGTAAAAAAAACGACTTACGTGCACTTTTGAACCAGAAAACAATTGAGGCGCCCCATCTCAAATTAGAATTTCTAATAATTTGCAAATACCTGCGATCTGAAATAAAAATTTTCTATTATGTACATAGCTAACGATCCCATATTACTTTGTTTGGTAATGTTGTATTTGTAACTAAGCGAGTCGGTGACACCATCCATCGGTAGCAGGCATGTATAAGCAACACAACAGCTGAACCTAACGGAGGGAGGGTCCCGATCATGGCGTTAGAAACAATTTTCACTTCAAAAATCTACAAAGGATGATAATTGCAAGTGGTAAATTAACTTACGCTAGCTTTTTCAGACCCATTAATGTCATTGAATTTTCCCGATAGCGACTTTACCGAAGATGGCAGTCTCGCTTTCACATCAATAGCTTTGCATCGAAAAATATTTATTTCGTTTTTAACGAAGACTTCTAAAAAGCAATCTTCAATTTTTGAAAAAGGAGAGACATAATTGAAGTACCTTTTATTATACGTGTGAAAATTCCCTCGTGAAAAAGGTGGAAAAAATCCATGGCCGCGATCCACATGGGCACCTGCTCATTGAATTTGCTGTATTTACCTCGTTCCTTCAATCCATCGGCCAATGTTTCTGGAATGTTTGTTCCACACTTTTCCCGATCTACAGAAAACATTTAAGATCCTTTCTGAATTTTGAGTAGATGTGCACATTAAAACGCACGTCCGACTTATAACGACATACCTATAACATTTTGGTCGTTGATTTTGAGAATCGTTTCTTGTGAAAGACAGTATGGACACGAGCCAGGTGATGAAAACATTTTCAAATTGTAGACCTTCCTTCGTGCCTAAAGTTTGATAATTTATTTGAGGTTATTTACCTAGAATACCTACAGGATCGTCAAAGACGGCGGTAATCACTTTTCCTCTAAATGTATCTTGACGGCAAATGATTTGATGTTCGAAATTCACGTTGATCCAGTCTATAATTCGATCGTGGATATGGTAATTGGGGTCAATCGATCCGATGTACACCCCGCAAATCATCATCGCGCTTACTAGACTTCGCGAACTGTCTTCGAGATCCATATTTTGTAGTGACAAAATCCAGATTTTCTTGCTGAAATTTGTTTTAATATGGAAAATATTTTTGTTCTTGAGAAGTTTAACCTCCTCAGATTTATTTCAACTCCATCGAAACAAGAACTGAAATGGACGACTGTGCTTGCGCCCGATTCTCTTACAAGAATTTTCTTGGGGAAAATTTCATTCATGAGTGATGAATTACTTTCACCACTTAATACTTTCCTTTGTGCTTCTTTTAATTCGCTTCCATAGCTTTCCACGAAAAGTTTCAGATTACTTTTTACATTGGGTAAAAAAAGTTCGCTTTCCATATATTCGTGACAGAAGCATCTAAAATAAAACTTATATATAAATATATACATATATAAATATATACATAATATATACATATAAATATATACATATAAACTTATATATAAATATATACATATATATATATATATATATATATATATATATATATATATATATATATATATATATATATATATATATATATTATTTATTTATTTATTTATATAATGTATTATTTATTTATATAATGTTCAATTTCCGCGTAAATCAAATTTGAACAACTAGCAAACACACGTACCGTTCGAATGTGATACTGCTTCACTTTTTTCTCGCATTCGCCTTATTCTCCACACCTTCTTCGGCTTTCCATCTTTTCTTAGTGCCTCTCCGATTATTTCCTTGGTCACATTTCGTATTCTCCGCGGGGTCATCTGAAATATCGAAATCATTAGAAACTGAAGTATATTTGTAATTAATTGTAATAATTGTGCGCATTTTTTAAATTCATGAACCTGTTCATGCAATGACATGTTTAGGCACAACTGTTTCAAATTCAGCATGTAAAACAATGCAGATTTAAGGTAGTGTTAAACATTTATTATAAAAACTTGCATTTCATGAATACGTCCATCACTAAAGTGAAGAAACTATTACAAAAAGCTAAAAAAACGGCAGGAACATCAAAAACATAAATTATTGATTGGAATTTAGAAGATCTTAAAAAGAGACGCCGCAAATTGCGTCAGTGGAAGTCATAAGGGCCCTATTCAAATTTTAAAGTCTCACAATATATTGAGATACTTTACACTTTCTCAAAAGATTTAATTTACAAATTCCAAATTTTTAAAATTTATTGATTCTCAATAAGTTTTAGAAAGTATCAATAGACTTTAGAATTTCTCAAAATATTTTAGAGTTTATCACTGAATATTTGATTCTCAAAATATTTTATTTGATTTGCCTGAGCGATATGTTGCATGTGGCGGTAATTTGAAAAAAAAAAGCCTAACGATGAAGGTCATTTTGCTGAAAATTTTTAGCTTAAAATTTTTAAATTTTTTGCATACAGATTCTATGCGAAATTTCCAATACTTCGTGCTCGGTTTCTCGATACGATTATTATCCAAAAATGTCAGTACAATTATACCTCAAACTTGGGTAATTAAACCAAATCTTTATGAAAAGACGATCATTAAAATAACGAACAGAAAGTACAACATAATATATAATTAAATTCTTCATCTTTCCGGTGTACAAAAAAATGATCAAAATGAATGAAAGGGTGAGGATGAAAACAATTGATAATATGTAGTTTGGTCTAAAAATCAAATACTTTTGGCGGAGATTAAATGGAAGAGATTGTGTCATTGCGCGCGCGGCCATGCAAACTCGGCCACCACCGTGTGCAATAACATATCTAGGATTTTTCAACCCTTAACACCTTTGTTTAAGTTACCTTCGCGAACGTTTCCATAAATTTTGCACGAAAAATTCGTGAGAGAGGCCTTGCCAATTTTGATGGTCCATATCTCGATAGACTCTAAACCAATCGATTGGAAAATTTCCAATGAATCTGTGTGCAAAAAATAACACAATTTTTTTTTAAAGACGGGCAGCAAAATGATCTCCCTTGCGAATAAAATTGTTGAAATCCTCTCAAAATTGTTTAGAAAATGTCAAAATCATTAATCGAAGGCGTTTTCTGGAATGTGAGGCGATACCACACGATTCAAAGAATCTACGGATCACCGACAAAAGCTGGCCATTTATTAGAAGAGCTTCGCGAAGAGTTTGATAATCTCCTACGGGTACGATTCGCAAAATCCTCACTCTCTCTCCCTCTCTCTTATTGACGCCAGCGATTCAGGAGACTCCTTGGCTTCGAAGCAATAACGCCGTTGAGAAATATCGAGAAAAATTGACAACAATGCGATTATTCACTATCGATTTTCTGATTTTTGGCTTGAAAGAAGGCTTAAAAGGAATTATCTCCGATCTACGATCGTTCAATTCTTCAAACGGGATGTTGACACTCAAAAAAAGTGAAATTGTGAAATTCGCTTCGCTTGGGTTTTATGCAATTTATGCGCAAAGCGCTCCGGAGCCGCTTGGCGACCAATTTATGGATGTTATCTCGACACGAAAATATTCATTGGCTAATTTCAAAGACGTAAGATTATCCGATTTATATTTATTTTGTGTTTCTCTTTAATAGGGGCTTATAGTCACCGACAACACTTATGCTTTATTGTCGCTTCAGAGCAACATTGCCTCCAGAGTATGCATTTTCAATCCAATTTTCGACTTGCTCTCTTTTTTTCTTTTTTAGTATGGAAGCTTTGGATTCAATATTGCGCATGAGATTATGCATTCCTTCATTTTCGATCAACATGACAAATCGCCGTTGAAACAATATTCGACGCCAAACACCAATTGTATTCTGAGTCAGCATTCGAAGACATGCCAAATGTTTCCAGAAGCGGTATTCTGAAATTCAAAAATCAGAGTTGATCTATTCAATATTGTTTGATTCATTCAGAAATGCTCGACGACGAATCGAACGTTCGAAGAAGATGGAGCTGATTTGATGGGATTCCGCCTAGTTTATAACGTTTTTCGCAAAACCAAAAATGCGATTCGAAGAAAGGTTATTAATTCATTTTAAAATATATATTTCAGTTTTTATAATATCATACATATAGTAGGCGACTGCTTTACGCGGGTAGATTTACGGGGTGCGCCTTTCTCTTGGTCTCGCGCGGACTAACTGGCTATTTTGCAGTTTATGGGTTGGTACGATAATTTTTAAGGAAATGCCAAACTCATCAAGAAAAAATGAACCAAAGACGCGTTGCGAGACCTTTTCAAGGCGCATAAGCGTAATACATACAGGGTGTCATTTAAGTTCCCGCACAACTTTGAAGACGTATATTTCTGAAACTAAAAGTCCAAATCAAACGAGACTCGAAATATTTTTTTTCTATAGTATAACAAATAATTATCTTTTAACTCTTTTCGATTCGGTCTTCTTTCGCAGCTATGACTTCACGGAGACGCTTCGGGTAGGATGCGACTGTGGTACGCAGGTATTCGATGGAAAGATTGTCCCATTCCGCCAGTAATGTCTTCTTCAGAGCCTCTATACTTGAGTGGGGTTTTGCGTTGACCTTCTCCTGCAAGACCCCATCACGGAAAAGTCAAGCGGGTTCAGGTCTGGGGAGCAATCAGGCCATTCGGATGACTTGATGAAGTCGGGAAAATGGGTCTGGCACCACTCCACAGTAGTTTTGGCAGTGTGGGCGGGTGCTCCGTCCTGTTGAAAGACCCATTTCTGCCCACCGAAATGCGTTTGGGTACAGGGCATCACATGATTCTCCAAAATGTCCCGAACGTAGACTTCTCTGTTCATTTTCACCCCCTGATCCACGAAAACCAGGGGGCACTTCCCGGTTGAGCAGATGGCACCGAAAACCATCACACTGGCAGGATGTGAGGGTCGATGAATTGTTCTTCCTTTCTCAGAAGTTTGCTGGGATGTCTGGGCAAGTACTCAATGGCTTTGTGAGTTGAATGCCGCCTCCACAGTGAACAGCTTCTCGTTGGAGAAGACAGTGACGAGGTGTTGTCCAGACCGCGTGCGAGCAAGAAGTCGTTTTGCTTTTTCGAAGCGTCTCTGCTTGCTGACGGCCGATAGAATTGCCGCTTTTTGGACACGATATGGGGTCAGTCCAAGCTTCGTTTTGACGATTTTTTCCATAGCGAAGATGCTCATTCCCATGTCTGACGCCATCTTTCTCATGCTCCTGTGGGGTTTTCGCCTGATCCTCGATTTAACGGCGTTGATCTTCTGAGGAGTGATTACTGAGACGAGTCTTCCTTGTCTGGGACGGTCACTGGTCGTATTTAGCTCCTTGAATCGTTTGATAGTGTCATAAACCGTTCCACGAGGCACACCGACCCGTTGAATGATGTCTCTCGGGCTCACATTTTGCTTATGAAATTCGATAATGGAAGCGCGATGGATGTTAGCCTTCGCCATTTCTGGGAAACACATCCGAATGAGGTGAAACTTGGAAAGTAAGTAAAATATACCTTATTTAACAAAAATAAATTGTATTGGTGCACGAAAAGTGCGACAGCCAAGCTCTTCATGGCGTCAAACTTTTGTGCGGGAACTTAAATGACACCCTGTAGTACAGCAGTCGCTGTACGTCGACAATATGTATTTACTTAATTGATGCTTTTTTGAGACCGGCAAGGTCGTAAAATTTTTTGCACTGAATTCAGTATTCGTGATCGTTTGATTTTAGAAATTCTTGGAGCTAATTGGCAATGAGAAGCTGTTCTTCTATGCATTGGCAACCATCCAATGTGTGAATCACCCAAAAAGAATCGACACCAACGATTTGCACTCAACAAAATATGCACGGGTCAATATGATAATGGCGCAATCGGACGAGTTTGCGAAAGCATTCAAATGTAAGAAGACGGATCGGATGGTACGAAGCAAAGCGGACCATTGCGAATTATACGGAGAACATGGGCCGATGACAAGGAAATTGGTGTCACCATTCGATACTACGTAAATTTTCTTTCCATAAAATGGAAATGAAAAATTTTGTGAATAAAGAGATGTTATGTCGATTTGGTGCAAATCAGGGTGAAAGCATTAATAACCTGAATACTCATTAGGAAAGACACCATTCTACTATGCCGAATCATTTTCAAAAATCAGTACACATGAAATTCAAACTGGTTCTTAAATTTGTTAGATCCCGGGCTGCTTTTTTGAAAAAATCGTCAAAATTTGACATTGTCTGGTGGGAATTCAAAAAACACGCTCGCCGCAATTAGAAAAAAATCGAAAATGTACGTACGGTACATTTTGTTGCGACATTTTTTGCGACATTTTCATTAGTTGCGACATTTTTTCTGATATTTAGTTTTTGAAATCGTAAACACACAAATTTTATACGGTTTCATTCAGTTCAACTTAATTAAATTTATTAATCCATTAAGTGTGGCCGTGGCCGCCCCTATTTTTGGAACAATTTTTCTAGGTCACGCGTGAGTTGCGGCGAGCCGTAAAAAAGTTTCGGCTCTGTTATTCTCAGGCAAATCAAATAAAATATTTTGAGAATCAAATATTATAATAAACTGTAAATTCTAATGCTTATTGTTACTTCCTAAAACTTCTTGAGACACGATTTTTTAAGCTTAAAAACACTTTTTAAGTCTTATAAGATTTTTAAAAATTCATTGCGAAAATTTAACTTATTATAGAGACACGTTAGTTTCTCAATGAATCTCAAAATATTTTATTCGATTTACCTGAGCTTGAGTAGTCCAAAACGCGCCCTACAGAAATGTCTCGTTGTCTAGCACCCTCTCACTCTTCCTCTATCTATGTGACTCACCTTTTTTTCTCTGCGTTTCCCTCATTTGGCCTTTTATTTGGTCGACTAAATGAATATTATTAGTTGATTGGCGTGCTCCGGAATTTTTGAAATTCTATTATTTCTAATAACAGAATGTATCGAATAATTCTAATATTAGCTAGTATTAATTACAACGCAATATCAAAAGAAATCGTCCCGAAATCGCATTTCAGCTATGATTTTATTATGAAACATGTGATGAAGTAAGAAGAGTTAATTTAAGGTGCCAATTAGATGGCATTAATGCAGTTTCGTGAACAACTCGATCGATCCATGCGAAGATTTCTATGCGCATGTTTGCCCGCAAAACGACTATAGTTTTCGAGAAAGGCTCTATTATGAATTGTCTGATGATGATCATCGAACTGAGCTTGATTTCATGACAATCAAGGATGTGGTGGGTTGCTGTGCAATTTCTTGATTAATATTGATGTTTAGGATTTTCGGGTAACATTCGAAGGAAATGCCTCATTAGCCGAGACGGAATTAATCGAATTGTAAATATTATAATCGCGAAAAAAAAAACGAGCACAGATTCACGGATTCGCATAATGTTATAGTTTCAATTTTGAATTACCGCCCGCCAAAATGCGATGGTCCACATTTGTTCAAGGTGCTCGTTTTTTTGCGATGATAATACAATAATATCTTTTGAGATTCACAATAATTGTAGATGTGAGACTCAATTGGAAGAGTTCAAAAAAACTTTATATGTTTATATGAAGCGAGTGGCAAAGGAGAAGACTAGAAAACTTGACTGGAACAACATGACGTGCACTTTAATTGCAGAAATGCTGAAAAATGTCGATTTTGAGAATCTGGCAGTTATCGATTAGACTACTCGATTCTGCGAAATTCTTCTGGAAATTTCAGAAAAGGGCTCACAAATGGATTCGAGACGTTTTCAATAATGTTCGAAGGTATTATACGGTGAAACGATTGTACGGATCACCGACGAAAGCCGCGCACATGTATGAAGATATCAAAACTGAGTTGTTCGAATTGCTCGAGGTTTGTATCAATGCTTTTCGAGCTTTTTTTGGCAAACACGATTTTGATGCGATTTAAACGAGAAAAAAAACTAAAACGCGCTGGTTCAGCTGTTTACACACTGACGCAAAATTGCACACATTTTTCGCTTCAAATTTTGTCGCATTTCTGATAAATCGAAATCAATCGGATCCGAATTGGACAAATTTTACGAACGGATGCAAAGATATTCAAAATCCGATTGGTTTTCAGTTATTAGAGTGTTCTCTCTGGGGTACTGAAGGCAAATGGCCGATCTGGACGAGAAGGTTGATCCTACCGGCGAGAATGGGTCAAAATTGAGCAGGACTGGCCGCAGCTCGCCGATTACCCCACGGGCGAACTGACCAAAAGTTTTGCTGAGAAACTTTCAAATTTTTCATTAATCAAACAAAAATGAGACGCAATTTGGCATTGATGATCGATTTTGTTGGGAAAAAATGAAATTTCCCAAAACGGGAGCTCACGCGAACCGCAACGCGTCTGACGACACAGAATAATTATGGCAGCCACATTTTTTTAAACGATTGAACAGACTAGATGCTCGCCCATCGACATTTCTTTGGTTCTCCGAGTGTTTTCAGAACACACCTTGGCTGAGAAGATACAATGCAACTGAGATGTTCAAAACACAATTGAATCTAATGAAAACTTACGATTTCGGGTATTTCGTCGAAGCGTTCGAAAATCGTTTGAAGAGCGTCGTGCCGAAACTGAGAGAATTGAAAGCCGACAAGGGTGTCGTTCGACTGGAACGAACTCAACTCGCCACATTCGTTGCGTTGGGATACGACGTGGTGTATATGCGAAATTGTCCCGAACCATTTCAGAATTTCGCGATGGATTCATTGGCAACTTCAAAACATGTATTTTCCAATTATAAAAATGTAATTTTTGTTTTCGATTCTGAAGAGAAAATACGCGAGTTTTTTTTAGAATTATGTAGTTACTGACAATACGCTAATATTGCTTTCATATTCGAATAATTTCGCCACTAGGGTGATTGTTGAGAACGAACCAGCTTTTTTAAGCATTCCAGAATTTAGTTTGGCAGCGTTGGATACTTACTTGGACACGAGATTATGCATTCATTTATTTTCAATGAAAACGACAACTCGCCACTGAAGAATTTTTCGACGAAAAATGCGCATTGTATTCTGAGTCAGCATTCGAAGACATGCCAAATGTTTCCAGAAGCGGTATTCTGAAATTCAAAAATCAGAGTTGATCTATTCAATATTGTTTGATTCATTCAGAAATGCTCGACGACGAATCGAACATTTGAAGAAGATGGGGCTGATTTGATGGGATTCCGATTGGCATACAATGTATTCAAAAAAGCAAAATATGTGAATCGAAGAAAAGTGGTGGCTGAGCATTGATAGTTGAATTTGAATTATTTGCAGATTTATTTTGGGTACGCAGACGAAATCGATAATGACAAATTGTTCTTCTACTCAATGGCAACTCAATGGTGTGCACGGCGATTGGTGAAGAAAAAAAGCGATGGGGTGCATTCGGTGAAATACGCCAGGGTGAACATGCAAATGGCGCAATTAGACGAGTTTGCGAAAACATTCAAATGTAAGAAGACGGATCGAATGGTACGAAGCAAAGCGGACCATTGCGAATTATACGGAGAACATGGGCCGTTGACAAGGAAATTCGCGCAGAATTTCTGATCTTTGAATATTTACCATTGACTTGAAATAAAAATTTGTGAAAGAAAACTTGTCAAAAATTTGAATGAAATAAATGAATGAGGTGAATAATTATAATATCGATGGCGTATTGAGTTTGTAAGGACACAAGGCGCGGAATTTAAGGGACCCCATTTTTAATATTGTTATTATTGCATTTGCTTCTTGTAAATCATATCGAACGCAGCGCGGAAGGGATTTTTATAAAAAAATTGACGGGCGCTGATCGGACGCATATATCGGGGTACCTCTCGAACGATACCGTCCGCGCGGACGTTAATGAGTTTTACGGATTTTTATATTTTAACAAATTTTTATAAGCAGTGTATCTACCCGGGATTTTCGTTTGTCGGATTGTTTCGGGATCAGAGTTTGTCGGGATTTCCGCATTCCGCGTTTTCAATTTATTCATTCCGCCAATTTCGACTCGGATCCCGGAACTACCCGGGATTAGCGGGTTCGTCAGGAGCAGAGCTGCAAAGAATCTGAATTTTCCGAAAACGGAAGACGGAACAAAAAAATGTGATGAAAGACGGAAGGCGGAATTCCGTTCAGCTCTGTTCGAGAATTAAAATCGAAAAGAAGAATTGAATTTCGAAAATTAAAAACCTGTGTATTTTTGCGTAATGCGTATTGCGGACTTCGCTACCGTAACGCACAAAAATCAATTTTGAAACCTTTTCGGATATTGGAAAATTCGTTTTTTTTTCGCAGAAGACGGAAGATGGAAGGCGAAATTTCGAGCAGCTCTGGTCCCAGGTAATAGAACCCCGTTCGTGGTATTCGTCACTCATACAAATTCTAGATTTCGATTTATTCTCTTTTTTTTTATCAGAAAGAAAAAGAAAAGGAAAAATCATTCTGTAACAGACGATTCATGCTCGACGACGAGTTTCCCGTTTGAAGAAGACGCAATCGATTTGATGAGTTGACCAATTTTCTAAACCAGGCACAATTATTGATTTTTTTCGAAACACATGTGCAATTTGTTCAGACTTGGCGCAGAAGCTTCCACAATATGCAAAATATGCACACAGTAAGAAATACCATTCGCGTTTAAATCCACGTGAGTTCCTCTATAAACAATCATTACTATAAATGGAATGTATCGAATAATTCTACTATTAGCTGGTATTCATGTCAATCCAATATCGAATGGAATTATCCCGAAATCTCATCTCACTTATGATATTGTAATGCAACATCTTATGAAGTAAAAAAATGGAAAATTTGAGATTTTAAAAATAATAATTAATGATTTGCAGTTTTGTGAACAAATCGATCAATCCTTGCGATGATTTCTACGCACATGTTTGTCCGCCAAATAGCATTCCGTTTAATAAAAGATTATTAAGCCATCTGAGTGATGATTATGAAAACACAAAAATTAATATAAGCTTCCGCGATGTGGTACATTAGTATTTTCAGTTGTTGTTTTCAGAAAACCTCATCATTGGATTTTTAGTTTTTCCCGATTCATTTTGAAGACAAATCGGCGTATTCAAACAATGAAATAATGCGATTGTAGGATTATCAAATTGATCGATCTCATATTGTTTCGTTTCAGATGTCAAACGAAAAAGGAAGATGTCGAAAAAGCATTGCTATTGGATTTGAAATATATCCGGCGTTCTTCGGATTTATACAAACTGAAATGGGGAGAGCAGAGTTGTTCGCAAATTGTCAAACATTTCGAAAGTGCCAATGTATTCCGAATTGCGGTAGGAAATCGATTGCTATTTATCCTTGAAATCGTTCTTTTGGATGCGTTTCTCGTTTTTAAGCATCACAGTTTTTAAAATATTTTTTTGTGATGAAAAATAAAACGAGCGACTTGAATAATTGTGGACCATCGCAATTTTTGCGACAGCGAAAAATGTTGAAAATTCAAAAACGCGGAAAACTGGCGAAATAAAAAACGGCTGTAATATGAAAAATCAAAATTTTTAAGCAAATTTCAATTACCCTTGTTGTTAACAAAAATGTCATATGGCAGAATATTTGGAGACCATTTAAATGGCAAAATTTAAAATATTCAAATTCATTCGTCCGCAACGATATTCTTTGCAAAAACTTCTCTAAACTTTTGATTTATTTACTTATTTTTTAATATTCTTGATGCGTTTTCAACAGAAATTGGCGAAATAACCGAAAAAAAATGCACAAAAATCAGATAATCAAAAAATAAAAATTTCGAATTAATGGCGGACGTGAATATGCGATGGCCGAACATTTAGCGGCCGCGGGTGGGGCGACCGCCGCCTCGTTAAACTTGATTGGCGCAAAGTGATTTTTAAAACAATTTTCTAATTGCCAATCAATTTTCGTTTATAAATACTCGGAAAATATTCAAATCATCATAATCACATTACAGACGCAATCAGTTAATTTGATCAAGCTGTTGTATGCTAATTTGAGAAGGCATGAAACAATTCAAAGAATATATGGATCGCCCACCAAGGCAGTACATATTTTCGAGGAGCTCCGAAAGGAATTGGACGCGCTTCTCGAGGTTGAATCACCAGATGTTCGATTCTGAAGGCATTTGTGTGTGCTTCAGGAGACACCTTGGATCAAAACCTACAGAGCAATGGAAAAATACAAAAAACAATTGGATATAATGTCGTTTATCGATTATGGATTCCTTCGAAACGCTTATGGGGATCATATAAAACAAGTGTTGCCTTATTTGGTGAAATTCAAGAATAATGATGTCAAAAGAAATGAAATATTCGAATTGATTGCATTGGGATTCGATGTGATATTCAATACTGGCTATCCGAATCCCGTTGCGAATATAACTCTTGATATTTCAATGATCGCCATTGGCCAATGGAATGTTTTGGATGTATAATTCAAAATTTTGCATTTCCATTTGAGACCAATTATTGCAGAAATTCGTATTATCTGATAATGCTTTGATATTATTATCATACTCGAAGAATATCGCCACCAGAGTTGGTTTTTAAAAATGCTTTTCAATTTCCCGAAATTTGCTTGGTTTTTTTTTCAATTTTCCCAAATTCCCGATGATCGAAAAGAATGAGATGGGTTGTCTAATAATATTTTCAAAATCTGTGTGGGCGAAATTGAATAAATTGCAACTAAATTTTAGTTTTCACTTTTTTTTCATAATTACTTCATTTTTATTCAACCTTTCATTTTCCACACAAATTTTGATTACTATTTGTCGATATTTCTGTAAATTTTCACGTGAAAACAGTGAAATAAGCGTTGACACGTGGCGAGACCTTTTCAAGGCGCATGCGCGTAAATCTACCCGCGTACAACAGTCACCGGACGCTGAATATACGAGCATTTAATATTCAGTCAACGAAAAAATTTAAATCTACACTGATTTCGCGAATTTGAAGCCCCCCCCCTCCGTAAACACTAATTACGATAGAGCAGATTTGATAGATTATAATGCTCCACGGAGCCGTCCGCAAATAACCACACTAATCCGAAGTTGGCAATTTGCTGTCGGCATGGGGGGGGGGTAATTTTGAAAAATATCGCCTCTTGTCAGCTTTTCCTTTCAACGTTTGATTTCAGTACGGCGGATTTGGTTTTATAACGGCTCATGAGATTATGCATTCGTTTATATTCGAAGAAGGCGATCGATCGCCGTTGCGATATTACTCGACGAAAAACGCTCATTGTGTGCTGAGTCAGCATTCGAAAACGTGCCAAACGTTTCCAGAAGCGGTATTCTGAAAATGAGACGAACTCGATGATCTCGTCGGCGATCGTTTGGCGCAATTCGCCATACGAGTTGAGTGGCGTTCGCGTGAATCTCGACCAACCATGGCTGCGAACTGCCCCCCTCCCCCCACCGTCGAAATCATCGCTGAAAAATAATATTTGATTAATTCAGAAGTGCTCGACGACAAACCGCACATTTGAAGAGGACGCGTGTGATTTGATGGGATTCCGCCTAATCTACCATTTGTTTCAAATAGCGAAAAATATGGATCAAAGAAAAGTTTTTTAACAGGGGGTCGGGGCCGGGTAACCTCAAATATCATTAAAAATGTATCATAGAAAGAATTTTGAGGTCTCGGTGTGCGCCTTTAACCTTTCCTTATACTTTGGCCCGTAAATCCACATGTTTAGTTTTGCTCTAAAATTATAGCCATTGTTTTTTTGGCACTTTGCCTGCTTTTTGTAGTCGCGCAATGTTGGCAATACATTACTTTTAAGAAACACACTTCTCACAATGAGTCAGATCGCCTAAATACAAATTTGAATTACCGCCTCGAAAAAGTGCGATGGTCCACAATTATTTAAGGTGCTCGTTTTTTTTGGCGATTAAAATATGTGAAGTGGACAGCGTTGTAAAAAACATGGTCCGGTTTTGAATTGCCGCCACCACAGACGAATGTGGCGCATCCCGGAAAATGTCCGCAGATGTTTACAGAGAAAGATTGTGATGTTAAGATTCAAAGAATAATACACTTACCGAGAACGCACTGTTCATTTTTTCTCATAATTAGCCAATTTTTTGATTTTTGTCGAATTTTTCTACATAGTTTCTATGACAATTCAATGATTTTTGCGGCAACCCACCTTTCTATAAATTCGAAGAAAACGCTTGAAACGCTGAGTGAAATTTCAGACATATTTTGGCTATGGAGCACCAATGGATGACGAACAATTGCTGTTTTATTCATTGGCTGCCATCTTTTGCACTGAGCACCCAGAAAAGGAGAATACGAGAGATATTCATTCCGGAAAATACGCCAGAGTCAACATGATAATGGCGCAATCGGACGAATTTGCGAAAGCATTCAAATGTAAGAAGACGGATCGGATGGTACGAAGCAAAGCGGACCATTGTGAATTATACGGAGAAAACGGGCCATTGACAAGGAAATTCGTCAGATTCCTGAATTTCGAATAAATTTTTATGAATTTATAACAGCCGACATTTCAAATTTACGGAGTAGACCAATTTCAGCGAAATAAATGTTTCGAATTGGATTTTTTAAAATAAAATGTGTTTTTATTTCCAAATCGCATAATTTTCCAGCGGATTTCCGCCCTTTTTTTGAAAAAATTTAAAAAAATTATTTTTTTAAATTTTTCTGCAGTGGTTTGCCATTTTATTCGTTTTGCTATCAATAAAAAATCGCATTATTTTATTATTAATAAATTTGTTAATACTTTATTAGATGGAAAAATAGAATATAATGGACCTTGAAAGCAAAAATAATTTAAAAACAAAGTTGAACCCGAGTAATCGTGAAAGCAAATTGGAGATTGTGGCAGAAAATAAATGAAAATAGAAATTTGATGTCGCTCAAATCAAAAATCGCCGCCGTCGCTTCATTCTCGACTTCTGGACACGTCGACGAACCTCGCGAATTCCGAGACATTCGTCGATCGAAAAATAATCGACTTGTGCCGAGTTCTCGACGAAAAACGCGCTCGGATCCCGTTTGTGCGTCGAATCATTCAGAATACAATTCAATGAGGTTTCCTGGAATTGTATATCGTCGGTTTCAAACATAAAGCATTGGTAATGCTTTTTTGAATTGCGCGTACGCTATAATGCATAGTACGCAGTCTGTTTGTCTCGAGAAATTTCAGTCCAAAAATGGCAAATTTGTCCGCTGATGTTTTTTTTCTACGAGAAATTATCATCTCATTTCATTCCTATATCTTAATTCGTCTCTTTTCGAATCGTATTCGCCTTATTTCTGATCCCAAATTGGTCATTTTAGATTCGAAATTCGCCGATTTCGATTGTAAAACAAATAATTGACATTTCACAATCGAATACGTTCACATTCGAATCGAATTTTCAAATAAAAATCGAATCCGACGAATTTCGGAGCCAAAATTTGGCGTGTTGGATTCGACACGAAATGCCAGATGTGAGCTTACATCAGAATAGAAGAGCACACTGAGACATCCGTCGTTGTTCTTCGAAATGCACCAATCAATGCATTCGGCGGCCGTTGGCACCGATCTCGCGTCGATTATATGGCCGACCAGAACCATCTGAGAGTATCTTGTCGGCTGACCGCCGGAGCATTGAGTCGAAGACGCTTCTGCAATGCACATTCGCTCAATCGAGATTCTTGATTAATAGAATTGCGAAAATTTTGGACAAAAATTGCAAACTCGTTTAAAGACGTCGTTTTTAATAGCATTTTTTCAAAAAGAATAAATTGCAGAAACAAAAACCAGCAGCAAATATTTTTTTTTCGTATTTTCTCACAAATCCCCACTTTTTACACAAATTTTTTCATATCGATTGACTGAATGAATTGGTTTGGGTGTCATCGACAAATCACCGGGCAGTGACGTCATCAGATAGCACAGGTTCCGTTTTGCGTCGAATTCGGCGCCGGCGCACTCGATTTTCGTATTCTCAGGTGTCTGGAAATTGATTTTTTTTTTTTTAGGAAAACACAAAAACAAATCGAAATTACCGTATTCGTGAGACAATTAAAAACACAATCGTCTTCAGAAGTCTGCCAGAATCTGTACAACTTCGAACCTTCGACATTATCGCTTCTCACGAAGATAACTTGCTGTCCTGATGGGCAATGCGCTGAAAAATGCATAATAGCCTATTTAAAGTAAAACTATGCGTGTTTTTCGATTATTTCCGTGACATTTGCGTCACGATGGCTTCACACATTTTCGAGCGCTACCATTTAAATTTTTTGGTGAATCTTTAAACTTCAACAACTTCGAACAGAAAGTGTACGTTCAATTTTTTTTTTCAAACATTTTTTGTGGTTTCTTTTTTAATATTTGCGAGAAAAATGCAAAATCAAAAAATAACTAGGGGGCACCCGGAGTTGAACCGGGGACCTCTCGATCTGCAGTCGAATGCTCTGCCACTGAGCTATACCCCCGACTGAGAGACGTTCGCGTTAGCGGCGATTAACTGTTGTACACTCACACAGTGCGATGAACAGAGGCGACGTGTTGTCGGCGACGATTGTGTGCGGCGGCTGTTGTTGACCGTTCTTTTCGACGAGGCGCAGCGTTTCCGACGAACTAAACGTGAAATCGACATTAATAAAAAAAATATCGAATTTGAGAAATCATACGATTCGGAGCTGTCGAAATGCTCCAAACTGTCCAGAAAATCATGGGTGATGAACATTTTCACACATTTTGCCGTCGTTCGAATCGATAATTTTTTGTGAAAACTTGTTCCCGGAGTGCCAATCGTTTGCAATTGCGATAAAGATGTGCTGAAATTCAGAAAAAAAACTGCTGAAAAAAAATATGGAAAAACAGGAATTTTTCGAAATTACAGTACCACTGGTTACTGTAGTACGCAATGCACAAAAACAAAAACACGTCTAAAAATTATTCTAGATTTTTTTTTGCGCTACCATTTACAGTTGCTAAGAAATTTGAATTACCTATAAAATGAGCAAGTCGCTGATTCTTGTTGATAAGTAACAGAAGAGCAGCTCAAATTTCTGAAAATCACATGAATAGTGAAAAATCAAACCATCAATCATACGTGGCACAACTAGTAAGACAAAGAAGCTTCGAAATGTCGCTTCGAGACTCATAATATGTCTGCGCCTTTGAAATGCCCGTATCGAGCTTCGTATTATAGCAAATCGTTTGAATATCGGCCGTCGCCGAATCGCTCTTCTCATCAATATAATTATTTTTGGCGATGGTTCGAACGCCACCAGCCATATTGTTCGTTTTCATATTCGCTGAAAAAAAAATAACTTGGTTCTTAAAAATCAACGCAATTGTTTTGCTGAACGGCGAAATTCGTCTCGAGATACCTAGAAAATTTTCGCGAAGTTTCGCATTCCTAATAGGACCATTCGAAAGCAAAATTTTCGAGCCGAACGCTTTCTCGCTGCTCGTTTTGAATCGATCATTGTCCAATTTTTCGTCGAAAATCGCTCCAGGATACATCATCAAATCATGCCCATGAAGAACTTGATTCCACAATTCGACAACCGTCTGCAAATTATCGAATTGGTCCCTAATCGATGGTCCCTAGTCCCCCCACTATTTCAGTACCTTTTGCCCCTTATAGGTCGTTTCTCTCCGCTCAACTTCCTTCCCATTCTTCTTCTCCATTCTTACAGTACTCTGCGATTCGTTTTCTTCATCATCCGGTGGTCTCATCTCGATTTCATAATCGCTCGGATCGGCGCGACTCTAAAATCCACCATTCATTTTCAAATTGTTCGACAAATATGGCTAGCACACAGCTAAAATAATGCTACAGTAATCCAGAAACAGATTTGCTACAGTATTGATCGTATTAATGTATTCCTGGTGATTTTTGAGCACAACTTTGGTTAAACTCAGTCGATCGGGCTGAAATTTTCAGCATAGTTTAGCATTCCGATGCCAGCATACTTGCAAGGGGGCGGGGCGGGTCAGAGTGAAAATTCTACCGACCCGCTAATAGATTTTTTGAAGAAAAGTTTATTGAAAAAAATCGAAAACGAAACAAAAACAGTGAAGGCTGGTTCAATCAATTTTGTTTGAGGACTTCTGAACAATTTTGGGTCGGGTCGCGAATTTTTTTACTGACCCGGGTCGACCCGACTCGGAAATTTGCAAGTATGAATGCCAGTGATCCACACCAGGGCTGTGCGGCAATCGGAAATTTCGGCAATTTGCCGAAAATCAAAATTTCGGCTATTAAATGTTTTCAACGATAATTCGAAATATAAATACCGAATTTTCACGGTATCCCAAATTATTCAATGGGCATTGATTTTTGTTTCGCCGATTTTTTTTTGATATCAAATTGCCGAAAATCAAAATTTCGGCAATTCGGCAATTCGGCAATTCCATTGCCGCACAGCCCTGATCCACACACCAGAGCTGTGAGGCAATCGAATTGCCGATTACCGAAATTGCCTGATTTTTCAAAATGCTTAAATGCCGTAATTTTTATTTTCGGCAATTTGATGTCGAAAAAAAATCGACGAAACAAAAACGAATGCCCATTGAATAATTTGGGATACCGTGAGAATTCGATTATTTCGAATTTTTATTTTCGACAAATTGCCGAATTGCACCCCCTGATCCGCACACTCTTGGTGACTCGCAGATGCCGAGGAATTCGCAATCAAGTATTGATGAATTTCCAAACCGGTTCGTAATATCTCCGGATTTCTGAGACTTTCACTGAGCCTCTTCGTGGCGAAGAAGATAAACCGTTCATGCTCCTCTACATAACTGGGGATTTCGTCACCCCAGCGGAACATGCTCAGGCTAATCAGTACACTGTCCCACGCAGGCCGAGGGTAGAGTCGAATACTCCTCATCCGGGCGGCTTCGATTCGGCCTAGCAAGCCGGAAGAAGTAAACAGGGACCCAGTCCGCTAAAAACAGTATAAAGCGAAGAAATGTCCGGGACCCGAGCTCTGCCCCTGGATTGACAGTTACAGGACAAGCAGAACGGGAACAATCCGGGCCTGATGGCAACTGTCTGGTCTCGGTTAATGGAAAATCGCCCCCAAAAACACGAAAAGTTCACTTCAGAATTGGCACTTTCAACTGTAGATCGCTCGCTACAGAAACCAGACTCTCTGAGCTCCTCAATGAACTCAATCGAATCAAATTCGATATCATTGGACTCAGTGAGACGAAACGGCCAACTGAAGAGCATATGAAACACGTTGATGGGACAGCGATTTTCCTAGGCAAACGTCATGACACTTCTGTTGTTGGAGGGGTCGGCTTTGTAGTTCATAGCACCCTCGCTCCCCGTATAGAAGAAGTAAGATTTCTTAGCCACAGGATCGGCATGCTAACATTCAAGGTCGGAAATAAGCTTAAATGCACAGTCATGCAAGTTTATGCTCCAACCGCCGACGCCGATCCTGAAGAAATTGAACAATTCTATGACGCTGTCGAAGAAGCTTACCGTTCTTGTAGGAGCGACTACAAGCTAGTCATCGGTGACTTCAACGCACGCGTAGGGGCCAGAAGTAATGAGAATGAGCGGTTCATCGGAGTCAATTCGATGGAACCGCGCAATGACGCTGGTGAACTCCTCGCGACCTTCTGTGAAACAAACCGCTTATGGCACACAAACTCGCTTTTCCAAAAGCCAGCCCATAAGCGTTGGACTTTCATAAGTCCAGATGGCCTCTTCAAGCACGAAATCGATCACATCCTCGCCAACGGGAGGTTTGTAACAGATACTTCGGTGCTACCATCATTCACAGTAGGAAGCGACCACCGCCTTCTCCGTGCGAACATCCACTTCAACATAAATTGGCTGAAGTACGATAAAAGCAGAAAGAGAAAGGCGCCGAAGAAAGTATTGGACCCGGAGATGGCTAAAACAATAAGCTCGATTGTTAGTCTTCCAGTAGCCAACAGCGTTGACGAAGATTACTCTAATCTAACAACGCTACTCAGGAAACTACAAGACCAAGCCATTGTTAAACCATCAAACCACCGGACCAATAGGATCTCTGTCGAAACACAACAATTGCTCTCGCGTAGACGAAACATGAGCAGGTCCGATCCCAATTTCAAGAACCTCTCAAATCAGTGCCGAGAAGCAATCGAACGAGATCACAAGGAGTTCACCAATTCCCGGTTACTAGGAGCAGCCGATCAACGCAAAAGCTTGAAGAGAGTAGCGCGAGACATGAACGAATACAAATCACTGATTCCATGCCTCAAATGCTCTACTACAGGCAGAACTCTCACCTCTAGAACAGAAATGGAGAAGGAAGTGGAATCGTTTTACACGAAGCTCTTTGCGAGTAGAGCCCCACAAGCGCATACGCCTACGACAACGCAAGTCAAGGATAGGCCCCTTCCATTTCTACGAGAGGAGATCGTTTCGGCACTTCGGTCCTTCCCAAATGGGAAATCAGCTGGTAGTGATAAAATAAGCGCAGACTTCCTCAAATGCTGCCACGAAAACACTATCGCGCTGATAACGGACCGATTTAACCGCTATCTAGAAACCGGATCAATACCGAGACTGTGGACCAAGTCAGAGACAACTATCATCTTCAAGAAAGGTGATAGATACTCCCTGGAGAACTACAGGCCAATCACGGTACTCCCTGTTCTATACAAGGCTTTCACAAAATGCATCTTGAATAGAATCAGGAGTAAACTAGAAGCCAATCAACCTGTAGAACAAGCTGGGTTCCGCAAGGGCTTCTCAACAGTGGATCACATCCACTCTGTCCAAAGACTGCTAGAAGTGGGACGAGAATATCAAATCCCACTCACACTTGTCTTCGTTGATTTCAAGAAGGCGTTCGACAGTGTTGAGCATTCAGCGGTGTGGCAGAGCCTAAGAGACCAAGGCGTTGAAGAAGCGTATATCCAGCTACTCCAAAGTTGTTACTCTGACTGTTCCACAAGCATCACGCCATTCCATCGACAGGTAGAGATACCTGTTCGAAGAGGAGTAAGGCAAGGTGACCCAATCTCGCCGAACCTTTTCTCCGCGTGCCTGGAGCAAGTTTTCCGTGAATTGTCTTGGAGTCAATTCAAAAACGACTCAGAAGACAATACGAACACTCCAGGATTACGAGTGAATGGCCGCAACCTCACACACCTGCGGTTTGCAGACGACGTCGTGCTCATAGCGCACAGTCCGCAAGCGGCATCCGAGATGCTAAGTGAGATGGTTGCGAGATGCGAACAAGTAGGGCTCCAGATTAACGCTGGAAAGACCAAAGTCCTACGTAACCCCTTCGCAGACTCCGCCAAGGTTACCCTAACGCACCAGAATTCGGTCAGTATCATTGACGATGTTGACGAATACGTGTACCTTGGAAGACTACTCACCCCCAAAAACGAGCTAGTCAAGGAGATCTTCCGAAGGAGAAGAGCAGCTTGGGCAGCGTTTAATGGAATCAAGAACACCACCGATTTGATTTCCTGTAACAAAACCCGCGCACAGCTCTTCGATTCCATCGTTCTCCCAGCGCTGACTTACGGACCAGAGACTTGGACCTTCACCAAAGCTCTTGCCGAGAGAGTCCGAATTAGTCACGCTGCGCTTGAGCGAAGATTGGTTGGCCTCACGTTATCACAACAACGTGAACAAGATCTTCATCGAGAGGACATCCGCATCATGTCTAAAGTTCGGGACCCCCTACACCACATCACGAAGAGGAAGATGACCTGGGCTGGACACGTTGCTAGAAGAACAGATGGAAGATGGACTACTCTTCTAACGGAGTGGCGGCCGTGGAATTGGACCCGGCCAAGAGGAAGGCCTCCCATGAGATGGTCGGACTCGCTTCGGAAGGAGATCACTACAAGAACAGCTGAAGGAGCCGTTATCACCCCCTGGTCCACCCAAGCCAAGGACCGAAAAGCTTGGAAAGCTGTGGTTCGCGCCTCAACAGGCGAAGGACGAACCGACTAAGTGACTAAGTAAGTAAGCGAATTTTTATTTTCGACAAATTGCCGAATTGCACCCCCTGATCCGCACACTCTTGGTGACTCGCAGATGCCGAGGAATTCGCAATCAAGTATTGATGAATTTCCAAACCGGTTCGTAATATCTCCGGATTTCTGAGACTTTCAAACCGGAATTGTGCAATTTTTTCAATTTTCTGCATTTTTGGGAAATTTTTTTCTCGACAATTTAACATGGAGGCGAGGAAGTCAAGACAAGACCCAAAATGCACAGCTAAACAAATGCTATCGTAGTCGATGTGATTTTATCACGATTGTTACAGTAATCTCAACAATACTACACTGTTTTAATACTACCGTAATCAATATAATTTCTCACAACTACAGTAAACGTACGTCGAGATCAATCGGATCGCCGGATATCGTTTTCGCTCCGTGCATTCTCACGACGCTTCGCATCTCATTTTCAACTGCAAACGGGTCCTGCAGCGAATTCGCTCCGTTCGTCGACGACAATTTCTGATCTAGCATGTTGACAAGATTTGTCGGCGATTCATCGTAATCCAAATTCGGCCGAACGCGATGTTCGCCGTCAATCCGATTATCCACATAATATTTCGTCGCGCTCACCGAATATTTGCCTAGAAATCGACGAGGTCGCGATTTGGGTCTCAGCGCGAAAACAAAAAATAACAACAACAACAACAACCACAAATCGATACCATTGAATTGCGACACCTCGTTATCATTGATTCGTTGTCGAATTACGGTAGGTTCGAGGGTTACTGTACGATCCAATTCGATGTAGGAGACGCCTTTGAATGTCGCCGATGGCAAACCGAGAGTGGTTTTGGTGTCTTGAGAAATGTCGACGACGTCATTCTCAACCTCCTCCTCCTCCTCCTCCTCCTCATCGTCTTCATGCTCGCCAACCTCCTCCAGCTCATTCGTCTCGAAAAATCGCTCAACAACACCGTTTGGGTTGATGGTGGTGGTGGTGGTGAATGAGGTGAAGTATGGCGACGATTTGGCGAATGATCTTGGCGGGACATTGGTGGCAGAATTGATGGTGGTCTCGAATAGCGATTCGCTTGCCGCAAATGGCATGGTGGTTGTCTGAAATTTCGCAAAACCGAATAATAATCATTGAAGCGATCGAGATTGAATTTTGAAAATGTTTCGATTTAAAGGTTCTCGCTGAAAATGAGAGGTCGCTGATAGGGGACCCACGAGTCGGCGGGTCCCACGCGGCCCTCCCATCGAGAGGTGGTCCCACTAATTTTGCCCGTGTTGAATCAATTTATTAATGAAAATAAAAATTTAGCGTGAGGCGATTTTTCAAACAAATTTATTGTGAGCTAAATGAAATGTGTGCAAAATTGCGTCGGTGTGTTAGCAGACAAAACTCGGAAACCATTGCGATTGAATTTTTCAATAATAAAAATAATTTTGATTTATTATTTTATTCAAGCGCAATTCTAGAAACTGTCTAGTTTATGGAATTTTTAAACATTTTTTCCAAATCAGAATTTTTTCTAAAGAAAAAAAATTTTGAAAATTACAAAATGTTTTCAACTAGTCAAATTTTGATGCGATTTTTGTAATTTCTTTGGAAATTTTCCCCACAAGACCCGAAAAACGAACCGTTTCCGGAAATGTCGAAGACGTCGACTGGAATTCGTCGACATCATCGTCATCAGCCAGATGCCTTCCCGTTGGATTATCGACAGCAATATCCTGAAACGAGCGCCATCATATCAATGGCGAATTCGATCAAAAATCTACCCGAAACTCCAAATCGGTGTTTTCGAGGTCGGCCGACTCGAATAAACTCGCGTTGAGTCGCCTATATCGTTCGTCGAAATTGTCCGACATTCGCTCGGAAGACCTTTTCGAACTCTGAAAACAACCATCGAATTAGACGGCGATAATAGGCGACGAGGTGACAGACTGCCTTTTCGAATAAAACAAGCTTCGGCGGTTGGGTGGTTCTCGGTCTGAAAATCCCAAAAATCGAGCGCCTATGGGCGAATTGAAGAAGCCTACTCTTTGAACATTGACAATGTGGCCAACAGCGGATTCTCCTCGAGTATTCGGCTGATGTCCGCGCTCGTCGCATTTCCACAAAACGCTGAAATATGTAATCGCGAATTTGATCGCCCACCGAAACACCCCTCAATTTGAACAAATTCGTGTCGGGACCAATTCCCCCCCGTGTCAGAAATTTCGCCTGCGAGGAGAATGTTTCAATTTCTCTTTAATTACTCGCCGAACGCGTAAAATCATGGCGAAAGTGACGCCAATCTGGGCCACGCCTTCAATTATGTTGATTCTCATAATGGCCCGTTAGAATTTGAGAATCGAACGTTGTTAATTTCTATGAATGTGCATCTGCCGACATTTTTTGGGATTGTTTGCTTTGGGGGGAGGGCTGGGGGTGTACCTACCGTATCCCAGGATTACTGTAGACAGTATAAAAAAGAATGTTGACATGACTCTCGAATCTCAATTCATTCGTCGATTCGAAAAGGACGAACTGAAAAATCGAGGCGCGAATTTGCAAATAGGTGCGAAAAGCAAGCAAAGAAAAGAAAGAAGTCGAAATGAAAGTAAAACGATTAAAAGCCGTCGGGTGTCCGGAACAACACAATCGAAAACGGGGGGTTGGAAGTGCAACCTCGCGCATTGTCCAGTCCGGCCAAAGGCGTCGAGGAGGGCGGATCGCCGAGAAATCCGACTAATAATGTTTGACAATCGAACAGGAAGTTTCGTGTCAATGAATAACTACTATGTATTTCTCAGGCGTGTTTTCGATTTTTCGGCCCGGCAGGCCGGCGAAATGACACCCAAAGTTCAAATGTTTTCGAATGTGTTCGACGATTTGCCGATTTTTGCGCAACTCTAGGCTCATCAACTGCATAGATTAATAGGAAAATAATGAACACTCAAAATAAGCAAATGAAATGAAATTGAAATATTAACAAATCATGCTGCGGACAACTTCCGGGGATTGAAAATAATCAATTCGTCAAGAGAATATGCTTTCTATACATTGTGGAAAAATGGCGAATGTGAAAAACTGCAGCGATATCCTATGCATTGTGTGCGTACACCGAGTCGCAAATCTCGATCTTAGCTACAGTAATCTCAACTGAAAATTATTTAATTAATTATTGATCGTTTCTTTTTATACAAATAATTTTGAATAATATACAAAACTAATTACTATTACACTTTTTCAATTCAACAATATATATAAAACCACAAATTCGCCAAGAAAACGCAGGAAAAAATGTAAAAGAAATAATTAATAAAATAATTTTTAGTTTAGATTACTGTAGCTAAGAACGAGATGTGCGACTCGGTGTACTCACACAATGCATAGGATATCGCTGCAGTTTTTTTTACATTCGCCATTTTTCCACAATAAAAATTTGAACCATTAAATCAATGTTTTGAAACCGAAAACAACAATTCAAAGAAGAAATCGAAAAAATCCAAAAAAAAAGAAGGACAAGCTTCAGTTTTATGACGAAATGAGGGCAAACTGTGAAAGTGGCGAAGCGAAATCTGGAGAAGCTTAAAAATCGAGGCTAATCCTCGTCGACCGCAGTGCATACCGTATTTCGCTCAATTTATATATATCTACAGATATATATATATATACGTGTGTGTACGGGATTAAGGCGTCGAAGCCAATCGGTCCGGAACTGTGCAAAAACGCGTCGGCCAGTTTCCAATCAACATCAGCATTGCCGAAATTGGAGAACAAAACGGGAACTTTATTCAAGTGAAGATTAAAATTTGTGGATCGATTATTACACTGGGGAGGAAAGAGATAGAAAGGCGACGAAAAACAAAAGAAATAAGTGCACTTGGTACGATGACAGTTCAATTCACAAATATCTATAAGAAGAATTATAATTAAAATATAATAAATAATAAATAAATGAAGGGCACAAAAAACGAGTCGTTCCATTTCATTACCGGTTCAATTTTCGAACAAAAGCAAACAAAAACAAAAACAAAATACATGATAAAAAGAAACCGTTCGCAGAGGGTCTCGCAACGAATCTACAGTAACCCACCAAAGAATGGCGGGGGCGCGCAACTATAAACTCGTGTACAATCAACTACTTATTTCGCTGACGGCGGATTATAGCGTACTCCTTTCTTGGAACGCAACGACGGGATTCTCGTTTGTCGGTCTCCAGCTTCAGATGAGGCGCGTGAGTCCGGACGTGACGGCGTGTCGAATAATGAGGATCGCGAGTTGGATTGCGATCCGACACGACTTAAACGACCTGAAAACAAACAATCAGAATCGAAATTCACTCCGATTCTCCCTCCTACCAGCACTCAAATCCGACGGCGCTCTCGGAATTCTCGACGGCAAACTCGACGTCGGCGTGTAGCCGGCTGTTCCGCCGAGTCCGCCCGACATCGGCACACTTCGCTCGGTCTTCTCTCGAATCTTCATAATTGGTCCAGGTGTGCCGCTGACGGGAACGTGTTCCGGAATTTTCGCATATCGATTCTTGGTGAACGCCCGCATCGAATCAAGCGCGTGCGTCGGCTTCGCCTCGGGGAACATGTTGATATTCAATCTGCCTTTGGCGCGGCATGGATCGTGTTTGTGGAGGAACTCGTCCAACGATTCCCAGCCACCTCCGACGCGGACCATCACAGTGGATCGCAGGATCCGAACCATTCTCTTGATATGAGTATCTCCAAACTAAAAATATCATTGTTTAATAAATAAAATGTGAATAATTGAATATAATTACCCTATAGTGATTATCTGATATCTTCTCAATTTGATATGGCTGACAACAACTGCATGACTTCTTTTGTCGCTCAATTTCATGGGTGATTTTCTCGGTATCAGTTTGCGGCTTCGCATTTCTCTGAAATCGCATTATTGGCAAAATTCAAAGAAACCATCCGAATTACATTCGAGCTATCAAATCGAAGAGCATTGATGAACTCCTTCGAGTTAATCATTCCATCTCCCTTATCGAACAAGTCCGCAACTTTGGCCATTTCCAATCGAGACGTCGGGAATTCTGGAAAAAATGAGCAATTAATAAAATCCCAAAAAAAGTTGAAAAAAAAAAACTCAAAAACTCATTTTCGATATTGAATACACGAGCACATCAACTGGAAAATAAAAACAACCAACTAATAGAAGTACAGAACAACTCATAGAATCATGCTCATAGAAGAAGGAGCATTTAATAAATAGAAGGATAGCTGCATTCAAAGAAAAAATAATAATAAGAAAACACATTTCGGCGCCTATTCATTCATTCACCAAACGAAACCAACGTACACCGCGAAACTTACTCGAATAGGTGACCGTCGAATTCGGTACAATATCTAAGTAGCAATGTTTAGACAATAAAAACATTGGGTTGGTTTTTGGGTTGCAAACGGGGTTTCCCGGAAATATTCCCAAAAAAAATAGCAGCTCTACTAAAAAATAAAGCTAATCCAAGCAACGTCAGTATATATGTTTTCAAAGTTTGAGATCATATGATCCCATTTTTCTTTAAAGGACCAATGCAGCTAATATGTATAAAATATTTGCATTGACTCATAATGCTTAATCAAGATGGAACTCACTCGATCCAATAATTCCATCAATGAAAACTTGTCTTGGCACATTTCCGGTATGAAGTCGATCGATTCTTCTGAACAAATCCGACACTCTCGCCTAAACCATAAAGTATGATACAGTAAAATCTGATTCGGTGATTCAAACCTTTGCATGGTCATTCCACTCAACGTATCGCTCTTTCCAATCCTCCCATTTCCATCCTTCCAATCGCTTCATCTCATCCAACAGCTCTTTTTGAGCATCGAGCGATGATTGCAAACCCATCGCATCCAGCCAAAGCTTCTTCCATTCATTCGAGAGCAATTCCGCTCCCGGATTGCGAACACCTTTCTTGACAACCTTACAAGCCGCATCAACTTCCGGTTGTTTCTCTCTCAGCTCAAAATCGAGATCAGACATCTCTTTGAGATGTACTTCCATTGTATCGAGATCTTGTGCCAATGGCCTATCGATCATCGCATTCAGCTCTTCTCGCTTCTTCGCCGCAAACGCAGCAAGCCGTGCAATCTGCTCCTCCCGTTCCTTTTCCTTTTGTTCTTCTTCGAGAAGTGCGAACTCCTTCTCATCAACCTTCTCCGACACCTCCTTCCATCTTGCTTCAACAACTCGGATCCAGTTCTTCAACGTCTGTTCCGATTGCGGCTGACACTTATCAAGAATCTCAGCGCCCTTTTCAAGGCACTCCTGATACTTCTGTTTCGCCTCGTCCATCTCCTTCTTGACCTTTTCGACCTCGGCAAGAGCCGCCTTCACACTTCCAGCAGGCGTTTTCAGCTTCTGCTCTTCCACAGCGAGCCAATCAAGCAGTGTGTGAGCCTTCGCATCAAACACACTAGCAGCTTCCTCAGCTTCCTTGATACTATCGCTTCTCCTTTTCGCTGCTTCTTCAACCATCTTCCATTTATCCATCAAACGATCCTTCGCCTCTTTTATCGTGTCGCTCTCATCAACACCCGAAGCTATCAAAGCATCGGCCTTCTTCGCCACAGTCTTCACACCATTCTCCTTGTTCTTTCTCTCAGCCGCTCGTCGATTTTCCTCGTCAACAAGTGCTCGAACTCCATCAATGTCTCCGAATACCTTCGCTTTCTCGTCCTGCTCATATCGTTCAAGCTCATCGTCAACCCAACTTTCCAAGTTGTTCATCGCTTCTTCGAAAGCGCCTCCTTCGAGAACAGATTGCTCAGCTTCTCGAAGTCTGTCACGGACCTTCTTGACCATCTCATTCCATCGCTTCGCCAATTTCTCATTAGCACTGGCAATTGTCTTGTATTCCGATCTGGTCGCATGTTCAGCAAGGGCAATTCCACGACGACGAGTTACTTCAAACACTGGTTGTTTGGCAGTGACATCCTGCTGAGCCTCCTTGATCTCTTCCAATCTCGCTTTCAGCTTCTCCAAACTGCTAGTCATCGCGTCTCCGTCAGCATTGATCTTGTCAAGCACATCAGCAATGAATGCGTCAAGTTCGTGAACTCCGTCTTGCCACGTGGCAACCTCATCTCTCGCAGCGGCCAATTGTTTGGCGCGTTCAGCGGTTCGACTCGAGATCTTCTCGCAACGATGTTTCAACGAAACAACGCGATTCTTAATTGGAATCGCATCCTTCTTCTCGCAATAATACTGCATTCGGACACCAGCGGCCTGATGTTGAGCCATCGCGGCTTTGCGGCCGGCAACTTCTTCCATCCAGCTTTCATGATCGGCGAGCTGCTTGCCCACTACATCCGGCAATCTGCTGATTGGCGGGAAATCGGCCATCTTCCGTTCGGCGTCTGCAAACATTCAATAAGATTATTATTTCCGAATAATGAATTACCAACGATCCAATGCTCCATATCATTAAGAGCCTGTTCAAGAGCCACCGCTTGCTCAAACGCCACCTGCAGCTTCTTCTCTCGATCAACCAACAATTCCTTGACCTTCATCCATTTCGACTTCAACGTCGCATGCGATTTCGCCATCCATTCATTATTCTTCTCGCCATTCGCCATTTCGGCGAGATGCGCTTCAAACGCTCCAGTGTTCTGCTCAACATCCGCCTTCAACACTCTGAATTCGTCGAGCTGCGCTTCAGCAGTCTCCGGTAATCCTCCAGTCGGTTTCGTGTTCACAAGTTGAGCCTCAGTCTCCTCGAGCCAATTTTGCCACTTCTCAACTTCACCGCCAACATTCTCAGCCTGCGCCTTCGCAACTTCCATGACTCCCGAAAGTTTCGCAAGCAGATCTTGAATCTCCGCCCATTTCTCGTTCATCTGCACAAGTTTCTCTTTCGTGTCAGCGTCGACACCGCCAGCGTTTTTGCCGTATTGGGCAGCTGCCTGATTGACAGTGTTCACACTAAACCGACCAAATAATTTATAGTACGATTAATTAATTAACCTCTGAGCATGAGAATGCACATCGTTGCTGATAACAGCAAGTTTGCACTGCGCGATTTCAATATCCCGAAGATTCACCGAATTCTTCGAAGGAGCGATTTCAATCAAAGTCGCTTTAGTCTTATCCATCCAAGCAGTCAACTGAGCAATTGCATCAGAGAGATTGCCCATTTGCAAGAGTGAGCTTTCAAGCTGAAAATCTCGATTTCCTATTGATAAATATCAAAAGAGCTGCTCACTTTATGCTCTCTTTCCGCAAGAGTCGCATACAATCTCGTCCATCTTCCATTCAATTCCGCAATCGGTTGTCTGACAGCAGCGGCAAGATGCGAAGGAGCATCAGCGGCGAGTTGATGGGCCGTGTTTACTACGCGCTCCTTGCTCACTCCATGCTCATCGACCTCATCTTTGAATGCACGAAGCTCTTCCAGCAGTTTTCCAATTTCAGCCATCTGTTTTGCTGATTCAACTGGCGACATCTGAGCAACTCGTTTCTCGGCAGAATCGAGCCAAACAAGAAGTGCTTGAAGATCGTCATGGAACGACATTGCCTCTTCCATTGCAGCGATGAGATCACTAGAAATGAAAAATACAAACAGTTAAGCATGTGAATAAAAAATACCGTTTCTTTTCAGCAAATAATGCGGTAATCGTTGAAAATCCTCCATGAACATTCGCTACTTGAGCATCAATTACGGTTTTTTCATCATTCGACACGTAATTCGCCAATTGTTGTCCAGCAATCGAAAGAGCTTCAATCCGCGGCCGAGTTCGTTCCATTTCGGCGGCAACTTCAGCCAGGACTTCTTGTTGCGCTGCGATCTGCTGTGGCTGTCCGGTCGCCGGTTCCACAAGATCCAATCGAGTTCTCAAATCATCAACCGCCTTCTGACACGAGTCCAACTCATTCCAGAAGAATTTCGCCTTCTTGAGCACATCTTCAAGAACGACTCCGCGATCCAAAGCCTCGCTCTCGATCTCCTTCCAAAGTTTATCAAGTCGTCCCAGTTTGTTCTCAATGTCTCCAGCAGCCGCATCGCCTTCAGGCGCGCTAGCAAGCAGCTCATTCGCCGACTGTTTCAAATTGTCATAAGCTTGCTGCTTGTCACGAAGACTTTCAATAATCGACGAGTTCTCAGCGAGCCGTCCTTCAAGAACACTCGGATCAGCAGATATTCCTTGATTGTCACGAAGACGATCAGCAGCATTCTGAAATTCATGCGATCATAGCAAAATATTGCAATAATAGTGAATACCTGAAGGTTCGACACAAGAGTTTCAAGACATTCGCCGAATCCGACAGTAGCATTCATTGTGTTGTCAATTGCCTGTCCTCTTCCACGAACAGCCTCACGAATCTCATCGTATCTCGCAATCACTTCACCGGCAATCTCTCCAAGAGGCTTGCCCTCTCGTTCAGCGCAGATCTCCTGAAGTGCAGCGACGTCTCCACGGAATCGATCGATGATAGGCCGATAAGCAGCCAACATATGCGACAATTCCTACAAAATCTCAATAAAATCTGAAATTTCCGTCACATCAATAAACTTACATTATTATGATCATGCATTGCTCGTAGCTCATTCGCCGGTGTCGCCGTCGTCACCGATGGCGCATTCTGCAGCTCATTCTCCATATGATCAAGCCATTCGTTCAAATCGTCGAATTTCTCAGCGAGCTGCTCAGCAAGCACAAGTCCGCGCTCCAAAAGCTCGGTGCGCTCCAAACACATCGAGCAGACCTCATCAACGAGTTCTTTTCCTTCGTCGCATTTGTCGACGAGTTCCGTGTTGGCTTCGGTCCCTTCGGCGCCGAGTTGTCGTGCGACCTTTTTGGCTTCCGTCGTAACATTGCGAAGTTGTACTTTGTTCGCATTGACCTCCTCATTCATTAGTTTCTGATGTTTTAGCTGCGTTCGCAGAAATTCGGGATCAATTGAAGGTGGCCCAGCAGCTTCAATACGCTTTCTGGCGTCGGCGAACCATTCCACGAGGTACGAGAGGTCATCCAGCACCGCTCTCGATTGTTTTCCGTGCATTTCGATGCGTTCAGCTTTACGCGAAACTCGGTCAGCAACACTATTCACCATTTTGTTCATCTCGGTCGTATTCTGAAGTAGTTCTTCCGACTTCTCCGGTGAACACAGTGCTTGAAGCTGTGTCGATATTGCGGTCAGCTCATCGACTTCTGGTCTCCAATTCGAAATGTCCTCTTCCAAGGCAAAAATGAATTCGGCCTGAGTGTCCGGATCCTCTTCATCGAGATGCTGCAAATCCTGCTCAACGGCATCCAGCCATTCCATAACACCTTCGAATCCTTCATGGAATTTGTCGGACAATGGAATCGCTTTCGTCAAAAGCGCGATCTTATCATCAGCTGATTTCATCAAATCAGAATAGCGGAATTTCAACTCATCAAGTTTTCGTTGAGCTTGAAGCGCTTCTTCAGGCTCTCCTTGAAGAGCTAATTGTCGTCCGACCTCGAAAATGCTGGTCATGGTTTCATCGCGATCCGCAATAGCACTAGTGATGTCGGCAAGAATATTTGATTGTTCGATGAGATCGTCAGGAGCAATCGGGAGATCATCAAGATCATTTAGCTTCTTCTCTGTCTCTTCAACCCATTTTGTCATATCCTCAGAATCCTGAAAATTTCCAAAACATGTACACTTTAATGAAACGCTACGACAAATGTACCAATGTGAAATCTTGAATTTGTTGAAGGAAATCCTCAAGAAGCGGCTTCATCGCAGTAATTCCACTATCCAAAGCTCTGATTCGGAATTCGATTTGTTGAACTTGTCCATTAACAGCGTTCGCATCTTCAACACTAACAAGAGACGATAGAATGGGTGCAATCTATAAAAAAAATGATTTTAAAATTTACAAAAAATCAAAAAAAAAACTAACCTCAAGAACTGATTTGAAGTCATCACTTTTGCTCTCCAACTCATTCTGAAGCTCATCCTGCTCAACTAGCATCAATTTCGCCTTTTCGATAGTGATCGGCACCTTCGACAATCCACTGAGTCTCTTCTCAGCTCCACTCATCCATTGTTCCAATGGGATGACAACTTCATTGAGTCGTTCAGCAAGATCAACCGCATCCAGAAGTCTTCTCTGTCTTTCTTGTGCTCCCGTGAGCAAATCCTCATATCTCGTCTTGACTTGCTCATCTTTGCTGATCAAGTTCTTCTTCTCCTCTGGGTTTTTCGTGTTCTCGACCATCTTGGCAATCATCGCAGCGAATCCATCAACACTCGCCTTCTTATCTTCGACGTGCTTCAGTAGCACCTCATAAGCATGAAGCTGAGCCTTCGAAACTTTGGGATCCGCTGACGGTGCCTTCTGATTATCCATCATCTCTTCAGTCTCTTCCAGCCAGTTGAGAAGTGCGCGATAAGCGTCTTCAAACCTTCCCATCTGCTGTACCGCGGCATCGACGATCATTTCCTTGTCGGACACCTTTCCGACAATATTGGACCAAGCGTCTCCCACCTGATTCAGCAAGCTGTCAAGTTCCGATGTATCTCCATCAGGGCCAGCAGTCTTGATCATAAGCTTACAATCCGAGTTGAATCCATCCATCTAAACCATAATTTATCGCTGAATCCATTGCGAACACCAACCTTCTCGCCAATCGGCTTCAACGCCTCCTTCAACTGTTTCACCTTTTCCGCGATCATTCTCGGATCATTCAGCTGTTGATTTTCAGCCAAAACCTCACTTTCACCAACATTCTTAAGCTCGGCGACAATCTCATCAGCCTCCTTATGTAATTTGTCGATTTCGTCTTCCGTCTCATTCAATTTCTTCTCTCGTTGTCCAAGTCGTTTACGAGCACGCGCGGCAAGCTGAAAAAAAGAACACAAATCTTATCAATCATCAAAAAACAAAGCAAAACAAAACATTCACTAATTTGCCGGTTTCACTTTCGTTTGCAAACACAATTTTCAATGGCTTTCGGAAATGAATGCCGAATAGCTTGTGAACAGTGTGTAAGCAAATAATATCATAATGATTTACGGCATCAAGTTATGTGTAATGAAATACTGATGAATAATGACAACAAATATATTTAATTCTATTCTCTTTAAAAAAATCTTATACAATGGAATAAATGTAAATGATTTTCATTAAACGCGTTTTTTTTTTGAAAATGCAGCAATATAATTTTAATATTAAAATTTTGCAATTTCTATTTAATTTCCTTTCAATTGAAACTATTTTAAAAATGTGAAAATTCGATCTACAATATACTTAGGGTTTGGCGAGATAATAAATATTCTCAGCGATTCGAAAATGACGAACCCTGGTTGGTTTTGGTACAAACATCGGGGTTCCCAAAAACTTTCGCGGTTTGTCCCAATACTCTTTTTTCCTACAACACTCCAAAACCGTGGACGACTTTTGTTTTGACCGAGTTCAATGTTTCCCCTGCTCGTTCCAAAATGTACCGGCGGTTATCCCAGACCAAAAAGTGTCCCCCTCTTCGTCCCGATCGAATCGCTGAGTTGCTTGGCTGCTCATTTAATGACTACTGTAGTTTTCAATATATTCAGCAAGATATTTCCGTTTGAACATTGTTCTATTTTAAACATTTCTCCGAATTGTGTTCAAATCCTCAACATTATCTTATTTGCTTGATCACTTAATGTCAATAAATTTTTCTACTCAACAAGTCCGTTACACAAAGTTCAACAGCGCTTCGAAAAAATCGAAATTACGTGCAATTATAAAACAAAAATCAAACTAACTAAGAGGATTATTTCATTATCATTTTCGAATGCACGAAACTTTCTCCAGAAGTGGACATACCTCGCAATAGAAAATCGGTAATAAAACAACAGGAGTTGCGTTAAGAGCATAATCAACGACTTGATTACATGTCGCCGTCGCCGGAAATTGCATAATCAACGAAATTCAGGCGCGCATCACCGCAGTGGAATATTAGAAATCAACTAGTAACAATTTGCCAGGAAGCCCGCCTTTTCGTCTCGCGCAACTGATCCCGCCCAACAGCTGATACCCAATTCCTGCGCTCAACTATCAACGAACGACTTTCTGTCATCATCATCATCAACATTGTGATCATTCGAAGAGACATACATACATTCAAATCGATCACCGCTCTCCCACCAACTTTTTATTACTGCTTAGTATTAAACAAAATTCCAATCGAATGCAAACATGTCGCACAAAGGAATGTCCAGCAGCTCAAGTTTCAAGACATTCTCACTTTACAACAGCGATTTTTTTGTCGAAAAGAAAAGAATATCGAAAATCAACAAACCAACCTTGTTCAACTCGTCAACATTCGACTTGTTCGTTTCATAAGCAGGAACACCGACGACACCAGTGTCAAGAGCAGCGTCCCATTCAGCATTCAACTGAAAATCAGAATGTACCAATAAATGAGAAATTTAGTTCTTTTTTACCTCAATAATCTTGGTTTCGGCATCATCAAGTTCTTGCGCAAGCTTCTCGACTTCATCCTTCTGCTTCTTTAACTCATCACGACTTCTTCCCACAGGATCCAAGTCGCTTATTTCCGCAACCAACGAATTAATCTTTTGTGCCGCTTTTTGTGTAATCGAGTTCACCCGGTCTTCCGCTTCCTTCTTTTCGCCAAGCCTTTCATTTTGTTCGTTCAATTGCGCAAGAAGACTATCAATTGCAGCTTTGAGTCTATCAATGGTGCTATCAACCATTTCAACGTCTTCCGGCGTTCCGTCATTCTTAATTTCATCTCCAGCGGTTCTTAATTCGCGATTCTTCAGCGACCAAAAATCGTCAATCTCATTAATCTTTGATTGGACTCGTTCACTGCTCATCGCATCTTTTTCAATCGCATCATCGATTTTGATTTTCTGCGAATCAGCAAATTGAGCAACTTCTTCAGCAGCTCGTTGGAATTTGGCAAAGAAGTCATTCTTGCGTTGAGCTTGAGCTGCAGCAGCTCGCGCTCGTTTCGATATAACTTTGCAGTCATCCGAGAGTTTGTCGGCCTTTCTTCTGAGGCGATTTGCGTCTGGTCCAGGAGCAGAGGCTTCAATTCGATTCATAACCCCGTTCAGCGCTTCAACATCGGCCATTCTTCGAGCCATCGTCATTTCCACAAGCTTCAATCCATCGGCAAGTTCGGTGTTGTTCGGATTATTATTAGAGAGAAGAATTTCTATCTTAAAATAAAGAACATTGAAATTTAAGAATTCAAGATCAACTAACCTCATCCTTATCAGTTTTCAATCTTTGCTCCAAAGCACTTTCAGAATCGCTGAACTGTTTGACAAGCTCAGCGACGCGATCAGCCAGATCCTTGCGATCTCGCGCTCCCGCCACAGCTCGTCCCCATTTTCCATTCAATTCATCCAGTTTGCCCTTCAACTTCGAGTCGGGTTTCTTTTTCAGTTCATCATTAAGCATTGCTCTGAACATTTAATTTAATATAGAATATGTCACGAAGACAAATACTCACTTCAACAACGAGAAGTCTCCTTCATTATCAACCAAATTTCTGTATATTTCCTTGGCGGCCTTCGATTCATCAGCGAGCTTCGCAGAATCGGCGCAAATCGGCGCCGCTTGTGCAAGATTGTTCTCCGCCGTGTTAACCAAAGACAAAAGCTCGTCGAGCTTTTTCTCCAACTCAACTTCTTGATTTTGCGCATTAAGAGCAGCTTTCTTAACATTATCAATCTTGCGTTCAATCTCATCAGCCTTCTTCTGAGTAGATTCGAAATGTTCCTGTATCTCAGCAAGATTGTTAGCATCAACTTCCAAATCTTCAGCGGCATCCAAAATATTTTTGAGGTTGTTGAGGGATTTGTCAACAACTCCAAAACGAGATTTCAATCCGTCAAGGGTCTGCAAATTAACAAATTCAACGAAAAACCGACGATTTGAGAACTACCGATAATTGTTCGCCAAGATCGCTAGGAGACATAGTCGACGCCTTCTCAACATTCGATTCAAGATCGGCAATTTCATTCCTAAAGTTTACATGATTAGAATTGCAATGGTGGGCTGTCATACTTCAATTGTTTGTTGATCTGTCTGAGTTCGTCGCCAAGCTTTGCCGCCTGCTCAATTCTTCCCGACTTGTCATCAAGTCCACCTTCGAACGAGTTCCATCTTCTATTCAAATTGTCCATCTTCGTGACAAGCTCTTTCACGTTATTCTCATCAGTTCCCGATTTGCCAATCAACTCATTCGCCATTGTGTTAACATTGTCAAGTGCAGCTTTTTCGCCTTCCGTCTCAGCCTTCATCAACTGAATCTGTCCAGTCTGCGATCTTGCAACGGCGGCGTCAGTGCTCGGTGCTCCAATAGTGTCAACCATCTTCTTCTTGGCTCCAATCCACTTTTCAATTTGCTGACATTCATCCAAAAGCTTTTCCGCGTCACGTGTGCGATCTCTAACCGAATCATAGAGATCAGCAAGAGAATCCCATTCGTCAGCAAGGCTCTTCTCGCGTTTGAGCATCTCTTCCGCTTCCGCTTCAATCGACGCCTGCCTAGCGATTTCTCTAGCCGCAAATCGGGCTTCCTCCACTCGCCTCTGTTCGGTCCTCGCTGCCTTATCCATACGCTCCAATTCTTGAAGTTGGGCCTTCACGACGTCCTTGGTAATTGGAATCGGCAACCCAGCCAGTGTTTCTTTCCTCTTGTTCATATATTTGACAGCCTCGTCTTCGGCAGCATCAAAGCTTCTCGCCTTCGCGTCATTCTTGTTAATGAGAGCCGCTCTCTGCTTCAACTCATTGTCCTGTTGTTGTACCTTCGCAGTCAAATCGGCAACCTGTCTCATCGCATTCGCGCCTTTGATGGCTCCTTGAGCATCATCAACATTTCCAAGTCGAGTGGCAATGGCCTCGAGTTCATCCAACTTCTCAAGAGCATGAGTATGTCGTTCAGCCATCGAAGCAGTTTCCTTGCGTTGAGTAGCAAGCTTTTCCTTATCAATCGACACTTTTCCAAGAGCTTTCAAGTCCTCGTCGAACTTCGCGAGCCAATCGCTCGTCCTTTGTTTCGCATCTTCGAATTCGTTCTCCAAAGCATCAACTTCAGCGAGTTTTCCACGTTTCGCATCAAGCTCCTGGGCACAAGAATCAACGCGTCTTCGCAAATCTTTGGCTTTCTCGATAATCGGCTCAGTTCGGGTGACATTCGGAATATCACAGACATTCTTGGCAGCGACTTCAAGATCCAACATGTTTCGGATAAGCTGTTCAACGTCGTCCTGTGCTTCTTGCATTCGAGCCGCATCTCTTCCACTGGTAACTCTCAGTTTTCCAGAGACCGCATCAATGCCTCTCGCAAGTTTCTCACCATTCGAGTTGACCAAATGAAGTCCATTGATGGCGTCGAAAATATTATCACGATGTCCTTTAAGATCCGATCTGCTTCGAATAAGCTTCTGCTTGCATTCCTGCAGCGCATTGTGCGAATCGCCATCTCCAACATCCTTGGCCTTTCTTTCCAAATCATCAACTAATGCCAATTTCGATTCAATTTCTCCGCTGAGAACTTGCTCATCTCGTTTCTGAAATATGTTTCATACTTAAATATTTTATGATTATTAGTTGGCATACAGCTTCATTCAACGAGATCTCATTCAAAGGCAATTCCACTGGTTCTTTCGTCTTCTCAGCAACTTGCCGACTCCAGACAAGAAGATTTGATACCGCTTGTTTGACACCTTCGGCTTCTGCCTTTCGAGCAGCAGCTTCATTCATATTCTGTTGAAGTCGATCGAGAACACCGCGATGTCTAAATCCATATAACAATAACTTCATGTCACAAAAGAGATCTACTCACTTGCTCCTTCTCTGATTCGAAATCTCCTCGTGCCTCTGTCGTACTTCATCGGCAGCACTGGTTCCTTCTAGGGCAGAAATCAATCGTTGCGACGCAATCTCAGCTTCGTCAAGTTGCGATGAGCCGCCAGCCGCCTATTAAATGACTCATAACAAAATGCAAGGCGTAATGATAACTAATACCATTCGATTAAGCTCCTCAATCCGCATAAGCCGCTCGTCATCAGGCACGCTAGCGCGTTCAACATCTTCAATTTCCTGCTGAAGCGATTGAATCCACTCATCGGCTTTTCTGAAAAATGTATATTTAGAAAAAGATAAATATTTCAATTCAGAAATAATTTGAATTGATCAAGCAAATTTCCACCAAAATTCAATTGATTCAATTCCGAATTTCTCAACGATAACGATCTCACTCCCGATTTCACAGATTAAGGTTATAATCCGTCCGATTACCTGGCATGTTGTGCGTGCTCGTCATTCATCGCATGCACCCGATTCTGGAACTGAATCAGATCTTGACACTGTCGGAGCAATTGCGCGTAATCATCTTCAACGCGTCGTTTCGTTTCCTGAACTTCTTCAACACTAACACCAGCCGGAATAGAAGCAGACGCCGATGATCGCATATCTTCATACATCGCTTCAATCTCCTGCTCAATTCGGATAACTGATGCTCCAATATTCTTGAGTCGATATTCCTCACGCTGGACTTCTTCCAAAAGCGATTTAGCTTCATAACGAGCCTAAAATCAGAAATGAAACTCAAAGAAAATTATTTCGAAAATATCAAACCTCATCAAGTTTCAAAGGATCCGCCGACTTGTGTCGAATGTCTCCACCTAATCTCGTTCTGTCCGTCATCCATGACTGCATCGAAGAAGTAAGCGACGAGAACTCAATGAGGAGCGCCGCAAGGATATTCAATCTGTAACACAAAATATAAAACAAATAAAAAAAAGAGCAGACACATCGTAAAATGGGTAAAACCGCGCGAACAGCCGGGGTTAGTTCGATTACTATATTATCTATATGCGCAATCTACAAACAATCGCCGTCATCTCTCTCATAATAGTGCAATACGCACACCACTGAAACATATGATTGTCGCATTGCAACAATGGTTTAGTGTCGATTCCGAATTTGCATATTGTGAACGGAATTATTTGGCGGCGATGGGAAACCAGCGGCAAAAAGAAATACGAATAAAAAATTGTATCAGCGACGAAAAAACAATAAAATTCGTTGACGTCATTGATTTGAACAATGTGACTTTTACAAAATTGATTTTTTTAAGGTAAGGTATGACAACCAACCTCGAATGAATGCCTTCCACTGTTCGCAGCACATTCTCATATTCATCAGCAAGAACTCTTCTCTTCTCTCTCAACGCTGCGAATTGCTCCGGTGTCAAACTGTCCGCTTCATCTCGGCAAAGATCATCAATGGCGTCCAATCTCTCCTTGATTCGATCACGCCATGCGTCCAGCGAATCCTTTACCTTCTGAAATTCCGCTGAACTGCACAAGACGTTTGGCTCCAAATAAACAAACCTCGACATTTTTCGAAGCCGCTTCAACTGATTGCGGATTCGGATCGAACACAAGATGCGACGTGAAGATCTCCTCCTTGAATCGAGACAAATCAGTGATCATATCACCAATCTCCGCTTCGCGGTACGAAACAACACGAGTTACATTTTCCTGAAGACGGATTGAGGTAAAACTCGGAACTTGAATTGTGCTGATTTATTCAGGGAACGAACGAGAAGATCCAACAATTCAGAATAAAGCTCAAAAAAGACAATCTGAATCTTTTTTTCAAACTCTTGTCGCTTCCCGAAAAGGAAAATTTAAAAAAAAAAACGTAAATCAGTTAAATTAAATATGAAAATTTCAAAATGACGAGAAGGCGACAATTCAGTAAAAAAAATTCATTTTTATTACAGTGTCTCAATAGAGACGTTTTGGAATGAACATTTCAAAGGTACATTAGGTCCCTTTTTAACAACAACAACAACAATCTTCCTGAAAATTTTCCGTTCAATCTGAAATTCTGAAAACATCTTCCAAGATATTTGTTGAAGGCCAGAAATTCTTTCATTACAATTCCAGCCTTCAACATCTCTGAAAATTGACCGTTTTCCAAAAAAAAGCAACCGACAAGAACATCACAAAACGAGACGACACCACGTTTTCATGCAACTCGCCACTCCATGCAACCATTTGTTTTTTGTTTTTTTTTTGAATTTATCAAATTAATATAAAAATTATTACAAGAAGTTGATTATTTTTAAGAGAAAGAAATGAGAGACGAGGGGAATATGCACAAAATAATTGACGATTTAAGTACATTATGAATAGATTTGGCAGTGGTAAAAAAGAAGAAGAAGAAGAAGAAGAAGAACTATACATTCTGTTTTAGCACTCGGGAAGCAATTATATAAACTGAACGATTCTTTTTTGATTATGTGAACAATTGAAAAATGAAGGAAAATCAAAAATTGAGCGTATTTCTTTCGTAGGAACGTATTAGGCACTTGAAGTGAAGAAAATGGAAGAACAACTTCGTATCATGTTATAGTTAAGCGATCTTGGTCAGAAAAATATCACATTTCGCGAATTCGAGCAATTACGACATTTCAGGATGAATCGGATTGGGACAACTCGCACCAATCATCCTGTTTGATCATCATAGGCTTCAGACACTCAACGAAGATGGAATTGGGGCGCGCGATGAGAATCTTCAGCCTATTTCAATTATTTGATTAAAAAAATGTCGACATCGTTTGAATTTTGATTACAATATAACGACAATAACAACTAGACGAAGAGTAAATGAAGAAATGGAAGGTAGTGAATAATTTGGTGGCACGGGGAATTCGTTGAAGAATAAAAAGGAAACTGTAAATGGGTTTTACTGCTTTCTGGCCCATGATGGGGCATCATCAGCGTCGGCATTCGACGTGGTCACTGAGGTGTACGGGGCAAGCGGGTCGGTCTTCGAGTTTCTCAATTCGGACGGTTGTCCGTGCCAGTTGATCGTCTTGGTATATTCGCGGGTGACGACTCCTCCGGCGGGCTGGCTTACTGACGCGGTGGCGAACACTGGCGACGGTGAGCGGTGAGTAGACGAGATGGTTTGCGAGGCGATGTGAACTTCTTCGATCGGCATGTTCAATCCTTCCATGAGTCGCTTGGCGGCGTCATTTCCGACAAGCTTCATGTGAACGGCTTTTGGGATCGACAGTCGGCGTCCAGTCTCAGGATGAACAATTTCTCCGGTGAGCACGTCAAGAAGTCCAGTCTCGGTGGCTTCACGGACGGAGACGCGCTGATGCGTCTGGGGGTTCTCGATGATTCTCTCATCTGTGTCAAACTTGTTGGCTTCCAAATTGCTGAGAAAATCTTGCTGCAAATCGGCGAGGGTGGATGGATCGTCGATGAAACTGCGCGCGCGATCTCCAATCGATGTCACGGATTGTCGCATTCTCACGGAAAGTCCTGGCTCTTGAATCTGAGGCGTCAATTTGGTCACGGTCGTTTGCTCTCTCCATTTCGGAACACTTTGTCTTTGCTTCTCCGCATCTTCATACTCGGTGATCTTGAACTTGTATCCTTCAGCATCACGGCGTTTCACTCCTTCGGTAACGGCTTGTACGGCTTCCGATGGTGAGGCGATAACGGTGATTCTTCCAGTTCTGACGGCGTCGCTCAATTTAAGTCTGTTGTTTCCATCAACGAACTTTCCATCAGAATCGATCTTCTTGCGGTTGAGGGCGTCTCTGAGTGTGACGAGCTCGTCTCCTTCTTGAAGGTGGATAAGTGAATCTCCATCAATGACTCCGCGATTGACGGCATCCGAGAAGGTGAGGTACAATCCGGTCTTCTTGTCACGAATTCTTCCAGAGTTCTCATCAAAGTCAGACGAGTGAAGAACGTTGGCGAGGTTCTTCTCATCGTTACCTTCGATTCCTTCAACGCTTCCAGTGTCGATGAATCCAGCATCAATGGCTTGAGCAATGGTCATCTGTCTTCCTGTGTCAGGATCAGTGAAAATGTTGGACTTCGAATCAATCAATCCTTTTCCGAGAGCTTCAGCGAAGGTGAGCTTATCAACGCGACGAAGTTTCTCTCCAATCTCGAATGGAATGCGTCCGTCTTGAATAGCTTTGGCGATTGGAACAACACTCTGACGAGAAAGTTGGATGGTGCGGTTCTTCGGATCAACCAAACGCTCTCGAACAGCTTCGACAAGATTCAATTGACGGTTGGTGCGGAAATCGGTGACGAATGGCTTGGTGATCGTCTCGTAGGTTCCTCGATCAATCAGTCCTCGCTCGACGGCATCGTTCAATGGAACAACTTCTCCAGTGATTGGATTGTGGTAATTGCCAGTTGACGCATTGATGAGTCCGTCATTGAGAGCAGAAGTGACCGGCACATGATGTCCCTTGGTTGGATCGAATACTCCATCGGTGCTGATCGCCTGGTAGACAGTCTTCAAGATATCGAGCCAGGTGAGCTGCTCGCGGGTTCTTGGATCTCTAACTTCTCCGGTTCTTGGATCAACGATTCCGAGATCGATGGCTCTCTTGATGCTGATGTTCTCGTTGGTTCCCGGATGAGTTATTCCCTTTGGAAGGATCTCCGACAAGGTGACGTCGATCAATCCCATGTTGGCGGCTTGTGTCAATGAAATTGACTCTCCTGATTTTGGATGACGGTAAGTGAGGTTGCGGATATCAACGATTCCGGCGCGGATGGCATCCTCAAGACTGATCTTCTCGTCATGGGCATCTTTGATTCCACGGTTAACGGCATTCTGGATGTTGGATCGGAAGACCTGGTAGCTCTTGGTCATCTGCTTTCCTTTCTTGTCAACCTTGGCCAATCCCATTCTCTTGGCATCCTCGAGTGACATAATTCGGTTGTTTCTTTTGTCGCGGATTCTGTCGATTCCAACAAACTCAGCATGTGGCTCAAGCTCAACGGATTGCACCTGGGATGTCGATTTTACGCTTGTCTTTGTCTCAGTGACGAATGGATCTCCTTGCATTTGGATAGTGAACTTCATTCCAGTGGATGGGTCGACGTACTCTCCCTTCTCAACACCACCTTCACCTTTGACGACTTTGACGCGGACTTGTTTGCCGCCTCCAAGGTCGACAAATTCATGACGACCATCCTCAGATCTGGTGGAGACCTGATTTGGAGCGAATGGAGTGAGTTGAAGACGTTGCTCAACAAGTCGTTGTTGGGTGTGAGTACTTGGACGCTGGTTGGAGCTTGACGAGGCGAGAAGTCCGGTGGTGAGGGCTTGCGAGAAGCTGGTAGACTCCTTGGTATCGTTGTTATGGATGAGTCCTCGGTCTGGATCGACAATTCTTCGGCTGACGGCTTCCCTGTACGAGTATTCATGGCCTGTTGATGGATCGCGAACAACCACAGATGATTGATCAACGAGGTTCTTATTTAAGGCTTCATGAAGTGGAACGCGTCCTCCAGTAGGCTCGGTGTAATGGCCAGTGCTCAAATCGAGACGTCCAGAGAACAAGCTTGAATCAAGCGAGTCTCCGAAGTTCTTTCCCTTGATGATTCCCGCGTTGACGGCATCCGAAAGACTCATGGTTTGTCCAGTCTGAGTGTTCTTGACAGTTCCAGCAGTGTCATCAACAAGTCCTTCCTGGATGGCTTCAAGAAGCGAGTATTCCTTTCCGGTTCTCTTGTCGACGACAGTGGTGTCATATGGATTGAACAATCCCTTGATTATGGATTCCTTGAGGGTCATTGGTTTCTGAGTGTCTGGGTTGGTGAAAGTTCCAGATGAAGCGTCGTACCATCCAAGGGCCAAAGCTTTTCCAAGGGTGTTTTCACTGAGTGGAACTCCGCTGGACAGAGCCTCCTTCTTGGCAACTTGAGTGCGAGTCTGGATCTTGACGGTGGTGTGAACTGCGTCAGCAGCATTGTCTGGAACTCCTCCTGTCGGGTACATGTGATGCTGCTGGGCGGCCTCCGTGTACGACATTCTCTTATTCTGCGACTTGTCCATGTAGTAGCGTCCTTTCGTGTCGATGATTCCCCACTTCTCGGCCTCAGTGAACGACATTTCGCGTCCAGTGAGAGCATCGCGAACCGAAATATCTTCTGGGGCGATCTTTCCGGAAGCAAGTGCTCTCTCGATGGTCATTCGCTCATTCGAGTGATGATCGATGAACACTCCCTCATGAGCGTCGAACTCCCAAGACTGAACGGATTCCTCAACGATCGGCTGTCCAACTGGGCGGAAGCTGATGATTGGCCCGTTTCCTGATGGAATCTGGATGATGTTCTTCGATTGATTGTTGAGTGGCACCAATGGTTCGGCTTCAATCACAATATTCTTGTCTTCAATCGACTTCTCAATGTTTCGTCCATTCACACTTCCATCTTTTTCAATGAGGTTCTTCTCAAGGGCTTCCTTGATTCCGACGTGACGTCCAGTCCTTGGATCACGGACGGAGATGGTCGAGGCGTCGATGATTCCATGTTCAATTCCTTCAGCGAAGGTAATTGAGCGATCAACGTTCGGAGCAGTGATCTGACCAGTGGTGAGGTCGATGAGTCCCTTGCGCTCAGCTTCGTAGATGTGGTATCCAGTCGATGGAACTTCGATGGCTCCCTTGCCGCCAGTGATGGAACGGTAGACAGACACACCTCCTGGACCTCCAAGGGCGGTAGTTTCGGTGGTTCGGACTCTCTTGACGGTAGTAACAGATTCCTCGATGTTTCGGTCTGGATAGTATTTTGGAGCAAGCTGTTGTCCGGTCTCTGTGACCTTCTCGGTGGTCTTCTCCTCGATTGTTGGGCCGGCTCCTTTGTCTCTGGCTGGAACAATCCATTCGCTGGCTGGATCAATCAATCCTTGGCTCAATGCATCATCGAGCGACATGTCGATGTCTCCTTGACGGAAGCGTTGGGTTCTCGAATCGATGAGTCCTTGCTTCATGGCTTCGGCAATCGTGACCTTGACTTGATTCGAAGCCAATTCCAATCCCTGTGCTCCTGGACGGCTAATTCTCTTCTTCTTGTCGATTTTCTTCGATGGTGTCATAAGAGATGGTGGGACATCGAGAAGGGCAGAAACTTGAATGGCTCCGCGAAGACTGAGAAGTCCATCCTGGTAGGCTTCACGGGTGGACAACTCGCGTTTCGTTTTCTTGTTGAAGAAGACTCCCTTCGATGGATCGATGAATCCTTGCGAAACAGCGCGGACGAGGTTCAAATCGAAGTCTCCTCTCTCGCTCTTGATTCCAACTGGCTTGGTGAGCAATTCATGAAGAGTCTCATCAATGAGGTTTTTGGCACGAGCATCGCTGATCAAGTAGCTTTCCTGAGTGGCAAGATCGACAACACGCTCGGCATTCGGGACAATGACTGCAGCTTCAACAGCCTCGTTGTAGCTGAGCAGTTGATCGGTCTGGGTGTTACGAATTCCCTTGACATCGAAGATTGTGTGGCGGACTCGCTTGGTCAAAAGGCCTTCACGAATCGCTTCAGAAACAGTGAATTCCTTCTGCTGCTTCTCCAGCACAATGCGTCCATTTGGTGTAAGAACTCCGCGTTCAAGAGCTTCAGCCATCGAGATTACGTCATTCTCATCTGGGTCAACAATGTGGCGAACTTCAGCGTCCAGGAGACCGGTGGAAATGGCTTCAAGGAGCGAGTAGCGGTTCTTGGTTCCACGATCAACAAAGAATCCCTTCGAGTCAATCAAATCACGTTGAGAAGCTTCGGTGAGGGTGAGCGGCTTGCAAATGAGCTCATCTCTGTGAGCCTCCTTGAGCGAGTAGCTTCTGCGGGACTGCAAATCGGTGAAGTTTCCGTTTCTGGAGCTGATCGCGTTGCGAACAAGAGCTTCTCCAAGGTTCAATCGTTTGTTCTCTGCAGTATTGACAATTTCAGGGACTGTCATATTCAATAAGTTGTGCTTCTTCGAAACGGCATCGCGAAGAGTGAATTGATCATTGGTGTTGCGATCATTGAACTCTCCATTGTTGGCGTTGATGAAGTCGTTTTCGATGGCATCAGTGAGAGTGATGGCGATTTGAGGGGCGGTTTGAGCAGTAACAATTTGTACGTATCCGTGATAGATGGCATCCTTGATTGGCATGGTTTCTTTGGTATATTTTCCAGTGAAATATCCGGTCTCAGTGTTGATCACACCTTGCTCGATAGCCTGCGAAAGTCCCATTGGTGGAAGCTTGAGAATGCCCATCTTGATGAGTTTGTGCATGGTGTCGAAGTTGAAGATTCTTTTCGAGGTGCAGTCGACCATCGACAAGATCTCGCGGGTGTTGATGTCACGGATCTGACGAATCTCCGGATCATAGAGTCCAATCTGGATGGCTTCAAGAAGAGTGATCGATTCTCCAGTCTCCGGATGGTTGATTCCCCATTTGGTGTTGAGGACCTCCTGGAATGCTCCGTCAATGTAACCGAGCTCGGCGGCCTTCTCCAAAGAAATCTTCGATCCATTGAGCAAATCGAAGAATTGCCCGCCTCCCGAATGAAGATCAAGAAGACCCTGTCGAATTGCTTCAACGAACGTCACAATCTCTCCGGTCTGCTTGTGAAGAGTTCCTTCCATTTCATAGAACTGAGTGTTGACGATGGTCTCCTCCGCGAAAGTTTGCATCTCATCATCGACCTCGCTGATCTTAGCGTGATCCTCGAGTGGTTTAAGCTCGTCGAACTCATCGCCAGTTCCAGTGGTGACAATCTCGCGGAACTCGAATGGCTTCTTGATATCGAGATGGATGTCTGCTGGCGGTTTCTGAAAACAATACAATCATAAACCTGACTAGAAGGTGATCCCATCTCTCCTAGTTCAATGGCAGATACAGTAATTTGGGCTTGAGATTGTGAATTCTATTTCGAAAATTCTCCAAATTTCATTTAAAAAATGGAACAAACGAAAGAAAGAAAAAAAAAGATAAATTCTTAATATCAAGTCCACAATGCATCTGTCATCAACTACAAAAAAACACCACCAAGTCAATTGAGAGATGGTAATCAGAAAATTTGTCCCAAATAAAATCTCAGAGAAAGAAATCCCATGCGATTACACTAAAGAACTCGCGTTGAAATTCTTATTCGCAGTTAATTAGAAGTTAAATATAAATTTTGAATTTCAATGATCGGCAAAAATCAACCAAAATAATCTGTTGAAACTTAATTATTTTTGGGTGAGTGAACCAAGCAATTAAAAATTTAAAAAAAATGCAAATGCTTTCACTGCAAACCGTAGCAAAAGTTGCGAGAATCAGTGGATTCGATTTTCGCAACTTTTACTAATAAAAAAAGGTTGGCATCACCGCAAACTCTCACCTTTCTATTCTCCTCTTCCTCACGTCTACGCCTCTCTTCCTCTTCACGACGGCGACGTTCCTCATCTTCTCGTCGCTGCCGCTCGCGATCACGCTCTTCCTGCTCGCGACGCCGACGTTCCTCTTCCTCACGCCGACGGCGCTCTTCATCCTCGCGGCGGAGGCGCTCGCGTTCGCGATCACGCTCTTCCTGCTCGCGACGCCGACGTTCCTCTTCCTCACGCCGACGGCGCTCTTCTTCCTCGCGGCGGAGGCGCTCGCGTTCGCGATCACGCTCTTCCTGCTCGCGACGCCGACGTTCTTCCTCCTCACGCCGACGGCGTTCCTCTTCCTCGCGACGACGCCGCTCTTCCTCTTCGCGGCGACGTCTCTCCCGCTCAGCGGCTTCACGCTCGCGCCGCAAGCGCTCCGCATCTTCAAGCGCCTTTTTACGGGCCGCTTCAAATGCTCGCCGCTTCTCCTCTTCTTCGGCGCGACGGCGGTCTTCTTCTTCCTGTAGGTGTGGGATATGAGTATCAAACCAAGAATTCAAATCACACATGAATAACTAGTGTTAAAGAAATTATCACTATTAAAATCAAATCAAAAACGTGATGATTTCGTCAATAAGCGCATTCGCCAGAAGTCAACCAGCACATACACAATGAATAAGATCTCAATCAAATACTAGTGAAAAAAAAGAAAAAATGAAGAATACAACAACCACAAAGGTTTGCATCACACTCAATGACGGTGAGCTGATTAGATAGAATCAAAAGGAAAACCTTAGGAAAGAAGACCAAACGCTGTATCAGTTTTCGAGCTGCAAGGACAAAACACACACAGCACGCTGATTAAAGCAGTTATATTCCATTGGGATGGAATGAAGCTTGAACAATTAAAATTAAACAAGCAAACAAACAGATCGAATAAGAAATACAGAAAGGTGCGGGTTGGGTACAATTGATTAATAATATTAATAAAAGCGAAATTAGAATGAACGGATTTGAATCAAAAACATTGAGGAACTAAAATTGGTGTGATTTGGCCACTGAGCCAAAACAAAGAATAATAAACGCACAAAACTGCAAAAGGCGTTGAAGATTGAAGTGCAGCGTTAAAATAAAAGGAAACGACATTGAAAAGCCAAGCGCACCACACAAACAAACAAAAAAACATTATCAAAATACAAACCTGTGACCTGAAAATGTTAAATAAATCGAAAAAAAAATCACTGGCAAAATTCACAAAAATAAACTTTTTGGTTTTAATTGATAAATTACCTGCAATTATTTTTTTAATACACACACACATATATCGCTGGATCGGTTCGGAAATCGGTCATTTTTTTCGGATAGGTTTTTGTTTTTAGTATGAACGGAGAACATTAGGACTTTTGTTGGTTGTTGTTGTTGTTGTTGTGTGGCTGATGATGATGTGAACCTTGTCCCAAACATATACGCACGATTCCCATAGGAATCAAATTTTGATAAATAATAAAAAATAAAAATAAATGTTCGGTAAATTGGTGGTGGGGTGGAGGTGCGATTACGCTTAAGCGGTAAAGCTGAATGTTGTTGAAACATAAAATAAACCAAAAATTGTCATTTGTAAAAGAGAAGAAAAAAACTGATAAAACGGTGGGTTCTTCTTCTTGTTCGTTTTGTTAATTTGGGATAAATGAGGGAATTGCATTATTATTCAACTCGAATCAATGAGTGTGTATGTGCATCTCTCTCTATGGTTGCTATATCATTCATTTCTGGTGTTGTTCGTCTTCTCCGATATGTGCGGGGGGACTACTCTCCTACTAATCTAACCTACTAGCTACCCATAACCCCTGCACCCAAGGCGATTCCCGATTCGCGTACCTGCTTTTGTCGCTTCCAGTTCTGAATGAGCACCTGCATTGTGTTGCTGCGTTCGAGAATCAGCGAGCTCAATTGAGCAAAGCGGCGGTTGAGAAGCTGAAAATTGCCAAATCATCATCGCCGTCGTTCATAGATACTTACTTCAAGTTCCTCAGTGACAATAGTCGCACCATTCTTTGGTTGTGGTTTCGTTCTTCTGAACAAATCGCGTATTCCATGACCATGTACTCCGACGATCGCATCGGCGTATTGCCCCATCTTTGCATCATAGCTCTTCGCGTCACGAATGAATTTTCCTCCTTCCTTGTTCACATTCTCAATGGCTTGAGTGTGCTCCTGAAGATGCGAATACTCGGCAACGAGAAGGTCGAGCTGCTGTTGGTATTGCTCAGGACGGAGCTCTTCCGGCTTGCGAAGTCTGTTGATAGTCTCCTCAACAGTATCGAGCCAAGCCATTTCCGTCTCGTATTCGGATCTACAACAAATCCATAACTCCCGATCCAATTTGTCGAACTACCTGTAGACCATCTGAATTTGAAGAGCCTTCTCAGCAGCGATAAGTCTGTCGGCAATTTGCGAGTTGACATTCTCCCAACGAACATTGAGCTTCTGAACTTCATCTTCAATAACATCGACATCAGGATGGCTGAAATATCAAACTATTGATTGAAATGCCATTTATAATAATCCACTCACTGTCCCTCATTGATTCTGGTTCTGGCGACGTGTTGTCTCAACAAGGCCACGTTCTTGTTCAATTGATCAATGATATTTTGTTGTTGCTAAAATCGGATATTGAATAATTAGTCAACCACGGGATCAATTATCGAATTACCTTGAGAACCATGTTGATCTCGAGCAATTGCGAGTGGTGTCCTCGCAATTTGTCGAGCGCAGCCGGCAGATCGTCGAATGAATTCAACGTTATCTCGTGCTGCTTCACGATATCAGCGACTTCGACCATTCCGTTCAAAACCGACTCAAGAACCTAAATGTGGAGGAAATAGAAATTATTCACGAAGATTAATATTAATTACCTTGATTCGCTCGACGTACATTCTGGAAAGATCCCAAAGATCATCCCAGAGCGCCGAAAGACGATCATTATTAACGCGTTGGGTTGGCGTCGGGTTCGGCAAGTTTCTGAACAGCTCTTTGACATTTGCGACGTCCGCATCGAGTCCTTGAAGCGCATCTTCGAATCGTTTATGCTCATGAATAACACGCTCAAGATCCTCTGGGGTACGGGAAACCGGCTTTCCGACATTGTCATTGAGGATTCTCCATGATTCCTCGAGTTTGCGGAGCAACTCGGCCATCTTCTGATCGTACTGTGAGGCCCAATCTGGCTCTGGTGGCTTCTGGCTAGCATTGAGCAGGTTCCAGAAGTGTTCGTTCGTCTTGCGAAGCTCCTCGCGTAGTCTCAAAACCAATGGATCATTTGGATCCAATTCACTGAGAAGTTTATTGGCATCATCGTTAAGAGCCTTCATGATGGCGTCCCGCTGATCAGGATCGATCGAATTGAATGTATCAAGATCCCATCCTTGAATTGTGCGCATCGTGTTCAAAACCATATTGAATCGCACCATTCTGTGCTTCTTTTCCCAAAGTTTTTTAAGCTTCTCAAATTGCTGAAGAAGACGATTGAGGAATGCCGTTAGTTTGGCGTCTGGTGGCGGAATTCTGAAGACGACCGATGGAACTTGGCCTTCAACACCAGAAAGATCACGGACGGTCCACTTGATCAAATCAGAGTTGTCAAGAAGAACAACGTCATCACCTGAAAAATTATTTAAGAACTGAACGATGCCCAATATCTTACCGGCTTTGATGGTAATATTCTTGTCGCTATAATCGCACAGAGCGGTCACATTGATCGGATGTGGGATTCTATCTCCTCTCTGCCAGAGTGGCGAGATAGTCGCACATCTCTCGGTAAGAGCCATAAGCACTCCATGGTACTTGTTGAGGATCTCTTTGATCTCATCGAGTTCCCTCAAGAATCGTTCTCCTTCCTCAAGCGAGAAGTCGGTCCTGTTATAGTTGTTCTCTAAACGCGTCGCCTGCTCCTCAATCCACGATTCTGCATCAGCAGCCTCTTCCATGAATGATTTCAAATTAAGCGCATCGCGAAGGTGTTCCTCAAGGCATTTCGACAATGCCAACAGCCAATCCCATTGGTTCTGCATGGTTCTCAAATATGCCTCAATCACATGGACGGCTGGATGTCCCTGATTGAGCAAAGCAGCCCCTTGGTTGTGCACATCATTGTATTGCTTCTCGCGAAGCTCCATCTCGTGCAACAATTGTTTGTAATAGTTGGTGAGCATTGGCAACTCAAGTTGCTTGATGTCCGACCAATTTCGAGTCACCTCGATCTCTTCGCGTTCGCTGACCCAAATGAGTTCCAATTGCGCTGCGCGGACGAATGCAATCAATGAATCCTGAAATTGGCAATGAATAATTTCCAAATCAAAATTTTAAAATGTCTTACCAAATCAAGCATTCTTCCAGCGGAAAGATCACGAAGTTGTTGGTATTCAGATTCAAGGATTCTAAGCAATTCGCAGTACTCGTAGGTGTCTTCAGCAGACACCTCGGCTTGTCGAGCAATGCACTCGTCGACATTCTGACGGAAATCTTGAATATCGCGATTGTCGAGCTTGTGCTGTTCGAACATCGTCTCGAGGGTCTCAAGATCCTCAAGGAACTCCATGGTGGTGAGTTTCTCCATTCGAACGCGAACCCATTCAATGCATTCTTCAACACGACTGAATGAGGTCTGACGAATTCCTTCAAGGCGTGCTAGATTCTCCTTTTGAAGGGTTTCGGTGCGAACACCAAGACGAACAAGGATTTGATTGGTGAGCCGATCCAGATAGGCAGTGCGACGTTGGTGCAATCCGTAGACTCTGCAATGCAAAATCAACAACTTCGTAGAGAATAGAAAATCAAACCTTCGGTAGAAGTCATTGGCCTCTGGATGGTTGTTGGTCTTCAATTCCTCAACGTCCTCAAAGAATCCGGCGATCGGATTTTCAAGAAGGTTCAAATCCTCGACAATTTCGCTGACAGTTCTTTCGACAGCTGCTGGTGGAGAAGTGTCGACGCGAGCCTCGACATCCTCAATTCTCTTCAGAATCAAGTCAAGCTTCTCATTCGTAATTCCAATGCCGCGCTCAAGGCGGCTGATCAAGTCGTTCGCATTTCCCTAAAAACAATATAATAATACAGAAAGTCATGTGAACAAGGTTGGTTTCATAGTTAGGACATAAAGTTATGAGTTTCCAAAAAAATTACATAGAATGTTCATCGGGATTCACATGCAATAAATCGGACAATTGTTAGCACATTCTCAAACCTCAGCAATACGATGATGCTCCAAAATCTCGAATCGTCGATCAATTGAATTTAGCAATTCATTCCAGCATCTTTGCAATTCGGGTCCAGTGTATTGGGTCGGAATCGCGAAGAACTCGGTGTTCCTCATTACCTTCTCCAAATAGTCATACACTTTGATAAGACCCTTCCTTTGCTCGTCCTTCGGTGGCAAATCATCATCACGGAACCTCTGCAGCTCATAGATGAGTTCTGCCGCAGTTCCAGACAATAGCCGGTCATCGACCAAACGGGTAGCCCGTTCCACCCATTCCCTCCATTCATGCGCTTCTTCGATATACTCCTGTTGCACTTTTTGTAGCTGAAACGTGAGAATCGACAGACAAAAGACGGACAATGTTAAAACATCAAAAGAAAAAAAATAACAAACAAACAAACAACAATAGTGACATCCAAAAAATCATTAATTCTTTTTAATTCTTACGCGATTGAGTTCCGGAAGATGTGGTAAAGCATTGTACAACGACGAGACATAAGTGATGATCGATTTCTCATCTGGGTTGTTCGTGTCGACGTCTTCAGCGTCAAGAAGACGTGAAACGCCGAATTCCTTTTCAGCGGCCGCGAACGCGTTGTCCAACCGTTCACGGTTCGAAACCGAGTCGCTGCTGATCTGCAAAAAAGTACAAGGTTTAAAAAAAAATTTAGTATTTTTGTCCATTTGCCAATCCCTTATTTGTGTTTAAAATCACACTATTTACTTTTTTTTGACTTTTTGTTTTCGGTGTGCAAAAAAATAATTCCATGATTGATCCTTCAAGTCAACTATAACTCGAAATTTGGTTCCAAAAGGCGACAACACCCGATTATTTCTTTTTTTTTGTAAGAAAAATTTCAAAAACATGTTTTCTTTATCAATATCCCTCCTGTTGTCGGCAAAAAAACTTTCGCTCTGAAAGCCAATCTCAAAACGGTTCTACGAAAACCCCCCGAAATCTGCGTTTCATCGACGCACGTCGTCTTCGTCGTACATTCACCTACTGATTACGGCGATGCGAGTGCGCCCAGCGCGCATCATTATTTTTATCATTGATTAATGTTTATCTCAACATCTAAACGGCAAATACCAAAGCCGGATTCGAAACGCGAAGGCGATGCGAGCGACGAAGGTCGCGCAACACTACACATACGCGCACTCATACACACACCCCAATCACCAACAAATGCCAAAATAGGCGAAATTTGTTGGTGTAATTTTGTAATGAATAAAGAGATGAGTGAAACCTTGTTCCAGTCAATAATATTCGGCCGATATCTGTGCAATATCGCGTTGAATGCAAGTCCGTCTCGCCAAGAACTCGAGAAGTTCGTCACATTGACTCGTGGATAACCGGAAGTCACCTAAAAAAATCACCAATGTCGTCATCAAAATTCAACTCCAAATATATGGTGTCGTCACCTTTCGCGCCCATTGGAGCAATGCGTCGCGCGCCGATGTCGCATCGCTTCCCTGTAGCGCTTCGGAGACCTGTAAAAACTCAAATTATTCTCGTCCCAAACAAAATTGCATGTGTCTGATTCATCATAATTTTGTGTTGAATTCCATCTAAAAAAAAATTGCCTTTTCAACGAATAAAAAAAGACTCAAGAGTGCGCATACAAATGAGTCATTCGAGGCGAAATTGAAACATTTTTGCAACAATTGGCGCGATTTCTGGAATTCTCGTGATCGGAACGATTCAAGGTTTTTTCTCTCGCAAAATTTGAATATTTCAATGAAAAAATTGCAATAATCAGAAAAAATGCCGCAAAAAATGACAATTTTAGAGTAAAAATTTGAAATTTTAATTTTTTTTAATAGGGTATCATTCAGAATTATGCTTCAAGTCTTCTTCCTAGAAAATTGTTCAAATTCGTTGCATAACGCACCAAATTTAATCAATAATGTTTTAAATATGTTCTTCCCTCAACAAGAATGTTATTCATATTCAAATTTCTGCAATTTGCCAGCCATTTTGCTGTACCAATTATACAATCTAATTTCAAGCGGCCGAAAGAGAAGGACGGCGCGTTTTGTACTACTACCCGCCCGTTGGCATTGGGTGTGGCTCTCTTCTCTCCCTTCTCTCCAGTTATGGGTTTGTCGTCTTCATCATCGTCACAAACAACATCTCGACGCAACAAATAAAATTCCAAACAAAATTGATACCAAGAAGAAAAAGAAAAGACGAAGAACCGAAATGATACGGATACTGTCCAGTTTTCCAGTCGCGCACGTAAAAACCGGAATAGAAAAAAAAATCGGCACACATACTCTGGCAATTTTCCGGATCACGTCGAAATCGACAGCTACTAAATACTTATAATTTATGAACGCCGATCGACGAAATGTCGTCGGAAGAAAAAAGAAGCGATTTAATTGCCACAGCGATTTTCTCAAAATTTTTCCGCACTATTGCCTTCGATTAAATGGCGATTCCGAACATTTGATAATGGATTGGAGAAAAAAAAAAAGACGAACTGCAGCACCCTCCAAAAAATCCCAACAACAAATATTTGTCTCTTGACCTAATTTTATGAAAAATTGTTGTTAGCGGCGTCCCCCCCCCGCGACAGAAAGGACGATTTCAACAATTATGGTAAACCGGTATAAAATTCGAACATGTCATATTATGTCATTATTGATATTTCAAATCGAAGCAAAAAACTGTTATGCTTCATGGTAAAAATCTTTGATTGACTATTAAAGAAGACTTTCTACCGTTACTGGAACTGATTCATTTTTCTATTACACACATCCCTCGTCTTCCAGACTATCAATTCAAGGGAACCTCCCCCATTCGAATCAATCTATCTGTCCAACAAACAAAGTCATTTCCCAAGCTTCACATTACAATTTAATGCTATCAATCAATCCGACACCCTCTTCTCAGACCCAACCCTTTCAAGGCAACAAAAAATACTGTAGAATAGGGAGAAGCGCGGTTTCGCCTCCACGCCCAGTTCGAAGCAGCAGCGCTCCGCGATTCTAAAATGCCCCTCATCATTTTTTTTTTCGGCGCGCACCCCCGCGCGCAAATTCAAACACAATAGTTCCACTATATTGGATCGACAAGGTGCGGGGGAGACACCGATTACAACTGATTATCAATCAGCCAGATGCAATTAGCAATCACCAAAAATCGAGAAAAAAACCACTGTAGAAAATGGAGATAGCGGATGAAGGAAGATGCCGATCGACCATTGTATAACTAATCAATTTGTGTAAAACCGGGACTTCAATGAATGCCATTGTTTTGGCATAATTAACCAATTAGCGAATCAGCTGTGAATATCACATCAACGCGATTGTTTCGGATTTCCAGATCTACTAGAACAGAAACTAAGCGGATACAAGATTTCCATGATAAACCAAGAATTGTATGAACTCATAAAAATTACTTCTTATCGCATTCGTCTCCGCCACATTCTAATTATCTAATTGGAGGTCAATCGACCATAAAATCTCGATCCGGCTCACTTTCGCATTCATCGGGAGCGAACGAGAAGAAACAAAAAAACGAAGCCGCGAGGCGTTTTGATGCGCATTAATGCGTTGAACTATTTGCAAACAACCAGTTCGAATATATTCGCCAATGACGACGACGACGACAATCACAACAAATTCCACGCCATTATTCTCGTTCGTCTATCAAATACGCATTATTGAGGTGCGGGGGCCCCCACGGGCCGGTCATCCCCATAAACGGCCGGGTCGCTCGTTCGTCTCTCGTACGCGCCGCTCGCCTTCACATACCATACAAGGTTATCTCGCCAACATTATCCGCATGATGAATTCATTATACGACAACGACTACCGCGTTCGGGAGTTGCAAAGCCAGTCAGCCACCCCCTCGAAGCAACCAAAGTACAACTAAACAAATTTCGCTCCAACAATTCCATGCGCGGCGCAAACATACACACAACGCGGGTCGGCAGCCAGCAGCAGCAGCAGGAATACCTAACACACAAAAAATTTTGTATCTATTGTAGAAAATGGTGGGGAAAGGGGATGGTAAGAGAAGGAGGAGGAGGCAAAAGCAAAAACGAGGAAAGTGCAAATCACAAGAATCAATAAGCAAAACCACCAACCTCATCTCTTCGCATCGATCGGGACCTTTCCCGTTCGCCTCGAGTCTTCTTGACACGCTGGACTTTGCGCTCAAAGTGCTCGCGAGTTTCATACGACGAGCTCTCTGAGAAGCCACCCGTCGCAGCCTGATGCTGAATGAAAGCATTCGACAAGTGCTTGTTGTCGGCGTGGTGCATCAGTTGGCCGTTGCTGCCGCCATTGAACTGATGGTGGTGAACACTGGACATGGAGCCGTTACCAGCAACGCCACCACCGATGGCGCCGCCATTTCGGTATTCCTCATAATACTGGCTCGAGCCACCACCGACAGCGCCGATTGCGGCTGACGACTGCGAGGCACCGCGTGAGCTCTCTTGCTTACGCTCGGCCTTTTTCGAATATGAGCGGACCACTTTGAACATGATGAGTGTTGTTGCGAAGCCGAATAGTAATAGTGCTGTTGTTCCTAGACACGCTGTCGCATGCCAAACGTACGAATCGCAAAAATCGCACGCGTGGGAATAAGTTGGATGGTTGACTTGCCTGGGCGTGGCCCCAACCTCCTCCTCCTCCGCCGTCGCCGCCGCCGCCGTCGTGTAGGTGGGGTCGCCACCATCACAAGTCAGTCTACGCTCATTGCGCACTATTTCATCGATGCAACCGATTCCGAGAACAAAACACGCGATTCTCGAGCAAATTTCGAATATCATACAGAACACGATGAGCACCAAATTGCTCACACCATCTGGGAGCATCTCCATAGGCCACCATGACGAAACGAGCGTCATGCAAGCCTCCATATCTCATAAGGGAATAGCAGAAAATCGATACTGTTTGCCGAAATATGTGCAATATTGTGTGTTTATGAATTTTACGGCGAAGGAATCGATTAAAACTGCAATGTGAACCAAAACGAAAAAAACACCACACACGCACAAGCGAAACCACCATAAAAATGTCGAGGCGAGCTTCTTCCTATACTTCCTGATTTCGACACCATAAATGAAGATATTCGTTCCAAAAAAACGGTTCCCGATTTTCTAATAATTACTATTTTAAAGGTCATATCAGTGGTCAATTAAAAGTTGACGTCGTCGTCGTCGCCGAATGACTCAATGTTCGAAGATGAGATCGAAAAACATGGGTGGGGCGCGAGATTCCAAGGTGCCAACAACTTCGATACTATCAAATTGGAGAGACATTTTGATTGATTTGCGCTTGAATTGAATTGTTTCCAACTAATTTATTGGATAATGTTGATTTTAACCTAATTTTGATCATCAATTCAGAGATTAGCGAAACTTCGAATCAAATACTATGTATCGAAGATGGTGAGAAAATAAGATATCAAAAATTATAATTCCGAACCATGAAAAATTTATTTACTTACTAAGTAAGCAAGTAAGTAGTAAAAAACGCATTCTTGAATTCTTTTGGAATTTCCTAATTTCGATCAACGATTATCCATTGAAAATTCAAAAATTAAATTTTTTATTTTGAACAGAAAATGGGAGTTTTTATAGGGCAACGCAGAAAAATAAAATGAAAAACTGATTTTTATCGAAATCTTAATTTTTATCGAAATTTTAAAATACTAATTATAAAAAAACCCATCTGATTTCATAATTATTAAAATGAGTCACAATAGAATTCCATTCATTGTTCCTCTACATACACATGAGATTATTTCCATTTAATAACCATCTTACAGTTAAAAAATGTTAGTCAAAAAAATTCCAAATATCACTTCTGCTTCTCCCAATAAAATTCAATGCCCAAACAACCAAAACCCGCGAGATTACACAAAATAATCATTGACATCCAAATACGGGCAGATTGGTTTAAAAAAAATGCCCCCGCATGGCCCGCGCGATTTCCTCCGTCCCCCAATTTTTTTCCTGATCAAAAACCATACCGGAATCATCGAATGTGATCAACGTTTCTTTTCTCACTCCTTCGCCCTAGCCTGCTTCAAAAAAAACCACACCCAAAATGATTGGAAAACGAAATTAGTGAGAAAATTTCGAATGATTGAATCGAATGCTAGTAGCTGTAAAGTTTTCTCAAAACATTTTTTCGCCCCATTTAAACAAAAAATTCCACTAAAAAAATTCTTCGGCATTTTTAATGCCAAACTAATTTCCGGCCACGATTTCTGTCTCTCGATCGTTCTTCTCAAACAATAACAAATCGATCATCATCATCATCGTTTTTGAATGGATTGATGCAAAAATGGGTGTGACCGCAAGGAATTCTCAAAAAGAAATCGAGACGAACAATGAGTGATGCCGAATTCGGCCGCTGGCGATGCAAAAAATAGTAATTGACGAAGAAAAAAAAACAGGCGAGAGAATGCGGAGGGAACTCGAAACTGAATTCGATGAGGGATTTATAGCACCATTTCACTATAATTAGGGATTTACTAAAAAGGGCGAAATCACATAGTTCTTATTTCAATTATATTCGACTTTCTTGAAATTTTAGGAATCTGACCATGGAATTATTTATACGGATGATTCGTATATTCAGCCGAAGATTCTCTCAAAAAAACCCATGATATTTTTGGCGTTCAATTTTTCAAAATTTCCGAAAAAAAGTTTTGTTGAAGATTTGGAAGATGACATTTCGGTTTCAATTAAATTGATAAGTGTTGAAGAATTACAAGGTCACGTATTGGCTGCTGCTAAATGCCTTCTCAATACAAAACTGTTCGTAATTGATATTATATCTAATTTTTGGTTTTTGTATCCCAAAAAAGGAAGATTTTGATAAAACCTTGAATCAGTCCCACGATTTGCCTCTAATTACATCATTTGCGCGAATTGTTATCGGCTGAAAAAAAAACCAAAAAAGCCACTGCATTACCAATTTCGAAACGAAAAACGTGTAGTGGTGGTGCGAAAAGCTGGCGATTCTTGAATTGGGGGATTCGATTCGTTTTTTTTTTCGGTTAAATTCGATATTATAAACGAATTGAGAAATGTTAATAAAAGCACCTGTGAGGTGTGCGAGTCACTCGTTCGAGCATGAGCTCGTTCGTGTTGAGCTTCAAGCAGCAATCGCTGCCGGATCACCGAGACCTGGAAATTGAGGATAATCGTCCAAATGAGGCCTAGTGTCAGTTTTCCGTTTCCTTCAACGATATCTTCCGGCCGAATGTTAACCAGTTTGATCTGTAAATTCGTGTTTCAGTTTTGTAATTTTTTTTGTAACCAAGTTTTATTCATTTTTTTAATAACTTAATAATTTAATTTGTGACCTCGTCATGAAAATAATTTTTTCAATTGTAAAAAAATTACAATTAATGTGTTGTTTTTCACAACCCTGCATTGAAAAAACGTGTATTTTTTACATTTTTAATTGTAGGAATAAAGGCATTAAAAAGTGAATACAATGTTGTCAAATTTAAATACTGCGGTGTACATGTCTTTATTTGGGCATTAAGAAGAAAAAAAACCTTCAAGATTCTAGGGACTGTATTTTTTATTAGATTTTTTTTAATTTTAAATGACTCATTTATGAATTTCATGATTTTTGTTGATGTCAAACGACTGTGGAATGGCTGCCAAAACAAAAACAATGTTAGGGGTTTGAGAAAAAAAATAATAGTGTAGATTTACGGGCCTAAGTATAAGGATAAGTTAAAGGCGCACATCACGCACCGATATCTTTACTTAATTTTTTACATTTGTCCAATCTTCCGCAGTCGTGCTAGGCCGAAAATAGCATTTCTTATTTCTGCATGGAAATTGCAACTTTTACATTTTTTAATGGTGTAAACAGCTCGATAAGCAGTTATAAGAAAAAAAGGAACTAGTGAGAAGAGAAGAAAAATTGTACTGTCAGATTCATTACATATTATTTTCCAATTTTGCGCTCTCAAAGCCGTAAATAAAAATTATTAATATTTTTGAAAAAATCAAATTTCGTCTAATGAGCTTTTAAAGTTTTCTCAAAAAAAAAACTTACATTTTTCTTCTTCAAAAAATCTAAACAATACTGCACATTTTGTATCCTATGAAATCGCGTATAGCCATTCTCTTTTTGCTGAAACCAAAGAACATATCAAAATTAAAAAATAAAAATCTTACAATTCTTTCGCCAGTTAAAGCTTCCAGAAGTGCAATTAGTGCATATCCATCTCGTAAATCGACAAATAAATCGTCGACTTTAAGACCCGCCTGAAAGGAAAAAAAAGAAAATCCAAATCCCCCATACTCAATATTGTTCCAAAAAACCAAAAACATAGAAGTTGGTAGTTGTCGAAAAACTCGTAGATATTTCACAAGATAACACGGATCATAATGAATTAGCCGCGGCGAGTTTCGATATTCTCAGGGTTTTTGACACCATTCATTTGAATTTACCGACAAAAAAACGGAACAAGTACGTGACATTCCTAATTTCAAAACGCAACAATTCGGAATTTGTAATCCAACTTTTGTCTAGAAAACTAAAATTTCAAATCGAGAAGATTGTCATATTGAGATGAAAAATGTTTCCGTTGTTAAATAGTTACAGAAATAAAATTTCTGGCGCGAAAACCGAGGATTTTCAAACATCTCGAAAATCTCGGTCGGGAAAGTCGTGCAGATTTTACGCAGACTTTTGCGAGGAAATTCGAAACAATAAAATTTTGAAAATAAAACAAAAACCTCCAGTCATTCAGTTTTTCCCTCAAATTATTTTTTTGCTATGTTTCAAAGCATTAAAATACATTTAATATTCTAATATTTAAAAAGAAAAATTTTTTTTAACCAGAACAGTAGTTTTATTTATCAGAAATTCAATTTTTTCACACTAATGAGCAAAACATCTCATTATCAGTTCCCAGTATTTTCATATTCAACATACCTTTGACAAGTGTTTATTCACCCATTTTGTGAACGTCTTCTTCTGGATGTTGTCCCGTTCATCTGAAATATTCAATCTTATATTCCGGTACCGAGTTAGTTAAAGTCTCAAATTTCCTTCATTTGTAAGCTCCCATGAGCAAACAATTTTGCACAATTCAACACCACAAGTTTTTTTTTGTCCGTAACACACACAAACATACGTACGTACATTCATATGGTCATTCATTGCCTGCCGGCCCCGCATAATTCATTCAAGGGCGATTAGTGGACACTCAATACAGGAGACAGACTGTTTGGTTTTGAAATACAACGAATGTTGACATGATATGTTTATCGCCGACAATCGATCACCACCTAATCCGAACACCAGCCACTCAAAACGCGCATAACTAATTTGTCAAACGAAATTCGTTTCGATCGTTTTGTTCAAGTGAAACAAAACTATGACCGAACAACTGGGGCATGATGGTGTCCATTTTGCCTTTTTCAACTAGTACAAGAAGATTATACCATACTTATGTGGCCAGGAAAGAACGCCAATTTTTTCCACAACAATTTTTCGTATTTCGTATTTTTTATGGGATTTCGAAAAAAAGGCAAAGTCAAATAATCGCAAAATTCATTATGCTCTCGCTCAACAGCTGCAATCCCGCCGGAAAAAAAAACAACTCGCCGTGCACTCGTTTAGTTAGTGGTTGCAATGTCCATCGGCTCACTTTCATCAAATAGAACGCACGCGCCCCGCTTCGACGTTTCCCGTCTCTATTCCATTTAGTGTTTCTCATTTACAATCAACACATATGACAAATAATAGGTGTATTGCGCACAAGCAGCAACCAACCATCCCTATGACAAAAACCCGCCAATGAATACGATATATTAGGCTTTTATAAATTTTTCAAAAGTTGGTTTAAATTGGGTTCTCGATTATATGTATTCGAATTGACATTGAGCGTAACAAACCATGTCAACGCCCATTAATTCGGCCCGATTTTGTGCCAAACGGCGTTTTAACTCGATTCTCGACGCCGCTTTTGCGCGCTTCATTTGACCACACCGCAATAACACGAAATTGCGTATTCGACATGAGCAGATGGTTGAAAAATTAGTGGGAAATTGCATTTGGATTCAAAAATTTCAAAAAAAAAATACCCAGGAAGATTCAATTCATCAAGAAAGAGAACGAAAGAAATCAGTAACATCCTCACAAAAAGATTTCGACAAAAAAGTTGTGATTAAACAATTGAGATTGAGATTTTGCAAGAAATCCCTGCACGCTAATTCAACTTTCATTCATTAATTCAGCCCGGCTACCCCTTTTAATTGGCTGCTTTTGACCCGCGAATACAATTAATCGCGCGCCAACAGCAAAAAAATGCGCGACGCATCTTGCGGATGTTCAGCATGACGGATCACGCGCAATTTATATTCAAATTTTCTGCAACACTTATTTTTTTTTCAAGAAAATTGTGCCAGACTGCAAAAGGGATGGCAGAGACGCAGGGTTGGACGGAAAAAAGGAAAACAGCTGGGACAAATGTGTGTCAAAACGAACGGAACCTCCGTTTATACAACATGGATAGTTGAGGTCACTTGCCGCTTTTTTTACTACTTTCACGGACACGAACAGTCGCAAACAAGCGTTGAACTTACCATTATGCTTCTCGCGATTCGTTTCATAATGATCGAGAACTTCTTTCTCGAACGAGTCGATGGCGTCGCCATACGCTGACGAGGATGGCGTGCTTTGTCGATACCTTTCCACCATTTCCGCCAATTCACATTCGACAACTCTCTCGTTTCTTTTTTACACCAAATCACTAAACGATACGTGTGGACTGAAGGGAAAAAAACAAGAGAAAAGACAACGGATTTCAATTAAAAAGTCGAGAGCAAGAGGGATGAGTCAGCTAGTTGCGAAACGCTTTCAAAAATTCGGAACAACGTTGTGTTGAGAGGCAACAAAAAATACAATTTTTGAACGCGCGCCACGACCAAGTGTTGAAATGGTGTAAGTGAGAGATTCGAAGGGGAGGCGCTTAGGTGATGGTGAGCGCCGCGCGCAAAAGGATCGTCAAAAATAGCGCTAGCCGGTGATGAGAAGGCAGAGAAGCACAGTCCGGCCCGACACTGCATCGGGGGCTTCACGGAACGGACCCGCTAGCAGACCATACCACGTTACGGGACATTATGCGCGATGCGCTCGGTTTAGTTTTTCCGAAATTAGCCATTAAAATGTGCGGATTGTGTTGTTTTATGAACGTTTTCACAATAAAAATTTAGAAGCCTGCATAAATAAACAATAAACCGCTTTTAGACAAAAAAAAATAGGCGAGAAATGAAAATATTTTCCTAAATTAGGGTAGGGGCTTGTTTACTTACCTATCGAATTGTTTATTAACCAATAAAACGGAATTGTATCAAATTTCGATTCCACCTATTTTAGATTCAAAGTGTTTGTTGATATATAATTGACAAAAATGGTCGGAAATCGAAATTTTTGCTTTAAAAGATTATGGAAATTTGATATAATCGTCAATCGGCGCATAAAAAGATAAAAATCACATATTCTAGCGCATTTTGTTGTGGGAAAATCGAAAACGCCGTCTGCAAAACCATTAAAAACAAAAGTTTTTCGGAAAGAAATAGAAATGAAAATTAGGAATAAAAAAAATTGGGTCGAAATAATTTGCGTGTGCTTCTGCGAAATGAGGAAGCGGTGAATGCACACATCAACGACTACAGTAGTCAAATAGAGAATTAAATCAATTTTATCGCACTCGCGCGTGGCATTATCATCAAACATAGGCGCAGCAGCTCAATATGGTCAATACAGTGGCGAGAACGCGCAAGGCGATAAACTGTTTCGTGATGGGTGAATGAATGGTTCTGCGGTGGTGTGTACTCGCGCATAGCTGCCACCACACTAATCCTATTACACGTGGTGTGGGTCGCGCGCATTCCGCGCCACGAAAGGTGGTAATTATGGATGAATGGTGTGGAGAAGAACAACTTGCGGCAATTATTCGAACAGACTGTATAAATTAAAGCGAGACATTTGCAAGCGCGTGCGCGCGCCCTCGAGAGCACATCAATCATCATGGAAGAAGAAGAAGACGAGGCTTGCTTCATTGTTTGACAAGACAAAAACTCTGCGAATGGCAGCATCCTCCAATAAGCGCGTCCTTCTCCCGAATTCATACAGTATCTCATCATGTTGCGGGAAACACGAGATTCTGCCGTGGGTCGTCGAGGTGTTGATTGTGTGCAAAACGGATTATTTCAACGCACCTATTCACTATGCGCATTTTTTTCCTGCCTTCTGCTTCTTCTCAAAAAGAGTTGCGTAAATGTGTGTTTATAGGAAAAAAGAGCTCGCAAAAAAAAGTGAGTAATCAAAAAGTGCAAAACAAGCAAAAAAAATTGTATTTGCCAAATAAGGGGGTGGCTTTTGTACTCTTAATAAATACCAAGGGATCGAATGACCCCATTGAAACAGAAAGTTCCCACGATGAAAAAAAAAAACGGATCGTTGTGAAATTCGAATCCATGTTTCTCTGAGTGTTCATTAAAAAAAACATTTTCAATCAAATTATCTTGTTTTTTTTTATATCCTAGTTTTCATGAATTCGGTAATATTCAAATAATAGGCAGCGCATCATTTTATCACTATCGCAAAAAAACGAGTACCTTGAATTATGTATTGTGGATTTTCGAATTTTTTCAAGTCAGTATAGTTCGGTTCTCAAAAAGAATCTTTAACCAGGACTTTTCGCTGCAAGACCACTCAGGTAAATCGAATAAAATATTTTGAGATTAATTGAGAAACTAATGTGTCTCTATAATATTTTAGATTTTTCTCAATCCACTTTAGAACTTATTGTAAGATTTTAGAATTTATTGAGATAATTTAGAATTTTCTCAATAAATTTTAGACAATTTTATAACATTAAAAAAAATATTTTTTAAGTTTAGAGATTCTCAATAAGTTTTAGAAAGTATCAATAAACTTTAGATTTTCTCAAAATATTTTAGAGTTTATTATTGAATATTTGATTCTCAAAATATTTTATTTGATTTGCCTGAGCATGTAGATCAGACGCATTGCGGTTCACGTTAATCACGCGAACCGCAACGCATCTGGCGCCATAGAATTGTTATGGTAGTCGCTATATTTTGCGAAACAGATTATAATTTCTTCAATTGCTATTAAAATTTTAAGAATTCAAAACCTGAATTTGATGGCCGTGAATGTCTGGCTGTGAAAAACTAGTCCACCAATTTGAAAATGAGAATTTGTGAATATTGCGAGTGTTCCAAATTGACTGATTTCGGTTAATTTTCTGCATGGATACCCAAATTCGAACTAATTTTTTAAACCATTTCCACAACGAAAATTTACTCAATAATTCGACTATTATTATGATTGTTAACACAAAAACGAGGCATTTTTAAACGCCGCAAGATTATAGTGTTTGTTCTTGTCATGCGCAAGCTAATAAAACACGGCTTCTGCCTATTTTTAAGCGCTCTTCCTCAAGAATTTGACAAAATAGGGATAGAGATCTTCTCTGGCATTGCAAATTGAACAGAACTGGAAAATAGATACAGAAGAGATCTCAAAAATTATTATTTTTGTGTAATTTAGAATTTAAAACTTTTATGACTGTTTGATGGGCCTATTCATGAAGAATAATTTTTCTTTAATTTAAAATATTGTAAAAGTGAGGATTTGTTTTTTTTTTTACATTTTTATTGCATGTCTTCGTCAAAAGAGAAAGAGAAATTGAAAACCAATTGTTTTAATAATCCGCATGAAACGGGGAAGTTTAAAATCTGGAATTTCACATATTCGCGTATGTCCGACATTATCAGGCGTATGTTCCCCGACTTCAGAGGCCGGGATCCAAGTTGGGTACCAATTCTCACCCTCGTATATTTATATTAAATCATTTCAATCTAACTGCATCTGTTATTCCTCTGAATTCTCCGATCCACCTCGGGCAAAAAAAACCGCCCTTCCCTTTTTTGGAGATCGCCGATGGACAGGAGCGTGACACGTAAAACTCAGTCTCTAATGAAACACTCTCTCTCCCAGTCCAAAATAAATAATCAAATAAACAAAAATAAAAATAATTATAATAAACAAAATGAAAGGAATCCAAACAAACCGATAATACTGTGTAACGAATATTGCGACAATCTCTGCTGCGGCGAGATTGGCGACGAATTGTTCGAATATCTTTGCAAGTAATCGGCGGCTAGCGAATACCTCGAATACGCCGTTGAGCTGCTCGTCTCATTGTGCATTTTCGTCTATACACACACGCATTTATAGAACAAATCGAACAACGAAATGAGCTCAACCTTTTGCTGCTCGTGCTCGTGCTCGCTCTTCGGATTCTCATCAAAAAGCGGTCGTTCGGTGTGCGCGAGTTCGACGGTTGTTCGTCGAGCTCCACTGCTCAAGCGGCGTGTCACGTACTGGAATTGATATCTCGATGCGACGCGAGTCGGTGTGATTTGTCTACAACTTCTAATTCCATCAAAGGCAACAAGAAGGCAACACGAATGAAGACAAGAAGCGAGAATTGATTAGATCGGTTAGTACCTTTCAGGGAGTTCTCGAAATTGAGCAACCGTACTCAAATGGCCATTCGAATGCTCGCTTGCATACGAGACTGTCCTTCTCGTCGCCGACCTTTGGAACGTTCGAGTACTCTCGATCAGATCCCATGTGTTCGACCGAACTTCGGGCTCATCGTCGACATAAACCGGAACCGTGAAACTCATTCCTTAAATCGTTAGTAAAATGAGGTCATCGAGATATTAGAAGAAGCACAAAACATTAGAATCAAGAATATGTTAGAGCAATTAAAAAAAGGGAAATATGTGTTTCAATTGTCATTTATAATTGAAGAATTTTTGCTTATATGATGGGCTTTATCAATATGATCCAATTTGATAATTCATATTTATTTCTAGTCGAGTAGGGGATTAGATTTACCAAAATGCGTCTTTCGTTATGGTCTTGTGGCGAAAGGAAAAAAAAACAAAAAATGGAATAAAAGGGGATAAAAAATGGTTCAGACTATAGAATTATAGTCGGTGTCCGACGTCTGCTGTACTCGGGCAAATTTATGAGCAATGGCCTCGCACGGACTAAATTTCATTCACAATTTAACGATATTTTGTCCTTTCCCACTTGCAATTTTGATATTTTTTTCCTTCTCGAATTTAACATTTTCTTGAAGATCGTAGAAATTCAAAATCAGCGAAACTATCGAAATAATTCCAGTGAATCCGTAAAAGACCATCGGAAATGTGGGAATTCGCGTAAATCTAGCCACATAAGCGTTTTTATATACTGGGATATTCTACGCAAAAAAATAATTTTTTTTCAATTTACGCATTGGCTGAGTATTAAAATAAATTTTACTAAATTTTTGTGAAAAATGCGATTTTTAAGACCCTTTACTTTCAAAATAGAATAAAAAATAATTGTTAAAAATAGGAAATTAAAAGATGGAAATAAATTGAATTTTTAAATTATGAATTGTCTGCAAATCGATTTTTTCCAAATGTGAATTTTTGTGAAATTTCATTTAAATTCCAAGTTTCAAACGAAAATGAAGAAGAATTTGAAACAATCGAGTTGGAAATTTTTAATCCATGATAATTTTCAAATGCGATAACAATCACCAATAGCTCGATTGATTTCATTGCGGGTAAATGAGTTAATTAAAGGTGTGTCATGGTCTTATCAATTAATTTTACAATTTCCGCCATGAAAAAGTGAGAGCGAAGAAAGCAATTTGCAAATAAAATCGAACGCTTAAAAATCAATTGGACTAAAAAATTGGGATATTCTAAGCATTTTTGTATGCAAAATCACGGGGGAATTGGAAAAAATTTGAAGGTCCATATCTCGATAACTAGAAGTTTGCGAAAGTAGGGACCTAATTCATTCAATTCGAAATTTTCTAAAGAATCTGTATGAAAAAAATTTAAAAACGGCCTGCAAAAAGACCTCCCATGCCAGCATTTTTAATAGCAATCAACAAATGTTTTCTCATTTATACGTTTTTAATGTTGCGGACATTTTACGGGGGGAATAAAATAATGAAAATGAGAGATTTGCAATTTCCACTTAATCGAGACAGAAAATGGCAAATTTTCTCGGTGCCAGATTGTCAGCACCTGGGGTTCGTCTCGTTTTTGCCCCTCCAAACAACATTTTTCAAATTTCGCTCATTGTTTCACTCGTTTTTTGATAACGCATATATGCGTATAAACATTGCAACATTCAACACAAATGCAAACATTATTTGGAGACAGCAAAAAGTTATCAGCGCGAAAAAGATTTTGATGGCCGGGCGGTGCTTTTTGAAAATGAGCGAGTCTTCGAAATGGGTCGGTCCGGTGTGTAAGTTAGTGATTAGAAAGGGAAGAGCTGTGTGTTGGTCAGCGGATCGACAAATATGGACGTGTTGGACATCTATTGCGCAACGTTCACTTGGTTTTTTTCTCAAAAAAATTTCATTTCTGATATTCTATGAAAATTGAACATTAATTTTTTAAAGAAAAAATTTAATATTTAAATCGTATATGATTTAGAGACTACGAAAATTAATTAAGGAAAAGTCAAAATTCTTTGGGTGATTATACAGATTACTCGATTTAGGTACATTATTTTCGAAGGTGAAGTCACATAGTAGGGAAATTTGGAAAAATGAAACGACGAATTCAATTTTTTAAAATCAAAATTCGTTTAAAAATTCGAATTTCCATGAAAATCGCAAATTAGAAAATTATTTCTCTGGGTGTCGGATTGAAAAGAAAGTGGTTGAATCGCATAGGTAGATCATGTCATCGATCTACTCAGTGTTTGTTAATTTTGGCCAATGCAAATACGTTAAATTTGTCAAAATTGATTCTAAAAATGACGATTGGGACCACTTTTGAAATTCCGCTGAAGCGACACATAAAGGAAACATATAAGCCGCTGAAGAAAATAATTGAAAATATTAAAGAATTCGATCTGCGGACAATTCTGAGAAAAATTTGAAATGTCATTAAATCACATGCTCGTTAGTATTTTATGGCAGTATTCTAGGAAAGTTTAAAAAACACGAAAAAATAAAAAAAAATAATAATAAAAAGAAAAATGGAATATAAGAAACAAAAAACAGCAAAAGCATAATACCGTGGCGGTACAATTGTTTCTCGCCAAATGGACCTGTGTTTGGTGGTCTGACAAGCTTCTACAAAGATGTCCGCGTCTCTCCGAATCGCACGCTCTCTCGTCCACTCTCTCTCTCTCGTTGGGCGTGTTTACTCACTCGTTGCACTGATAGTAACTCCGAAGGGGGGGGGGGGGTTGAATGAGAGGAGCCGACAGTTGGACGGCCAGCCGGATCCGGTCCGGTCGCATCGGCACCCCAACGTATATCAGAACTACTCACGCTCATATGGATCTTGGATGCATTTTCGAATCGTCTCCACATTTCTCAGAATCGATGGCTGATGGCTCGTCCAGGTTTCGAGTTGCTCGCGTGTCCTAAAAATTCTATATTCAAATATTTCTTAAAAGAAAATATTTTTCAATTATATGAATTCTAATTATCGATTTCCTATCACATATATTTCAGTCGTTTAAAAACCGACAATATTCAATTTAAACAATTAAAATATATACTATATGTATATAGAAAAGTGAAATAAGCTGGTTTTGGCATTAATTTCTAACATCTATCTATGCTTTAAATTCATTCTTTTCATTTAGTTTTTGCCAAAAAAGTCGAAACTCGAAGAAAATCTTTAAACCATAGTTTATTTCCAAAAAAAGCATGTGTGTAGTTCTTCCTATGTCGCCAGACGCGACGCGGTTCGCGTGCGTTTCCACGTAATTCATGTAATTTTTTATATAAACATAAACCACAGAACTCCAAAGTTTTGTAGAGAAAAATTGTGGCAGCCGTTTTTTTTGTTGGAAAATGTCTGTCTACACAATGACGCAATTATGCACACATTTTATTCAACACCTATCAATTTCCTTTTCAAACATTTTCTGATAAAAAACGAAGGAAGTGTGATTGTATGCAATTCAGAATAATTTTTTTAATTTGAAAAAAATTCAAAATTGAGAAATTTTCAAAAATTCAAAAGAAATAATTTCAATCCTAATTTTAAATTTCCTATACTTTTTTATTGATAATAAACCACTATTTTTCAATTTTTCGCAATTTGCCAATTTGTTTCTGCGGACAATTTTACCTCGTTTCCTCGAAATCGTAGAGCAACGTTTCGGAATGAAATCGATATTCGATTCGTCGCTCAGTGGCTCCAACTCTATAATTATGGATAATTATCCAATTAATGCTATTTGATAATTACTTGTACGTGTATGTCACTTTTCCAGGCGGTTGACTTCCACTCCGATTCGTGCTCATCTCGCGACCCGTCGAAGAATCGCGGACCACACTCGAACCGGACACGTCGTTGAGTTTCGAACCGATCGATCCATGTCTGAAATCCGTAATTGCTATAAAATTTGTCAAGAAGGCTAATTTTTTCTGTTGATTATTTCAAGCTTTTCGAAGGTATTCAAGTAATATTGAGCGCGAAATTCAAATTTATCAAATTCGTTGAAAAAAATCTCTGACGTCAAGGCGCAAAATTCGAATATTCGACAATTCATCGGATTTTTGAGAAGCCATAAAATCGCACTCACATCACATGCTGCGTTTCGATTTTCGACGGCGGCCTCGGCAATCGGATGATCGGCACACTGTCGGATGCTCGAATCGTATGGTGTTTGACGTACGGTAGCGTCAAATTCGCCGTCGAGCTTGTCACTTTGCCGCGTTGCGAGACCACACCGCTCGCCTGGCCTTCCGATCGCGTCGAGACCCGCGTCTTCACATTCCGCACCATCACATTGCTATTGCTCTTGGTGCGCATTTCAACATCTTGTGAAACGCTTCGACTTGGCGTATAAGCTTCTTCATCATATTCGACTAGTCTGAAAATCGAAATTTCTCTCCCCCAATAGAAATTCCTAATAGTTTCCCTCTAATTACCTCTTTTTCAGCTTTAGTTTTGCCGGGGCGCAACATTTCGCACCCATTTTTATCGTTGAACTTTTTGTTTAAACCGTTGAAATAAAAAGATGAATAGTAATAATAATAATAATATATTGAAAATGTTGTCGTAAATTTCGTCTAGTACTCCATTCGCTCTAAAACACAAAGGAAACGGTAATTGTCGGCGACACGAACGAAATGAAAGAGTTGGTTGAGGGTGACACGGACCGAGTGTTGGATCTTATACAAACATCCGATAGAGTTTTATTTACATGATATCTGACGCAATTATCTGTTTTATGTGGGCGCATCATTCAGCGGCAAAAATAGTTCGCAGTCAGCAGGATTCGAACCTACGCGGCAGAGCCCAATTGATTTCGAGTCAATCTCCTTAACCACTCGGACATGACTGCATGCCGCTGGTTGGAGACAAATGTGTTGGAGAGGCGGAGGAGGGGGGAGTCGGAATGACGGCGAGCGGTCACTATAAAAGGCAGCTGGGGGTCTCAAAACAGATTTTTTTTTTGAAATTTCACATAAAAATCAATGATAATCTAAGCAGAAGTAGAAATGAAAACCAGGATCAGCTTTACAATAAAGTGGACTCGAAACACGGAAAAAATACTATGGAGTCCCCACGGTGTGTAGCATCGGGCCGAAAAAAAAAATAACCGAACGCCGTTTACACAAACTCTTCATATTAAACGCTATTTTCTAAAGCAAGTCGCAGCTCAATCTCTCGAATGTGTTGAAAAACTATTCGACAGCAGGAGGAGAAGGATGAGCATCGACGAGGACATTGTTATTTTAAAATGAGCGCCACAATTTGCGAGTTGCGGTGATATTCGGACGATTTGATGTTTTTATGGTTGCTCATCTCCACATGTCCATGTCAATCTCGATTTTCATCGCAAATGTCAATTGAAATCGTTCGATTGTTTCATGCGCCTATTTCTGAAGTGACTAAAGCTTCAATTCAACTGGCTGGCGGTTGACCGCTCGTGGCCGCGGAATAGTTCGGCCAATTGCACGTGCACAATTTGTAAATTTTTTGATGAGATGAAATCCCCCAAATAATGGGGTTCCATTTGAAATTTTTACTAACAACCAAGACAGTAAAGGATCTGTTTTCATCATTGGCATTGATTATTTTGATTTCGAAATAGGTTTTAAAACAGACGAGAAATTGACTAACAGAAACGATCGCAACGAGATACCGCCCGTAAAAACTGTGTGCTCCTTTAATTACCGTATCATGAAATATTTTCTATTTTATTACATTCGCAATGAAAGTGAAACACCCTGGCTGCTGATTTACAGTGAGTTAGCTTCGCAGGTTATTCAGAGTGTCCGAAATTTCACTTTTAATTTCGAATTTGAATTCCCGCCTCGAAAAAGCGCGAAGGTCCCCACTTTTTAATTAAAAAAAAACGGTTTTGTTGCAATTCATGGACAAAATTATAATAATTCGAAAAATGGGTCTTAAGACGATTTAATAATTTAATTGATTTAACGAAAGGCATACTTTTGTGGCTGTGTGAGAACAGTATAGAATGTCCTCTCAACTTGCTGCTTCACCCCGCTGACGTGCTCTCTGCCACGAGCCTGAGCAACTGAATAATGGCCGCTCATCATCGAATCTTCAGCGCGAATATTTCCATTCTAAAACCGAGTTCAAAAATAATTGTTCGCGTATTTTCAATTTAACCTGGTGTTTCCAAGAGACTTTAGAAGCTGTTCCAGAAGCCGACGTCGTCGATTTCTGATCCCCGCCGCCGGCATTCGAATCGGCCGCCGATTTCCAAAATTGGACATCAACGGTTTTGAATTGGAACGAACGCGATGACATGTTTCATCTGGTGCCCATCAACATTTTATGACCGATTCTCTGCAACTTATTTATGACACTTTTTTTTTATTTCGCGAATGGAAAAAAAAATTGGCGATTCATCCATCATAAAAAGAAAAGCTGAGGTTTACAGTAAATTTAAAAGAGGCACTGATTTTTGAGTGAACTTCATTTTCTATCCAACAATTTTTTCCCAACTATCAAAAATCGCGTTGAATTCGAATACGGTGAATTTGACAACGTGTTCAAATTTTGACGATTGCTTTTTTTTGGCCTAAACGAAATGAAATCTACTACGTCATTTGAGAATATCAATAAGGAGGCCAATACACATGAAATATATTACCATCTCAAAAAATGAGCGCCTTGCATTATTGTGGACCATCGAACTTTTTCGAGGCGGGAATTCAAAATTCAAACTCCCCGTAAATTTACCACAAGACGATCATTTTTTTGCGAAGGTAATTCGAAAATTATTCTCATTTAACTAATGATATCTCGTATTTTGCCATTTGCTTCTATTTTTACGTCTAGATTTCGAACGATTTAAAAAAAAAATTTGTGATCTACTGAACTTTTCGTTTAAATCTTTCCGGTTTGCAACTTCCGGCCCACAAATCTGGTTTGACTAGTTAGATAGGCAACTGTAATCCGTGGTTTTTAAAAATCAATAGGTATTAATATTGAAGATATCGCTACAGAACCCAAAAGTAGAAAAATATAAAATAATAAAATGGATTTTTTAATAGGTTCCACTGATAATTCATTCTGGAAAAAATGAATTATTCAGGTAAATGAAAATCAATCGGATTCGAAAAAAAAAGAAATATAAACTAACCTGTTTTGATTAAAAAGAATTCAAATTTGATTGAGAAAGTTCTTAAATTCGATTTGAAATCTTGGTTTCAAAAATCTTCGAAATCGATTGATTTATTTCTTATTCCAAATTCTGAAATCGTATTCGATTGAAATTTTGGAATAATTCGAAACAGATGAATTTATATTCGATTTCGATTTAAAAAGAAATTATTCTCGAATCCAATTAATTAGGGGAGGGGGGGGGGACTTTTTGGTCCGTCTAAACAAATAAAAGAAAAAACGGGACCAAGTCCTTAAGCGAAAAGCGAAGTTAGTCCAAATTTTGATGATAGACTGTCTCGAGATAATAAAAATTTCAATAAGAAAAAAAATGAAGAAGAATGTGACAATAAAAAAAACAAATGATTCACCTTATATAGGAGAAAATGTGAAGAAAATGAAAAGTTGAGCGAATCGAAAAATGCCAAATGTTTATCAAGTCAACAACCTTATTTGAGCAAACGACAGCTCATCGTGTGAATATTCGCCCATCATACAAACACCAAAAGGTAGAATCCGCGCGGGAGAGGAAGGGGGTTAGGGCCAGAGAAAAAAAACTCGAATTCGCATTTTATATATGAAAATGGATTCGACTAGACGGTTGAAGCATAAAGCATTAAGCCATTGCGGGAAATAGAGAGACGAGGGGCGGATCAACACCCGAATTACTGTGCAATTTCGAAGGCATCCGACGAGAGAGCGTTCAGAATTGAGAGACGGCGAACAGGTCAGAGAGCGAGACAAACTAGTTATTAAATATGGAAACATACACTATTCTCACAAATACATATAGTGACGAGGCGGTGGTCAGAATTGAGCGAAAGCCGCCGTCAGTCGCCGCCGACCCAAAATGATTCTTTTACTTTTGTCGTGTTTTGTCGCCACCCCCTTTAAAAATCCATCAGCAGGGTTACAGTAATTATGTGTTCGACGACGTCTAATTGCTGCTGTCTTTTTGGAACACAAAAAATTCGATTTTTGAAAGATAAACACGTCCGCAGATGGGGATCATCTTTTTGGGTGGTTTGAACAGAATTTTCCTACTGAATCGTTTTATGAGGGTATTAGAATGAAATTGGAAAACCGTGCATTTGAATAAATAGCACCTGCGGGCATTGTTGCGGTTTTTTGCCAAAGAAATGAGGCGGTCGTCGGTGGTCTCAAACACCAAGTCGGAATATTTCGGTGAGCAAAAAGTTCACATGCTGCGAGCTCGATGACAGCAGCTGTTCCTCGTAGCTGCGGCCATTCAAGCGCTATACTATTTCACACATTTATGATCGGTTTTGAGAAATTTTAATTGCAGTAAAATTATTTTGAAAAAAAAAACACACACACACATTGCTGGAAAAATGTAAAGTATTAATGATGAACCGATGAGGTTTAAATCTAGTAGAAGCTGTCGAGGAAATCGGCGTTCGGGTGCGCTCTCTTCTCGCACTTGCCGTTGTCGACACAATGATAGCCGTGTGGACAACACGTGTTGTCACAGCAAACCGCCTGCAAATTGATTATTCAATTTTTATTACAATTCGAATCTTTTAATTAGATCGCATTATAGATAAATATTTTCAGACAAAAAGTACGCTACAAAGAAGAATAAAGCGTTCAAAAGATCATTGTCAAACGTACATTGCTCAATGGGCAACACATATGTCGGATTTTTCCATCTGGAAGCGTGTTCTTGCAGCACGTCGTCTTCGCTGGACACGTCTTTCCAGCGCCACAAAGAATTGGTGCGAAGTCGTTCATTGTTTCATCACTGTCTTCCTCACTCTCATCCTTTTTTTGGAATTTGAGATTTTTGATTTGATTTTAATTTATATTTACCGAGACATCTTCAATGAACTCAATTGCTGGCTTACGGCGGATCGATGTCGACTTGAATTTGGTCAAGTGCGGAATTCTAGCGTACTAAAAATATTTCCAATACCCTACTTTCTAAATATGGCACACTCACATTTTGTGAGCAGAATTGTCCATGGCACGTGAATCCATTCGGACAGCAATGAAGCATATCTGGACAACAGACAGCATCGGGAACCGGACAGCATCCGAAGGATCCTTGTTCGAGAAGGCAGCATGTCGATCCATCTGGACACTTGCTTCCTTTGTCCGGACAAATAATCTCATTAAACTCATTTCTTTCAATTTTCCGCGTCGCCTTTCTTTTCATTTGCATCGGAATATCATTCTGAAAGTTTTTCGAATATTTTGCGCTCCAAATATCGTAATTCTACGTAATCCGCTCCAATACATCTCGCTTCCTCTGTGTCGCATTGAGATCCATGCGGACAACAATGAGTATGATCATCGCAGCATACTGCGTTTTTCATCGGGCAGCATCCCCATGATTCATCCTAAAATCGTTTATATTTTCGATTTTTATAGAGAAATTTATAATCGAACGTCAAGTTTGCAGCAAGTTTCATCATCATTGCATCGTGTCTCGGCATCACAATCGATTGCACACTGGAAAAATCAATAAAAATGTCTAGAAAACAGAAAAAAATGGCTATATATTGTGTTCCGAAAATTAATTGTATTTTTTCCATTTTAAATAAAGTTATTCATGGAATAAAAATCTAACAAAAAATTCCACATTTTTCCAATGCAAAAGTTGCTGCCGTGCGTCTTTTTTCGAGTTATCGGAATATTTTTTAGATTGTTTTTTTTATTATTCCGATAAATTCAAAACAAAAATACCGAATTAGTGAGAATCTTGAAGAACACGATGACCGTAAAATAAAAATTAAATTTCATAAGAAATATTACACAACTTTCTTTAAAATACGGAAAAGAAACTAGAAAATTTGAATCAATCAACTAGCAAAAGAATACCGTAACACAGGGTTGTCAAAAAAACAGGGCCCCCCAGCCCGGCCCCGGCCCTATAGGGCCCAGGGCCGGGCCGGGGGGCCCTACGGGCCCAGTTTGAATTGCCGCCGACGCTAATTACACTAAACAATAAGCAACGTAAACGTGGAGCGTCGTTTCTAGTCGTTTGTTCTCTCATTCTATTGATGCGTTGCAATTTTTTCTCATGCAATTAGCGATTAAATGTCAATGAAATAAAATAATTTTCATATGGATACTCCGTTGACGCCGAAATCAAGAAATTCTACAAACCATAGGCCATTTTATAAAGAAGTAGTGAAGAAACTGATAATGGAATCTAACGTCGTATTGGAAAAATTACTAATACTAGAATAAAATTTTTAATGAAATTAATTTAGGAAAAAAAACTAAAAATAACGCGGTATGGAAAGTAATGGTAATAGATGACATGAAAATTTTAAACAATAAATCTATCTGTTTGTATTCGAAAAATAAAATATTAATGCAATAATAACAACCTGAAAAATGTTCGCAGATGCTTAAAATAAAATTTCTCTTGTTAAGGTTAAAAAAAAAGGGCCCCCGGCCCGGCCTTATAGGGCCCAGGGCCGGGCCGGGGGTCCGTTTTGACAACCCTGCCGTAACATCAAAAAAAGGACGCACGACAACAAATTGACTTGGGTATTGCAGATTTCTTCATAATTTAGTTACAGTACCCATCGAAAATTTTTTGCATCGCCACATTGGAAAAATATGAATCTTTTTTTATTGTTGAAAAATGACAAATGTATCCAGGTGTCGCAGGATCCTGCGTTTTGTACGCAATGTGAAGAGACAGTTACCGTAATCCTCGTAGCGATTTACGGGGGACTTTTTTTAATTTGGCATATTCGTTTTTTTTATTTTTCCCTCAATTTTCGTATTTTCCTTCGAAATTTTGTTATTTAAATTTTGCAGAAAACGAGTTTAATAATTTATTTAGCAGAATAAGCACTTTTAAACGATATTTTTTTAAATAAAAACAGCAGAGATTAAAAATAAATCATTTTTGTCGTTAACAAAATTATTTAATCGTGTTTTGCTTTTTGTACGCGTTTCTATTATCTTGTTTTTGTATTCTTCATTTTCAAAATAATTTTTTCAACGGCAAAATCTTCACGATAATTCCCAACTCTACTTGTCAAGTGGAAAAGTGCATATTCTGAAAAATAAATAATTAAACTCGGTTTCTACAGGTTTCAAATATAAGATTTCTAAAGAAAATAAGAAAATAAAGCAAAAAAAACTGAAAAAAAATTGAAAGAAAATTTAAAAAAACTCCGTAAATCGCTGCGAGGATTACGGTAACTGTCTCTTAGCATTGCGTACAAAACGTAGGATCCCACGACACCTGGATACATTTATCATTTCTCAACAATCCAATTTTTTTAATGTCTACAATTTCGTTGTTTGCTATATTCGATCGATATGATGTGTACTAATGAGACAACATAGGCGTGATTTGGCATGATTTGGTTCCACAATCATCACAATTATGATTAAAATCACCTGGTCGATAAGAAATTCTCATAAATTGAGCCAAATTGAAATTAGAAATATTTTAGGTTTTATTTTAACAATTATTTCGGAAACGTTCTTTTTGGAGATACCGCAAAATAGAAAAACGGATAATTTTGTTGAACACATTTTTTGTTTTCATTTTGTGGTACCGAAATTTCTAATTCATTTTTCAGTTGTTGTTAAAAACAGACAATGTTTTTTTGCTATTTTCAGTTGTATACTTTTTGTTTTTATTAATGCACTCATTTCTATTTCATAAAAATTTGTTTTTGTTTATTAAATTTCCATGAAAAAACTCACAGCGGTCAGGGCGCAGAAGCCGACGGCAGCGACTAACAAGAAAATGTTGCGCATTTCTTGCAATACAAAATTCGAAACTTAAAGAGAAACAAAACTAAAATCGAACGATTTGATGGACACAGTGGAAAACTGGTCAAATTGCCGGCTGATAAGCTATTATTGTGCATTCGATAGCGATTATCACTATCAACTCAAAAGTCGCTCCGAAAATTTAATGAAATTGTTAAGAAATTTGAGGACTCAACAGGGAACCTGACGAATTATGACTTTAAATTATAAATATTACTAATCACGACATTTTTATGGAGTCATTATTTTAAAAAATTTATGTAAAAATATTATCAGTACTGTTAAGTAGAAGAGATCTTCTTGATATGGCCCTTTATTTTAAATGTCTTGCACAATGTTAAAATGTATATCCGACGTTTCGATCTTTAGATCATCATCAGGGAAGGTCAATTTACCTACAAGATAATAAGTACTAGATTAGTCAAAAAGGAATAAAAGAGTTAAGTTGTAAGTAATATATTATCAGTGTCAAACTACTGAGCGAAATTTAAATTATCCAATTCTCTCCGAAATTCGTGCTGTTTACTCCTAGATCTGAAAGATGATATGAGAATAGGACTTATCTTAAAAAGTCAAATTTTAAGTAATTGAAGCAAGTTATAAGCCATAATAAGTTAATTTGTGCATAAAATTGAACCAAAACTTAACCAAAAACCATTAAAAAAAGAAAAATAACTAATCGGTTGTAAGAGGACGAAATGTTCCGAGACACCGGAACGAGTCAAGACCATTAAGCAAGAAAGAGCCGTCATTCTAATCGGAAAAAATAAAGAAGCTCGACTAAAAAAGTGCAAATCGCTCCTATCTGGCACGATGGTGAAGACTGGTAACGGACGAGCAATAGAGTCAGAGCGGACGCCAACGCACGTCCGCGCGGCGTCCGAAAAGCGAATCCGCGCGGCATTCGACGTTTATTTGCGTGGTTGCCAATCTTTGTACCTGCCATAGGTAATAGCTTTCTCGGCAAAACATCGCAACTTCTGCGCAAAAGTTGCACAACTTTTGCGCAGATTTTAAACAATTTTAGATAAACCAAGTTTAAAAGTTGCGCAAAGTCGGTTTAAAAGTTGTAATAATAATAACAAAAGAACAAAAAAAGACACATATTTAAGATTAGTTTTGACTAACCATTAAGTCTTCTGCGTTTGGAATCGACCCGGTCGAAATTTCGCGATGTCTCTTCAATTGACTCCATTTTAAATGCGTTGAGCATTCCTTCTGCTCCTGTAATTAATAGCGTAATTATTAGAAATAAAATATCAGAAAATATTACCTGACACGGAATTAGTTGTTTGTTTTCCAAATCGAAATGGTATGTGCGGAGAGTGTTGCTTAAAATTAAATATAAGTCGAGGAGTAAAAACAACTCAAAATAAAAATTGAATAGTAGCAAAACATATAGCGCATTTGCAATTGAGACATGCGCTGCATTCATTCCAATAGAGCGCATTGATCGTCGTTTAATAATCTCCTCTTCTCCAATCCCAAGCATACTTAGTGTACTGTAAAATATAAATAAGGTTAGAAATTGTTGCACAAATTACTTGTCTGTGGGAATATCGCCAATGAGGAAAAAAACCGGCAGATACAGTCCCAAAGCATTCAAACGGAAATCTGAAATTTAATGATATGCAAAAGACATATGGAAAAAACTGAAATCAGGTGTACCGCATAAAACCTCAGCCACTTTATCTGGAATTGGAATGAAGTGCTTGTCAAATTTGCGATTTATATATATATATATATATATATATATATATATATATATATATATATATATATAGGCCAATTTGTTGTGGCTCGTGATTTTTGGCTCACAAAAAGTGGCTCGTACTCACTATATTCTTTGGCTCGCGAATTTTGGCTCGTGATTTTTGGCTATTGAACTGCCATTACCGAGAAAGATAGAGTTTCATATACATCTATCATTTTTGATCTATTCTAGAAATGAACATTTCCACTTTTTATTCTTAAGTTTTAATAGTCTAAAAATATCAACAGGTTTCACAAAAACACAACTTCAAAAATAACCACGGAACAAAAACAAACAACTAACAACAACTATAAGGAAGGAAGAAGGAAGTATTACCTCACATGAAATGCGCGGATTATGCTAGGACGGTGCGGCATAAACCGGTGTTTCATGGGTGGTAAATATATGGAGCATATGTGGATGGGGTCATATGTAAGCGTTTTGAAGCAAATAAAAAAATACTTTTTTTTCGATATATGTATATGTTTTTTTTTAGGTATGTTACAAATATTTTAACTTACATTTTTTAAAGAATTAGTAAAAAAAACGGAAAGTTGTGCCACTGCTGTTGTACCAATCAATGACGAATTGAAGTACAGATGGTTCTAGAACATTTTTGAAAAAGCTGGTGAATCGATGATATGATGGCAACACAATTGGCGTTTCTTCACGGATTCTAATCTCATATTCTTTACATAAGACTATGTTGATGAGTTAATTGAAGCCTTGACTTCTTTCACAACATTACTGTCTTCCGAAGGAAGCGAATTCTAAAATATGTTGAAATTAATTTTTCAGCCAATTTCCGCAGAATTTGACATGACGTTCTAAACGAATGACGATCCGTTCTAAACGAAAGGACATAATTGATTTTAATGAACTTACTACACTTACTCTGCACGGCTCCAGAACTTTCCAATCGTAATGCAGCTCTCGGAGGTAGTTTCTGAACATTTTATAGTAATATTAGTAATAAAGTTGTACTGTGCTTCTTGCAAACTATTCAAGCATTGCTGTAACTTCGTTGCCATTCGAAGCCATGCCTGTTGACGACGAGAAAACTAGTTTTTTTCTTCTATTATAAGTGCTCAAGATCATTAAGAAGAAACTAAAATCAAATAAAGAGTAGTAATATTTCCAAATTATACTCGCTTAGAAGATACCAGTTCTTCTGTGAATCTCACATCGTTTTCGAATTGAGCTGGGATATAGACTCCGAGGGCGTCGTAGACGAATCCCTAAAATTCAATTTTAACACTAAATTTTTTGAACAAACTGTACTGTCGATTATCGCATTGAGCGATTTTGGAAAGAGCTCAAGTGCGTTTTCTGACGATGCATGGCATTCGGCATTCGTGTATCTCCAAAAAATGAATGGAGGAGAAGTCAGCTCAATTTGATATAGTTATAGTCGGCGTCCGGGGCGACTGCTGTACGCGGGTAGATTTACGGGAATGCGTTTTTCGTAATGGTCTCACAACGACCCACAGGTTATTTCAAATTTTATGGACCGATTCGATAATTTTTTAATCGCATGCAATGTATCTACCCGGGACAGGATTTCCCGGGATCCCGGGAATTTCTTTTCCCGGGTTTATCCGGGGAAATCCCGCGTCCCGTCCCGGTTTCGTCCCGCAACTACCCGGGATCCCGGGAAATTCATTTCCCGGGATGAGCGGGTTCCCGGGAAACCCGGGACAATCCCGGGAAAAAGTCTGCAAACACCGCGCGCGCAAACGCACACTCTTCGAATATTGCGTATTCTCGTTTTTTAATGAATTTTCTTATTTTAAAAAGATTCCAATGCTTAGAAAGCACAATTGCAATGTGCAAATAACGATTTTTCCAAAAACGCCATTTTCTAAGCATTGGAATCTTTTTAAAATAAGAAAATTCATTAAAAAACGACAATACGCAATATTCGAAGAGTGTGCATTTGCGCGCGTGTTTGCAGACTTTCCCGGGATCCCGGAAAATTAGGTTTCAATGAGTCCCGGGTCCCGGGAAAATTTTCCCGTTGGAAATTCAAGAAAATTCGACACTCAACAAGAAAAATGAAGCAGTTCACGTGAAAACATCAAAATAAGTATTCACGCGTGGCGAGACCTTTTCAAGGCGCATGCGCGTAAATCTACCCGCGTGCAGCAGTCGACGGACGCCGACTATATGTGAGAGTGAAAAGTGTACGCGAAAGGATCTTTTAGTTTAGTATTTCCGCCATATTTTTGTATTTCCATTATATTGTGTTGTATGATTAGCATTAAAGACGGTGCGCGGGTCAAATTCTCCGGGATGAGTGAGACAGTGGGAGGACTGCACTGTTATTAAATTGTTGCCATTTTTCCACTTTTCCGCCACGTCGACAATAATGGATCATACTAAGTAAGTGACTAAATAAGTGCATTTTCGGAAACCCTTTAGTGCACAAAATAAAAAGTAAATTGGTGGAGGAGAGAAAAACTCCAAAACTTGAAGCAAAACGGTCTTTTTTATTAAAATTTAAAAAATATGTGAATACTCTCATCTCATGAGCAAATAATTGAAGTTTAACCTCAAAATCAGTTGAGGCTCAATCTTAAAATCATAGTTGAGGATCAACCTCAAAATTCATAGAAATTTCTTTTTGTCAAAAAAATAAATAGCATGACATATATAGTTTAATTTTTTTTCTTTTAACTAGTTTTAGAAATGAATTAAGATGAAATCGATTACCAACAATTCATAAATAATGGATCTATTCATGCAATGAAAAAAAATTTTTTAAAAAATCAATTTTTTTCATTTGAATTCTCTATGCACGCACGACGAAAATTACAAAAAATTGACGCGATATATCGTAATTCTCCGCTATTTACTTTCAAAGGCGCACGCGAAAAGTTGCGCTGGTCACGTCGCGAAGTAGGTACTGTATTTTTTAATGGCTGTTTTTTTTTCGAATTATTTATGTTTTGAGCGTTTAAAGCGTTTCTTTTTTGGAAGTCTGTAAAAGTGTTTTACTTAATCAACATTAAAAATTCATCAGAAGCTTCATCGAGCGAAGTCTGCATCAAATCAACACAAAATCACTATTTCACATAATAATTGGTATCTAAACGACGAAAAATAGATTTATATTGTGGAATTAGGTGTAATTATACCAATAATTGGTTTTTTACCTCGTTTTTCCATCCGTTATACATTTCCTCTTCAAAGTTTTCGAAAAATACAAAAAAATAGCACACAGTATGAAAAA